GTTAATTTATAATTTAAGGGTTCTTTAACTTTTTTGATTTTGAATAATCTGAATTTTTTGTAATCCAATTTTATATTAGATTTTTTTATTTCAATATTTTTTTGAAATAAATAGATTTTATTCTTTTCTTTTAATATTGATTTTTGATTATATTTCTGATTGTAATAATATATATTTCTTTTGGTAACGAATTTCAATTTTATTGTTATTTTCTTATAAACTTTTTTGAATCTTTTTGTTTATATTATTATAAATTGATTTTCTATTTCTGTAATCTTTAATTTATAATATACGATTAGTTTGTATCTATAATTGATATAATTCGAAATGATTTGTATTGTTTCTAATATTGAATTGTTATATATGAATTGTATTAAAAATAAAAGTTTTATTCAATTGTTTTATTAGTAATTCATATAATATCGAAGGTAAACTTTGATAATTTAATTTATTCTTTTGTTTCTTTTATTGATTTGTAAATAGAATATAATAAACATTTTTCTTTTTACTTTTAACAATATTATTAAAATAATCCAAAATTTCAATATAAAAAATTTATTTTTATTAAAAAGTATTTCCTTTGATAATCTATATATTATTATAATCTTTTTTAGAAATATAAAGATTAATATCTTTACAATTAATATTATTTAATATAATACAAATATTAAGTATTTTATTAATCTATCTATTATAACAAAGAGATAATTATATATTATTTCTATTGTTGGATTTTTGGATTTTGGTAATGAATTTATAAAATCTTATGATATTGATTTCTATAATGTAGATGGTATTTCGATAGTATTTATTTATTTATAAGGAGTATAACAGAAAGCCTTATTTTTAATACAGGTATTATATTCGATAATTATTTTATTGATTATATTGTAGAGTTCTGGATTTCAATATTGCCTTTTGATTCTTAAATATATCCTTTGTATTTTTTAATGTTTATAAATTAATAATATATATTATTCTATGATATATTCAAAAATAATACTATTTAATAATTATATTTTGTTTTCTATTTGAAATAATTTTTTAATAATTATTAATAATTCTAATCATTTGATATCTTCTTTATTTTGTTGTATTTTTATAAGTTTATCTTTTTAAATCTTTGTTGATTTATTTTCTATAATAACGATTTCTATTAGGTTAAGGATAAGATCTTTATTTAGTAAAGATTTCAAAATCGTTGTTTTTTAATAGGTTTTATTATCTTTGTAATTTAACAATCTATTCAAAGTATTTACTTTTGTATTATTTTTTCTTTTGATATATTTAATTATCAAATCGAACTTTATTAGTTTCTTAATCTATTTAGTCAATCTATGATTATTTAAGATCTTAATGATAATAAAGATTTGAAGATTTATATAATTAGTATAAATGATTATTAGGAATTTAGCTTTTTGAAAATAGATTCTTCAATATTTTAATATTTTTATAATAATTATAAATTCCTTCTTATAAATATTATAATTCTGTTTTATTTTGTTTATCTTGTTTGAATAATAAATGATAAAGTATAGTTTCTCATTATTATTTCTTTATAAATAGACTTTTGTTATATAGATATCAAAAGTATTTGTTTCGATAATGTTTTTTCAATCATTATAATAATTGTAAAGAATGGATTTCCTTATAAATCTGTTCTTAATTTCCTGAAAAACCTATTTCACTTTTTTATTCTATATAAAAGTTATTTCTTTTTTGATTATTTCAGTAAAGGATTCCATTATTTTCGAAAAATCTTTTATAAATATTCAATAGAAATTGACGAATTCTAATATAAATTATATATCCTTGATATTCTTGAATCGTTTCTAATTTCTTATTTTTTTTGTTTTCTTAGAATTTATATTCATTTGTTTTGGTTGAATGATATATTTTAAAAATATCATTTTTCGTATTCCAAATTCATATTTCGATAATTTGAATTTTGAATCTACTTTTCTAAATACTTTGAATATTTTCAATATATATCCTTTATATTTTTTTTCTTTTTGAAAGAAGATTAGGATATTATTTAGATAACAGATTATAAATAAATTGAATTTTTTGAGTATTTTGTTGTTTTGTTATTGATATATAATTGATATATTAGTTAAACTGAATAATATAATTATATATTTTTATAAATTTGATGATAATATAAAGATTGTCTTCTATTTGTAACTCTTTTTTATTTATATTAAATTGAAAGTATTTCTTTGATTTAATTTTGTATAGATTACGATTTTATTTAATTTATCCTTGAATTTCTAGACTTTTGGTATTGGATATATATCTCTGATTATTCTATTGTTTATTCAATAATAATCTTTATAAAACCAATTATTCAGATCACCTTTCTTGAATATTAATAATATATTGAATATATAAAAGAACTTGGATTTTCTAATCTATTCTTTCTTTTCAGTTTTAATCCTATATTCTTTCTATATCTGTATAGTATTAAGATTGTATAACCTCAATTTCTCAATAGAGGATACGAATTCCTTTTTGAAATTGATTTTATGATCCTAAAGTTTATATTCTGATAAAGCCCTTAAGTTTTATAGGTTTTCAAAGAGTTTGACGAATCTTCTGTATTACACTAGAATTTCTTTTTCATTGGTTTTATTAATCAATAGAGGATCCGTTGTTGTTATAATATAATATCCGATCTCCTCAGAAATCTGTTCTTTCGAATTATATAGTTATTCGCTATTACAATTGTAACAATCGAATATTAAAGTATCTTTTATTTAATCGATATTTGAATTATATCTCTTAATCTATAAAGTATTGAAGATAATTGTATATCTGTTTAATAATATTAAATCTATTTTGACCCATTTAGTATACTTGTTTAATATAATCATTTTGATAATATTAATTTCTTTATATACCCAATTATCAATTTCAACTTTTTTTCTTTTTAACAATATCAACTAATAAGAATCCTGTTTTAATTCTATAAGAATTTTATTTTCTTTTACGAAATTGGGATCTATGAATATACTTATAACTTCGGAATCAATTAAAACATTGATTTGTTAATTCTTTAATTTGATTTCTACAATTAATTACTCGATTTTTATAATACCATTAAGTTCTAATAATAATAATTCAATAATTTATTCTTTGATAAAGAGATTCAGTTATTTATATTAATATTCGTTTATATTTAATAATCAATAAAATATAATAAATAATAATTCTATTGATTTTGTTTGGAAGTTTTAATAATAATTATAATTTGATGTTTTTCTGTTATCCTTATCGATCCTTTGTTAAATACAACGAATTCTAATTTGTAATAGGATTTTTTATATCTTCTCAACTTCTAGATTACACTTGCTATATTCCTATATTTCATTGAAAAATAGAGAATTTATATCTATAATATATCTTCTAACATTGTTTATTTTAGTATTTTCTTTAAATATTATACAATAAACATTATCGTATATTATTATATAAAGTACTAACAAAATGAAATGATTATAGATTTTGTATTTCTTAATAAAATCAGGTTTCTTTTTTTTATAATAATACTATATTTGTTTTTTATTTAGATAATTGATTAAATATTATAATTCATTTTTCTAAGATAAATAATAGAATTCAATTGTTTGTTAATCCTCCTCGAATTCCTCGATTGATTCTTTGTTTTCTAATTCGAGATCTTTTAAAAGTTCTCTCTTATAATCGATATTGTTTTCAATACTAATTCTAGAATTTTGATTATTGATATCCAATTCCTTTAACTGCTCGGGGTTAGATTAAAATAGATCTTTTTCCAATAATCCTATTTCCTTCGAGTTTCCTTCTAAGATTCCTGTTTCTCGAGAACCCTGTTTTCTGTTCCCAAATTTCATTTGTTTCCCGCCCTTTACAATGAATGGTTTCTTCTTCTGAGAACAATCTCGGGACATATGTCCGAGCTTACTGAAGGTGGGGAGACCATATGAAGCGGTTGCCATACAAATTAGTATACAAGTTGCTTGGCTTTTCAGGGAGGTCTAAGCTCATAAGGACAGGTTGACTGTTACCCGTAACACTCTATAAAATGATTTCGTGACACCATAATGCTATACTAAAAAAGGTGAATTTGGAAAAATGTGCACAGACTATCAGCTCACCGATAGGAATTGTCGATCAATTAGAATCACATGATCGTCCTTTATACAAGGTTGACATATAGAATATTATATTACTCTTAATATATATATAAAAAGAAAAAAGAAATAATTATCAAATAATAAATACTTTTTATTATTAAGAATATAAATCTAGTATTTTACTTTTCAATCATCTTTAATCTCGATCATCTTTTTATATTAAAAATCATCATTTTCAGTTATTAATATTTCAACAACAAATAAATGAAATCAATTAAAACTTTAATTAGAGATTTATTATTTATATAATAATAAATTTTAAAATTTTCAGATTTTTTATAATTTTATTAATTGATATATAAATAATTAAATTTAAATCTTTTAAAAACTTTAAATGATCTTTTAAGAAAAATTATTAAAAGTAAATTATCAATCATTTTCAAATATTTATATTATAATTGATTAAATAAATCAATTTATTCAAATAATTATAATTTAAATATTTTAAAAGAATATATAATTTCTTTTTAATAACTTTTATTAAAAAATTATTTAAGATTTTCAAGATCTTTAAATTTATATAAATTAAAATTTTTAATTTTAATTATTTATATTTCAATAACAAAATTATCAAAAATTTGAAATTGTTAAAATTTGTTATTATATAAATAATAAACTTATAATTAAAATTTCAATTAATTATATTAATAAATAAAAAAGTTATAAATATTAATTTTTGCTATTTTTAATATGAAAAATAACTGAAATAATAAAGTAATCAAAATATAAAAAAAAACCTTATATAAAGCTATTAAGAAAATTATAAAAGAGTATTGGAATACATTGAGTTTATTTCTATAATGACTACAATAGAAATTAAAAAACAATAATGCTTCTTCATTTAATAAGTCTCCTTGGAGTTATTTCCTACAGGATCACTTTGATGATCCTAACAATTGTTCATAAAAGCCCCACCGGTGTGCTCACCCCTACTAGAACCATAGTAATGAATCACAAATGATTAGGGAGAAAAAAAAATCAAGCGCTACCAATCCCAGGTAAACACGCCCACGACCTCTTGATTTTCTTCTGGGAGGGAGTCCAAATTTTCCGACAGATTACCCACCTCAGGATTGAGCTTAGAGTCCTTTCTGGCTTCACGACCGTCTGGATCTGATAGACTATCGATATCCATGGGTAAAATTTGATCTGACTCGAGTTGAGGCGAGTTCTCACGTTTAAACTCCGAGGGAATTTCTTGACTTTCAACACTTGAGATTCGGGTGGAATCATATTCAGTCGAGTATGAATTTTCCGAAGAAAAGTTATCGTCTTCTATGGCAAGCTTCCTTGAAATATCGTCATCTGCCATCGCATAACAGAATAAGTGTGATAAGCCAATACGTCTAAAACCTAATGCTTTCCAAAATGCAATCACTCCTTCCTTTTCTTCAGACACCATCTCGATCTCTTTGTCGTTTTCATATCCCCAATGTGTGAAAACCCATTGGATATTCCGAGTCTTCAGTTGTTGGAGAAGTTGAGATACCATGGATGTCCCGAAACCCCTTCGACGATAAGCTTTTATGACTTCCACATTTTCGATCATAAGAAAATCACCCTCGTCCAATCGAGAATCCCAAATCTGTGAGCCGCTGCGAGCCCCACTGATCCAAGTTTGTCTTAGTTTAGCCTGTTCATCAAAGAGCATGCTCGTCAGTAAAATGCTCGTTTCGGTACATATGTGGTCCATTGTCTTTTCAAAACCTGAGCGAACAGCATTTACGCGATAGACTAGGTTGCCGATCATTTCACAAACAACGCGGTCGTCCGTTTGACCATTGGCGAATATCTCTTCAGAAATAAGTAGTCCATTTGGTTCGTAAGGGTCGTAAATGTCGTATAAGATAGAAAGAGAGGAATCCATTTAAAGAGCTATAATATAATAATGGTTGTATTGATAAAGTAATGTTGAAAATGGAAGAAAAAATTAGAAAAAGTACAGGTGCAACTAAGTAGCGTCTAGATTAGCTTTCGACTACCTTTCGTGTAATAGCAGAATACATTGGAGCTAAAAGGAAGTTTCTATGTTCGAAGGTTTTCTGCACAATGAGGACTCAAACACTCTGCGTACTCTTCTCCGGGGGAAGTAACCCAGGGACATCCTGCCATGAGAGGCCTGAATGTCGAATTGTTAGAAGAATGAAATAATAAGAGAGTTTCTGCGGCGAACCATTAAATATGCATAAAAGTCGCATTCACAGTATTATGGAGCGATAGCATCGCCTTCCGTCGTAACTACTGTCCTAATCTCATGCTGAGCGCTCTTGCCCTACGTGAATTTTTCTGATCCTAGAATGATGCCATGCTTCCTTCCCCTCCTGATTGAACTGAACGAAAAAGGTTTGATGACTTGAGCAAATATGCTAATGAAATACCAGTTGCTGCGATCATTTGACATCGTATCTCTTTCCATATTCCATATCGACCATCCCTAGTTCTCAAAGCTATCAGACATTGAGCAAATATCACGCTAAAAAGCCTAACTTCGTTCAGCATTGCTGCCCATTAAGATTGTTCGCCTTCTCCTGCTGTTGTCCCCTGCATTGATGACGAGGCCTAGTATGGCGCTTTGACCCCCTGCTACTTTGATTTGCGCCTGCCAATAAGAGGTATGATAAAGATCTAGATTTCCATCATCTCATGCATAGTGCGTTGACAACAGGAACGCAGGCACAGTGCATCAATATGAATATGGGTCCTGTGAGCATGAACGCTGGATCCTGAAGCACGAAACAATGTTCCGCGGGAGCCACTATGTGATGCGGTCCAGGAAGTAGATAGATAATGTCAATTCAAATTTCCAAACAAAACGTCTGCAGCTGCGAATGTAAGTCGCAGACCAAAATTTTGCAAGATTGAAGTACAATAATTTATTGTTCTCTTTGGTGTTGACTGTAAATTGAAGCTCAAAATAAGGGAAACTTCGGTGCCATGTATTTTCGATCGACCAGCCAAGATGTACCGAACGACTGTATCCAAAAAGAACCCAACAATAAATTGATGCTATCAGGGGCCCCTCGTCATTACATATGGAAGGATCTGAGAATAGACTATTCAAGCTCCTTTGCTCAATTGCCGAATTTGGTCGTTTCTGTTGGAAAGTATATTCAGGTTTGACAAGACTTGAAACAATACACGTGGCACCGACACGATAGTTTGGAAACTTGCGTATGCGAGGGTATATCAGTTTGAATAGATGAGAGAATTTTAAAGTAAGAATTGACATGAGGAGTGGTGTGATTGGAGTAGCTCCGGAATCGGACGATGAGTTGGCTAAATGGTATGTGGCATGAGCAACACCACACCAGGTCAATCAACCGCTCATTGAAATAAAAATTGCTGAAATTGCTGAAATCCATGGAAGTTTAGTAAATATGTCCGTGGATAGAAATCTATTTCGAATTAGTCGAGGCTGTGTTACGTTAGACTTCTGTTAGATTCTTGTGGCACAAGCCTAATTTGGTTTTGCCAAGTTGAATCAATTCTGACGTCCGCACTCTCGGAACATCCGGAGAATGTTGCACCAGAGGGCTCGCCATTCCTTGATGTTTTGAGACCTTTTCGAAGAAGAAAGTCGTGAAAATGGCAATTGCGTTGGAAATTCCTGGGCTGTTGAATTGAAGCTGGAAGTGTTCTTTGTCTTATGCTCGATGTCATGGCTGTTGCCCTGTATATGTCTATCAAACTCGGTAGCCTAGGCTGGCAATTTCAACAAATAGATTACAGTAATTCTATATGACTCATAATCTGCGAAAATTATAATTGATTTGAGTGTATTTTCATAGAAATTGATGAAATAGTGAGGGACTTATTTGAGAAGGTAGTTGGCCTCTCGGTCGCAATCCAAAATAATCGCGAGTCGAAAAATACCCAACTTTCGTTTATGTCCATATTCACAACAGGGACAACTCTAATTAAAAGTCTCAACGCATACACTTGATAATATGTCAATTGTCTATCTTTTGATATAAAATTCATAGAAATCGAAGCTGATTTGGTCAAATGTTGAGGGTTTATCAAAGATACGTAGAAAACATCGTGATGCTTCAAAAAAGAACAATGCCTCGACACAAAGTCTAATCTGATGCACTGGCAACCACAACTAACAACTTGGAATAAGAGTATCATTGATCTGATTATTTAATTGATGAAATCACTAATAACATTAAATAACGTATTTCGAGACGCGTTCCTCGAGTCTAACAGCAGATACAACAAGATATGTCAAAATCATCAAACTCGACGACTTGAATTTTATATCAATCATTCATTAAAAGCACTGCGTACTATTGTCATCAATTCGTTGAACCGGAAGATCAAAATAGTATTGAAGAAAAATCAAGAGTCACAAATATCATGATGAAATACAAATGACTTACTTGCTCTTCTCAGATAAGAACAAGAAAGAGAAAGAAAGTGTGGCAGGTTCCAAAAGATGAGGGGGGAAGTGGAAATGGGTGAAAAAATTCGAGTAGGTTGAGTTGGGGTCGCATGATCAAGGCGAAAGTTTGAGGGGGCATTAGACAGCTTGAGCTAAACTCTCCATTTCCCTCCTTTAAACCAATTAGATTCCGTGAAATTAGTATTTAAAATGCCTTTCGTTTGCATTTTTTACAATTATAGCTCAATCCGGACTAGTTGATATAATTCTGTCACAGCTGTGGAAAGATCACCAAGACCTTCTTTCGCCTCTACATAAACAAACCACCCCCCGCTCCCCAAACACGAACTTTTGGAACCTCTTTTGTTTTCAACACACTACCAAATTTCACCCAACGATAAATTCAAATTCAAATTCATTCAAATATCGAATTAAAGTCTTCTTGGACTTCTTGTTCATTATCTTAACTTTTAAACCAAACACTTATTACTCTTTTTTACCAACATCAATCAAAATGCCACCAAAGGCCGCTTCTTCTGCTGCTCCCAAAGCCAAAGCTGCCCCATCCGATCATGCCAGCTACCAAGGTAAGGAACAGCTTCTGAATCCACAACACCACGTCGCATACATATCATGTATACATGATCGTGATCGCCTGCATCTAATGCATTGGTTGTGGAGCTTCATTTTTCCATATATCAATTACTGACGCGTCACAATAGATATGATTATTGATGCTATCATCAACTTGAAAGAGGTATGTTCTTATTTCTCCCTTCCACGTCGACGTTTCAAACATATGCTAACGTTATCTTGTAGCGCAATGGATCTAGGTATGGTTCCTTATATCCCGCACCAGTTTCCGTAATCGATATTCGACGCGTCCTTTGTTCATCACTGCCATCACTCGAATCTCTTACTGATGTCAACATAGCCGTATCCAACTCAAGAAGTACCTCAAGGCCAACAACAAAATCAATGCTAGTGATAGCATGTTCGATTCTCTCTTCAACCGCGCCTTGAAGGCTGGTGTCGCTAAGGAAGTTTTCATTATGCCAAAGGGTATGTCTTTTATCTGTGCGCCATACCATAATGTATATATCTAACCCCTCCTCCGTAGGTTCCTCCGGTACTGTTAAGCTTGCACCAAAGGCCAAGAAGGCCCCCGCCGATAAACCAAAGAAGGCTGCCACCGAGAAGAAGACCACTGAGAAGAAACCTGCCGTTAAGAAGGCCGCCCCAAAGAAGGCAACTGCCACCAAGGAACCAAAGGAGAAGACTGGCGATGCCGCTGCTAAGCCAAAGGCCGCCCCAAAGAAAGCTGCCGCTAAACCCAAGGCTGCTGCCACAAAGGAGACCAAGGAGCCCAAAGAGCCCAAGGAGAAGAAAGCTTCTGTTGCCAAGCCAAAGAAGGCCGCCGCTCCCAAAGCCGTAAGTTGCCTTACATATACTAATGCATGGACATACGGCTAATCAATGAACAACAGGCCCCAGCTGTAGTTGAAAACCCAACCGTCCTCAAAAAGACAGCATCTGGACGTGTTACCAAGACCAAGACCGATGGTCCCAAGAAGGCAGCTGCTCCCAAAAAGGCAGCTACCAAAAAAACCACCCCTAAGAAGGCAGCTGCATAAATGTTTCCTACATACATGCACACTTCTTTCTAATGATAATCTACTAAGTTTCTTCTGTTCATAAGGCGTTTCTGGAAAGGAATATCACGCGAGAAGGGACCGCGTTTGTTAGTGTTATTGTTATTTGTGGATTTTTCTTATTCCGAAGCTATGCTATGGTTCTGAGAATATGTACAAAGTAATTGTCCGATATTGCTTTTGACAATTACAAGTACTAGGAAACTATGTATTGTTGGTTCAGGTTCATAGGATTTTGTATTCAATGGGACTGGACTGAGGGAATGGATGGGCGTTGGGGTTGAATGCTAGTTGGGGATCTAAAGGGTTTGGCAGCGATTGATATCAGATTATGTTGTACTTGTACAGAAGGTCGACCACAGCCTGATTTTAGCAGAATAAAATGTTTAAAAATTACTTGCTTTTATTGATGTGATTGATATGTTTGTCCATTGTCAGTGATTACACCAGCACGATTATGATAAGACTTACAAAACCCAAAATTTCCCCTGCCCGCAACGCGTCAACTTTACATCTTTATCTGTTGTTGTTATGATGGAACGGGCTTGGGTCCAGCATGTATCCCTGAAAAGGGAAAAAGGAAAAAGAAGGGCAAAAATGCCCCTCTGAAAACCCTGGTGGACCCTGATGTGATGAGTGGGGATCACGCGCTTTTGTGGGGACGTAGGGTGGGTACAGTGGATAGGTAGGTAGGTAAGTTGATTGATATAAATGGATTGATGAATGTATTTGGTGATAGTGAGGAGGATTTAGGAAAGAAGGTGAAGGAGGGAATGCATGAGGGGATAGGGGGTTGAAAGGGAAGGAGGAGGAAATTAAAGGAAAGGGTTAGTGAGGGGGTTAGGGGAGGAATGGAGGGAGGTAGAAGGCATTTAAGAGGATAGAGCTCGAGGCTAGGGTTTTTCTAGTTTGTATGTATGTATGTATGTATGTATGTATGTATGTATGTATTTATATATCTACACTGAAGAATATTGAGGAGGAAGAGAGTGAATGAATGAGGAAGGTGAGTGAATCAATAGGTGAGTGAATGAGGAAATAAATGAATAGCTGAGTGAATAAGTAAAGAAATAAATAAAAGAATAAGTAAGGGAGTGAATTCAGAGATAATATACCAGTCTATTATTTAGAGAACGGTTGAGTGGTGTATAGAATTTGATATATATAGTTATTTAAATAAATAGATATCCTTTTAATTAGGCTAAAAATATAAAAATATAAAAATATAAAAATATAAAAATATAAAATATAAAAATATAAAAATATAAAAATATAAAAATTAAACAAATTAAATATTCTTTTATATATAAAATAAAATATAAAAATATTTTTTTTTTTTTTTTAAAAAGAAAAGAAAAAGAAAAACAGTTATATATTTATATAATTAATATAATAAATAAATTATTATATACTTTATTACTTTATTACTTTATTACTTTATTACTTTATTACTTTATTACTTTATTACTTTATTACTTTATTACTTGATGACTCAATGCTTCAATGATTCAATAACTTAGTGATTTGATGATTTGAAAGCTAGAAGAGCCTCCGGAGGAGTGAAGTAGATTGGAGTAGAGTAGATATAATGGATTATGGAGTTTAGAGAAGTTTGTTGGAATAGAAGTAAGACATTCAATGTTAATATCGATGTTAATATCGGTGTTAATGTTAATGTTAATGTTAATATCAATGCCGAGTTATCTACGCTTGATTTTTGATTCTTGAGTGTAGTTTGCGGATGTGGATTGTGAATTGTGAATGGGATTGTACTTTGCATTTTGTACATTCTAGTTAACATATCAATCATTAAGTACATTGCATTCAATGTAAGATTATATTATGATTTATGAGGGTTTTCATAAGTGAAATTAAATAAATCCTAGGGATTTCTGGTTTTGAGATTTCTGGGGTGTAGATACGTGATACGAGTATAACTCTGTATTCGTATTTTTTAATACGATGAATGCATGTATGCATGCATGATATGATATGATGGGTGGCTTGGCTAGTAGGATTACTGAGGCTGAGTTGTGGGTTTTCATAGGTTGGATGTATATAGGTAAAGTAGATATATATATATCACGGAGGAAAGCGGGCGAACGAGCGAGCAAGATAGCTGGTATAAGGTAGGCGGGAGGGGAAGGGGAGGGGAGGGAAAGGAAGGTTGATGAGGAGATAGATGGGGATGGAGTGGAAATGGAGATAGAGATGATATGATAAATTTATATGCGACTGAATAGTGAAATGGGGAAATAGTAAGGGAGATAGCAAAGAAAATAGGAGGAAGTTGACACGAGGGGTTTTATGAACGGAGATAAGATCTTAACGAAATATAGAAAGAGGCATGGGTTTCAGATGATAATATGTGGTGTAGTGCACGGAGTAGGTCTGTGTTTGTTGTTTCCAATTCCGTGCGAGGCGGAGGAAGGAAAGGAAGCGGACGGCGAAGGACTAATTGATTAAAGTGCTGATGCCATGTGGAAGGATTTATTTGGTTTACACTGGTGTGGTGGTGGGGTGGAATTTCAGCAGCTGTTGATAGATGCTAGCTGGGATTCGGACTTTTGGTATTATAGTCCGTCCTTCCGCATATGAAGAGAGATCTACAATTTTTGTATACTGTTAAAAGCTTCAATTGATGGTATTTACTATCTCAAGGTCACGAAAACAATGTTTATCAGACCCTCTCTTCTCTCCGGCCGCAAGGAGATCAGATCATCTGTCCCTCAAAAAGAACCAGGTCGAAAAATTGGTCGGTCGGATATTTGATTACATCACCCATGATGATGTTCCATTCCCAAGTTTTCTTTCATCTCATTGATACGATACTTTCAAAGCACAATCAATCATGACGATATCATTCTTTCACTCTTCCACTCTTCATATATTACTATTTTCTTTCTCTCGTCCCATCTTGTATATCCTCGAAAAATATAAATGGTAAAGTGTGCTGAGTTGCTGAGTGATACGGTAGGAAGAAAAGATGAAAATCATGAGATGAATCATCATTCATTTGTGAGAAACAGAGAGAGACCCTGGAAATTTATACCCATGATGAACGATCCGAATGGAGATTAGCTGACGAAAATGCCTTCCCTCTTCTGTGAGGTTCCCATTTACTTGCATATTGTAGGTACATACTGCATGTCCTCCGGACGGAAATAAAATAAGTGGAAGATCTGAAAATAGATTCTTCCTTTTTCTTTGGATGTTGAGGTGATTGATTGATGGACGTTGATACTGATTGGTACCTGAATGAAGGGAGAATGATTGATGAATGCAGGAAATAAATAATGATCTATCTATATGTTTAATATTTATCGAGGGAAGATGAAAGATGCCTTCCTTCTTGGCTTTCCCTTGAAAACCTTGAAAGTAATAATTACATTGGCATTGCGATACCAATATCATTCTCTTTTTTTTTTGGCATATTCTGTCTTGTCCTCACTCGCAGTAGATCTTGGTAAAGAGAGATTCTTTCTTTGTTCTTCGGTGGCTTTTCACTTGGGAGGATGAGTGGGTGCGTGGCTTGGCTCTTCTCAATTAACAGTCTAACAATGATTTGTTCATTTTCTCCTCTGTACCGTAAGCTCAGTCAGTCCCCATCCACCCTCTGATGAAAAGATGAAAAAACATAGCACCACCTCAAGGTCCTCAATTCAATTTACAATTTACTTTATCAATCCCTGGTCTGGTTACAAACAAGGACGGACGTACTCTCGTAATAATTCTTAATCACTCCACCACTTAACCACTTAACCACTTAACCTACCGACCTTCTACCTACTACTCTACTCCAACCTTTAATCTCCAACCTCTAACCTTCAACCTCTAACCTTCAACCTCTAACCTTCAACCTCTAACCTTCAACCTCTAACCTCTAACCTCTAACTTCTAACTTCTCTTCTAATTCCTTCAATGACTTCAATCCTTTCTTTCACAAAGATATGCTGATATATTCTATTCAATTAAACTCCAATTTGTTCTCTGGATCTGGAGTTTACTTTACTTTTAACCTTCATTACGACTAGTCAATCATTACCACGTACCATCAATTGGTTCCCGCATCCGCAAAACCCGTAATCTCCTTTTAACATCTGCCGTCCGTTACACCCATCACCACCTCCCGAGTTATATCACAATACACGCGAAAAAGCGTTGATACGCATCAACAGCATCACGAATGCCACACTTCGAAGAGATGCCATCGTTCTTAAATGACGACGCAGGCCCTATGTATTCGTCGACACGACCACCCTTTGACCTCCCCAGCCATCTTCGAAACTCCCACGACAAGCTATCGGTGAATGGTGTGAATGGTGTGAATGGTGTGAATGGTGCGAATGGTGTGAACGGCGTAAATGGCAGAACATCGACACATAATTCAATTGGGAATGGATTCGAACATGGATCAGATGTATATATCGATGGTGCTTCAAATGGTAATGGGATGACCAGCAGACACCAAATGAATGGAGATTCACTTCATGACGCAGCACTAAACTCCTTACCAAATGGTAGATCCAGCGCAGGTAGTTGGGATTACAGGTCGCGGTCCTCGATGACCGGCAGTACATACTCGGTAAATGAACAACCCAATGTTGCAGCCCAGAATGGAAGGAGGAGTCCAGGACCTTCAAGTGGTTTTAATAGGTTATCCAATGGTACTGGAGATAGGAATTCTTTCGCGTCAACAAATGGTACCATATCAAACACTATCACAGACACATCACGACCCGTCACTACTAGCGATAGTGAACACCAAAATAGAATCCCGAGTCCTCAACCAGCTTTGAATTCTCAACCAACTTCGATTTCTCAACCAGCTTCGAATCCTCAACCAGGTCCATATCCTCAGAGCACAGGTCCATTAACTTATCAATCACCTTTGTTACCTTCAACTCCTGTAGCTACTACCAATTCATTACCTGTACCAGAGACGCCAGCTCGTTCTACAAACGATTCTTCACCACATCGATTTTCTTCACCTTCAGCAATTCCACCACTACCACCAGCTTCACCTTCACAAAACTCTCTTCAACATCCTGGCTCTACGCAGTTGAAGCATCGACATACATTAGAAGTCCCTAAAGTTGGTCCGGGTAGAAGTTCCAGGGATGGTAGTGACGCCGTCTTTACGAGTGGAAGATTTTCACCAACTTCAGTAGCTACTGGGGCTAGACGTGGATCTTCAAGTATCAACAGACGGAATACACAATCGATACATTCTAATATGCCTCACGAAGAGGTTCCTCCGGATGAAGATGCGCTTAGATGGGCTGAAGCTGTACGCCAGAAGCGTGCAAGTAAGAGAAGAAAGAAGGATGAGGAAGATGATGATAGAGTGGTCGTTGGAACAAAGGTTGATCAGAACCATGTAAATTGGGTTACAGCATATAATATGTTGACGGGTATTCGGTTTACTGTTTCGAGAACAAATGCGAAGCTCGATAGACCATTGACTGATGCAGATTTCGAGGCGAAACACAAATTCTCATTTGACATGTAGGTTATATTGGATGTATGAAAGGATTTCGCTAATGATATACAGCACCGGTAATGAGTTGACTCCCTCTGCAAAGTACGATTTCAAATTCAAGGACTATGCGCCATGGGTATTTCGAAGTCTACGAGCAAAGTTCAAATTGGATCCTGCGGATTACCTCATGTCCCTGACAAGCAAATATATTCTTTCTGAACTAGGGTCGCCTGGAAAGAGTGGAAGTTTCTTTTACTTCTCGAGAGATTACAAATACATCATCAAAACGATTCATCATTCAGAGCATAAGTTCCTGCGGAAGATTTTGAAGGATTACTATCACCATGTGGAGGATAACCCTAATACGCTATTATCCCAGTTCTATGGACTTCATCGGGTGAAGATTCCTTATGGAAGAAAGATTCATTTTGTGGTAATGAATAACCTATTTCCACCACACCGCGATATCCACCAGACGTTCGACTTGAAGGGTTCTACTATTGGACGAGATTTTAAAGAGGAGAACCTAGAACAGAATCCTCGTGCTACCCTCAAGGATTTGAATTGGCTTCGACGAAACCTCCATCTTGAGTTTGGGCCAGAAAAGAGACGGGTTTTCTTCGAACAGATGGAGAAGGATGTAGCATTGTTAAAGAAACTAAAGATTATGGATTATAGTATGTTGGTCGGAATTCACGATCTAGGCAAGGGGAATGAAGAAAACTTGAGAGATAAAACTCTACAAGTCTTCCAACCAGGGGGAGATAGCCCTATAGATGATTCTGGACCACCTGGACCTTTGATGAGGACGCCTAGTAAACTCGAGAATGCTAGAAAAGCGAGAGAGTTACGGCAAATAATCAAACAGGAGAAACCAATCCCAATGGGTCAAAGCAGTTCCCGAATGCCGGATGAAATTGAAGAAGAGAACAGGAAAGACTTCACATTTTATAGTGATGATGGTGGGTTCCGAGCTACACATGAAGATGATAGTCCTGGGGAGGAGATCTTCTTCTTGTCAATTATTGATTGTCTTACTCATTATGGCACTCTTAAGAAGCTTGAGCATCTATTCAGTAAGTAAACTTTATTTCTTGGGACACATATATGCTAACCAAGAAACAGAGGGTCTCAAGCATGATAAGAAAATGATTTCTCCCATCAACCCCCAACCTTACGGCGATCGTTTTGTAGATTTTATTGAAGGTATCACCAAATCTCGAGAAGAAGCCGCGAGGGAAAAAGAATGTCCTATGGAGCACATACCTCATACAAATTCCAACCTTCCAGCGGGTTCTACACGTCGAGGTTCAACTAGCGGGCATATGCATCGTAGTGGCACCAATAATACTACCGTCCAACGCGCCGAGAATGAAGCCTTGAGAAGTGAGCTTGATGGTAGAAGGGAACTTGTTGAACCGAGAACTGTATCGACAGTTAGAAGTCCAAGTGCGGAAAGAACAAATGGACTACAGGGACAGATACTACCGGTTGTTGAGGAAATGGGAGAGGCTAGTAGTACAGGAGGTAGAAGTGGAAGGAGTATTAGAAGTATGCACGATGATGACAGACCAGCTACACCAGCAAAAGATTATCCCCCAAGTTTGAATGGGAATAGTGGAAGACCGCCAAGTCTGAGAAAGACGATTAGTAGGAGTAGCTTGGAAAAACAATTACCGCCACTACCGCCTAGTAAAAATGGGGTGGAACACGTAGATTCCGGGATAGTGATGCGTTAAGCGGGGTCAGTGTGTATAGGGGCAAGGAGTACTTGGGATGAATAGAGAATTGGGATAGAAGAGTCTAGGGGATGAAATAATACATAGTGGAGGGGAGTGGTGTAAGAGTGATAGTCAATAGGCGCAGTAAGTGGAGGATAAGATAAGATACCATGATACCATCTAGCGAATCGCCCTTTCTTTTCTTTCTCTTTTCTTTCTTTCCTTTCCTGGGTGGTTCGGACTTTCTTTTACTCGTTAAATCTTTTTTGTTTCTTTTTACTTTGACTTGACAGGATCGATTGACAGATTTGGAGGAGGATTTTCTTTTGTGCTTTGGATTTGTGGGGTGGAGAGGAGGAGAGGAGGAGGGAGGAGGGAGGAGGAGGAGAGGAGGAGAGGAGGAGAGGAGGGAGAAGAGAAATGAAGGACGGAAGGCACAATCTCTACTATTGATTTTTTTCCTTTGCAGTTTTGAGTTTTTGAATTGAGTTTTGAGTTGTGAGTTGTGTGTTATGAATTTTGAGTTTGTGGGAATGGAAGTATGGATGGAGCTTTGTTGATGTTGGTGTTGGTGTGGATTTGTGCTGTGGATTTGTGCTGTGGATTTGTGGTGGATAAATAGGAATAGGGGGAAGGAGGGATATGAAGGAGAGAAGAGAAGGGATGTGAGATGGGTGTGGCTGGGGGTGTGATTTGTAGATAAATAGAGAGCTGAATAGATTGATGGTGTGATTTGATTTGGGGTGAGGAAAGTGTAAGAGAATGAAAGAGGCGGGGGATTTCAGCGCTGGCAGTACTTGGCTGATGGATGGATGGATGGATGGTATAGATGGTATAGTGTAGTATGGAATAATAAATAGATTCTTTCAATAAAGATAAAAGATACAAAGAGATGTAGGATATGGAAATTGAAGTTTGAGAATATGAGAATTGAAGATTGAGCCATTGAGGAAAATGAGAATAAAATCATTAAAGCTTATAAATAAGTTATTTATAAATTTGATATGTCATTTTAAATTATTTTTCTCTTTTTGAATTTCTTTTTTATCAAGAATAATAAAAATTAATATTAATAATTTTTATAATCAATTGATAAAATTTTGATTGAAATTTAAATTATAAATTTATTATTCTTAATAAAGAAAAAACAAATTTTTATATTTTTTATATTTTTTATATTTTTTGTAATTTTATCAATTAAGATAAATATTATTAATATTGATTTTTATTATTTTTAATATAAAAATATAATTTAGAAAAAAAAGTTTAGATTAATATAATAATTTTGATTTTTTTATATAATAATTTTTAAGTTATTATTTAATCTTAATATTTTATTGAGTTTTGTGTATGAAAATTGAAAATCCTTGTATGATAAATATTATTATAGTTTTTTAGAACTAGTGCCCTCTACTAAGGTATGTAATGATGCGGCGGCTATTCGGTGTGAGGCTTTAGATTATCAAATTCTTGAGAAGTTTGATCTGTGTTGAAACTAACTACCACTGTTGATATGAATATCTTTTGATTAACAAACAATTTGCGAGCCATAGTAGTTGATTGGAGGAAATATATGCGATGAAGGGGCAGAGACCGGCTAAACGAGACAGTCAAGGATTTGAATAACAAATAATCTATTATTTCCTTTGATTTTTATATCTTTTGATAATAACACATGCGAGCCAACATTTACTTAAGTAGAGATGAGGACTCTATTCGGGTAAGATCTTTTAACTTCCACAATAAGAAAATATTTTAATCTCCACTTCGAAATTGCCGTCATGGAGGCACTTATCGTCGAAGATGTAGGCATCGCTAAAGTGGTCGATGACGCTAATGAGCCCTCCCTTCGACCAGACTATGTCAAAGTCAAAGTGGCCGCTGTGGCCTTGAATCCAAGTACTTCTATAATGCTTAGAGTATATTAGCTGCTGACCAAATTGTTAGCTGATTGGAAGATAACTCAATGAGCTTAAGATAGAAGAGCAAGTTCTAGAGTTAGTAAGAACATTTACTCCAACTGTTTTTCAATATGTCGAATCTAAAAAGTTAATTTTTTCGACTTTAAAAAGGATGTGACTTCTCCGAACTCTTATTGGAATTGGATCAAAGGTTAAATCTGATGTCAAAAAGGGCGACAGATTTGGGGATTCGTCCACGGCTGCAATTACTTGAATCATGAAGATGGAGCACTTGCTCGTTGCAAGAGATGGAATATTTGGGAAAGTTCCTGATTTTATGAGCATGGAAGATGCAGCTACTTTAGGTCTTGCTGTCGGTATCAACGACCAGGTAATGTGACGAAGTCACAAGCATTGGTGTTGAAATGGCTGGCTAATTTAGAAACAGGGTATGCCAAACGCTCAAACTCCCTCTTTCAACTCAACATGCAGAAAAGCCTCTTCCACTGCTCATTTATGGTGTAAGTACTGCAACCGGAACAATTGGTATTCAACTGGCTAAACTGTCAGTCTTAATATTATATATTTCATCTTGCTCTTAGCCCTCCCGCGCTCACAGGTCAACAGGTCAGGTTTACAAGTTATAAATACAGCTAGCCCAAACAATTTCGAACTCCTCGAGTCTCGCTGAGCCGACAAAATATTCGATTACAAAGAGTCTGAAGTTGGCGAAAAGATCAGAGAATACACAAACAACAGTTTGAAATATGTCTTTGACACAATTCCTTTGTCGTCATCTGTAGCTATTTGTGCAGTAGCTCTCTTGACTATGTCTGAATCCAGAGCATTGTATGCACCGCTACTTCCAGTGAACTTCCCAAGAGATGACGTTGATTCTGGTTTCACGATGGCTTATACATGTTGGGGAAGGCATTTCAGAGAGGAGATTGACATTGTCCTGCGAAACCTGAAGATTATGAGTTTGCAGCCAAGTTCATAAAAGAAGTGTGACGAGTTGATTTCCCAGAAAAAGATTATCCCACATCCTGCGACCGTGTGTACGAAAGGCTTGTATGGAATTTTGGGTGTGTAAGTCATTGTAATCTTACCACTATCATAGTGGCTTTTACTAACAGTATACTAGACTTCAATTAATGAGGGAAGACATGATTTGTAGAACTAAACTCGTCTTTCAAATCTCAGATACAGCTTGATGGAATCGAGAAGTTTTTCATGTTATCTCTTGGAAATTTTTCTTGGAGTAAACTATCCTAGATACAAACAATATAATTACAGTTTCTCTTCATTTTGAAGATTATTGAGAATTAAATGACTTTCTTTTAGTCTTTAAAATGAAAACCTTAAAGTCTTTATTCTAGAATAGTTTTATACTTTATTTTTAATAAGAAGATATATCAATTATTATAAATAATTAAAGACTTGTTATTCACTTGTTTATTATATTCATTATTGTTATAGAAAGTGACGCTTTCCCCTCGTTTTAAATAAACTTATATAATAAACTTTGATCAAGCCCTTTACTCTTTTAAATGATTCTTATTATTATCAACCTTAATCTATTAATAATCTAGGATCTAATCTAATAAAACTTTATATCGATTAAATGCTATTACTCATTCTGAATTATTTATATATATCTTGATTTTGATTTATTTATTCAAATAAATTAACTTTTAAAGATTTTAATAAAAGAAAATGTTTTTAACGAGGCGGAGGCGTTGATAGAAGTTATATTCTGAGTGGGATTTATATTTCAGAGGAGATTGATGGAAGTATCTTTTGGGGAGTTGATGGAAGTGACGTTCTGAGGGAGTTGATAAGTTTTGAGTTTGAGTTTGAGTTGAGGTAAGACAACTTCAATCAAGGGACTCTTCATTAATGAATTTGAATCAACGGACTCCAAATTAACTCATAATTCATCACTCATACTTTACAAACAGTCACACAATATCATACTTACAATCAATTGCATATGAATGGATCCACAAGATTCCCCTCCTAAGCCACATCAAGTTCAAGCACAGCGGCAGGCAATAAATCAAGTTGATACAAAATTGCAGAGTCGACCAGACAGAGAAGTGGATTACAATAATCACCCAAGACAATCGTGTTTGACGAATCATACACAAGGAGAATCTAATCTTAATCCAAAACACAATCAAGGGAAACAACTGCGGAAAAAACTTCCATCAAGTCCTGTGCGTCAAAATCACGATCAAGGTCAAATATCCCAGGAGCTACAACAAAACATAGAACGAAGAAATAAAGGCCCTCATTTTGAGGAACAACTCCCGCAGGCAAGAAGAGAATCTCAAGCGGATAATGACATAGATGAAGAAGAACTTTGTGCACTCGAGAAACAAATTGAGAACGAGTACAAGCTTTTTCAAAAGGAAAGGAAAGCAGCCTAGGATCAATTCCTTTACAACTCTTCATTGAGGCATAAAGGGCAACTATCCAGTCTTCCAAATTATCGTGCTGCACTCTTAAATAGTATTTATCAAAACAGAGGTCTAATAAGTGAACAATCCCAGTTTCAAGCCGCGTACGGTATAGATATCAAACTTTACTTTGAATGGCTGAGAGAGAGACTCTTGGAAAACTTTGTCCGAGGCGTCAAACAGCAGCTTTTCGAACGTACCTACCACCAAATTTGGAATCGTCCTTTGCCTCCATTTCCGCCTGGAGGTCATAAATACCCAGGCAGAGTAGCCGAAGTCTTCAAGCTTGAAATCAAGATCGAGGCGAAATTCTATGTGATTATCGAAGATAATTTCATTGTCTGCCAAGTGTTCACAGAATCTTTCACCGAAAATACAGAAATCAAACAAGTTCATCGATTACAAAACACTGAACATCATACCGTTTGGACCGAAGAATTACTACCACTCTACAAACTTCAAATAGTTGACGGTCATTGGCCTATATCTAACGGACCTATTTCCGAAGGAAAAGATATTGAGGTCAAGTGCTTCGTACATATTACGAAAAGCGTAACGTGCTTTTATTGTTATAATCCTCCATTGACCCCAAACACTCACCTTTGTTGAATCCAGGAGAAAAAGATAAGGATCTGGGTAAGTTCATACTAGTTTCTTTTCTTTATGAAAGTGGATTTGTCGATTGTTAGACTATCTGGAAATTGATGCTGATTAACTTCCAGCCAAACTTTTTCCTACGTTCGGATTGAATTCGTTATCAGTTTCAAGAGGAGTTTCGCGGTGAATTAGGTACCATCTTCCACACAAATTACCTCATTTTGTAAGTCGTTATACAATCAATATGCACATCTGGGCAGGCTCTGGCTCTTCCTCCAATGGTAAAGAAACCATTAGGAGGAGAGCGCGGACTCCTCAAAAAACTATTAGAGGTCTTAAGAAAAGAAAGAGTAGTGCGAGTATTGGATCGGGAATGGATGGCTCATGTTCCAATGGGGAGGTTGGAAATCCGAGTCTGAGTCCAGGTCCAAGTCCTAGAAAAGATTCGGGAATAGATTGTGTAATGGCATTTGAAGCAGAGTCCGGAGACTCGATCCATACTTATGATGTTGAGGAAGATATGGTCAAGCCTTTGAATGTCGGATCACTTGATAGTGATTCTGGGAGGTTGGATACGATTGGGAGGATTGAAGATGGTTTGAAGAAGTTGCGGGATAGGAAGTTAGATAAGGATCTTCACGATGAGGTGCAAGTTTTATCAACCTCAAGAAAGTCAAAAGGGAGAGGTGTTCCCTTGAAGGAATTGGATCATGCAAAGGAAAATGGTGCAGATGACTTTTCTTCATCTTTGAGTGGACTCAGTCGTATGATGGGGAGTAATAAGAGAATTTTCGGGGCGAGTAGGGGGAGGGAGGAGAGGCAAGCTGCTACCACAATCAAGGATCCGGATGGTAATGTGCTCAATACCAAAAGTTCGCTCTGCACCAAGCAAATGATTTCAAAGGAAATACCACAATCTGACACCACTGAAATGATACAAGATAATCCCCAGCACCCGACACTCATCAGAGGCAAAAATGGCCCGGAGAAATTCTTCAGTACTAAGGAAGTCCCAGGATATGGAAGACCAAACGAATATCGATGCCCTGGTGTTGCACAAGGGAATTTACCAATCTTATCCACTGCAGGCCATAGTAAAACGAGCAGCTCTGAGAGCGAAAATGATATGGAAAGAATTTTCAGCGAGAAGCATGAGCAGATTTCGGAACCTGAAAGTACAGATGGACAGCTTAGTTGCGAGGATTCTGTTTCGGTTATCGAATCGGTTTCTGATTCTGAGAGAGGAGATAAGGCGGAAGGAATCTTTAGTGTGAGATGTGAAGATGTTTTTGGACCGGAAATTACGGATGAACATGTTGGGGATGAATGCTCAACTCCTGATATTAAATCTTTTCACGCCTCTGAGGGTGGAAATGAGTCTGAGAGAGCCTTTAGCATGAGCTGTGAAAAGGTTCCGGAAGTCAATATGGATGGACATCTGAGAGATGAATGTTCCACCATTCATTTCAAATCTTTCCACAACGCTCTGGACATATCACAAGAGAAAGTTCATCGCAACGCAAGTATCATAGGTTTTTCTCTCAGAGTACCTGAATTAGTCCGCGAAGCTAGACAAACTCTCTTTACGTCAGCTCATTCCCACAAAACCGATGTTCAATCACCTAGCCAGGAGAGTATGGGAGAGATCACTTCACTTAGAGAGATCGAGTTTTGTGCTAGTGGGCTTAGAAATCGTAGTGCGGGTGGTGATGAAAACAGCAATCTGGAGCCAAATATAGATGATTCGCCTCAGATAATGCATGGACGTGCGATTGCCAGTGTGGAAGGATTTCCAGGTAATCTTGGAAGTTCGATGTCTTTGTCTGTGATGGATTCTTTCGTTACTGGAGATGTGGTTGAGTCATCTGTAGATGTAAATGTGGATGGTGAGGTTAACGCAACTGCTAATGATGACGGAAGAATTTCGCACTTCCGGGGAAGTACTGCATCATCATTGGAATATCCACTTCGAAAATTTAAATCACATTCTCCTAGGACTGAAAATAATGAGGATAGCCCAGGTTTTAAGGACACTCGTCAAGACTCGGTTGAGCGTGACATCAAGAATTCGGAGGCCTTTTCTCCTGTCCATCAGGACATCCTAACTTCGATGACACCTAAGCATTCCATTCACTATTCTCTCAGAGGAAAACCTGATAAATTCCGTGAGAGTCACTATGGAACTTTGCTCAAACCCATTTTTTGGACATCTCATGAAGATGGCAGGAATTTGTCACAGGAAGGCGTTCCAACGGAGAGAAAACCTTCTCGATATCCTGGAAAAAAGAGAGCTTTTTCCCAGCCAAGTGGGCCTTGCCCTGTGTCTAGGTCAGAACAGAATTTTTACAGCTCGATTGAATCGGATTGTGCTAAGAATTTTGATGGACATGGCTCCGAGGAATGGTTGCTGGGTAGTGAGGGGTGTAGTGAGAGTCAAGAGGAAATGCAAAAGTTCTGTATGAAAAACCCTCAGGGGGTGGTCGTTAATAATTGGAATGTGAGAGAGGAGATGGATTTGAATACGAAAGGTGAGAATGATGAAGATGGACGACAAGGACAGAGCGGGGGGAATTTATGTCGACCTACGGGTATGTCAGAGGGTAGATTTGGGGAAGGTGAGTTTTCTGACTGGTATCTTGATGTTTGATGATGTTGACAAATGATAGCACCCACAACTATCTGTCACTCAATTCCTCAAATAGATGGTCAGAATTCGCCTCCATTGCTAGCAGTCGACTCTCTAGTTGAACCTACTCGATCTCCTTCTCCTCGTAAGAGACTTCAAAAAGTTAATCGATCGAAGTCGCCTAGTTCGGCCAATAAATCTTCGAGTTCTTCCTTGGGGAAAATCTTCCAGAATTCAAGAATTGAGGGAATGGAAGGGGAGATTAGGGATTTGAGGATGGAGGTTGGAGAGTTGAAGAGAATGATTGATGATTTGGACAGGGAGTTGAAGGAGGTGAGGGTTAGGGAGGAGAGTGGCTGTGAGAAGGTGGAGTATTTGGGAAATCAGATGGAAGAGGTTTGGGGTACGCTTTATGGCAAGGGTTGGGAGGATTGGTGGTTAGGGATGTGGGATTGTTGAGAGTTTTGGGGAGGATGAAGAGGGATGGATGTGATAATAACAGGAGAGATGCGAGTGATGACCTCTTGAAGAGAAAGGATGTCGAATTTTACGAGGTGGGATTGACGATACCGACCTCATCGAAATCAGAGTCCAAGAGTAAGATCGCTATGAATGATGATGGGAATGAATTCGAGAATGAAGAATTCATGAGCTTAGATACGCCTATTTCTCTCGAACAACAACCAAGTAAGAAGTTTGCTATTGATGGATATATGAAAACAACGGAAGATAGGATTATTAAAAAGCTTTTGGAACTTGAAAGTCATCTTGCAGATGATAGACGTACACCGGATGAAGAGATGGGGAGATTGGAGAGGGGGATAGGGAGTCCGCAGAGTGAGATAAAGGTGGTGGGGGCTGGAGGGATGAGCTGCGAGGATAGGAGTAGGAAGGAGGGAGAGGGTGATTTTGGGAAGATGAGGAAGGAAGATGGGAATGAAAGCAGTTCTTGGAGAGTTACCGAGGATAAGGATAGCAGGGAGGACAATGGTGATGAACTGGCATTGAAAAAGGTGCTGGACAGTTGGTTAAGGATAAATCCGGATTGGAATCAGGAAAAGGTCTGAGTGAGATCAGGACGATGTAAAGATAAATGAGTGGATGAAAAGGATTGGTGAAATGGATAAAAAGGGTGGTTAGAGTGGATATCAAAATGTGGAAAGAAGAATGGAGTTGGAATAAAATGAAAAATGGATGGATCAGAATCGAATTGTTGGAAAATGAGAGGAAAAAATGGAGAATGGTGGAAGGTGGAAACAAAATGAAAGAAGAAGGCAAATGGAGGATTGTTGTCAGTGGAAGTGGAATGGAAATGGAAGGAATGTAAGGATGAAGATAAGTTACGATTGCGTTAAACCGGGTTGTGGCTGTTGTCCATCTGGGAGTGGAAAGGTAGGGAGGTGGGAAGGTGGGAAGATGAGAAAGCGAGTAATGAATATGAGGAAGAGGGATGTTTGTAATTTTGGATAATGAGTGGAATAGGAGGGTAGTGAGGAGGAGAGGTGGTGGAAACGGAAATGGAAAGCAAGGGTTTTGGGATTGGGTTGGTGGAGGAATTTTATGGAGGCAGGATTAACAAATAGGGTTTCTCCCTTTTGATGTGTGTGTATTTGGAAGGAGGGGAGGGAGTATGGCTCTGCATATATGGATATGGATGATTGTGATCGAATGGGTGTTAACTGAGAAGAAGAGAAATAAAAGCAAAAAGGCGAATAAGGGTTTGAGTATGGAGTAGCCGTTAGGTTTCTTTATTTGTATAGAGTGTTATTGGTTTTATACGTCAGGAAATGGGTATAGGTTGATGTGTTGTTAGGTTAGAGATTGTTGGATGGGTTGGACGGATGGAATAGAGGTACTTGGATGTATGTGGGTTCATTGCTGCTAGCCAGCTTGGTGGTGGATGAATAATGTATGAATTGTACTCGAGTATTCATTTTGGAATTACTGGAATTTATTGATAGGGGTAGAAAGGTTAGAATAGAATAAAAAGAATAACAGATTGATAGATTAATTATCAAAAATTTGAGATCTCGATTTTGAGTTTAACTTGAATTGACTTTGAATTTGAATTAAGTCTGGGCTGGCTTTGAACTCAGAACTGGAGTTTATGGATATGAGTTCAGTCGGTTAGAGTATATAGAGGGAATAAGGAGAGAAAAATGCCGAGAGTGAATTTCGAAGAATGAGGAGATGAAGATCAAGGGCTTAAATATATAGATGAGGTGTAGGGGATCAGGTGGATAAACAGAGTGTCAAATATTAGATGGATATCATATATGAGATCTTAAATAGATAGAAACATAATCAGTGGAGGAGAAGATAAGAATGAAAAGATATTTAGAAGATAAATAATAGAATATCTTTGATTTGAGATTATAACAAAGTGTACCAGGAGAGGATAATCTGATAAGTAAAAGGAGATGATCTTTATAATGAATAATGAATGTATTTAATACATTTCAGGTATTTATTTATTTGTAATCTTATTAATAGAATAGATTTTGCTACATTTTCAAATGCCACTATCTTATTCCATTCGGGTAGTAAGTTACTTTACCCGAGGCAAAAATATAATATGCTCGCCGTTTGAACTCCATTTGCCCCTTTCCCTTTCGTTTAATGCATGTACGCCTTTGAACCAAGCCCTAATATAGCAGATGATACACGTTTCTCCGACCACCTAAGCAGTACCTCTAGGCTTTGCCTTCGCCTTTGCTTTTTCCTTCTTCTCATCCTTAACCTTCTTTTTCTTCGCTTCATGTTTCTCATCATTTTTACGTTTTAAACTCGCTCTCTCTTCGTCTGTCTTTGGGATTGGTTTGAAGAATCCCTCTAATCTAGCTTGTTGTGATGATTTGAGATTCTTGGTAAGTTTTTGAGCAGCGCTGCGAACACGATCTTCGGAGAAACCTTTTTCGACGACGAGGAATTTGACAAGTCCTTCGATATCAGGGGCTTCCCATTTAAAATCACAGTCTTCGTGATCGGCAGGACGGACATCAGGGTTGAAGAATAGTTCGCGAGCATCTTGGTACGGCCAATCTTCTGGGATGGTATAACGTTCTTTTTTGTCGGCTTTGATCCATGCGACGAGGGTTTCCAGATCGCCATGTTCGCGAATAAGTTTAAGGGCGGTGTGTGGACCAACTTTAGGAATAGGGTCGAGATAATCGCAACCGAGGAGGATGCAGAGATCTACGAACTATGGGTTGTATTAGCATCGCGCCAATTAAGAGGATGTCACAGTTTCTTACTTGTTTGTGATCCATATTTAAACCTGTAAGGACTTTCTCCAAAATAACTTCTTGAATAGGTTCTTTGCGTTGCTCACTAAAAGTGAGATGTCGTAGAAGGATAGGAGAATCGAAACATAATGTATCCATGTCCTCACTCGCAGCCGCATAAACCTTTCCTGCTCTTGCTAAAACAGCACATTGTGCCTCTGCTTCGGTTGGCGCAATAATAAATGGGATTCCCATCAACTTTAATAATTTCTGACATTCGGCATTATGTTCTCTGGTAACCCTAACTGTTCTTCTTGAAAATTTTTCAATATCTTCTGCGGTACCGGTTTCCTTGGCTTCTTCTAATCCTTCTGTAGCAGTTGCTTTACGCTGGAAACGTTTTGCTAATTCACCGGACTTGAGTTTTGGTGGTGCGCCATCGAAAACATAGACTGGTTTGATACCATTATCGACAATACGGAGAGTCCGGTAGAACATGCCCATTAAATGTGAGGTAGTCTCTCCCTCTTCGTTTGTGAGCATTTCACCACCAGAGCGGACGGCGATGAGGAAACTATATATAGACATGGATCTGGTAGGCATTAGTTTCTGAAACCCATAAAGATAGATGTTGAAGGTACATACGCATCCTAAATGAAAAGTCAGACAATTGCGCAAAAGTAAGTATAGAATATCAGTAAAATACTTACAATAGCAACTTTCCTACCAAATTGATTTTTAATTTCTCCTTCTTTAACAGCATCAGGAGCTTCATCCTTGATGATAGCCATCAATTGTTTGATACCCATGATTACGGTGGTATTGTATCAATATCTTGATGTTAATTTTTTGGATTTTATTGTTGAAAGTTAAAGATGTCTTTTGGATCGCACTAGATTTTGGGAGTTGACGCGAATGACGTGCATGTAGCGCGATCTCTCGCGTTGAGTGGTTTAAGCCTTAGGCAATAACAGCTACAAGTTCAGGCATCAAGCGAACAGTTTGCGGGGAACGCTTGTGCAATCAATACAATCAATCGACAGCTCTATCAATTTTCACTAATGATCAGAAATATAAAGACTCGTATAGTTCGTATCATATACGTATATGGCTGATTTTGTCCATCTTCATATTAATCCACGGTATGGTTGACAATATGTACACATGGATCGGCAGACCATTTGTTTCCGAACAATGCCTCGGAGCTCCAATTCAGATGAATGGTGGCCCGGATTAGTTCATACTTAACTTTATCACATCCGGGGTAGTGTTTATTAACAATCCCTCTTCCCTTTTTTTTAATCTCCAACTGGGGAACGATTACTTGAAGGACCCCAAAATGTATAGACCTTTATTACGAAATGCTACCAGGCAATTGGCAAACAGGAGACCGGTAGCTGTTGTAACCAGAGGCTTCGCTGCCCATGCTACCCCGCAACCATTTGATTGGAAAGATCCTCTGCGAGCACAAAATCTCTTTACGGAAGAAGAAATAGCTATTTCGGAAACTGCAGAGCAATATTGTCAGGAACGAATGTTACCTCGAGTTTTGCGTGAGTTTGATTGTTGTGGTTTTGGGAGCGCAAGCTAAATGAAGGGTCAAATAGAGGCATATCGGGACGAACATTATGATCGAAAGATACTTGAGGAAATGGGAGAATTGGGATTGCTAGGAGCTACGATTAATGGTTATGATTGTGCTGGTGTATCGAATGTTGCTTCTGGACTTATTACAAAGGCGGTTGAACGAGTTGACAGTGGATATCGATCCGGAATGTCAGTACAGTCTTCGTTAGTGATGGGTGGTATAGATGAGTTCGGTACACAAGAACAGAAGGATAAATACTTGCCAAAATTGGCAAAGGGAAAACTGCTGGGTTGTTTTGGTTTAACAGAGCCAAATCATGGTAGTGATCCTGGATCCATGGAGACAACTGCGAAACCACATCCTACAAAGAAAGGATATTATTCAATATCAGGAGCTAAGACATGGATCACAAATTCTCCAATCGCAGATGTATTCTTGGTATGGGCCAAGTTACAGGAGACTGGAAAGATTAAAGGTTTTATCATTGATCGAGCGGACTGTCCACCGGGGACTTTGGAGACGCCTGCTTTGAAGGATAAAAATGGACTCCGAGCTTCTTTGACTGGAATGATTCAACTCGATGAATGTCCAGTACCTGAGGCAAATATGTTCCAGACAGTTGAGGGTCTTCGAGGTCCATTTACTTGTTTGAATAGTGCAAGATATGGTATTGCTTGGGGAATGACAGGTGCACTCGAGGATTGTATCGATAGAGCTAGAACATATGCTCTTGAGAGAAAACAATTCAAAGGCAATCCACTAGCCAAATATCAACTCGTCCAGAAGAAGCTGGCAGACGCCGTCTCAGATGCTGCTTTTGGTACACTCGCTTGTGTTCAGGTAGGAAGACTTAAGGATAAGGGAGAAGCAGCACCAGAGATGATTAGTATGATTAAGAGACAGAATTGTGATGCTGCACTTCGAAATGCGAGAACATTACAGGAGATCTTTGGTGGTAATGCTGCGAGTGATGAGTATGGTATTGGAAGACATGTTTCGAATTTGTTCGTTACACAAACATATGAAGGACAAAGTGATATCCATTGTAAGTTGTCTCTACCTTTCGTTCTTAGTATATGGTGTGATTCGCATTGGTGCTAACCAATACATAGGTTTGATTCTTGGGAGAGCCATCACTGGTATTCAAGCATTTTGTTAATCAAATTGAATTGAATCAACTGGATTTGAGCGAGCAACAAGTGGAAAATGGAAACGGCAGGTGATTGAATCATGTAGAAGTAAATGATAACCGAGGTGTCAACTCCAGATTTTTGATACGAAGTTTCTTTGTGGAAAGTGGGTGAATAGGAGGGATCGAAAGAATAGAGTACCTTTTTTGAATAAATGAGTTCAATCAAGATAAATGTGAATATGTCTTGACTTTTGATGAAAGCAATCTTAGCCTATATCTTGTCTAACATGAAATACCTAATCGAATATGTCGGGTTTTCAGGGAGGAAAAGGGTTGAAATTTGCCACCATTCGGACACCTTCGGGTGGTGAAAGCATGATGAAAGTCATCATGCAGGTGCCCGTACTGCAAGGTTTCACGTACCTAGGTATTAGTATGTTCCGTAAATGTATTGAAAATTGAAGATAATGTTGATGATGGCGTTCATTTTCGAATGGCATAACCATCATTCCGGTTGTGATTGCTCACAACTGTAGTCTTAAATGTTTGATAAGATGCTGGTAATTCAATACATATTCAACTAACTTCGAATACAATCGTTTACATTCTATATGATGTACAATATATATACCTAGTAACATAAAACCGAGCGAGTAAAACTGTTTAGTTCTTAGTAAGAAACGTGAATAAGATCTTGTAAGCATATATATACAGTTGTCACAGGACAGTAAAGGAAATCGCCTAATCTGTGCAGCACCGACACTTTCGCCGCTTCTTTGCAACCCAAATCAAACATAAAGCCAAGGCACAAGACAAGGCAAATAAGAACAACACCGACAGATACACACAGACAGGCACAGATTCAGATTCAGACTTGCGACTTCTTAATAAAACCTTACAAATAAATCAAAAGATATCCCACCTTTTAAAACAACTCTTCTTCTTTCTCCCTACCTACTCAAGTATTCAAGAATACCCCTTCAACCGTCATACAATCAGTAATCTTTTGGTATGTATGTATTCTTTCCATGAAAAATCTTTATTTTCGATGTACTCATTCACATCATGTATCTATATAACTTCAAGAAAGAGTCAATATGATTTTACAGCTCTCTCCTCTACCCATTTCATACCCACTTTATCTATCCTCTTCCGTCATCTTCGGCATAGCCGCTCGCGTGTTTTTCAGTTGTCGCTAACAACAAAATCGTGTCTAGCAGAAATCCCAGCCCACTTACTTACAAGTCCATAACTACTGCGACCTCGAGAAATCCATCAACGTACTCGACCAAAACCTTCCTACCACACACCACTCTCCATACAAAATAATACATACTTCAAAATGGCTTTGAAGAGAATCAATAAGGAACTCACAGACTTGGGCCGGTATGTTATTTCTTCCGTCATATTTGTCACCGCCACGATGCCTGAAGGATCTTGGTGGGGCTACATCGTGAGCGGGGTCTTGTGTGCAGGATTATCAAAAACTTCATGACGGCGATGATATTTTATTTGGATGGTCTTGGGGATAGTATGCTAATGTGATTTTTCAACAGTGATCCTCCCTCGTCATGCTCTGCTGGACCCATAGGAGATGATTTGGTATGTTATTCTTCGATCGAAATTTGATACCATTTGAGGCACAGAGCACCTTCAAATGCGCTCAAGATGGATATTATGGCAAGCAAGTATATCAAAGAAGGGACACTAATATTGTTGTTTCATTTAGTTCCATTGGCAAGCTACTATCATGGGACCTGTAAGTTTGATCTTATCCCTAATTTTCTTTGAACTGATGGCCTTCCACCGCTAATCTATAAACTCTCGAATCTCGATTGGTTATTATGATTATTAGCAACATACTGACATCTTTTCTAGTCCGATTCCCCATACACCGGAGGTGTTTTCTTCCTCGCCATTCATTTCCCTACCGACTACCCATTCAAGCCTCCCAAGGTTAGCTTCACAACTAGAATCTATCACCCAAACATCAACTCGAACGGTAGCATCTGTTTAGACATCTTAAGAGATCAATGGTCCCCCGCTTTGACTATTTCTAAAGGTATCTTGTTGATTTTGATTATTTCTTGATAAAACACAACTGATTTGTATTTTAGTTCTTTTGTCTATCTGTTCCATGCTTACCGACCCCAACCCCGATGACCCACTTGTTCCAGAGATCGCACACGTTTACAAGACCGACCGATCTAGATATGAGGCCACAGCTAGAGAATGGACTCGAAAATACGCCATCTAAATTACCTTCTATAACCTTCAAATTACATATGACAAGGCATGATGGATAGGAATAATGGATGGGCTAACGAATTTCCTCTGTGTTTTCTCTATCTTGTTCTTTCTGTCCTATTGCGTAAAGGATTTGCTGGCGTCAACGAAATTCGATGAATGGACAACTTTTTGGTCTGGGTTCACTTAGGTACTTTACTCTTTTACACGAAACACATTACATGGCAGGGTTGTGAGCGCTACTGCTTGGGGGATATTTTTGCGATGGATTGGGGTAGGAATCGTGGGAGAGGTTGAGAAGATTTGTGGAGGATAGATATCGGGAGAATACAATGTGATGGATGATGAATAAGGGATGGGGGTTGGGGAAATAGATAATCATGTTACATGATGGATAGGTTGTCGTCGTCACCTTCTTTTTCTTACTATCCCTCCTATTCGTTGATATTCAGGTCTATAGCATTACTCGGAGCTTTTCTCATTTTGTGATATGTTGTTCCTCTTGATTTTTTTGGTGGTGATTTTGATAGATGAGGTTGAAGTTGTGTTGTGAATGAGATGTGAATGGGATGTGGATGGATAAAGTGAGATTTGTGATATATATAAGGAGTATGATATGGATCTTGAGAATTGCCTACCTATCTATTCATTCCTCAAAAACAAGGAGCATGATGAGTATGATTGGCAGTGAAATGAATAGAACAGTCTCTAGATTCTTTGGTCAATAAGTACCTAGGTATTGTAGTCAGTTTCCTGGAGTTAGTGAATGAAGTAGTGAACTAGTGAGATGTATGGTTATAGAATATTATGGTTAAAGGATAGGATAGGATGGGATAGGGGTTGGTTTTTGTATGTGTATTGGTTGAGAAGTATAGATAATAAGAAGAGTACCTAATAAGAGTAGGGAATAGTGGATATGGATGAGGATGAGGATGAGGATAAGTCCTGTTCTTAAAAGGGGGTTTTGGGGGTGGTTTAGATGGGGGTTTAGTGGATTTTGGCGGAGGGGGCGGTTATTTCTTGTTTTGTAGATTGATGGTGTGGGTTGGTGGGTTGATGGACTGAGTAATTTGGATGGTTTGGGTGGTTTGGGTGTTTGATTGTCTGGTAATTTATGGAATGGGATGGTGGGATGGATATGTGAATGGAATGTAGTTTTGAATAAGTATAGATAAATTAATGAAGATATAGAGATGAAGAAGAGAAAGGGTTATGAATAGGTATGATGTGGATATAGATATCGGGGGTATAGATGGATTTTCACTCTCTTCGTTAGCTATTGAGGATGAGGTGGGTGTATTTGTTCTGGATGTTGATGGTGTTGGTGGTGTTGATGGTGTTGGTGGTGTTGATGGTGTTGGTGGTGTTGATGGTGGTGGTGGTGATGGTGTTGATGTAGTGGTAGTAGATGGATTAATGGGCCAGGCTGGTGGTATTGGGGAGGGGTTTGGAGGGTAATGGAAGGGTTATAGAATGGCGGGTGTTTGAGGTGGGGGTTGGTCGATGATGGAATAGAGGAGGAGGAGGGTGAGGAGGAGTGAAAGGAGGGAGGGATAAAGATGTAAGATTGAAGGAGGGGATTAGATATTGGGAGAGGGGTGGTGGAGGAGAGGAAAGGTAGGGGAGAAAGAATAAGGTGTATTTAAAAAAGAAAAAATTTAAATAATAATTATAAATAATAATAAAAAATATAATTATATATTAATTATATACTTTAATTATATATTTTAATTATATACTTTAATTATATATTTTAATTATATAATTATTAAAGAGTTTATAAATATAAATAAAATAAAATAAACTTATCATTATTATAAATTATAATTATAATTAAAAAAATTATTATAAATAAACAAAACAGAATAGATCATTATTTGGAAAAGTGAGAAAGTATCTAGTATCTATAGAAACACCCCGTTTCTTGGTTTGGGGATTTAGTTAGGGGTACTGTGAATTGTTCAGAAGAATGAGATGAGAATGTGGACTATTCTGAATCTATCTATCTAATCTTACACGCACAAGATCTTGGAGGTTTGGACATAGAGGCTCGGAGCTGATTGTATGGCTGATATTAATACATACTTGGGGCATGCCAGTGTGAAGCAGAATAGAATGTTAGATTTGAAGCGGGCGGGAATAGAATCTGTGATGAGTTCCTATCTATTTATATCCCTATATTTCGTGTTTGAGATTGCGGCTGTGGAGTGGATGCAATTATAAGAGAGAGGATGTAAGGTTAAGTGTGAAGTATGAAGTATGGAAAGTATAACCAGAGCAGATAGATGTAAGAAAAGAGTAGCAAATTAAGATCTATAACAAGAAAGAGAATCCATCATGCTGCAGAATCCCAACGGGAGGGAGGATTACGAATCAATGGGGACATACTAACACTAGCATTCCCGCTATAGCTATCATATGGGAAATTCGGGAGAAGTTGCTAATATCTTGTAGATGGGTATTGTAAGTTACATACTTGAGCGCTTATATTTCTCATTATATTGGATATATCCTTACGGGAGTTCTTGGGTGTCTCGTGTTGTGGGGTTTGGAATCATACTATTATATCCAGGTCTTGGATATGGTGTGATGTGATGCGATGTGTCGGGTGAGTTTCTGGGTGTATTGAGTAGGGATTTTAGATATTGTTGCTAATGTGTTTACTGGAGTCTATGGGGTGTTATTGAGCTTGGAAGACTTGGGAGACTTGGGAGACTTGGGCGGTACTGGTGTTATTGCTGATGATAGTTTATAATCTACAATCTGTAGTGTACTCGTAACGTTTACCAGTGTACCACCGGTGTACCAAACACCCTAGATACTTTTAAGGCGTAGCGCCATTTCGTAAGCATGGAATTAGAATCGATCCTCTAATTGGTCACCATTATAAGTGGCTTATGTGATTCCAGTTTCAGTTTGTGGGCATTGCGACATTCGCTGCAAGCTACGCACGCTCTGGGCAGGTTTCGTACTGGGATGTCTCAAACGGTACGGAGGCCAAAAGCAGAAAACTGTATCGTATTTACTGTACTTGGGGGATCTCAAACGCGGTTGGTGTGGGCGGGTGAGAAAATGTGTGATAGGAATACCAGGTGGGAGGGAATCGAGGGAAGGTTTTAGTAAAGGGGGATTTGGGTTGTATTTTGGTTAGGTTTTGATTTAGATGTCGCGGTACTTCCTGTAGATGGGAACAGTACTACGGCACGCTGTCAACGATCTATTTTCAACAGTTGATTCATTAGCTAAATTAATAATAATGTACTCCAATCCTCGCATTGTCAGTCCATTGGTCAAGTTCAGCAATAATTTATTAAGCAAATGATCTTCAAATCCTTCAAGTATCCTCTGTAGGGCAATATTTGTCGCACATCTTCACTTTTTATCACGCTTCTCCATATCTAATTTAGTTCCCCATATCAAACAGGCCAACCACGGCCTCTCTTAACCCATGGAACATGTAACATCATCAATCCCCCAATACTCCCGTTCAACCAACTCTCCGTCCATTTCGGTAATCCTCATGAGAGGATTATTTCCTCTTTTTCCTCTGTTTCCTCTTTCGAATCATGAAGAAGCCCAAAGCTGACGCGACTAAACCCTACAAACCCTAGTCAAATATGCCGAGTCCTACGCAATGCATATCTCTGTTTCGAAGCCCCTCGATCCGACCACCCATTGCGACAAAAGAGACGAAGGTTTCTGCGCCCTCGATCCCATGAGACTGTAATTGTTCTATGAATTTTTTGCTCAGACATCAACATACGAATCTATTGTCAGGCCATCCATCCTATCCTGTTTCCCATGCTTAAACGTGATGTTCGGATAGATTTGTGATACTACCTTTTTCTATCTCTATCTCCTTGGCAGAAAGTTCCTCGCTTCTTTTTCTCTTTTGCTCGTTGTACCATTCATCTCGTCGAGTTTGATCTTTTCTTTTTCTGCTCATCACTTATTTTACTTTACTTCATTAATTACTGATTTTGGGATAGCCGTCGGTGCAGGCATTGAGTATAGGTATGTTTGATGTCCAAGAGAATGGGACTTGGATTCTGAATCTCTTGAATGTTCTTGTATTTGCTCTTTTGCGATATCTCCCAGATCAAAGTGGAATTTGACTGACGATTTTTTAATCTCTACTCTATAGGCTTTCATCATTTACATTTATTCAATAATTCATTCCCCTTCTCGATTGCTTTCATTTGGGAACTTCTGGCTATTCAGCAGGTCCTGAATTATATCATTCTTTAATACAACAACGATACCCAAGTATAATTTGGAAGAAGAAGGAAGACGAGAAGGAAATATATAAAATTGCATTAAAAAAAATACGACTCGAGGTCGTAAGATTTAACATGTCTGAAAAGGCTTATGATAGAATGAGTACGGGGTCAGTGAGGGTTTCTGAAAGATCAAGATGGCCACCATTAACAAGAATGTTGATGTCTGGTGAGATGACGGCAGAGATGCCAAGGGAATTGACTATGAGGGAGAAATTTGATAGATGGATGGTAAATGAAGGATATCGAAGATTGTGAGTTCCCATGAGAATCATGAAAAGTGCAGGATTGCTAACATAACTTTAGTTTCGTTTTTGTCTTCGCTTTACTCCATGTCATGGTTTTCACATTCGGTTTCATGAATTATCAACTCAAGGATAGTTTCGGTATTGCACGAAGTACATTCACCGTCACTTATGCCATTGCTAGATCAGCTGCCTTGACCCTACATTTCGATGTGGCTATGATTTTATTCCCTGTTTGTCGTACTTTGATCTCTTTGGCACGCCAAACTCCTCTGAACGGCATTGTACAATTCGATAAAAACATTACTTTCCATATGCTTACAGCTTGGTCTATTGTGTTTTTCTCTTGGGTTCACACTATTGCCCATTGGAACAATTTCGCTCAAATCTCAGCAAAGAACAATCTTGGATTCGGCGGTTTCCTCCTTGCAAACTTTGTTAGTGGTCCAGGATGGACTGGATATGTTATGTTGATCGCACTTATGGCTATGGCTATTACTTCATACGAGAAGTATCGTCGAGCAAACTTTGAACGTTTCTGGTATACTCATCACTTCTTCGTCATCTTTTTCGTTTTCTGGTCTGTTCACGGAGCTTTCTGTATGATTCAACCAGATACCGCACCTTATTGTGTTAGTGTTGGTACAACGGCTATTGGTGTCTTTTGGCAATACTGGATGTATGGTGGATACATCTACCTTGCTGAACGTATTGCACGTGAGATACGTGGGAAGCATAAGACTTATGTTTCTAAAGTCGTTCAACATCCTTCAAACGTTTGCGAAATTCAAATCAAGAAAGAAAATACAAAGACAAGAGCTGGTCAATATATTTTCTTTTGTTGTCCCGAGGTCTCGATTTATCAGTATCATCCTTTCACCCTCACATCTGCTCCGGAAGAAGATTACATTTCCATCCATATCAGAATGGTAGGAGATTTTACTCGAGCCGTTGGAAAAGCTCTTGGATGCGAATTTGATAAGCCAAAGGATGGAAAAGGAGGATCTCAAGTCGTTGGTGTCAATCAAGGTGAACCAGGATCTGATGGAGCTGATTCAGCTATTCGTCGTATCTTACCTCGTGTCTATGTCGATGGTCCATTCGGATCCGCATCTGAGGATGTTTTCAAATTCGAAGTCGCAATGCTTTGTGGTGCTGGTATTGGTGTTACTCCTTTCGCATCTATTCTCAAATCCATTTGGTACCGCATGAATTATCCTCAGAAGAAAACTCGCCTCGGCAAAGTCTATTTCTTCTGGATTTGTCGTGATTTTGGTTCCTTCGAATGGTTCCGTTCTCTTTTATTGGCTATCGAAGCTCAAGATATGGATAACCGTATTGAGATTCATACATATTTGACAGCGAAGATCAAGGTGGATGATGCGACGAATATCATGATCAATGATGCAAATGCCGATCGTGATGCAATTACGGGATTGAGAGCTCCAACTAACTTTGGAAGACCTAATTGGGATATGATCTTTAAGAGCGTGAGAAAGATTCATAGTCCTAGTGAGGCGGGTGTGTTCTTTTGTGGACCAAAGGTTTTGGGTAGTCAATTGCATATTAAATGTAATATGTATAGTGAGCCTGGTTAGTATTTTCCGTTTTCTTCTTTCGTACTTCTTTCGTAAACTCAATGTGCTGATAATGATATAGGATTCAATTTCTGCTGGGGTAAAGAGAATTTCTAATCCTTACGACCCCGGAGGTATCATTATGTGCTACAAAATGATTGCAGGATATACAGTGTTGTTATTCTTAAAGAGCTTCATTGTACTATATATCATCTCGCATCTTATACATACAAACATACAAACCATATAGCTTTTTTTCCTTTCATTTCTGAAATACCCTTCCTTTGTAGTATGTTTTTCCCTGGGGGGTATTCGTTTATGTTTTATGTTTAAGGAATGATGGGTTTTGATGATGCGTTGGTTGAAGCAGGCTTTGAAGATGGAGATGGAGATGATGGGAATTAGAGAATATTACAGGCCGGTCAGATTGCGTTCATGAGGACTATGATGGATGAGGGCAGTGAATAGATGATGGGTTATATAAATAGAATAGTAATGCGCAGCGCGTAAATAAATAAATTTTTTGAATAAATTTTGAATGGATTTTGAATGGATTTTTTTTATTTTTGAATAGGTATTCTTGGTGTCCTGAGGAGATATTGAAATATCGTGATAGTGTTTGATACTTTTGAATCTACTAACTGAGTAGATATATATTTTATAGATATTTATATTTATATTATTACTATTATTTCTATCTATCTATCTATCTATCTATCTATTCTGTAATCTCTATTCTACACTCCTCCGCACTGCATGCATACAGCATACAGTATACAGAGTTGTTATTATAGCATATCATGTCTCACTTACTTACCTTCTTTCAACATTCATACCAAGTCCATCATTATATCTATCTACCCCTGATTCCTACCTACCTACCTACCTAGTTAACGGTCATAACCTTACCTAAATTCCTGAGTCAGGAATCAGGAATCATAAAACCCGAAAGTTTCCCGGTATAATGTGAATCGTGAATCGTGAATCGTGAATCGTGAGTGGAGTTGATATCCAGGCGAGGTATGTATGCGGTATGTGTACGGAATAGTCCTAGTCTTAGTCGCGGTCTTAGTCGGGGTCTTGGCTTCGGTACCGGTATTGGTACTGTACACTGTACTGCTTCTTTTTTGTTCCAGAGGTGAGGTGAGGTGGGTGGAGTGGATTTGTGGATGCATTGTGGATGCATAGTGGATGGTAAGTGGACATGTCGATAAGGGGGGCGCTCTGGGATTATGGATAGCACGGAGATTGTATTCTGTATATGTTTACTTTACGGATTACGAGTTTGTATTGTGGGTGGGAACTTGGAAGTGCGAATGGGGGAATGCCGTTGTGTTTACGAGTACAGTAGGAATTAGGAAGGACGAATGGGGGTTAGTGTTGTGTTTACGGGTTGGTAGGTGAGGGTTTATGGGGTTGGTTTTGGTTTTGGTTTTATTGTAATGCATGTGGAAAGTTGTACGGGAGATGGACATGCAGATGCAGGTGTGTGGCTTGAAGGGGAAATAAATCAGGGGTTGCATGCATATGTGCATGTATGCAGAACGCAGGTGAGGAGGTACAACGTCAATTTATATATGTACGGAGTACGGAGTATGTGAAGATTTACTCGAGTAGTAGTGTGAGTATACTCCGTATGTAGTGAGCTGAGGACGGGACCATACGAAAATTGGTTGATTGATGGATTGATTGCGGGTTGATGGTTTGGGTTATATGTAGAGATTGAGACGAGGAGTGAATGAAAGAATGAATGAATGAATGAATGATGATATACTGGCGACAGAAGAGTAGTAGAAGGGATTCAGGAGGCTATGTATATGTACCGGATTTCTCAGGGGAAAACATGCATGTCCCGGAGTATACCCAGAACTCATCGAACGCCGGTCTTGGTATTTTTCTCTTCAATCATAGACCGCACAGTACGAATGAACACGGACGGAGGCTTACAAGAATGGTGAATATCAACGGTTTATATATTCTGTGAGTTTGTGGCTTGCTGGCATATTAATCATTTTGTCTTCACTCCCCGTGCCGTGGCTTTTTTTTCTTGAAGATTTCATGCATGAAGAAGTTTTGATTGGATAAGCTTGGCAAGTGGCAAGTTATGGCAAGTGCGTATTGAATTAACTGCGTTGCATTATGTGGATAACATTTGAACCAATATATGAAGATGATGAATTCTTGTTTCGTTGCAATTTCCCCTGATATGTTTGTCCAATCTTTTGATCCTATTCTTTCTGATTACATATAATTACATATCAATTATTACTTGTATTTTGTGGAAACCTTTTTCCTTGGGAAATTCTTTTTTCTTTCCTTTTGATGAGTGGGAGATTTGTTTTTCTATGAGTACATATAGGGAAATTTGGGGAAAGGCTTGGGTGAAGATTCATTCATTTATTTACTTTTGGCTGGAGGGGCTGTGTATATCATTACCATTATCTCTTCAGGAGATCGGATTCCCGGAATAGGATTACTTTCTTTTGATTCCCTATTCTGCACAGATAGTACTGACAATTTGTACAACTCTTTATGCACTCGACAAGCTTCAAGTCTAAGACAAAACAAAGAAGAGATAGATATCTTTCCATCCACTTTTTCAACAAGCAGTTCAACAAACTCGTCATTGTTTCTTCAATCACTTCAGCCTCTTTGACAAGAACTTTATTCTGGGGAGGGTGTAAAAATACATCAATTCAACCAGTCATATCAAGGACATCACATCACGGACATTGAACAACACAAAGTACTTGTATAAACTTTTATACAAGCAAGAAATTCCTTTGAGTCAAAGCGTGCAAAGAAATCATAAAGTCATTGATATCTACGCGTAGCTTGGAACTTGTTTGGAACTTTTATATCATTTTAGATACTCTCTTGATTATATTCATTTATTGCTGGATCAACATTCACATTTTACTTTGGGAGATCACAAGGATTTACAGAGATTACTTTGAGGATACGAGCATATTACATTCGTATTGCCTTTTAGCAACGTCATTTACTTTACCTTTTCAAGTGGGCCCTTTCGAGTCCAGCTGGTTTGTTAGATCAATCTTGTACATACTGTCACACGGAGAGCTACATACATACTTTACCTTTACCTCCACCACCACGCCCTCAACAAGGGCTGACACCACTACACACACACTCTCCCGTACATTCAATTCAGCAACCAAACACCATGTACATTCCATATCTCCTCCATACCCCCGGTAGCCCAAGTCCCCTCCCGCAAACCAACCCCCTAATCCCCCGCGACGAATCCCCTCCAAGCTCCACCCACAATGAGGGATTCTGGGAAGTACAATTTAATTTCTGGGGAACGATTCTCGCATTTCTAGTAGCCATAGGTATTATCACCGGAATCCTCACTTGGTGTTTAGTATGTCGAGGCAAGCGAATGGAAAAGAAACTTGCGAGAGCGAAGGAAAAGGAATTAGCGGAGGAAGAAAGGAGGAAGACGGAAATGGTTGGAAGGGTTGTTGGAGCGGATGGGGCGAGAGAGGGTGGGGTTTCCAGACCTTTGAATGTGGGGACTGGTAGTTCTAGGAGTGGAAGTTTGGGTGAGAAGGAGCTGGAGGTTGAGAGGGGTGTCGGAATGGGAATGGGGACGGATATTCCGATTTACAATCCCAGGGACGTACTTGCGAATAAGCGTGGAAGTACACATACGACTATTACGAGCGTGAGTGAAGGTAATGGATGGCATAAAGTTGAAGTTAATGGGAAGATGTATATGGATAGAGAAAGAACTGAATCGACGTTTATGGAGCGGGAGATTAAATTTGTTTAGTTTTGGGCATGGAGTTAGGATCTATGGATGGAGTAGTAGATGTGGATTTTGGATTTGAATTGAGGATTGAACTTTACATCTGACTGAGGATGTAAACTGGGATCGAACTGTAACTTCAACAAAGTGTGGATCACTGGGTGATTCATATCATACCTTTGTATCGAGCAGAGAACAAGAGTCATATGACCAACTTAGCAACGTATCATTTTTTTAGCGGGAGTCTTGGCGGGAGTCTCAACGGGGCTCTCGACGGAACTTTTAATAGATATTTCCAGCCGAGCAGAGCAGAGCAAACTATGCGTGCAAAAAGTGAATACTCATGATACTGTAGATAGGTAGAATAACCAGATAGAATTACTTACTACCTATCTAGATACTGCTTAATGCATATATTGATGCTTTGGGGTAATGCGACGGATGGCTGGGTGCTTTACTTTATATACGAGGGATATGGAGTATACGGAGGAAGATACACTTGTTAATTTTTAATCTCTAATTTATTTATTTCTATTTATTTATTTATTTATTTATTTATTTATTTATTTATTTATTTATTTATTTATTTATTTATTTATTTATTTATTTATTTATTTATTTATTTATTTATTTATTTATTTATTTATTTATTTATTTATTTATTTATTTATTTATTTATTTATTTATTTATTAGTGTTCTTTGGTAGATGTGGTATTGTAATCTTCGGATTGTTATGGTATTTTCATAGTATCTCCGGGTGTATGGAAGTTAAATACTAAATTTGGAGGTTAGAGTTAGGGGTTGAATAAATGGTAGGTGAATTGGAACTAGGTGAGGGGTGATGAGGTTTGTGATTTGTGATTTGTGATTTGAGGAGGGTATTGGGTTGGGTTGAATGTTGTGGTATTAACCGGTTCTTGGTGATTTTTTTCTTTTATATTATGTTATATACTAAGGCTGAGAAGGTACTGAGATGGAGATATGGAGATATTGGGGTATGGAAATCGAGATATTGATATTGATATTTCCTCTACATTTTTCAAGGTGTTCTATTTATATGTCTAGTACTCTACTTTTGGACCACCTTTTTATATCAAAAATCACCATTTTCACTTATTAATATTTCAACAATTAATCAATTCATTCAATTGAAATTTTGATTATAGATTTATTATATGATTATTAATTGATTCTAAATATTTCAAATATTTCACAATTTTATTGGTTGAGATATAAATAATTTAAATCACGAGTTTCAATTTATATAGGATTTATATACAAATTTGAAAAACTTGAAAAACTTAAATAAATTTTCAACAAAAATTACTAAAAATAAATGATAAATTTTTTTAAAATCTTTAAATCAAATTTTATATAAAAAATCAAAATTTCAATTTTCAAATAATATAAATGAGTCTTTATTAATATTTATAAATTTTATAAAGATTAAAAATCTTAACATTTTGATTAAAAAGATTTCTGTAAATTATTTTTCAAAATGAATTGACCTATTTGTTTAGTTACAATATGGATATTTGAAAAGAATTTATAATTTATTTTTGATTATTTTTGTTGAAAAGTTATTTAAGATTTTAAAGATTTTCCAATTTTATATATAAATCCTATATAAATTGAAAAATCGAAAGATTTAAGATTATAGATCCCAATGAAATCAATTTCAAAAAATTTGAAATTTTCAAAATTGATTTATAATTATATAATAAATATATAATTCAAATTTGATTGAATTATATTTATCTGTTGTAAAGTTATTAATAGATGAAAATGATGATTTATAGTATAAAAAGGTGGTCCAAAAGTAGAGTACTAGACTTAGATATTTATTTTTGGAATTTTAATTTTTTCTTTTTTTTTATAAGAGGATTTTTTAATAAAAGGGAATAGGTAGGTAGTTGTAGGTAGTGTAGATAGACAGATAGATAGATAAGATATCTTTACCTAGGAAGTATTATAAATTAAGTCCTACAAAGAGTCCCTTGAATCCATTGTATACATTATTAAAAGAGATCAAATAATCTCTCGTTGGTTGATTCTTCATGAAGCTCCTTTGGTTTTATTTCCTTGATTCTATTTCTTGTTGGTTTTTGAGTAGGTATTTTTGTTGTTGTTTGTATTTTATTATAAGAGCTTTATAAAAAGCATTATTATTCTTGTTCTTTTCTATTAAGAGTACATTGAAAATGATTTTCTGTTGTTGTTACATAAAGATTTTCTTAAAGACCCTTTTTCCTTCTTTCTGAAAAAAAGAGTTTTCTTGAAGGGCTTCTTTATTCGAATTGTTCTATCTTTCCATTCTCCCTTCTTTTTCTTTCTTTACAGGCTAATTGTTACTTGTTATATATATCCCCAATGTCCCGCATTGAGATCTTTACTTGATTTTTGAGTATAAGTACAAACAAGATAAAAAAACACAGTACGAAAATACGAGATTCAAATATTAAGATACATAACATCGAAAGCAAAACTCGAATAACAAGACACTTATCTATTATATTTTCGACTCGATTATATATACACCATTATATATACTCGAGGACCTTCAAACCCAATCCAAGATAAGATAAAAGAAGGTATATAACTATAATATATACACCCAAGACAACCCAAACAAAACAAGACAGAAGAAGGCAAGAACCTTCAGCATATACCCCAAAAATAAACCCAAACGAAGCAAAACAGAGGAAAGACCAAGAAAGTTCAACATGGCGCCAGCACCACCACCGTCACCTCAAACCAGCACCTCAAGCGCAACATCCGCAACAATAACACCACTCCTCCCAACACCCCACCTAAAAGTCCTCGCCTCAAGCACCACTCCCTCCCCATCCCCATCCTCCTCCTCCATCATCCAACCCCAGCAAAACTTCACAAAAATCTCCAAACTCACCGACCCAAAACCCTCTTCCACATCCACCTACACCACCAAATCCGCCCCGACCTCCACCCCACTTCAACCCACCACCTCCCTCCATCCCTCATCTCAATCATCACGATTATTATCATTATACTTTGTATACAGTATACATTAGACGATTAAAGGAGGGAAAGGAATGGAGAAAGGGAGGGAAAGGATGAGAGGGAGGAGGAAGGAGGGAGAAGGAGGGAGAGGAGAAAGGGGAAAGAAGGAGGAGGATGGAAAATGAGGGTATATAAGCAGATAAGAGAAAGATTGGAAAGGCGAGTAGATATGAAGAGATAAGCAAGGGATATCAAAGATAAAACTCTAATGGAGTAAGGAATAAGGTAAGAAAGATAGTGTATAAAGGTAAGTCCCCATTCCTAAAAGGTAAAGTAATTCATATACATATATATCTTTAAGCATCAGAGTCTCAAAGTGGAAAAGAAATAGAAGATCTTAGAACAATAGAATTCATCTGTAAAAGAGAATTTACGTTCTGTAATATCGATGTGAACTGTAATTCTTATGATAACAGTATTGATTACTAATGTTATGTTATGAAGTTAAAAACCCATAGCAGCACTGATACACTAGTGTAGCTAGCGCTTCACAGGATGTGAATCGGTAGAAGGAGGGAATGCAATCTTAGCTTGAGTATGAATGAGATACTCCCATTGGCTTGTTACGACGAGCGTCACAATCATATCACATGACCAGGATTAGTTAAGCATATGGTCACGTGATGAGCTCTAGCGAATCTAGAGCCATTAGAGCCAGAACACGAAGGTCTATATAATCAGAGTGGATTTCCTTACTGTAGAGCTTCGTGCTCAAGGTCAATCATTTAGTATAATCTACTATTAGTTACGAATTGCAATCATTACTGTTGTTATTTAAGTCCCTATTTGATGCCTAGTTATACACCACCTCGAGAGCCTAGAGCACTTCCACATGATCTAGACGGCAACCCTCGTAACATGACTCTTCATCATCTCCTCATCTGTATGATCAATTACCACACATACCAGTTACCCATGACATACTAAGAACTTAGAGAATGACGCAAAACGAACCCTGCTTCGAACAGGAGGAAGGAAATCCCGGATCTTAGATATGTATGTATCATTGCGACACACTTGATGGCAAATATGCGACTGAGAATTATTGATGGCGCTAGAGATCTTAATAATCTCCATGCAGCATCAACATATCCCGAAAGCATGCTACAAATAGGTTTATAGAGGAAAATTTAGGATTGCTACCCTGTATTGTGAGAAAGTTGGAATTATAGGCCAAATACATAAAGGTTTTAGTTAGTCAATCATATGACCTTCTGTAATTAGATATAAAAGAAGAGCCTTTTGCCTCTTCTTTTCACAATAATCAACCTTCTACATATATACATTTGAACCCATATAACATCAACCCCAAAACCATTGTGAACCCCGTTTTACCCATAAATGACATATTACAATATAATCTAATTCAGCTTTCTCTTCCAATTCCCTCCTCACAACGTGCTATCGGGACGCACGTATCTCGACCTACCACTTTTACAGTATATGGTAGTTACTCTGGACTTTTGTTGTTTCTCAGAACTCGACTTCAAGCCCTTATGTGCAATTCATACGAGAGCAACCTTAGCAAGAATAATGGTCGATTTCCATAATCTAATTTGGGCTCTAGGTAGGGATGATTTGAGCCTCAAAAATGGGAAAGTGGCTGAAGTGACAGAGCTGCAACTGCTAGGAGAAAGAGCTTGCTTACATTGCTCATTTGCAGTTTGGTCTTTAGCTAAAACGGTGGACAGTTTTGATCGGTGTTAGTGAGTTGATGGTGTAATGCCATGTGGTCCATGGCTATGGTCTGAAGTGAGCACATCGCAAAGAACTTTTTGGTGGGAAGAGAGGTGCATGATTAATGCCATCTGACCTTCACTTGCATTGCAGAGGTCGGTGCTTGAAAATCATGTAGCTCAGGATCATTCAACTGTGAAAAGACCAAAGGCTCCAAATGCGGTTCGTCTAATTACTTCATTCCAGCAGGATATACATCTTTGCCTGCAACCTTCGAAATCATTTCTGTGAAGAATGAGGAATTTTCACACCAAGAAATTTTTATGTCTCTCAGAGCGATGCAAATAGAACAAAAACCCGTAATTGATTACCACAAGGGAGCTTGATATATTTCCAGGAGATTAAGACGTATAAGTTTGATATGTCGAGGGCGTCGGGTTCGAAAATGTGGGGGCTCGAGGTTGTTGATGCCATTCTGGATCGTAAATAAGCTATTAATGGGCGCGTCGGATGATTAACTATAAAAGCTTATTGTCAATAAGCTTAAAGATTTTTCATTTTTGACAATTACAATAAGCCCGATTTAGTTAACCGTTACTTACGTCTAGTCTAGCTAGAAAAATTATTATGATCGTAAGTTTCTTGCCCAATTCATACGAGCATCATGCGATGAGAAAGTTCACCAAAAACTAACGCAGACCATGTCGAACGACACTTGTTCTCAATTCTCGTCTTATTTCTAGAACAACTTGCCTTCTATATCCACAATATATTCTAACTCTTTCTCATTTTCGACTGCTCACCTAATAGTAGAGAGACAAGCCGTTGATCTTCGATATCTCTTTCTCCACTTCCTATGATATCATCAATGTACTGGTCTTGGCGACATCTTAATCTCGACTGCCGGCGGCGGAAGATGCATCGAGATCAGAGATTCGCTCACAAAACTGCTATGGATATTCCGGTTTAAGGAGGGATGAAGAAGCATAATTCTTCTGGAAAATAAACTAAAGTCGTTCTGTAGTAGGCGGTTGGTCTATCGTGACAAATGGCAGGGGGTGACGGAATGTTATGAAGACGTGAATTATGGCAAGCGAGCTTGCTGAGTTAGGGTTGAGGATGCGTCGAGAATATCTGATGAGAAACAGGGGAGTCATAGAAGTCAACAGTGTCTTCGATCATTCCATAGATAGTAGAAAATACTTTGGATCATGACTTCAGTGTCAAGCAATTCCCTGAGTAAGAAATTAAAATCCACTTGCCCGTTCTCCTCGGACGAATCCTAGACTTGTCTCAATAAAATGCCCATTTTCCGTCCAGCCATTCCTTAAACAGGATCATCATCTACCCCGGGAACCCATCTTTCGGCGCGTATCCTTTGAGTTTCTTATTTCTCTGCTTTTGCTTTCATCCCCTTTTACCACTAGATGAGCCAAACGCTTGAGCTTGTTTTTCGCCCTCTGACTTTCAGCCCTTTTCTCGGCAATGAGATTTAATAAATTTATTGACAAATCTAGACGTGACGGTCTTTATCTAAAATATCCTTGATGATGCGCTCCAAGCAATGTTGTGCTTCACAGGGTTCTTCCTGGTTATCACCACTATCAACGGGTCTAGACTCATCGAACTGTCCGCCGTGGAACGGCACTTCTGTGATGAAAACAGCTAGAACGAAATCTTTCGGAAATTTTGTTCCTATGCATCAACTTCCTTGATATAACACACTTGAGGTCGACTCCATGCTGAAGCATAATTCCATGACCTGGAAAGCCACACCATGAACTTCACGTGTCTACCATTCCTCTTTTGAGGAATAATATGTTTTTTGAAGATTGGGTATACATCAAGTGGAGCCATATTTTCCACAAACTGTGACCGTGATACACCTCGTTCAAATTGGCGTTGTGTTCTAGCAAAAATACTAGTATTCTGCACGCCAACTGCCGGCGCCCCCACCCCCCCGGGTTTACAATGAAAGTGAGTGCTGCCAGAGGAAGATGATGTTTGACTTGCATCAAAGATAGATTCGACAATATATTCCTCTTCACGTAAGAATAAACATTTTCTTCAATGCACGCCGAGAGCATGACGATGTGGGTTCCAGCTAAAGTCAATACCCTCATCAAAGGGATGATCCTTGAAGGCAAGCATATATTCATCATGAGAGTGCCAACATTCCAACAAGAACCTGAGACATGAGACAACTGACCAAGTGAACCATGGATCAAATTTCAAGCCTAATGTATAGGTAAGGAGTGTCTCCTACGTTGGAGGCTTTTGGATATAGCCACGCTCAATGCTATGAATGTCTTCGAGGGCCTGGTTGGCATTCGTTGAGAGCTTGGAAGTTGGCCTTGAACCCCCTATTGAACAGAGCTCCTTCGTGGCTCGACCAAGTTTTTTAATCGGTTTGTAGCTTCCTTAAGCTCAATATTATTTCCAACCTCTCCAGATTCAGGTATATATTTCCCTCACTTTCAATACTAATTCAGTGCCATAATCAATGATCTGCACTACGATAGCTGCGACTCCCAAAGCTATCACAAATGTAATCGATGGGTGGTTAATCATACCTTTTTTTTTATATATAGAAAATCCAATCCAAATGACCAGGGGCCTGCGCCTCCGAACTCCTGGCTTTTCGAGAAAGTCTAATATAAATTTATGTGTTAGATAGATATATATTAAAGTGCAGGTAGAACATTAGTTTATCTTTTAATAATTTCTTTTTTTAATAACTATTAATCATAATTATTACAACACTTCTTAAGAGTATTTTATAAAATAATTGTTTTACTCTATAATTAAAACTTTAACAAAGTTCCTTCTCGGCTGGACCTACCTTGGGTTACCTGGGGTATACCCTGCTCTTTGCCCAGCCCTGGTTTTGATTGAGCTATGTGATAGGAATAGGGTTATGTTCTCAGTTTTTGCCTGTGAGGAGTTACAGTGGCCTTAAGGTTCAAATTGAGGGTTCATATATAGGTACTGGATACTAGGTAATTCTTATATATACGCAGCACCCAATAAAGCACTTCCGCTCCCACTCGATGAGTCAATATCTCTATTATTTTTTTATCAATTGTCCTTACTTGCTTTTCCAGCTACAAACATATATTTACAATAAATATGCAATACTAAAATACAGTGATATCATCCCCATCAACCTCGAGCTCAAGGAGATGACCTAACGGGCAATTCTTCCACCCAGCCCTCCGCATTTCCCAATTCTACAAAGCGCCCCGCCATTGCCTGTTCTTGCTCACTCCTAGGACTATAACTCGCTCCTCGCCCCTGCTCACTCCTAGGACTACCACTACTCGAGCTTCTGTCAGAATTCGCCTGCCCACTCAACCTAAAGATCTGATTTTTATCCTTTGCCGCATTCCGCATATGTCCATCGCCAATCCTTTCCGAGCCATCTCCCCACTCCGAGCCTTCCCTCCCTTCTAAGAAACACTCATCCCACTCTGCGAAAGTTTCGCTATCCCAGACCCCTTCCCTGATTGATTCCCCGTCACTGCTTTTATACAGTCTTAAAAGATCTATAGCTCTTCTGCGAATTGTGCGATCGTGGCACCATTTTCCGGCAATATGTAACGGCATTATAACTCCTTGTTCGAATTTGAAATTTCCAAGTTGTTGATCTTTTGTTCCCTCTAGAATTTTCTCAGTGACGGATAATATGGTTCGATACCCTGGGAGAGCTCTCTCGTGGTTTTCTTTAGTATTGCCGGGGGCAATAGTCATAATTACGTCCATAGCTGCGCTTTGAGCCATTAGTAGGTTTGCTTCCATGATTCGATCGGTGTCCGAGGGTGGAATTTTGGAACAGAATAGATCAAATGCCGATTTCCATCTAATGAGTGATTGGGTCATTTCGTATTTAAGGGCTTCCATATTTAACTTTTCAGGGGCGCTATATCCCTGTATAAGGCTACGTTTCGTGACAATCGACGAGGAAGAATTGCTGTTCTTAGGGGCATAATGTGCAGCTGCTAAATATGCAAAATGAGTTGATCGTCTCTCGATCAGTTCGAGGTATAACCGGGCTTCGCGCATGTCCGAGAAAATTTCAGGCATGTTCTGAACTGTTTCAATTGACTCGTGTATTATCTCCCTATGTTCTTCACTTGTTGTTCCAGGATCCCCGAATGTCGTAACCTGTTTGTCGAGCCTTAGAAAGGCTTGGACTAATTCATCCTCGATCACCCCAGAATCGGGAGAGCAGAGACCAGCTTTGTAATTCTTACCTCTATAATTTCTCAACCATTGACGTAGTACTCTAATACCGCTGCCAGCATGTACAAGAGCAGTAAAGTTATTTCCCAGCAGCCACTCAAAACAACATACTAGAAGACAGCAGATCAAAGCCTTCCTCGGGCCTTCGCTGCTTTCGAGCTTCGAAAGTCCAACACTCATTGAACGAAGGGCAAGCCCGTATCTCTTGACAGCAAAAACTCGCATTTGCGCTGCTTCATCCACGTAACCCCTCAATTGGACATCTTTGGATTCAGTAAACGAACCAATCGCAATTAGCATCTCACGAAGATAAGATTCATCGTGTGCAGCTTGCATGATAATACGATCCCATAACGACGTAGAAAAGACGCGGCTTCGGCTCCAAGTCACAGAGATGCTTGCCTTGGTTAGATACGTTCGAAAATATCGTTCTTCAGTTTCATCTCGGAAGGGCAATCTCATCGACGGTGAGGATTTCGGCGATAACTGTATTGAATGTGATGATTGAGGCGATGATGATGGTGGCGATATCTCGTCAGTGCGAGGCAGAAGCGGCTTGGGTTCTGGTTTGCGTCGATTTATGGAGATGCGAACTCCATATCCTTCACATGCCACGCCAAACACCTGACAGCGATTACACTCGGGTTTCCGCTCGTCACATTTGATTCGCCTTCGTCTTCAAATGCTGATGTATTAGTGCCATCGAGCTTCACAGTGTCGACGAAGCATCGACTTACTTGCAAGTTAAGCATCCGGATCGAACCTTGGGTAGGTTAGGTCGCTTCTTCGACTGTCGTCCGGAGGTACCCGTCATCTGGCTCGAGGAGTTCATGTGGAATGAGTTATTGTAGGGAGTGATGATTGTGCTGCCGTCAACTGGATTCTCGCCCGAGGCTTGAAATTGGACGATGTATCCAATGGGAGTATCGGTCGCCATCGCATCTAGTGCTTGTTCAGTAGACTGCTTAACATGTAATATACGGGAGTACAATTGCCTCCGATTTAGTCTAATAGTCAGCCTTAAGACCTGACGATGGGGTGTTTTAAATTAAAGCACGGCCCTCTGATTGCGGACCGATTGACCAATAGGGCAGCGTTATGCTTCGATTATTAAAGGGACGGAATCCAGAAATGTTGGAGCCGGTAACGTGTGTCTTGTCTACAAGGGCAAATGACATGTGCGGTTGACGTTGAATGTTGTGGTGCACTGGTGCTGCAGTGGTGCTAGAGTAATTTATCAAACTCTTACAAAGTACTTGTGCTTCCAGGGAGTATAAGACTTCGAACGCTTGATCGGTGTTGAGGCAGAAAGGGGATCCTTGAAAATGGGGCAGTTGTAGTTCGACCAATGAGAACAATTATTCTGGCCTCAATGGAGTATATGTAAAAATTACCAGGTGGGTACCTATAGGTGAAAATGTAAGATCTAACTTGGCATTTAACGGGAGTCGAGACGGGGCTCCAAAAAGGCTAACATACCGACTACCGAGGCGTAGACCATTCTTGGAAGAAGGAGAGATACATTACAGTTATGTTTCGTTTCGTAGAGGATATAGGGATTTTCGAGACATTCCCTTAACATTTATTTGGGTTGCAGAGGCGTTTTGTGGTTGAGATTACGAACCTCTATCTACACGTTGTTGGGAACAGCCTAAAGAATCAATAATGAATTTAACTTTTTGACGTCTCCAGGCCATGCAGCCTAGACGAAACTAGTATTATAGATCTCCATTGTATTCATCCGACTGGGGTTATCTATTCGGGGGTATCCATAGTATCCATAGTATCCTAGAGTCTCGTGCCGTAGCATTGCCACAATTAATTAATATCCTGGGAAACTATCAATAGCGCTCGCTTACTTGGTTTTAGGCGACCTAGAAGGGATCTGGAAAAGATGATTTGGGAAGACAACTGGGGAAACCAATTCTTCATACCAAACGGATCGTCGTTCGGTTTGGGAATTCTTTTGGCTTTTCTTGCCATAACTTTGTGATGAGTTCATCCATTGGAGAGACAGATGCTACTGTCCAGGAATATTCGCCTCTTTTTTCCGCCTTTTTTGCCTCAGAAAATGTCTTGATGGCTTCGCTGGTACTTGAATATACGTTAGATCGATGAATATTCATAGCACCGACTCTGCGGTACTCGTTGCCAACATTTCCTGTCGATTCGACGAGAAGAAATGCTAGATTACTGACTAGGGGGAAACTACTATCTACTCCATCAGCAACGCCTTCGATGTGAGCAAGGAGGAATGCACCGAATTTTTGGTTTGAATGTGGAATATGTTGCTGTTCGAATTCGAAACTCGCATGGCCAGCGTCGTTTATCCATTCTTGGATGTACTCTTTCAGTGCAGGCCATGTCTCGGAATGAATACTTTCAAGGCTGTCGGTACCAAATCTCTCGCGAAATTTTGGAAGCGGCTCAGGAGGGTCAGAAAATCTCCAGTAATTTTTCGCCAAGTTGTGGATTGGAAATAAAATTCCTTTCATGATTAACGCACTACCTGGCTCAAGGGGGCCAAATATATCCGTTCCTGAATGATGAAGTTGAACGTCGACCAAGGCAGCTAAGTGATGTACGGTAGCATCCGCGAATGGGTACGGATGCAATAGTGCTCTTCCGGCATTGAGGCTTGCCCAGGACCACGAAGGAGCTAAATAAGTCTCACGTTTCTTCCAATCAATATGTGTATAGAATTGGAGGTCAATTTCGGTCCCGGATATTCTGGTATATCTCCTCAATGCTTGTCTGCTCCAAAGTAGAGTGGCAAGTATGTAGGATTTCCACATCCCAGCAAGGTAGGTATCTTTTGTAATCATCGAAACTTCACGCGCAATACCAGCGAGAGCAGGTAAAACATCTGACTTAAATGTCAAATCCCTGATTGAGAATTGTTCAACCATTTCAGACCATCTCACATATGGATCCATGCCCCAGCTTTCTTGTATATTGACTCCGCTGGTCGAAATTCTTTTAGGAGGAAAGCCTAATTTGGCTCTTTGATTGTCAACTTCGGAAAGAAATGTGTAGGTTTGCAAAGTCAAAGATTGCATGGCGCGACTCATTCTATTTGCTTGCTTCTTTCGTAACTTGTGTAAAAGATCTTTGCTGTCGTATTTTTGGTCCAAAAGCCCGACACGGCCACTTTCATCCTCAGTACGATATGCACATTCCCATATCATCTGATCTCTGCCATACGATAATACTCGTGGTGACAACAACCCTTCTTGGAATGTCCATCCCCGAGTGTACCACGAACTAGACTTAGCATCCTGACGAGATATATGGGACACCAAGCGAAGTGAGACGCTTGTTTCAGAATCCCAAGGTAATGAACATTGTGCAGCTCCGCAAACATTTTCTGGACGAGGAAAATGTATTCCGGCGCTTGTCGAATTGGAATTCGCAGCGACGATTGTGAGTGTCGCACCTGCGTAGATATCTCTCATGCGCCCTGCCTCGGCCTTCCAATCATCTTTGCTGTCTTGACGGATGCACAAAGCATCGATCCAAACGTATTTTAGACCAATTTCTCGTGTGGTCAAAACCCCATCTCGCAGAGTAGCCGGGAAGTCTTCTACGGGAATACCACTCTTGAGGCTTTGATACGTTGGCTCTTCCAATTTCAGGTAACCATTTCCACCCCACAAATAGCTAAGTGCTACCCATTCGCAGTCACCACGATCGGGATTGTCGTCCAGAAACGGATTAGAGTCTGTAGAGCCTACATTGATGAGGCGTGTAGGACATCGAGTTTTGATGGGGCCACAATCCTGATGATCTTTTGAGCAAATCCTCAACCATTCCTTAGCCAGTCTGTAGCACTCAGCAGAATCAGATTGAGCAGATATTGGCCTTCCAATAAAAGAGCTTTCCTGACGTGCAATGCTGTCTGATATAAACAATTCAGTAACCTTCAAACAATCAAAACAATTTTAAACTCAAATCAAGCCTACCTGCAGCTGCAAAAACCTCAAAATTACATAGGTTCCGTGGAAAACTGTTTGCAGGCCTCTGGGACACTACAATATATGGACTTTCACGTTTTGCGACACTAGAACTTCCCGTCCCAACGAAAATCTGGCCTTGACCAGTCTCATCGAGCCAATGATCAACAATGACATCTTGCTCTTTCTTCGGCTTGGTTTTCCATATCAAGCTACAAAATTCACATCCCAATTCCGAGGACGTCTTTAAAGCAGCGGTGCTGCTATGGTGTTTGTGAAATTCCGGTATGCCGGGTCGTACCTGCAGGTCGATGTTTTGATATCCACTTATAGCACCCCTGGTCGACGTCGCGTTTTGTGCGGCGGAATCCAGGAAGAGTTTGCGAAGATTGAACTTTTGACATGTTTCACAAAGATTTGGCGCCATAGTGATGTTTGTTATTCTTCAAGAAAATATACAGGCGCAGGAAGTTATTTCTATTTGATCAAATAATAACTGCTGACAGTGGCGCCTAAAAGCATTTTACGTAGGTACAAAGGCAGCTGGAGCTGAGCAGGGATTCTATTCCTGGTGCATTTCCCCAGACATAATTGGTTGACTGGAACAAAATGGTGAGACTAACAGAAATGGGCGAGGCAAAAGTATAAGGGTATCAAGATTTAGCCCAAATTCCGAAAGGAATAATTAGTTCAATACCTATACAGATAACAAATTGAGCCCCCACGAGCAAGTTATACCATGCTCCTCAGTCTTCAAATCTGATTGACAATTAATGTGCATTATGCTAATTAAGGTAGTATGAGAACGCGTGACGATGTATTTACAATATTCTTATCCTTTGCTCAATACCAATTATGACCGTCTTCTCCCTTGATTTCATTCCTTGGATTAAGCGATAAAATTCTCTGCCCGGGAAGTGTAACGCCAAATTGTGATTCAAAAGTTCCAGAAATTGCACGCCCTTTGACCGTGTCTAATGAATCATAGCCGTCAAATTCACCATTAATCGCAGCCCATTCCGGTGACAATGGAGAAGTTCCGTTGCCCAAATCGCTCCACCTCGTCACTGTCATGGCTTGTTTGAATCTATTGACTTGATCGTTTTTATCCTCGGCAAATTTAAGCTCAACCAAGTACTCTGTAGGGCATCTTGGGCATCGACGCATGGGCTGACATACAGAACATTGTGAGGACATCTGACTCCTCTGGTTTGCAAGTGAGAAAATAGCGTTTGGTCCGCTTTTAAGTTGTGAGGAAATCGCTTCTCTGCGCTTAGGTATGTGGCCCAACGCGCATTTACATATATCCATGAGATCGCCATCCCTCCAGTGAGCGCAAACTGAAAAATATGGAAAGTAATCCTCGCGGGAATACAAAAGGTTTCGCTGGGCACTTATAGGAAGGTCTGGCTCTGGGAAGCATTGACTGATCACACGTAAAAGAAGATGGCCTTTGTCAATATAATATCGGCTTTGATGTGACCAAGTTCCTGTGCCTTGAGCCCCAAGCTGAGGATCTTTCCAGCGTTTGCATATCGACTCCACTGGAATTCCATGGTTTGGAGAATAACGATTTGATCGCAATACAAGCTGCACAAACGAAAACGGAAGAGTATGACCGACAGTTAATCGTGTTTTTGGAGCGACTTGTGTTAAAGCATTTGGACATTCGAAAAGATGATTTATGATATGCGTAGCTTTCAGCCGTTCTTCTCCCGGTATTATGCGAACATGATAAATTGCACAAGGAAAACAAAGAAGATGGTTGGGAAGATCACGGTCCATGTGGACCAAAAATTCAATTTTACACCGATGGTTCTCTGGTAGATTCAAAGCATGCCATGGATCCTTTCCAATTCGGTTCAAAAGGGTCTTGGTTGAGAACGCGAGACTCGCTGCATCACTCGGTGACAAATATCCCACGATATAGTCCCAAAGATTTGGGGAAAAACTGGCTATGGCACGTTCCCCAGGGGGTCGATCTGGATTGTCTATGCCGTAAGCTTCATGCATAGAATCAAAAGATCCCATGTGTGCTAAACCATGCAGTAAAGCGGTATGATCGATTCGCTCCCCAGTTTGTTCATCGACTGCATGATCGAATGAACGACGATTGGGACGAAAATCTTGTAAGTTCCCTGTTCCTTTCGCATTTGCGGTCTTCGGACGAGGGGGCGGCTCTTTTCTCAGTTTTTTTCGAGAAGCCCGAGATCTTAATGTATTAACGGTACTCCCTGCGTCTGAGTCTGCTTTCAAATGAGCCGACTCCCCCTCATCTGTGTCGCTTCTCAATCTGTTACGGGACGCTTTTGGGCGTAAGGAGTTGAAGAGCCTGCTGAAGACCATGATTCCTTACGTGATAAGGATATTTGCTGCCCTTGAGATCACAGTTGTACTATAATTGGTAAACTTGTTAAGAATCTACGGAGGCAAATGGGACGATGGAAAAGGTTAGCATGACAAGGAACGCGACATGGTCGCACCGATAGATCCGTGTGCTGAGTCAGGCAAACTACGTAGGTACCTAGTAAGTACTGTTAATAGCTCGAAACCTAACATATATATGATATTTATAGTTGAATATATCCACCGAAGGTCTCATTAGCATGCGGAGAAGAAGGTTGTCATTTAGATGAATAGTTTCAAAGACCTAGTAGGTTTTTTCAAGGGCGATGCATGATCATGTTCTTCGGAAAGACATTTTAAATTAGAATTATTAGTAAGCAATATTGGCAGAATAAAGGACACTGACCCAAAATGTCTACCGCCTTTAATATACGGGCATCTCAGATGTTAGAGCTTAGCCTCAAGAACACATGGTTCAATATCAATATAGAAATGCTCAAATATCCTTTCCCATTAAGGTAGCAAGTGCGCATACCTAAGTACTTCATCTTACACACATGGCACGAAGAAGAAGGCCACCGCGCGCTGGCGCTATTGCCGAGCTGCCACCTCTAAAGATCTTCAGCCAGATTCTAATCCTACAAGTTCTTTGGTATGTCATCGGTACGGCGCTGATTCTCTTTACAGCACTGGTTGCTGGGAGACCCTTTTCTTTCGACATGGTTTTAAGCTGGAGAAGTTTGAGGGGTGATACAACGGTGGGGTGGATGTTAGGATTTGTCTGGTTGTTGAATAGTTTTATAGGGTTTGTTCTAATCTTGCATTAATTCCTCCTTCATGAAACTAACACAAATCAACAGAGTTATTTCCCTTCTCCTACTTGTTTCACGCTCCAAATTAATCCCCGATTTCGCTCTTACCATCCATTTCCTGCATCTCCTAATTACATCCTTTTACTCGCACTCCATCCCTCGCAACTGGCTCTGGTGGGCCCTACAATTTGCATCCACGTCCCTTATGACCTTTTTAGGCGTATGGAGTTGTCAATGGAGAGAACTGCGACCTATAAACTTTGGTTCTAGTTCAAACACTACCCAGAATATCTCGAATACTGTTACGGACAATACTGGTATGGCAAGAGATATTAGCACAGGCATGGAAGGAGAAGGCGCGCAGGACACAGGTGATGTAGAACAAGGCTATGGAAGAGGGAAAGGTAGAGGCAGGGGAAGAGATGGCGCAGGAGATTATGAGATGGTTGGGATGGGAATGGTAGCAGATGAGAATACCAACCCTGGTTGAAGAATAGAGGATGCTATCGGGTTTTGATTTGGATTCGGATTTAGGCGTATAAACAGGAATTAAAGATCTGGCGGCGTTTTGGAATTGGCACTACCTAAATTTGTACTATTATCGATACAGCGGCAGTACAGACAATTATTGTAACAAAAGAATATAGCGATACCCAGGCAGGTTCAATGATTTATTATTCCAATTTTGTACTTTTCCTTTTGACCAACGATTTGTTTCTTCAATTGACTATTAATTGCAATACAGGAATCACCGATCCTTTTCTAGCCTTACAGATAGGTCCTTTCCCTCCGTTTCCCTGAATTGTCGACTGGTCCGTCCCAGAACTCCTTTCCCGGACCAACCGGCATTCCATCGAGTTCGATGCCGTCACTGTTGGGTCTAAATATCTGAGTTCCGCTTGAATTTGCCCTTGCCAACTGAGGTCCTTGATATTGCTTTTCTTCATCAATTTTCAAGGTTCCGTCGTCGTTAAAGTCTCCCGGAATGCACACCTCTGATAACATACTCGTTCGTCTCACGCGATATGGATCGACTATTGGCTCAAGGGGCGGTTGAGAATTTGATCTCGATTGAATGAACATTGCACCCGCGGCGTGCTCGGTCCTTATCATGTTTGGGGAAACATAGCCACCTGTGTCCTTAAACGAATCCGGCGGGTTGATGATGTGTTCCGCCTGGCATGCATCAGCTTGAAAAGATGTGACGGCTGTCATGGTATCCGCTCCTCTAAAGAAAGGGGACACCGGCCTTAGACCTGGTAATGAAGGGACCATAGGAGTAGCAGGTGGCGTGGCTGGAATCATGAAAGGTGACATAGGCGTCATAGGCGTTATAGGTGTCATAGTACCACTTCTTGGAGTGTTATAGCGTGGGCTATCATCACCACCGGCGCTATGAATGTCTCCCCTCTCCTGAGCTCGGCGTCTCCGTGCCCTAGCGTCAGTGCTGAGTGCCGAACTCGTTGCATCACTTTCTGAATCGGACTCGACATTTCCAAATGCCCTCGTTGGTAAAGAATTTTGCAAGCTACCACCAAATTGACGTCGGATTGACTTCCACCTCTTTACTACGAGCTCTCTCACAGGCTGCACGAACACAGGATGCGGTTCTGACCTGAGGACTGGCTGTAGACGATAGTTGGTCCTCGGTGGAAGGGTAGGCCGTACTCCTCGGTAAGTTTTCATCGTGTCGATATTCGCATCATCGGCCTCTGCTACTTGCACCGCTTGTGGTTGATCTCTGGTCACAGAAGGCCTTGATTTGTGTCTTCGGCTATCCGCTCCCGACACGTGTAGTGTATTTGACGCTTTTCCACACTCGCTAGCATGGCCGTTCCTCAGTTTCTGGCCCATCGAGGCTGCAGCATTGTCATCAAACGTGGAACTGCCGCTCATAAAGTAATCACTTCTATGACTACCAAAATTGCAATCATTTGCCGATTGCTCTGAGACATGCAGCGCCCTGTGTGCTTTCTTTAACCTACTTCGCCTCCTGGTAGGCTCTGACGTGATAATCTGTGGCGTAACAACACCACTCGTACCTGGAGGTGAGGAAGAGTAAGCCGATGAACCATCATATCCACCACAGTCCCATGGCTGTATCGGAGAGGTGCTTCGTGCTTGGTGCCCAAAGCAGGGTGAATATCGAAATTGTGTGTGCATACGTAAGGAACTTATCATTCTTGAATCCGGTAGTTTCGTGTCTCCTTTTCTGTTGTATGATGTGGGACTTGATGGAAGAGGTAGAAGGTACTCGGGTGCTAAAGTAAAACAAGACCCGAGAAGTTGGACGGCAATCACTTTTGCAAGTTCTTGTACGTCGCTGGAATTTCTAAAATTGCTATCGTCCATAGTATGATAACGTTTCTTCAGGTGTGGTCTTGAGTCACCTGTGATCCCTCTCAACCAAGCACGCGTGCTGACTTCTCTAAGGTTCTCCGGAGATAAAGTGGGCATACGACTACTTTTGAACTCCGGTGACCACCAGAAAGGCCTACCAGTACGACAAACATATTGCCATTCTAGTACTTCTTTGTTGATGATATTCCAAGATACCTCCTCAGCTTCACTATCTATATCGGAATTAATTTCGCTGTCCCAATTTTCACCGAGAGTTCCGAGAGAGCTATTACTCATAGTCGACAAAGATCGACGCTGTAGTACCGGTCGTTGAGGATGTGGTGGTCGTTTCGAATCTGCCATAAATAATACTTGGCCATTCTCTGAGCTACTGTCCTTGGATGTCTCTGCCTCTAAAGGATCTGCGAAAGATACACACTTTCTGCTATTTCTTGTAAGAGAAGCTCGGCGGGCGCGTCGGAAGAAATTGGAGGCGAAGGATGAGCTCGAGGGTGTAGTGGCTCTACTAGAAAACTCATGCCGTGAGTAAGAAGAATCATTTTGCCAGGTCATTTTGATGATATTATAGGAATATAGGAAGGGGCGTAAAAAGACAAATGGTTATAGGTTATGATATTTCTAGGTATTGAGTCCGCTAATACGAATTTTGAGGTTCAACATATAAATTCTGAAAAAGCATCCATTCCATCCGGCAACCCCGAGTACTGGCTTATCAAACTTGGTGTGGGATATGGAAAGAGCTTTGTATTATAATTGAGAGTGGCGCCAATACACCTTCCTTATCCCAGAACGTTAAATTCACGCCTAAACCGGACAATGGCTATTTTGTACTCCCCATTACTAAGTACTCCCATTGAGTGATTTTCAATACAATATCTCTGGAGCTGCGTATATGTGTCATCAATAGTCACGGGCAAACCACTCGTCTTACCACTTCATATCAAGCATCCATTTCATATGCCGGCGGGTGAAGCTCACAATAATATCACGTGTGAGTTTACCCCACTTACCATTCTTGGTTCAAAGATCGATTTCATGTACAACACGCCCGAAAGAATCTCAAAGTGGTCTTGTAAGGTACAGCAACACGACATGGGAATTTGTGATATGTGCCTCGCAATACCCTTAGAGCCCCTTCTCAATAAAGATATTAGAGAATTTTCACATGTCCATCATCTTTCAGTGAAGAATCTCGAGACATCCGCAACAAACGGCTGTAACATCTGTGCTCTTTTTCATAGTGCCATTGCCTCCGTTCCTCACCGGAACGAAGGCCACAAAACTTATTTAAAAGTCAATCAACAGCTGGTGGTGTCAAGCCCTCATCGAATTTTTATTTCCTACCAAGTGGGACGGGATGGACAATCTTGTCTGTTCGACGTGGAAACTACGGGTATGAGGATCTTTTCTTGACATCAGCCAATCTTCCCTGCATGTTCCCATCTCACACATTCCAGAAGATTTATACTCCAGCGTTTTATACCCTAGAAATCAGAACATTACCTCTCTCGTTTCATCATGGATTAGTACCTGTAGTCATGAACATGTGTACTGTAATATAAATTACGATACCAGATTTCGACCTCGTCGGCTCATAGACGTTGGAAAGTACGGCATATCACCTCAGCTAGTGGAGGCAGAGCAGGGTAATGATGCATTTTTAAGATATCTTGCGCTTACACATTGCTGGGGAAACAAAATGCCAGAGGCTGCAACAACGAAGAACAAAACACTCCGGCGACGCTTGGTCTCCATCCCGTTCAAGACATTGCCTAGAACATTTCGCGATGCAATCACCTTTACTAGGCGACTTGGACTACAATATCTATGGATAGACTCCTTATGTATTATTCAAGATTCTTCGCAAGATTGGCAACAAGAATCGGCTAAGATGGGGAAGATTTACTCCCATGCTTACTGCACGATCTCAGCAGCCGCAGCAAGCAACTGTGAAGAAGGGCTTTTTGCATTACATAGCGAGTTACCGTTGCTTCCTGCGACCTCTAGCACACCTGAAGTTCTTTTCAAAATCTCTTTTCCCGGATGGGACAGTCTTTTTAATAAAAGTACATTAATTCGAAGAAGTTGGACCCTACAGGAACGAGAACTTTCGCCCAGAATGTTGCATTTCACGAAACACACTTTGCTCTTCGAGTGCCGAGAGGCTCGTATATCCGATCATAATCATCAATTGAATAGTAACCAATGGGTTTTGAAATCTAGTCTATCACGATATTTCTTGAACTCGAGTGTACGGTGTCTCGACAAAATTCACAGTGGTAGCGTTACTTCACCGCACCATGATTTGGTAGCTGAAAAGTATTATGAACTATGGCGAAGGATGGTACAGGATTATAACAGCCGTCAACTGACACATCGAACAGACAAGTTCCCGGCACTTTCTGGTCTCGCCCTCGAATTTGCATATCTCTTGGGCGATGAATATGTAGCAGGACTATGGCGAAAGGATCTTGTGAGAGGCTTGTGTTGGAAATGGTCATCAAACCGCACTAAAAAGCAAAGTGCGATTCATTATGGGCCTTCATGGTCATGGGCCAAAATGGATGTTTCCATAACATATGGGCTCATTCGAGAAGACAGAGTTTTTGAATCGAGAACTAATCGAGGGCAATTCGTTCATGTGCCGGTAGATTCGCGATTTAGCGATCCGGAAATCTTACATGTTAGTATTATTCCCGAGGGAAGAGATCCTCGTGGAACTCTCATCTCAGGGAGGATATATCTTCGCGGACAACTGCTTCAACTGCGACGATCTAAAGCTGGCGATTATTCAATTAACGGCGAGCCATTACCAATTACCTTTGACCATTTACCCCAACCACCAGTAAATCTTTACCTTCTGAGCTTGGGCCCGACGAATGTGGGTTTGGTTCTTCAAGTATCCGAAGAAAGTAGCAAAGAATATATTCGAGTAGGCGTGATTGCTCCTACTGAATGGGAATGGTTCAACGGCATTGGGTTTGAGGATTTAACACTAGTTTGAATGCTCGAGAGATCACAGCCATTGATCAATAATTATTTTGGTGGGATAAGTGGAAGTCATGCTTCCAGACACAGGTCAGATAATGTCACTTTCCAGTCAGGCCTAGGCAGTGAGGAAAGTGAAAGATATTATCTGCAGCAAGATCTCCAAGTCGGCAGTAGAGGCCTCGTCAAGAGGAGGTGAAACTTTCCTCCCATTTGAAGGACAGGAAATTCGAACGAAGGGTTTGCAAAAAAACCATGGTATAATTACAATCTCTTCCCACGAAAATGATAAGTTGTAGGTGTCATGCCCAGCAAACTTTTATCGTCTCGACAACGATCGTTCACCTCAGCTTCTTCATCGGCGAAACCACACCGACTCGAGATATGTCTTTGGCCTCCCCATAGACCTTAGGCATAGACCTTAGGCAATCACCATGATCCACAAAAATCAATTATAGGCGTCTCGTTTTCAGCCTCAACCCACAGACCCATCATTACCATTTAGACATAACAAGCATTGTTCTAAAAATACAAGGCGGTTAGACCGTATATTTCATGCTCACTACAATTAGAAGATTGCGGGAAAATGCGCGGGGATATTCTTCTGGTGAATATGCCACTTGATAGGTACGCTCGAGTTTCGAACGTGTGATTAAGGATTTCCACTTGCTAAGAGGGGGCCGGTGAGATTGCGAAAGTGTTTTAAGCACGTTGTCTTACGTCACTAGTGTTCAGGACGTGACGTGTCGATGTAGAAGATAGATGTCAATTTCGGTTTCATCATGGCGGGATGGTTCAGATATCTGAGCTCATAGTTGCCATTTGGCACAAAGTAGTTCAAATAGTCTATATGGAAGTATCTAGTACCATACAAGAAAGATATTCCGCAGCTCATCACCTTCCATGCACCCATATTGCCTTCAATCATACGCAACTGCTCATCACCTTGCATCCATGGAATTAACAAATAGTAGCGCACCCTATTCAACAATCTGATGAACCCATTCCTATCCCAATTTGACGAAGAAAAAGCTCGAGTAAACACTGAATGGTGAGCATTGGCCCAGCCAAGACTCTAATGCACGGTAATAGTCTGGGTATCTAACCGTATTCCGTGAAAATGAGTGGAAAGATATTAAAAAGGAGGGAAACTAGACGGGATGAGTGAGCAGATGAATAAAATCAAGTCCCTGAATCCATCTACATCTAAATCACCCCTTGCTTGCTAATTCAAATGTAATGCGATGAGCATAGAGTAAAATCAAATACTTGCAATCATGGAATTCTCTGCACTAGCTATTCCCCTTTTGTATTTGAATTCGCATCTATGCGTGACGTGACGTAAATCACAATTCCCTTAACTCAGAACCCAGAATCTGGGAGATAAGACAGGTTCCTAGAGTATGTACTCCCTCCTCCTGAGCTGACTCCTGGCTCCTGAGAGAGCTTGAAGCATATTAAGCCGCGCGTTGTTAGGCGCCTCATTGAATCACGATCCATCCATAATTCCATGATACACGAATTCCACGTCCTTTCGTTCAGTATCCGCAGGGTTATCGATGGCACTTCACTTCATTTGAATAATATTCCCCCTTTAGTGAATATTTTCCTTTCCTTCCCTATCTTCTTCTCTCCTCGTCTCTTCCCCTGAATAACAGGAGCATCTCATTGCCTGAACCCTACAATCCAATCCAATGCCATACAATCGAACCCCTCACTTCCCCTCACTTCAGAATCATACCTACATACCTATCTACCTACGTACGAGTACCTCTACGGGGTACTAGGTACATACAAAGATATTCGATATCACAACCATCCAGCATCCAGCATCCATCATCCATCACCCATCACCCACATCCATCATCCACCACCCACATCCATCATCCACCACCCACATTCATCATCCATCACCCATCATCCCTAAACCCTAAGCTCCACCCACCCACAACCACATCCTCATGACAAACCCATAGCCACGAATCAATCATTCCAAATACATTTCAATCATACCCCTCGGCCTCCCCCCTCTTCCCCCTCAAAAAGTAAAATAAAATAAACGAGGAAGGAAGCTTCAAAGCTTAAGCCTTGAGATGACGCGGCCTACCAGGATTAAAAGATTAAGAATTATTTTTCCTTTTATCTTTTCTTAACTTCTTTGCTATTCTGGGCTTGGCAAGGCGTCACTCTTTCTTTTTTGGATCGTTGTGGGTGGATTTGTTAGTGCGGAGGAGATGGTTTATTGTATACAGTATCTACCTAGTGCTAGGCTGGATTTGGTTTGGTTTGGTGAGGTTAGGGGGTTGGGGTTTGTGGTTTGGGGGTTGGGGTTTGTGGTTTGGGGTTTGGGGTTTGGATATGTATAGTAAGGTTAATAAGGTCATGGCGGTTGTGTAGGTAGATGGTCTGGAGTGTGAGGTTTTAGTTATTGAATATACGTTACTGGAGTCACTAGAGCTATTGGAGCTACTTGGTGTACGTATACTCCTAGGAAGGAATTGGGTTTGTGGGGATATATATTTGGTTAAATGATTTGGAATGAGTTTACTGTTTTGATAAAGAAGAGAGGAGAGGAATGAAAAATTGCAGTTAATATTGTTAGTAGCAATGAAATATGGATTTAGAGGATTTACTTAGAGAGGTAAAGTAAACTAAAGTAAGGTAAGGTAAAGTGGAACGTGATAAATAGATAGCTTAATTAGCTCAAGAAAAAGATTACCTTAGATACCAAGATAGCAGGGAAAAGGAAAGATTATTTAGGTTTAATTTTAAGGTTATTTTCTTCTCTTTTCTTCTTCGTTCACCAGATCTTCAATGCTATACCATGCCATATGTGATGTGATCTGCGATATGCGATATGCGATGTCATGCCTTTTTATGCGCGTTGGAGTACATACAGTAGGTAGATGCTTGTTTGATATTAGGGTTTGGTTATATAGTTTGGTTTTTGGTTTTCTAGTCGGAGTATTGGTATTGGAGTTTGTGTGTTAGTTAGGTAATGGATTGGAGGTTAGGTTTGAGGAGAAAAGAGAGGGAGGAATAAGGTTTGTTTGATTATTTTGTTTGGTTTGGATTATTGGTAGGAGAATGAGGGCATATACCGATTAACCTTAAATACCTGAGAGAGTAACATGCGAACCAGTCATATCACATCATGTTCATCTATACGCAATATTCAGAGTACATACACATCCCAAACCATAACTATAATTAAGGATCAAGCAGTAAGCATATCACGACTCGTCTAATTAACCTTCTTTCCTCACAAAAGGACAGTGGCGCAAGATAAGATAGATTGCGCGAAGATGTCAGACTCCGTCAATCGGTCGTGTGTTGAGATTTTCAAACAAACAAGGCTGTAGTGTCACGGTATACTGTGCTGACGCCAAGAATGCCAATATGCGATGCTTATCCAGAACTACCTACCTACCTGGGGCATGCGATTTGTGATTCGTGCGCTCGGTACGAAAAGGTTGTCAGAGACGTCAGGCATGTACTATGTACGGAGTATGTATATGTATGCTGACATCTGTCTCCACCGCGGACCCCAATCTTGGGATTTTGCGAGTAATCGTTTCGGATTTAAGGAATGGACTGGAGATGATTGATGCTTTGGATTGATGGATGGCATGGAGTGATGACTGACGAGTAAGGGATTGCTGACATGGCCCATGACACATACTTTCAAAAATGGGTTTACGGACTCTGTACTGCTTCATGAGCCCGAGTGAGGTTTTGAGAGGTGTATGATCGATTTGGTGATGAACTGATGAGTGATGATCAAGCGAGCTCAGCGAGTAAAGGCTATTGGTCATGTAGGCTATTGGTCATGTACCGCAGCCCACAATAATAAAAATCAATGGGTATACGAATACCGTCGTCATTGCGTTTATATTGGCGGCTGAATTCCTATCACAGTATCATTGCTCAATTGAGAAGCACAAACCCTAACGCCATCCTGTGTAATCTTGGCACTCTGCCTGCACTCTTTTGACAAAATAACAGCCAGCGGAGATGAACATCCATTAGCCATCAATCTCACAGCCCTATTCGTCCCGCAACCTATCAACCATCCATTTCTTCTCACCGGAACTATACCTCCCCATCCACAGTTTCCTACATAAGATCTCACAATATACATGAAAGCATCTACCCGATGCTTGTTACACCGAAACAAATTAAGAAGTCAAGAGTAAGCTTAAGGTTTGACATCCATCGCGTTATCTTTCCTGTTCCAAGTGTTAAGGTTGTATCGACCAATACAGAGTGATACCCTCGTGCTGCCGGGGAATCGGAAATCGGAATCGGATTGATTACTGAGTGTTTGATTACTTTTGTGCTTCCATTCGTACAATTATTACAATAATAATACCTTACTACATACCTGCAAGTGTACGACTCACCGTGTTAGTAATCATTTGGAAGGATTTTCCCAGCTCCCAGCTCCCGTTTTCCTTGATATCAAAGTATGAATGATGCGGCGCGGCATCTTCGGAGGAAAACATTCATTTGAATTTCCCAAGTGCTTGGTTCGCATTTTGCACTCCTTAGATCGAAAATCATGGAATAAAAGAACAAATGAATAAAAGAATAAAAGAATAAATCAAATAAATCAAATAATTAAATAACTTAATAATTTAATAATTTAATAATTTAAAGTTAGAGTTTAGCCCCTCCCCTTCATTCGAGTAAAATTAACCTTAAAATTCTCTCATGTGCCACAGCGTTACTTGGCAATCCTTGGCTTTTTCGGTGAAATTCTTCTCGTGAATGAATTCATTGAGATTCATTGAATAAGGAGAATGCGGAAGCCAGCAAAAGATGCTTGGCGATAAGGATGAAAGAAAGTTTACGTATGGTGAATTGGCAGAGGGCTGTGTAGAAAGTGTGATGGTCAAATTTATGATTTGCTGATGTTTTTCGCATCATGCTGTACCAGAGGTGCTTCTTGGGCTGCCTTGGTGCTGCTGGAAGCGTATGAGATATGGGCTGAGGAGATTCTAGATCTTTTGTGTGTAAGTTTTTTTTATCACTTGGCTAAACTGATGACAGATGTATACATACGCAACCTACCTTCACGTTATCGATCTATCCCGTCGCTATTTACTCTCATCTACCCTTGTACATATCAATCGTCGTCAAAACCGAACAATGGCTGAAAGCAGCTTAGGACCAGCGACATTGCCAGCGGCATTTCCCGTCGCTTACCACTCCCTCCTTTTTTTGAGTCATATAATTGGTCCATTCTTCCTCTCCCAAGATCTACATTGTTACACTCCATCTTCTTAACTAAAAACATGCTTAAACTTTGACGACTGGACACATCCACTCATAATACGAAGTTTAAAGTGCCAAGAAGCTTAAGAAAACGCCTTTTGATGGGGAGAGTGGGGAGGCTTGCGTGGAAGGTTTGGATGCGTTTGGCCCCTTCATTTTGACCCGCTTAATCTTTCGGTCGAAACATAACTGTGATGAGATAATGTCCGCCATGAAAAGGAAAGTCTAAGAAAAGACTGTAATTTGTATACACGTGTCGAGCGACGGGATAAAAGGTTAGCAGATGACGGAAAAATTTGTATCCCGTACCCAGAAAGGAAATCAGAGAGAAGCTCCTGCATAGCATCCCTACTAAGCTTAAAAATTACCTCAACCCCAGCCGTCATCAAGCTTGAGCCTCAACCTAATTCCAATAGTGTGATGGTACACAGCGGTAACACAGGACAAATCTCCCTCTGAGTATAATTAGAAGTGATATTTACAGGTCTGAGGACTTGGAGACAATCATAATGATTACGCATCTTCATGGTTTATGGTATGGTTCGTGCTTCGATAGCTCACGCGTCCTGTATACAATGGTACGACATACTATCGTTTCTACTACTGTATCTGCCACAAACTCGGACTGATAGATTAGAATCTGCGAGTCTGGAATGAAATCGGTATTGGATCATTTGGAAGATATGCGGTCTGTTTCAAGATGTTATGAATATTGGTTTGGTCTTAAAGAAACTAGTTAGGGTTAGTGGAGGAAAAGAGTTATCAGATGAGATATTAAATTAACGGTATTCATTTTTACCCGAACTTATGCCTTAAAATAATATATCCTTGATAATAATGAACAAACCGTGAGTACTGTACGTATGATGACCGCTTCCTTGCGTGTCTATCAAATGCTTGGTTTCGGGGTGGGATATGCCGGTAGATGACTTTTTTTGGGTAGTCAGGACCCGACGTTCTGGGAACGGCCAGCACACCTCACATTACCTCGGTATGTGCCTCATTCGAATGCGATGGATAGATGGGAATGGACATGGGGATGAGATGGTAAAGCAGGTTAGAGTGGAATTTCAATGCGAGTAGAGGTCTCAACACCGGATCCTAATTCCCGACGGAGTTTCGGACTCTATGTTAAAGGAAGACATCCGTCCACATATGTTGGATTAAGGATTGGAGAAAGGACAACTATTAGCTATAACTCGGCACAAACGGATCAGCACATTGGAGGAGTATCTGCGGGAGTGATTTGACTGCGAGATTGGTGGAGTATATACATGTATATTGTATAAACCTTATATATCTTATTCATCAATCCATCTCCATTACCACTGTATAGGTACGGACTGATTCCGTCTTCATATCATCCCTTTTTGAGAGAATTACCAACTAAAGAGGATCACTGACTATAGATGAGATAATACCAAAATAAGTCAACTGACATCAAGTTAACATCAAGTGACTGATGATTAATATTATAATTCTTCCGAAAAGGAGTGATCTGAGCTATAAAATTCATAAAAAAATAATAATAAATAATAAATAATAAATAATAGGTGAAGTATAAATTTCATAAATTCTAATCTAATTTTTATCAATTATGTATTCCTCCAGGTATTCCAAGAACCTAGAAATTCTACGGACTATTTCATTTAATTTAGTTGCCGATCAATCTTAACAGATCTGTCCATCAATCCGATCAAATCACGTCACGTGTCGACAATCCACCCACAACACTAATTATATATATATACAGCAGAGTACAAACCTGACGACATTCCGCGCGCCGATCTACCCGTTTACTCATATACGTAGTGTATCCGCACCGCTGACGTCAATATCATCGAGATAGAGTTAAGTTTAAGAATAAGAATAAAAGTGAAACTGAAAGTTAGGGCAAGCTTTCAGCTTCATAGGTTCATAGATCCATCCAATATATCGCATATCAAAGCGCGGACTTACTTACTTAGGTAGTTAGTAGCTCAAACCTCGCTTTGATTGGGAGGAAAGATCTTAGATTGGTGATTTCTTATTTAAGCTTTGATGGGCGGGAGGAACGGACGAGGTCAATGGTTTAGGGTTTGCTGGTTGATTGATGATGGGTGATTAATTCTTGGTGTATATTTGGGGTGAGTTTGTGTAGATGGGATGTGGACGTGGACGTGGACGTGGATGTGGATATGGATGTGGATGTGGATGAGGATGAGGAATATAGTGAGAGCTTTGAGAAAATTAGAGAGTTTAGTCGGATCATTGTATTCGGTGAAGTTATAGGTTTGTATATAAAGAGTACATATTACGTATAACATCAAGCCCGGAATCGCATAATAACAAACGGACAACGGAAGGGAAGATAATGCAATACAGTCCTAGAGTAGTTTGATCTCGTGATGTATTTTAAGACCGCCTATATCATAATATGAGACGACAGATGTGATATGATGGGTAGATGGGAGCGAGTCTCTTTTCGGTGGTTAGATATGACTTATGTAAAACAAAATGTACATAGGTACATGAGAACGGATATGGATTCGCGCGCGAATCTGGCGTGATAAACGGGTAAGGCGTGCCGTTTCTTAACTTTTGCAAGCATGAGCCTTTTAATGAGAAAGCAGGTAGAATGAAGTGAGAGTTAGGATGAAACGGGGTGGAATAGATGAAATGGATGAATGGATAAAATTGGTTCGGATAGCGTCTACACTCCCAGTGTAGGATTTGTGATAGCGGCTGTGTTGATCCTGGTAGATGTTGTGTTCAACAGTTTTTGTAGTCACGATGGTGTGTTACCTAGGTACAATGTACATCAGCTATGTATATCTACGGGAATAGTATCATGAATATGTGATGAGTTTTTAATGAAGGAGGAAACCCCAAGTCTGAAAGAGAGATCTCAAACAGTTACGTTACATTTAGATGTAACTCCCAAGAAATCTGATTTAGTTTTCTGGCCTCATTTAATTTTTCATTCCTCGCTAGCCCTCTCGCGCCTGTTTCTCGTGTCTGCACTGTGAGGCTCATGCTAATATATGCTATGCTATGCTATGCTACACGCACCGTATCGTATCGTATCGTAAGAACGTTACCGACAGTCTGGATCAAACCTGAGCATGGCTTGGCTTGGCTTTCTCACCGGCGAAAAGAAAGGGAGGGATTGCAAATAAGATACTTTTAGAATGCTGACATACATGCGTTTGCATTATCATAGACTCGGGGGCCAGGGGAGCGGAAGATTGTGCCGGTCATTAACTTGACGGGGGCGCTGCTCTGTTTTGTTTTGTTTTGTGTTGTATTCCTATTTGGTCGGTGTATTATTGTCTGATGTACGCCGAGCAGTGATGTGCATTGAGATGAGACCAATGGATCGGACTCCGAGATTCAGATGGAGATGAAGACAACCAACATTTGGTGAGTGGTCTTGTGATTTGGCCATTGTTGGTCGCTTTGCGCAATGGTAGATAAGCCGAGAATGGACCCCGTTGATCAGTGTAGCATTATGTCAGTTCTCCGTACGCGGCGGATGATATTGTGTGGATATGGGATGAAAAAAATCATGAAGTTGGTGATGAAATGACTGGCTGTCAAGCACTGAGGTTACGAGACATCATATTCGGCCAGGCTTCAGCCCCCTTTCCCATTGCCGGATGGGATCTGAGCAGTGAGGAGCCTTGAAGAAATACAAGCTTTTTTATTTCTGCCCCCACATCTACCTTTTTGATCCTTCTCGTTTGATGGTATTCATATCGTAGATGATACATGATACATCATACATAACAGTTGGAACAACAGTCGTAGTCGTAATTATATTATTGTGTGTGGCCCATGAAGACTAATGGCCCCTTCTGCGAATCTGTTAGTTGTAATCCATGTAAAAGCAGGGGATCCGTCCGTCTTTGAAATCCCACTAAGCTTACGAATCCATGACCCTCATCATTTATCCTTGTTACCAAGGGTAATCTTGAGAAAATGACCTAAAAGGAGATGGAGTTGGATAGGGAATCAATCGTAGGATGCATTGTTTTGTGGTCCCCGATCAAAATATATCGATAGATAGATGGATGGATGAGTGAGTGCTGGTAGTGGTACTGGTACTGGTACTCGAGTAGACGTTTGACGATGATGTGATACAATGTTTGATAAAGTTAATTCTCTTGCACTTAGATATACTTTCCACGACGACGAATACTCGTAGCATTCTTAGATCCTTTGCATACGCGCGTATATTACTCAACATCCCTGAACAGACGAGATGATATCAGAACAAAGTTTAGTGTCCCCGGCGGTCTGTACTAGAAGCTCATTAAGTTTCTTAGAAGGCGAGTTTATTTAGAATAAACATTAGCTTAAGAGGTTACGAACGTCTTTAAACCCTATTGAGATTAATGTCTGAATAGTTAAAGCTTTATTGCTTGTTTGTAACAAGGAACAGGGACAATTTAAAGTAGCAAAGCTTAAAGCAGATCGATCTCCACACACGTTATGTTTTTCCTCGCCCACGAGTCCTCTTGTGGAAAGTACCAAGCATCAATCAAACATTTAGAACATTTTAGCTATCAAGCCAAGACATTCTATTCGCACTTCCAAGATGGTAGAGGAAGTCAAAGTGAAGTTCTTTTTTTCTTTCTAAATTGCATGCATGCTTTCATTCCTTGTGTGAAATTTATTGACATAGATATTCCATTTAACCTCAGAACAATTTGGCCAAAATGAAGGGGGAGTCTCGGAGGATGGATTTCGGAATCGGCAGTTGTTCGTACTCAATATAGACACGTTTACACGTTTTCCTATTTGTAGATATTACTTATATTACCTTAACTAGGGCCTACTTGATCGTCCAACAATAACTTTATTGTCGATTTATGAGTATTGAGTTGAATTGCCAGTATTGAGTATCGAGTAGGTGTCTTTTTCTGTTGCTTTACTTGGTATTGCCAAGATTCAGCCAACAGAAAGACCAAGGCATTTTAATACGAGCAAGAGAAAATAGAAAGTTACTTTCAAAACATAACGCAACCATGAGGTACCAACAAGCTTTAGATACATACCCGAAAACCATAAACAGGAAAAGTGACTCAAAGAGGTATAAAGCTAAAGATTGCATTGGTCTATACTGAAAGGAGTATTGTATTTCCTTCAGCACTCCCTATATAGTAAGTTTTTAGACATCCTGGGGATCCAAAAGTGCGTGTGTCCATCAAGTATCATGCTCGTAACGCAATATTGCTGTATATGGTTTAGACTGGAGGTTCAAAATGAACGTTTGAGCTTCCAATGCCCAATTCAGTATCTACTCTCTACCTAGACAAGGCTTCGATGCCAAAACTTAATCTTAGATTTCACCAACCAACCAGTGAACCTTCTTTTATACTTATACAGTCTGCTGGGAATCTAGTTGCTGGCATTGTTTGTCGTTAGGTACATGCTCTTATATCTATCCAGTGCCAGTCTCTTTCTCCAGGAGGAAGCCTGCTCCATATCATATGCGATCGAGTATTAGCATTCTTGTCTTTTCCATACCCATCACACTCATCTGATCTCCTTGAACGACGAGACTATATGACTAGACCATGACTACTCTATTTTAGTCGGACTTGTCTTTAGTTCCGAACTATTTTTGAGGCTGACGCTTGATCATCAAACTTAATTTTGACAATTAGATCATAACATAAAGCCCTTGAAGATCCAACCCTTGAACCCTCCTCCCTTCTCCACCTCGACAAACGGCCTAGCACTTTACTTTATGCCAATGCACTCGTGCCTTTTCGAATCGCGGCACTTTCGACTAACAAAACCAAGAGACTGGCACGGAACCGAACGAAAGATAGAAAGAAAAGCTTGTCTCCTGTTTTTCTTTCCTGACTTTCGTCTTCAATACTAAGTCTTAGCATTATCCTCCTAAAGCAGTGCGATTCATCGAAGAAAGGTGGAATTTCTAAAGATCGATACTTCTGTATATCACTAGTTGTACTCGACTAGCCATATCAGCTTTCAATACAGCGCCTCCAGACCAAACTATTCTCTGTCAATATTACAAACGACGTATAAAGTCAGCTATCCTCATACACCATAGAGATATCTACACGCCACCCTCAATTACCAGGTATGTACAATGTTGTCTTCTCAAACATCTCAAACATCTCATACATCTACTGCATCTACTGCATCTACTGCATCTACATCTCTTAGTCTACATCTCATCCATCATTCATATTTTCTCCCGTTAAGGGAAAGTTCCGGATGGAAGAATATATTGCATGCAGGTAGTGTACCTAGGTACTTTAACTGTTGTGTACCTTCAAATCTTTTCACTCTTCACCAAACAAAGTATCCATCTTCACCCATTTATTTCTGTTTTTCTTTTTTTAAACACAATTCACCAGTGCGTGCGTCATAGGCATCAAACCCGAGAACAATCCAAACCTTCACAAATTCATTACACAAATTCATTCCAACACCAACACAAAATATTTGAACTCCTTCACAAATGAATTATCATCCGAAACATCTTCTTTTCTTTAAAAGAACTTGGAGAAGAGACATGTCATCTCATATATTCAAACACGGATATTAATGCCCAAGAAATGGATAATCATGTCCACTTTCAAATCTTTCAAAGTCCGCTCACACTCAAATCCACTCACCCAAATATCTTTTCTCCTTCTACTGCCATCTCATTCTATTTTCGTCCCTCTACCGTTTTGGTATCAGAATTGATCTTTGGGGAACCAAAAAAAGATCAAGCTCAAGCTCGAGCGGATTTGAATTCTACAATTGGAAATCTTCTCCACAAGTTTACAAGTGAAAAAGTCCATTTTTTTTTTACCTCTGAGCAAGAATACGCGCACATTTTGTGAAGCTTTAGTTTAAGCTTCTGTCACCTTGTGCTTCAGCTTGTCTCATGTTCGCGTTGACTTCCGTCTTGTATTTCTTTCCAAGTAGGACAAAAGATTCGAATATTTGGCTAACAATTTATCTGAAGCGAAAAGAAGATCTTTCATCATACGTCTTACTATCAAAAATCTCGACAATACCAGCACTTTCTTCAATAAACACCAAAGATTTATTACCTTTATCTCATTCGCGTCAAAAGGTCAAATTTCATCTCCACTTCGATTTCTAAAACATCAAAAACGTTGATGTGCCGACTTCCCGCCCGCAGAAGCTTCCATTTCTGACGTCCGAGAATTTGCCAAGAAATTCAGCCGCGTAACTTCACCAAGGATAGAAACACGAGAGGAGAAGTGAATAACATAAAGCTTGAGAGGGAGCGTTCGCATTGATTTGGATTTCTTCTACGAGAAGTCCAACTTTCATATCTTGCCTTGCGCAATACAACTTCAATCGAAACTCTTCATTCACATTTCACAATGGATACCTATCATGGTCACGTACGCACTCCTGCGGATGCGATTAAGTTATTCGAAGCTTGCCGACTTGGTCTACTACCTCGAGTACAAAGAAGATTGTCGGAGAAAGAAAGGCAATCAATAAAATCTGGATCAGTATTTGTTTGGGATGAAAGAGAAGCCGGAATGCGAAGATGGACTGATGGGAAATCATGGAGCGCAAGCAGAGTATCTGGCAGCTTTTTAACATATCGCGAGATGGAAGGAAAGAGAGGAGGTGGTCAATTTGTACCCCCACCAGCTCGAAGAATGGCAGGGAAGACACCGGATAGTGGAAAGGGTAGTGATGAGGATCAAGATATGGATGGAGATGGACCAGATGGGTACAGATACAAACCTGATGGTCTAATGAAACAATCCTTCAGTATTATAACCTCGACTGGGCAACATCTCCATTTAATCAGCTACTACTCTCGACCTCATCCAAACAGTCCCGACCTTCCACAACCAACAACTGATCCTCAACTTCGCGGAATTGTCCCAATGAAAGGCATGTACCCAGAATCGACAGTTCATGAAGCTCAAGGTCCAGCTGTCACGAGAGCTCCAATGCAACAAGGTCCTTACATGCATCAATCTCAACAGAGAGTTCCATATGGTTATTCCCCAGGATATGGACCATGGCCTCCATCTCCAGTTTCTACTCCTCCATATCCTCATCATCAACAGATGTATTCATCGCAACTTCCTCCGCCACCACCTGGGTCAATGCATCCTTCACCCTACCACATTCCACAAGGACCTCCACACACATCACCGTATCAACCACATCAATATAGTCCTCATCACCGCCCCAGTCATGCTCCAACTACCATGGCACATGGTCCGCCACAATCGGCGATCTATGACCGACCTCCTCCACCTCTATCAAATTCTTCCTTGCCTCCTCCACCTCCCCACAGCTACCAAAACGGTGCCCCTCAACAAATTCACCCAGGTTATCAGCCACATCAACACCAACATCCCAGTCCTCGTGCTGAACATTTAGCTAGGGTACAGGCAGAAGAACATGCATTGATGGCCCAAAGAGCTTTACAAACTGGAATGATTGATCCCAGATTGGCTCAAACAGCACCACTTGCACCAGTCAATATCCATACAAATGGAATAAGTGGTACTCATAGAACAACTACACCACCGCAACAGAAGAGTACTTCCCCAGCTCATACACCAAAGAGCCTTCATGACCAAGCAGTTCCTTCTCCAAAAGGAACACCAAATTGCAAGGGTAAATCTGAAGCTCAAATAATTCCATCAATCTCCAGTCTTGTTCATCCATCAGATTCAACAAGTGTTCTAGCGGACAATAAATCAAACAGTAGCAATAACTCCAGATCTGGATCAACTAGCCCAAGACAAAGAGAATTTATTGAAGCAAAGGCAGAGGAGGAAAAGAAAATATCTGGCGTCACACCTGTTGCATCAGATATTCCACATGGAAATTTAAGCGCAGCGTCAGCAAGTAAAGCGGAAGATCAAAGGACGATTAGGGTATTAGATCGAAAATTCATGATCTAACGGGAAGGGGATAGTTGAATCAAGGATAAGGCGTGCAAAAATAGGAAAGGGAGATTCAAGGGATTCGAATAACGGCGTTAGGTATTGAAGAGGAGTTTTTGCTTTACGGAATGATATCCCATACTTTCGTTCTACCTTTTACTTTTTTTCTCTCAAAGTTTTATCACTTCATTGTACATTCTTAGTTTGTGGTTTGGTGTTTTTTACCGCGCGAAATGGGGCGCAGCGACATTTACCTTTGATGAGATGTCTTTTTTTAGGTGATTTTACATTGATTGCATTGCGAGGGAGTTGTAGTTTTTTTTTTTTTACTTTTTCTTGATTTTCTACAGAGGGGAGAGGGCGAGGGAGGAAGAAAGTAAGGGAGATGAGAGGAGATGAGATGAGATGATTAGATGTAGTGAGAGATACCTCCTATGTAGCTACATAGATACCAACATATCTACAGATAGAAGAAAGAAAGGAATTGAATGAGTATATATGTGTGTTTAATAGTTTATGCTTTATGTGAGATAAGGTGAGACGATGTGAAATTTGTTAGAGATATGCTTTTGATTTTATTATTTCTGTGTTTTAATAGAATACATTGTGTTTATAAAAAGACATCAGATGGAATAGATCAGGGAGTGAGTCACGCGGTAGTTAGGTAGTTACTTGACTTAATATATTTTATAAGGCGGGGAGGATCAATGGATCGAAGGTGACGTGAATAAGGATGAGGGGGTAGAGGATGACAGATAATAAAGAAGTATATTGATATATTTATTTTATATACTTATTTAATTAATTAATAAATAAAAAAAAGTAAGTAATTTAAAGTATTAACTATATGATTGAAATAGATATTAAATATAAAAAATAACTATAGAATTTAAAATTGAAAAAATTTATTAAAATAATTATATATATTTATTTATTTATTTTTAATATTACAAATTTAACTTTTAATTGGAATTAAAAAAATCTGATATTGTAAAATAAAATCAAGTTGTATAAAAAAAAAATAATATAATATATATTAAATCCTCTTCTAATATATTATATTATATCTTATATCTAACATCTTCTTATCGAAACTCTCATTTATATATACATATACACATATATAATCTCAAACAAACCACTCAACATCCATCACTACCATCACCAGCACCACAAAAGAACCACTCCACAAACCCCATATAATTCCCAAACTATACATAACCTTATCATAATTACCACCCAAAAACCATCATCATCATCATCATTATCATTAAATAACCTTACCTAAGAATAATAAAAATACACCACAAGAACCCCTAATTATTCATCGATCCATACATCACCTACAAGCAAGCCCCAACTTCCCCCTCCCTCTCTCTCCTCCTCTCCCTCCTCCTCCTCTCTCTCCCTCCCTCTCCTACCCTCCCCAACTTTCCAAACAGCTACGCTACACTACACTAAACTACACTACACATTTAACCCACCGAAAAAACTCATCTCCTTTCTTCAGCCCCATTCCCTCCCTCACCGAAAATCCTCTGATGAGATGAGATGAGATGAGATGAAATGTTACACTCACATTCACATTCACATTCACATTCACATTCGCATTCACATTCACATTCACACACAGACACCGTGCGTAGAGACTAACTAACTAACAAAACCTACCATTACCCGTCAAACTTCAAGACCATTGCGTTAAATATTCGAAATGTGGCGCGCTGAGAAGTATAATTGGTAGGTAAGGTCTTTAACCGGACGGGGATTTGATTTATTGATTTATTTATTAATTGATTATTATTATTTTATCAAGTTGTATTATTATTATAATCCTTGAGGAATAAGAAACAGAATAAAATAAAACTAAGGTAACAATTATTGAAGATCCAAATCCAACGTAACATCAAATCCCGTAAGCCTCGCCCCAATCCACCGGGTCCCTCTGCGATTTTGAGCCTCGGTTCGCCCTCAACGGTCTGGTGATGTAGACATGCATGTGCATGCATGCATAAGCATATGTAGTGATTGATGGATGCCATCTAGGTTATCCAGCATCCTTTTTAGATCCCGTGTAGAGATCCATCCGAGCCATCCGTTTTTCGCAACAGGAAAGTATGATGCTGGAGCCTGGAGCAGATATACTTTTCCTTGTATGCGTAGTATATTTGCATACAAGCATACTCGTCTCCGCACACACAAAAACATAAACACGCATGCTTAAACGAGACAGCCGTCCACTCCAAGGCGCTTTACATACAGACATCTCTATCTCATCTAAGCTGAATCATGCAAATACAGACCCTAGACGTAAGGAACGGACAAATTACGACCGATTCGCATGAAATAAATGCACATCCTTTCACCCCAGATTGTTTATTCACCCCATACGATTTTAACTTTAAAATTAACATTAAAGCCCTCGTTACTTTTGGCTAAGGTTTCGGGAGGGTGATGTGCATTATGTCTATGAACTTGACACTTGGCAGGGGAATAATTTTGATTCTGTATTGTGTCGGCGTTGTGTGGATTTAATAGATAGAATGTTGAACACAATAGAAATGAAAAATGCTTATCTATCCATAGATCTGGCATGACTCGTATCAGAGCCTTACCAGCAATTCGTATGAATGAAATGAATGTTCAGTCCAGAAAAGCTACTCTCAGAAAGGAAGGACAGAAAGAAAGCGGGATGTTCACAAGCAAGGTAGAGAAGCAGTAAATAGCGGGAGGAAGCAACAAAGCAAGCAGGGAGTAAAGTTTTTCATGAGGATGGGGCGTATTGAATTAGTGGCGGTGAAGATCTGCAACGACGAGGCACGTTTAATTTGACCCTAGAAACAGAAACCAGGATAAATTAAAGAAGAAAAAAACTTGTTTTCCTTATTTTGCCATTTTCCCTATGATAGAAAGTGCCCTGGCCCTGAACTTTTTCAACGTCTGTGGTGTGGTATAGTGGCTAGAAACTAGCGAGAGGGTGCGGCAATGCCTGCAACATGTGTAAGTTGTGCACCTAGTTAGGTGTGAGCCTGCCGGAACTCCTGGAATGTGACATGCGATCATGGAAGGAAAAAGGTAAGAAAAGTGTAATTACTAATGAAGACCCCAAATTTTGGGTGGTAAGTGACGACAGGGGTAATGCATAAGGTGTGGGTGGAGAGACTCGAAGTAGTATTGAGGAGCTCTTTTTGAGGGGCCGGCACGGAATAAGAAGGAAATAAGAGATAAACAAATAGTAAACATCGCACGAGGTGACGAATTGGAATTTCCTGTTGCGGAAAATTTGCTCAATTTGTGGGTTTGAGAATTATTTGAGCTGATAAAATATGAATGTAACCTTGCAAAAAATAAACTTGATAAATTAAAACAAATATTTTCTTATAACACCTTACTTGGGGGTTGAGGTTAAGACAAGCATATATATGCGGGGCCGCGGCGCTTATTTCTTCAGCTCAGTCGGAGTCAGTCCGAAGCAAAGCACAGTGCCTGCCTGCTACCCAAGAGCCACAGCAAAACACATTGTGTTGCGTCTCCGTCGAGATTACCTAAATGAATCGATCCAAAGCTCCAGTTCATGTTCTGATGGCGCTTCGGCGCTTGTACAAGACTGAACGAAGATGTCAGGCTCTTTTGACTTCTATACTTGTCGCTTCGACTACGTATTGCATGACGTTGATCACTAATAGAAACTAAAAGTTGGTAGATCTTCCGTCTCTTTCCAAATGTGATATCTCTATCATATTCGACATATCTATTGAAGGATTCTCCAACGTCTCAAACGTTGACTACCTACCTATAGGAAGTCGTCCTATCCCCTGTTTAGTTGGCGTCCATGATTTCAACATTTAGTTTTTGGTGATTGCGGAGTGATCTCCATTTCATATACCGTCGTTACATGTATTAGTGCCTGTTGGTTATTGAGACAAAAGAGGCTTGGGTTCGGCGAATAACTGATGAAGGGAAATATCGATTGGTAGGTCTGATGAGAGTTTTGGTACGATAATGTATGCGGTGCTACATAATCCAACCGGCATCTTTTACACCCAAATCGATACACCGAGTCAGTTGGATGCTCGTCGTTGGAATGAAATAGTGGTAAATAATAAAAGCAAAAAATAACCAAAAAATGTATATATATAATTTAATAATAATAAGAAGAGCAAGAGCATTAAAGAAATAAACTTTATTAAAGATTGAAAGAAATAACAATTTTTAAGAGGACATTCTCTTGCAAACGTGTCCAATGCCAACTCGAGAAGGAACAATCAAATTAATCCTCACGAGGCGCCTCCATTCCACTAAGTATAAATTTAAACTTGAAACAAACTTCTGTACTCAGCCTGCAAACTTCAGATGAGTACCTACCTACTGTAAAAACGTTACCTTATTATTGATGTCTAATTGTCGAAATATAATAATTCGTGAATGAATTTTTGGTTTGTCTCGAAATGTCTACCTAAGGCTCAATCTTGGGGCCAGGGGTATGCATATGCAGATGAGGCTGAAATGAGAATAAAGGTTGTTGAAGATTCGTATATGCACCAACGTTGTACCTGTTGTATTTTGGGGGCAATAGTTTCGAATTGTGGTTTTGGTGAAGATCTGCGGTTGCTTTCTAGGTCGTAGAGACGGTCAAAACTGATCATGCCGTTTGGATAAGTGTGAGATGAGAAAGTAAGTGGTCCCTGATTGGTTGGGAGGTGAGTAATGGAGAGGGCAGGATGGTGGATGAACAACGTCGCGTAACAATTCGTGAGGAGTTTTGGTCAAAATAGTAACGGCTAAAAATAGTCTGACGAGGAGAATGTAGGCAAAAACCGTCCGTGAAAGACTCGTCATTATATTGTAATGAAATGAGTGAAGAGATGCGTTGGATTGTGATTATGGTCGCTTCTCGGGTTGCTCACAACCAGGCATTCTCTTATTTTCAAGAGAGTGTTGCTGCATGAATTAGTGACCTCATATCAAAACCCTTTCTATTCTTACAATATCCGCTTCAATCGTAGATTGTGTGTCGGTCGAATTCTCTTAAGAGAATGCCTCATGCCAAGTCGGTCCCAGTTTGTGTCAACCTTCACTTGAAACTACTATGCTTTATGCTTACCCATTTCAGCAATCACATCTTCCTATCCATCTTGGAAATGTGACAATCTCCCTGATATTCTGCACACCGGCGAGATATCCCAACAATCTATCGAATCCCAAGCCAAATCCTCCATGAGGTACACTGCCCCAGCGTCTCAGGTCTGTGTACCATTTCAAGGAACCAAAGTCTTCTTCTCCTGCATCACCTCGCACCATACCGTTCGCTCGCATAGCAGAAATTAGTTCCGGTAATCTATATTCACGCATAGATCCACCTACAATTTCACATACCTCAGGAACTAGGAGATCAAAACATTGGACAGTCTCCGATGTTCTTCCTTCGCCTGAGTTTTCTGAAGGCAGCATGTAAAATGGCTTGATGGATTTTGGATAATCTGTTACAAAGACAGGCGATCCAAGTCCGATCGCGTCGGCGATATAGCGTTCGTGTTCAGCTTGAAGGCCAGAACCAAAGATAGGAGGATATTCGAAATTTTGCCCACTTTCTTGAAGCTCTTTGATTGCTCGCATATAGGTGATCCGTGGCCAAGATTTCTTCATCATACCTTCCCATCTTCGTGTCAATTCCCGGTTTCTGTTTATAGTATCCGTTTCTTCGTCGCCGCTTCGCTTCGCTTCCAATATTTCTTTCCCTACCTGAGTAGAATAAAGGTTTGTAGTCAAATGTCTTAGCATATTCTCGACAAGGTCGATAATGCTATCCATTTTTTCCACGAAACTGCATTCCGCTTCCAACATGTAAAACTCGCTCAGGTGTCTTGGTGTATCACTTTTCTCCGCTCGGAATGTAGGTGACAGTGTCCAAACTTTTCCTACCGATTGTGCCAAAGCTTCCAAGTGTAGTTGACTTGAAACAGTCAAATATTTGGATGATCTGAAGAATGTTCCATCATCACTCTTCCCGACCGGCACTTTGTGCGCGCTACCTACTTCAAACACTTCTCCGGCGCCTTCACAATCTGAAGATGTAATTATGGGAGGATGTGTTTGGACGTAATCTTGTTCAGTAAAAAAATGTGTGAGGGAGGCTATGCTTTGTGATCGAAATCGAAGTAATGCTGAATTGAAGGGCGTTCTTGTTCGCAAATGAGGAATGGTACGGAGATATTCAGGTGTGTGGTATTTGTTCTGTAGTGGGAAAGTCTGCCAATATGGATTAGTAATGGCCATCAAGGAAAAAGTATTGCATCCAAGCCTTACATACGGCAGGATCTGCGGCGCCTAAGACATTTACTTCAAGCACATGCAATTCATTGCTTTGTGCCTTTTGGTTCGGGGAAGGTTTCCAGTATCCGGTGAGGCGTACGGCTGTGCCTATCGAGAGTCTATCGTACGATTAGGAATGAAGAGAAACAATTTTGTATGGCTATCAGACCTTGCCGCTTGTTGTGGAGTGAGAAGAGCTTGTAACGGTTGCACACTTGAGCCATCACTAATTGAAGCAAACGATATCTTTTTCTGGTTCCTAATTGAACGAATGAAACCATTGACATTGACTTTAACCTCATCTACATTCTGAGGAGCAGTCCCAAGCAATTTTGCAACTGATAGTTGCGAAGATCTCACAGGGTGGGAAATACTGAAGCTTCTCGATTTGATTAAAGATTGTGCGACATAATTTGATTTTGATAAAAGCCGGGGTGGTTGTAACATTGTTTCTTAATCGATCTTTAGAAGAGCAAGCTGATTCAACAAGATCGACAGAATTAATTTCAGTTTTCCTAGTAGAATAATTGTGGTTGCCTGTGGTGATGTAGTTTTTCTCGTATTGTATTCTTTTTGGAGTTTCTGATATTAGAAGACATTTTGGCAAGTAAAGGTCACCGTAGACGCGCGCTAAATGATTGATTGGGTGGGTAGAGCACTGACTGAGGTGAAGATCTGCCGAGCCGAAACGACCCGAGCCGTTGGCTGAGCATTCCAACTACCTTAAGCTTTCCATCAGATCTGATCCATCGAATATTTGATAGGAAATACTCTGGTAATCAATCTCATTGATAAGCACACTATTTACTATTTATTCTTTATTCTGTTGTTTATTCTGTTGTTTATTCTGTTTTGATATAGGTAGGTACACAAGTATTTCTACCTTCATCTAGAATTACTAGTCTAATCTTCGAATAATCGAATCCTCGTCAGGGGCTTATACAGGATTAATTACGAGTCTGGGCGCCACCAAAAGCAATTCAAAATTGGAAAAAAAAGTTTCCTATTTGCTCCTCAGACCTTTTCCTCGTTGGTATCTTATCATTCCTCGAATATCTGTGAAAATTTGGAGTATATTATTAGCCATACGCACCATCTTCTGGACAAAGTATACTGACTGTCGCCTTACACAACGATTCGAATGTTTACTACCCCTTTTCGTGAGAACGTTGCACAGTACCGGTATTCCATTAGTTCGACTGTCTATACCCGTCATCATCCTGAACTAGTTTGAATATGCACGGGCCAATATTGGTTCTCATCTACTTTTAACCTGTTCGTGTTGGGATGACGAGAGACTTGACAGATCTAATTTCTCGCGAATCTTATGTAACCTACATGAATTGATCAAAAGATCTTGGGGACCGTCTTCGGTAACATGCATAGCTTTTGTCATTGTAGCAAGGACTCGGAAGTTGCAACCCATATTATCCGCCGCCCATTTCCTGTTGATATGTCTTCAGCTCTGTGGAAATGATCTTGACTCAAAGAGTCTGGACCTAAAGATCAATTTTCAATATAACTTTTCTTGACTGACAATAGTTGTAGTAACCTGTCAGCTTCAGGTCTGTGTTCGAGATCGTGCATCAGGAATGTGGACTAGATTGCGTTTGCAGCTTTTTCTTTTTCTTCTTCTTTTTTGAATCAAACCTCCCGTCCCCCCTCCGTTTATATAATGCTTGAGTAATTCCCTTTGATTCTGTTGTTTCCATGTATCACGGTTGAATCACAATTACTGCAACTTCTGATTACTCAACTTACTTTATTATATCTGCCCACATTGTTTTTCTCAATCTGTAGCTTTCGACACATCTTTCCTCATTCTAACTACAACTTCAATATGCCTCCCTCAAAGCCAAAACCTTCAGAAATTGCTGCTGAAGCTAAGAAAACTTATATTCCTTACATTCGTAGTGCATGTCCACAGTGGCCAACTACTTCGTATTTATGTCATTCGGATTCTTTGCGAGACCAGCAAATTAGAGAACCAAGGCAGTACACATTTGGTATGCATCTTTGAAGAAATCCACAAATCCATTAACTAACATCGACAGCTTTCTTGGAACGGGATCCTGTGGACCTAGCTCTTGAATGGACAGCTAGCGAGAATAATCGCCCCATTCCCGTCATCATGCCAGCACATGAAAGGCGGCCGGGTGGTGATTGGGAAGCTGGTATGTAATTCCAGTCGTAGTCTTATCTCCTTGTATCCTAATTCACTATTTTTAGGTGTCATGCAGCCTGAAGAGTGTTTAGCCAGACGAAGCACTCTCTATACTTGCTTGACTACTCCAGCATCAGACAACATTACCTCAAATAACTATCCCATTCCCGAACGAGCTGGTATCATCTCTCAGAATGTTGGTAAGTTGGCTCAACTCAACCCAAATGTGGCATGCATTCTAATAGGCAAAAGTTGTTTTTCGTAATGGACCAGAAAAGTATGAACCATGGTCAGAATACAAATGTGAGTTCTCAAGCTATCAACCTAAGAGATTTATGTTGACAAATAATCCAGCGCTGCCAATAATCTCCGTTCCTACTGTTAAACGTCCTAAGCTTGACAGCTCCGGCAAAAAGTACTCTTTCAAAACGGAACGCGAATTAATGAAAGCGTCCATCAAAACTGCATTGAGAATCGCAATCTTCTACGGATATGATAAGATTGTGATCGGAACATATGGACTTGGCCCAGGCTTCAAGAACCCTCCAGAAGAGGTTGCAAACATCTGGCGCGAGGTACTGGTCCGCGACGACGAATTCAATCAGCAATTCTCGGCCATCATCTTTGCTTTTGAGGCGTGTGAAGGTCCCGGAGGTTCCACAAGTAGTCCAAGCTCTTCATCGAAAAGCTCGAAGTCATCAAGCTCCAGTAGCAAAACTTCTTTCACTCATGAGCTTGACATTTTCAGGCAAACATTCAAACCAGCAAATCTCCACGGCGCCTTCAAGTCTTGAAACTTTTCAACGGTGATGCTTGCTTGGCGTTTTAGGGGGGCAAAAGGGGTGTTACATGTCATGATGCGGGCATGGGTGGAATACATGGTGGCGTTTGTTACACTACAGCTAATGCAGAAATTATGATCTGGCATAAGAGCGGTGGGAAAAATGTTGGGATCGCTTTTTAAATTTCTTCTGTAGACAATTAAAATTGAGAAACATTACAGTTCTTAGCAAAGGTTCTTGTTACCTACCTTTTGATTACTTATTCATGATTGAATGAGGAGGTGAAACCAGGAGCTGAGGAAAGTTCCTTGAATAACTGCAGCCTATGGGACTCTCTCCGCTGATTACTTTTCTCAAGGAGGACCAGCTAAATCCCATGGCTTGAAATGTAACTTCTTTGGAAGGCCAGGCTGATCACTTGTTGGACGACGTCGCCTAATGTTGTTGTGCTGGCGGATACCGGACTATCTCCGGTCCATCTTGAATTGCTTTTTCTTCGTTTTACTGTACCTAATTCGTAAGTAAATCACCTGTTTTTTCCATTGCTGGATCCAATTTCAATCTCACATTCTAAGCTCCCAATTCCCCAAATTTAATAATTCTCCGTTTCCAGATATCACATCGTGGTCACAGCATGCGTCAAAACGGAGATTTTCTTTTGGCCTCCTAATCGGAAAACATCCACCCATCAAAAATGCCCAAGTACAGTATTCTGCGATACGCAACGCAGTGACAGTGTCACTTCAATATGACATATGTGGCTCCAACCCCAACAAAATATGCAAACAACCGCACGATTCCGCCCCCAACATTACAATTCTCCAGATCTAGTACGACGACCAAACACGGCCGAACCTACAACTCGGGCCCTCTCCAACTCTGTCTCTCCTTGCAATGTGTAACGGCGTTCGACCAAATCGGCGGATCATGCATTGCGCTACTTCTATCCGTATTGCTCTGATCAATCGGTATGCATGTTCCCTGAGTCACACGGCGCTGTTCTGGAAGTCGGACGATGGGATCGTTGAGGGGATATGATCGGATCTGAAAGAGGTGTCAAGGCTGCGGGCCGCGAGTCGCAGTGTTACACGCGAGATATCGGTACTCGAAATTTCTGTATCACGCCAGGTCGAGAAAATGTGGAGAGGAAAGATGGATTGAGATAGACGTCACAGATAGATTTGGAAAAATGCGCTGAGGTGGTACGGTGGGACCAATATGATCATGTGAAGTGATTGGTCTCGTTGGTACGCCGCTAGGAGAATATTTATTGATATTCGTGCTACGGTGAACTTTTCTGGATCTTGACTTGGGAGTTTTCTATCACAGCTGCAGAATGTGACGGATCGGAAATGTCGTGGAGCGTGAGAGATTCTTTTTGTGGTATGATCTCGAGGGGCACTGGTACAGTCAACGAGGGGGTACATCCATTCGGCCCCCAATATTACCGTTCCTGGAAACTTGAATAAGGGAGAAACATGTCACATTTTGTGCTCATGAATGACGTTGAATACTTTTTGGAAGCCCAAGAGATATTTTGATTCATTGTGGATCTTTCATCGAATATAGAATATTGTTTTCTTAATTCGTCAAGCCACATCGTAAAGATTTTGGTCTCAAACATAACCGTTATATACTCCAGGCTTAGCTCTAAGCCCAACTACTAATCTACCTAATCTATAGCCCAAGCTTTCCTAGTCCGATGTCACAAAAACTCGGCCCGAGCTTTTATGCCAACCTCAAATGCCAGTCATGACCATGATGGTGCCGATTCGGGCTTGATCTTTCGGGAGATTTCGGTGGTACGCAATTTTCCCGATCACAGTAGCTTGGATGTTTGACCTCTTTGTATTGCTGCATATGATATTGATTGTGTCGCGGACATTTCTTCTCCCAGAAGTAACCAATAATGTGGCTACATCGTGGGCAGACGGTTTGGACGTAGGTACACATATTCTGTGGTATTCTCTTTTGTTCGTTTTATTCTTTTAAGCTTTTGTGGTTTCAAAATTGATGAGATGCTGTGATGATTTATCGCTTAGATAATTATGGAAGTGAAAGATGATTCAACCTGGAACTCCTCATCATTTGTAGAGCACAAGTTGTCTTCGCTAAATGATTAACCATCAAACTGCTTTCACAATGTTCTTTATCCGTGATTCATACTATGTGATTGTCGGAGACTTGTTTTCTTTGATAAATGGCATTTTTTTGTTCGTCTACCTCTAAAATTAGTTCGCTTGCAAGTGAACAAGGAATTATCGACGTTGGGGTGGCACGCCGGTTTCTTCATTGATTTCAAACAACGAAGTTAGAGAGAAGTTCAACAGAGATAGCTTCATTGCCTTCGTGAGATTCTAGAAACTCCTTATCTAGCGATGAGCAGTGTTCTTTTGTGGTATAATGACTAGAAATAGGAGGGGTCATCTTCGCATTCCTTCTCACATCCATCAAACCCGTCCACACCCTCTTCAACTCACAACCAAATACAAATTCTTCTCCATTTTCAACCGTCAGTCACCACACAAAATATGTGCCTTCTTGAAATCAGATATTGCATTACATGTCACAGGCGAACCAGCGTGCGCTTCATTCCTCCCAACCCAGCTTTACCACAATTCGTACCGGAAGTCAAACAAATACCTGTGTGCTGCCCTAAGTGCATCGGTTTACCGGTCAGAAATCGAGTGCCTACGAATGGATACGCCCCAACGAGAAGATCATGAGATATATGGTATTAGGTCGTGTGAACGAGATTGATAGTTCCAGGCTGAGAGAATGGGCGGGAAGTGACGGGAGACTTTAATCACGACATCGATGGTTGTTGGAATATGATTTGTATTCCGACTCGTGGGACATGGAGTCTTGATGAATTGGAAGAGAAGTGATTAAGCAGCCCAAGAACAATGTCTAGACAATGCATTTTTTCAATCTTCGCAAAGAGTCTATCTGCATCTCCTCTTGCGGATCAGATCTTACAAAGCGAGCATATAGATCATATTCCTATCAAAGAGCAAAATCAGAACATAAACAAAACAATAATTTTTCCAGTGTATTTTATTTTCTTCAGTTCTCTTGTCATTGCATCTTCTATCTTTCCTCATCAGTCTTGAATTTACAGAATCACAAACACCCAAACTCGAATCTGCAAATCCAAGCCTGAGAACTTCATAGCGAATCTCCCAAAAAAACCAACCCCAAAACCAAAATCATGAATTCAATCCTCATGAAAGCCGTTCTCTTCCTCAGCATTGCAAGCCTCACAGCCGCAACCACCGCTGAAGAAAAGCCTGCACAATCCCACACAGCCGTCACCCTCGCCCACAAAGACGTGAAGCCGCAGTACTTCATGCTCGACCTCAACTGCGACGTCAGTAACGGCACCAATCCCAGCGAGCTCACCCTCAGCTGTGAAATTCAAAGCGCCAAGAAAGTACCCGGACACATCTATAACCCTACTAAGTACCGCATGGAAATCGGATCCGAAACACCAGCCGACATCAAATTTTGGGGATACATCGTTCACCAGACTAATCTTCAGCCTTTCACCGTCTCGCAATCGTCTATTCCTTCTGGAGAGAGATTGGTCGTGATGATGGCGGGTTGTTGGGGAACTCTTAAGGAATGGAAAGATCTTAGGCGTCCTGAGGCGGATTATCGCTGTAAGATTTTGGAGGTGAGAGCTTCACGAGGATTGTGAGGGTGTATTTTGGGGGAAGGAGTGGGAAATCGATCGTATGTAGGGAGTGATTAGTGAGTATTTCTAGTTATTTCTTTTCTCACTGTCATTCTCTATGCTCAAACCTGTCATTAGAATTTAGTTCTTTCTTTTCAGACTGTCAATATAATATCTATGCTCAAACCTGCCAATATTAGAATCAAAACATCTCCTTTTTAAAACGATATTATATTAAATCCCAACTATTTAACAACTTTGCAACACAATACTATGTAAATGTATGGAAAGATGCACCAACTAATCTTACAATGAAAGCTCAGTGACAATTTAACAAGACAAGCTATGCTGAACTAACCCCAACTAGAATACGTACTACGCATCGAAATGTATAAGTTTCTGAAGAAGCTGCAACTTCACTTGACCAAATTCATCATCACCATATAGCATATACTTGAGTGACGTTTGAGTCTGGAATGGTATACTATTTAGGTAAGTTATTGTAATCTTTAAAAATGCATATTCAATGGGTCTGCGCAGCCAACCCAACCCAACCAACCAGAAAACTGTAGGATATATGTATGTATGCCTGAAATGAATTTTCAAATTTAAAGATCCGAAATATACTTGAATAGGTATCTAAAAGTGTTTACAAATCTGACAGAGACCTGATCGAATATCCAAGATCTCTCCATTCATCACTTACCAACACCACTCACCACTGCATAACTCTAAAATATAATACTAAAAATATTCCACTCCACCACATACGACCATAGACTGAAGAGAATTGGGCATCCCGTCCGCTCTGCCATACACAAGCTTCAGATCGGTGGATTAGTAGTTGGGTGGGTGACCACCAGCGAATCCCCACTGTTGTATGTTTTTTTATCCCATTTTTTTATTTTGCTTTTGCTATGTAGGCAAGGGAAGAATCCTTTCCGAGAGCTTTGTTTTGCTTTTGGGTCTTAGATAATGCTTATTTATGTACTTATGAAGAAGCAAATCGCACACAGCAGAAATTGATGCATATGAAAAGGGGAAAAAGCAAAACCTGTGTTGCACAACCTGGAACACTGAAACGGAAATATGATTAATGGAATATGAATAATCACTAAGCAGGAAAAATCAAATATTGGCAGCCATGATAGTATTCCCTCTTTCTCTTCTTCTTATTCTTCTTCATCCGCTTTTCTTTTCATTCCGAACAGCTCCCACAGTAACAAACGCCTCGCTCACCTAAGTAACTTGCTTTCCATCTCCATACATGCCAAAAACCCATATTCTCCACTACATCATTACCACACTTGCAACGAATATAGCACTCTCTGCCCCTCTCTTAGAAACAAATAGATATACGAGCGGAAAAAATAACTATATAGAACCTAATAAATCGAAAAGAGAAATGAAATAAATAACTTTTCTTTAGATAATCCATGTACCTCCCTCCATACTTGAAAGTTGGGATATAAAGATTAAATAGGCCGCCATCAACAAGGTCAACGATATGGCATATCCAGTGGATATTACGCGGAGGGTTGGCTTCTAGTTATGGGGGAAGATGGGTTGAGGCGGGAACCTCAAAAGTGCTTGCATTATGATTCATGAGTTTGGCAAAGCTTTTGATTATCTAGAGACCAGGGGGAATCATGGTATGGCGATGAATTTTGGCTTGAATTATGATGAAAGGAGGTATATCCATACAAGCTATGGCCGAGTACGGCAAGAAGAGGTCGAGATCGGGTTTGAAGAAAGGCTCCGCGTCAGAGTGAATTTGTATGATAAATGCTGAATATGTGTGCACGCTAATCACATGTACTGTCGTACCACAGTTCCTTTCCCATTCCCCCGCTCCAAAATTCGACTCTAGATATCCCTAGCTTTTCTTTTCAGGTTTTGACTACGGCGTACACTTTTCTTCATCATCTCATCGTGGATTTACCAGTAGGGAGGTCTCAGACCTGCGAAATTCGATGTTATTGACGAATTATCCCCGCTATCATCCTTTTTTCTTTGACCTGTTAACTATTTCCACAGGCAATGTTAGCATCAACCATATCCAACCTCAATCAAGAAGAGATAACTTACTTCTAACTGCACATGACGGTGCAGGTGAACCAACCAATCTACATAGCTCTGCGCCTCATTATTTCTATCTTCCACCAATAGTCTGGCAAATTCGTATTCTGCACCATCGAGACCTTGTCTCGCAAGCTGAATCGTCAAAGCCTTGGCTCCACGCATCGTCTTCAAATATTCTAGTATGTTTCGTACTTGAGCGCTGAGATGGGTTTGAAGCACAGGTAAAGATGAAAGATATGGATCCAGTGCCTTGAGATTATCTTTGTCTTCGCCAAATAGATCAGTGATGAGGTTAGGTGAAGTTTGACCGTGCATCCAGAGGTAGCAATTCTGTCCATTGTCCACAAGATATACCCCACCTTCTTCGACTCTAGCAAAAGAAGCTCGTACAGAGGGTGGCATCCTCAGATGGCCATCTTCATTTGCAAACCCATCTTCAGGGGCAAGATTATGAATTGGGATCATGCGAGGATAAAGGTACAGAGAAAGCTCTAGAGCGCCCATGCTTTTGATCATACGCGCGTCATGAACTCGGCGATCGGAAGGTTCTTGTCCTCCTTTGAAAGCTCGAGACTTGATAAGACCAAGAATGTACATACTGAATTCTTTGAGGTGCTCTGGTAGAACTAATTGTCCTGGAGGATGAGATCCAGAGAAATTCTTACGATATCCGGCCAAGATGTCAACATTCTTTTCTGACAAGGCGCCTCGAATTTCTTTCAATGAATGTGCCAGCATTTTTGATGCAGCCTCTTTTGCAATCAACGAGTAGATGGCATCCTGATCCACAAAGTTCATGCACTCCTTAGGTTGATCGCTTACACTAGCAATAACGTTCGAGCATCTTACTCTTCGCTCACCACTGGCTGTAGTGTAAAGCAAGGCACTTTGGAAGTGAGCATCCAACTTGGAATCCAGTTTTCCGTCATAACTGAATAAGACCCCCATGGCCTTATCCGAATCGATGACACCAAACTCAATATCAGCTCCAAAAGTATGTTGTATAAAATTGCCATGGTATGAAGATATTTGCAAGCCATTTGAACATCGGACCTTCATCAGCGCTTGATATCCAGTCTCTCGTGTAACAGAGCGCACAACTTCATGTGATAATTTCTCGTTATCTCGTGGAGAGACGAAGTTAGGGTAGTAAAATGTTTCTCCACCAGTAGCAGCAGCGACGTGACCTATCGAAACAGTTAGTCACTTCTAGTAATTGGCATATAAGATTGCATTTGTTTTACCTATTGTTGCAATGTCGAGATATCCACCGCCTGGAGCAGCAAGGAATAAGTCAATACCAACTCCGGTCGCAACCATTTTGTCTGCTGCTTTCCTCCAACCGGGATGCTCGGTAGTGAATAGCTTTTTGTCTTGCTCTCCGCCATGCTGTTTTCCATCATCACGGAGGAATAATCTGCCTGGGCCCCAGGTTGGAAGAGCTGACAAAGAGCACACAATCTTTCCTCCCGTCTTTTCAAGAGCTGCCATAGCTGCATTGATAGTAGGAAGTAATGCTGGCTCAGGATTTTTGATCTGAGAAAATAACTGTGGGAGTTGACGTAACAAAGAAGTAATGTTGGACTTCGCTTCATAAGGATCCACGAAAAAACCATCACTAAGGGGGACAAACGGATCCTCAATATCCGGCATAATTAACATTTGAGCTTGTTCCAGTGCAGGATTCATGTTATAAAAGTGAATGTCCTTGTCAAAAGTCACAAATCCGACTTTAGATCCTTCGGGAATTTTGCGTTTCGAAGATCCATCCTCTTCGGTCAAATCATCGCCTCCGTACAAAGCTGCTAGAATACCTTCACAAAACGCCTCCAAGAACCCTTTGTTTAGCGCTTCTTGACCAACATCAATCAAGAAAATCCATCTCAAGCCCACAGGTTCTTGCGACCAGTATTCTTTTGGAACCAGAAATTCGACAGTACCTCGCATCAACTCAGGCCTTTGCTCCCTATCAACTCTGGCCCCCTGTGGTGTAGTTGCGCAAAAGTATTCAGCAGGCACATCGTTCGCATAGTTGCACATATTGCATACAAACTTATTACCTCCGGACCTGAATACCATAAAAGGGTTTATGTAGGCACGGCATCTGTGACATCTAGGAGGACCCGTTTCTCCAAAGTCCAAAACTGGTATTTCGGGTTCACCCGGCTGCAACGGGGCTAAAGGTTGCAAAAGAAGACCGAGGGGCAAACCAGTCGAATGTAATGCATCAGCCGTGGATGGGATATTGTTCATCGTTAAACGTGCAAACTTTGGTGAAGCATTTCCTTGATCGTATGCAACGAATGGCACTGTAGCTGGAGGCGGAAGGTGGTGCTCGAAGGTTGGGTATACGTTCTTGAGGTAATATTGCGCTATCGCATCTCTCGATCGAGGTACACTGGGAATTTGATCTGGGTCTACTCGGCCTTGCGCTGAAGTCTGCACATTAGCAGAGAAGGCATCCCCAGGTCCAGTTCTCGCAGCGAATTCGGCAGGTGTGGCGGGGTTCGCGGGGTTAAATGGCGCATTCACAGGGGCAGGGAACTGTGACATTTGAGGTGTTATTGGCGAATTTAGGAACTGACCACCTGGAGATGGTATTAAAGAAGGGTCGGCATTGAGATAAGCTGAAGGAGGAACGCCGCCCTGCGGTATTCCATTAAATGCTTGTGAAGAGCCTTGAGCTTCTACAACATGATATGCGTGCCTATCCTTCTTCTTTTTCCTTGGGGCTGGCTGTTGATTCGATATCTGTAGATTCTCCATGCTGAGATCGTTTGGATCCGTGGGATGCATCATAGGATTTCCCTGATCTTGATATACAGGCTGTCCACCATAATATGGCTGCTGTTGCTATAAATAACGGTCAGTCCATGAAGAAAAAAACGGTGGATTCATTCTCAAAAGTCTTGTAAATAGAACAGATTGCCTTACGAAAGGAGGTTGCGCCATATTGTCTTTCAAAGATTCGGGCAGCTGCGAAATATTATAAGATCATATGGGTGCGAAGTAGTTGAGATTCCGCGACTACATAGGATATTGACAGAAATAACTGGCGAAAAACATTGAAATATAAGCCAAGGTATTAACTGAATGGAATTGAAGATATAAATTCCGTCCCACAACCGCTCCCTTAAGGCTACCTTGCCTCATGTCCTAAGACCAGGCCTAAACCTTAAATTTTTAGCGTACTATAACATTATTGGGTGTTCGGTCGCGGCTACAGCCTTTCCAAAATAGCCTTGTATTCTTTATTACTAGAATACATAGATTCGTTCTTCCATTCCATTTTATAATTGACACAGAATGCAATAACAATGTTTACTTTTTGTTCCTTACAGGGAGCGCAATCCGAATCATCGGCGTCGCAATCATTACTTGAGCTTGATGGAGGAGTTAAGGTGCTCATTGACGTGGGATGGGATGAAACTTTCGATGTGGAAAAGTTAAAGGAACTTGAGAAACAAATCCCGACGCTCTCACTTATCCTTCTCACTCATGCCACCGTTCCTCATATCGCAGCTTATGCCCATTGCTGTAAACACTTTCCTCTCTTCACTCGAATACCTGTCTATGCAACGCATCCTGTCATCGCGCTTGGAAGGACTCTCCTGCAAGATTTATACAGCTCAACACCACTAGCGTCAACCGTTATACCTACGACTTCTTCTTTCCTTCTTCAACCTCCCACGAAGGAGGAAATTAATTACTATTTTTCGCTCGTTCGTACTTTGAAATATTCGCAGCCCCATCAACCACTTAATGGAGTAACAATTACAGCCTACAATGCGGGACATAGTTTAGGAGGCACAATATGGCACATTCAACACGGGCTTGAGTCTATAGTTTATGCAGTGGATTGGAATCAAGCTCGTGAGAATGTTTTGGCTGGTGCGGCTTGGTTGGGCGGGGCAGGAGCGGGAGGTGCTGAGGTTATCGAGCAATTACGGAAACCGACCGCATTAATATGTAGCAGTAAGGGAGGAGAACGAGTGGCCTTACCTGGAGGAAGAGCCAAGAGAGATGAACTTCTACTTGATATGATCAAATCATCGATTAAAAGAGGTGGCATTGTCCTCATACCGACAGATTCTGGAGCGCGAATGATGGAACTAGCATATCTCATAGAGCATGCTTGGAGAGCTGGAAACCAGGAAGAAGAAAGCGCATTCAGGTCCGCGAAACCTTACCTAGCAGTCAGTACAAGTGAAATGACGATGAGATATACGAGGAGTATGTTTGAATGGATGGACGAAGCTATTATTCGAGAGTTTGAAGCGCAGCCTGGCCACGAGGAACAGCAAACTGGACAACAGAGGAGACACGCACACTCAGATGAATCAAAACAAAATGCCGGCCCATTCGAGTTTAAACATCTTCGACTACTAGGGCGAAAGGGTCAAATTGATCGAATCTTAAATGAGACAGACAATTTAGGAAGATCGGTAGGAAAAGTAATTCTTGCCAGTGACACTTCCATTGAATGGGGATTTTCGAAAGAAGTTCTGCGGAAAATTGCGGACGATGACAAAAATCTTCTGATTTTGACAGAAAAGTTGAATCGTATTGACGGAGTTACAGGATTGGGCAGGACTTTGTGGTCATGGTGGGAGGAACGACGCAGTGGAGTTGCTACCGAACCAAGCTCAAATGGAGGAAATTTAGAGCAAGTCCACGGGGGAGGAAGAGACCTTGAAATCAGGGAACCTAAACGTATTCCGTTGGAGGGTAATGATCTGACTGTTTACCAACAGTGGTTGGCGACACAACGTCAGTTGCAGAACACTCTTCAACCGGGTGGTGCTACAGCTCTTGAAGCTTCTGCCGATATTGTTGATGATGCTTCATCAGATTCATCTTCAGATTCCGATGATTCTGAGACTGAACAGCAAGGAAAAGCTCTTAACATATCAGCAACTATGGGTCAAGCGAACCGAAAAAAGATTGGCTTGAGTGATGAAGATCTTGGCATCAATATACTTCTTCGAAAGAAAGGTGTTCACGATTTTGATGTAAGAGGAAAGAAGGGTCGTGATAAGATGTTTCCTATGGCGATCAGGAGGAAACGAAATGATGATTTTGGAGAACTGATTAGACCCGGGGAATTCTTGAGAGCAGAAGAACGGGATGAGGTGGATGGACAGGAACCACAACGATCTGGGAAATATGACACGAAAGATACCCTCGGCAAAAAACGAAAGTGGGATGATGTTGCAGCTTCCGGGAAACGTAGAGTGACGAATGAGGGCAAGCGACAGCAGGTCGGCAATAACGAGGATGGCTCCGTAGCAGATGTTTTGGAAGAGGATGATCTAATGGATATTGTAGAAGAAGAGATTCCTGGACCATCCAGACTGGATATCTCAGTTGAGACACTCAAGATCAATCTTCGAATTGCATTTGTCGACTTCGCTGGGCTTCACGACAAACGCAGTCTTCAGATGTTGATACCTCTAATCCAGCCTCGGAAGTTGATATTGGTCGGTGGTATGAAAGATGAGACGTTAGCACTGGCCAACGATTGCAGAAAGCTGCTTGGTAGCACTAAAGATAAGCTCGTCGATGTATACACGCCAGAAATCGGTATTATCATTGACGCAAGTGTAGATACTAATGCGTGGGCTGTGAAGCTTACTGACTCATTGGTTAAGCAATTGCGCTGGCAGAACGTCAAGGGCTTGGGAATTGTTACTCTTACTGGTCGATTAGAAACTACAAATATTGGTACCGATTCGCATGATTTGGAAGGTGCCAATAAGAAGCAAAAGATGCTGACAGGAGAATCAGAGGAAACTCCAACGCAGGCAGCTCTTGATTCGGCAAAAGCTGTTGTTGAGATGCCAATTCTAGATGTACTACCTTCAAATATGGCTTCAGCAACAAGATCAGTTGCGCAGCCTTTACATGTTGGTGATTTAAGGCTAACAGATCTACGAAAAATCATGCAATCTTCTGGTCTTACTGCAGAACTTAGAGGAGAAGGTACTCTTCTGATTGATGGATCTGTCATTGTCCGTAAAACTGGTACCGGGAGGATTGAGGTAGAAAGCGTCGGTGTGACAACGAGTTCCTTTTATGCTGTTAAGGGGAAGATTTATGAAGGCCTCGCGGTAGTGGCAGGTGGATAAATCATTCAGAATCGGAAATTATTAGTATTTTTAAGCATTTCAAGGATAGGTGGAAACCTACAGCATTTTTGTACCATTACTATGTAGATGACCTCAAGGTTAGGTTCCATCTGGCATTCACAAAATTCAACATATACCCACATTTATTTGTGAGTGATTCATCCTTTAACTGCTAATTAATGCTCAGTATGTTTTTGATGGGTTCAATGAAGTTTTACCTGAATCACTGGAGGCAAGTTTGTTAATTGAAAATGCTCCATGATTCACAAATGTTTTCTCCATTCACAACCTCTATTTTTTTTGGTTCAAGTACAATCCGTTTCATCTTCTCTATTTATTCATGGCTTTCCTTGGTCCAAATGTAAACAAGTCATCAACATTCTATTCATCTACAACGCCCTTTTATACTCACTGTCTCTCATACCTTCACTTCCCTAAACTATACCTTCATCAGACAACCAGGAAAAAAGCTCGGCATATTATTCTGAACTCGTCATCGTGGCGTCCTCCCAAGAAACAAGATTTGTAACTTTACCTCCACACGAAGACGTGCAAGTCATCTTAACATACAAAACACTCTGTGATCCCTTTAGCGTCATTCAACAAGTCCAGCTTCTTCGTATACAAATCTTCGACGTTGCCGGTTGCGAAATCTTCTACCATCAAGAGCTCACAGCAGTAGCTGACACTTCAAGTGGTTGGAATAGATATCACGGTCGAGATCCAGGACCACCACCACCGCCATATCCACCTCAGCAACCTTTTCCATCCCAGCAGCGAGTCGATCAACCTATCATCGCACAAGTCCCCGTCATTTATCCTTCCAGTCTAAGAAGGCCATAAATTTCCGGCGTACCATACAATACATATCACGGTCAGGATTCCGGTCCACCTCCACCCTACGTCGGTATGGCATTCCCAGTGGGTTACGCACCACCCCCCTACGGCTGCCCCGACCCATATTCTAATGCAAGCTATGGACCACCAGGTTTCGTAGCTCCTCAGTATCATTTCCCCGGTACCCATCCAGCACCCCCTCCCGCCGATAAAAGTGGTGTGCCTGGCATCAACGTCCAAAACCAATTCGGCGGCGTCGGTCTTCCCCCAGGCTACAACTATCTCTTCCCGACCTCGCACTGTCTCGTCCACGTATTCGTAACAGGCTCAACACCACCCTGGCAAGCAAACTCCCCGCTCTATACTTACGATGTAGGCAATCATCGAAAATTCTTTATTCCGGCTACTATGACGGTTAAGGAAATGATGCAGCAGTTGGGCTGCAGTAATGAGGATCCGGATAAGAATGTGATGACGGAGGTTCAGGAAGTGGGGAATGGAAAGTGGACGAAGGGGATGGTTTTTACGGGCGGGAATAAGGATAGAATGAAGATGACGTTGAAGGATTTGGGGTGGGATACGGGGAGGAAGAGAACGGGGTTGCCGGGACAGTCGCCTTTGATTTGGGTTTATATTACGGGGGATTAGGAGACTTGAGAAGTTGTCGGAGGTTTGCATGATGGTTCGGGGTATTGGAGGTGTAGGTGGAGTATGCGAATTGTGGTTGCATATGGTTTTTATCGTTTCGAGGGGTTTAATCACGATAAAGTGTGGATTCCCACTATCTGTATGTTTTTTCATGAAGATTTATCTAGTTTATTCGATTTTTAAACGTTGGGTCTATCGTACGGAATATGTTCATTGCAGGCAATGCGAGATTTCTATAGTTCCATTCGTCAAATAGTCATATGTAGTTTGGTTACAATAATGAAATCTATAAAAAATGTGCACATTTCATGATCTTACAATCAGATATCTTGCCTCTTTTTACTCTATTCTTGTGTCTTTGTGTCAAACCTGGTATTATGTTCTATTCACTAGCACTCGGCCCTTTCTACATTCGCTTGTGATTCGATTTGCTAAATGCTTGTGAATGGATTATTATTATAACTAACTAGGTGGCGTGTGAGTAATTCAAAATATCACTGATATTCCCGTCTAGCAAGGACACCCGAATACAAATTTTTTATTAGTTTATCACCACTCGAGTGTAGACAGCGGGAATAATATTATACAGGAGGTAAAGTCTAGCATTTCTAGATATTATACATAAAAGTAGTGGGATTTATAAACTTTGAGATATGACTTTTAGTCTCGCTTCATACAATCGTTTCCCCCTCGCTTACTATTTATCGCGGTCATTTGGAAATGGATGTGAGTGATCTGTAGATTCTATAGATATTTAGGAATTTGTTTATTGGATTTTGCTGGTGAGCGCTTGTTCGGAGATTTGTATGGCTTTTTGATCATGATATAATAAATGTATATGTAGATGATGAGACGTCTGGTAAACACATGATGCTTGCTGTTCATTTTATTGTTTGTTTACTATTGAATTCATCTTCTCGCGATGTATGATGCTAGCTATATCATTATTGCTGATGCGGAATTAATGTGTTCAGTAGGTATTATCTTGAAATATATGGCAAACCACTATATAACCCCGTCGGACTCGTCGCGTGCCCTGGCTCTTGGTATGATCGACAACAGAATAGAAGGCAAAGCTTGAGGTGATGCATTCTAGTTACGAAGAAATATACATACTCAGGGTACATGGATGGATTACTAAAGGTTAAAGCTTGCAGATAAGATAGAGCATCGTCAAAGCACTTTTTAGGAAGGTACATGCGAAACACAGAGTCCAAGGTTCCACAAAAACGTCGGATGGTTGGAACATTTCCGATATCAAGATTCACACCACAAACAATGAATATCGACGTCTAGGTACCTAGTATTTCTCACTCCAAACTTTGTCGTCTTACAGGCAAGATTCTTGTGACAAGCAAACATCAGGTAAAGGTTTGCCAGCAACGTATCTTCATCAGAAATCGATGCTTGAGATCATAGAATTAACCTATCGCTGGTATCCATCGCCATCTGAACCCCGCGCGTTGCTCCATTCGGAATGTCCATGCGACGATGAAAACCAATAAGGTGGTAGGTAGGTGGGGTACAGACATGAAATATATGCATCTTCTAATAGGAGCCACGATAAGATTATGCGATTTTTCCAGAGAAGGTGTCCAATAGATTGTGATGGAAAGTTATCGTGCAATGAATAGTTATTCATAATTGAAATACTTAGATCTTGGCTCAGGATCAGGTAGGTTAGAGATAAATCTTACATATATTGAGCGGTTCCTTCGTCTATCATCCGTTTGCCTTCTTTTCCTTTCCTCTGTACTCTTTCCTGCCAGATTGTGTTGGATTCAAACATACCATCTCACACAATATGTCGACAGAACAAGCACCAGTCTCCCTCCCGTTCGTGGGTGCAAAGAAAACTACTTTGGAGCATCCTCTGGGTCCATTGACTGCTTCCGAGATCTTACAGAGTTCACAGATCCTTAAGGGTTCATGGCCTGCTGAGGTTACAATTCAATTCAAGTCCATTACTCTTCAAGAACCAAATAAGGCGGAATTATTTCCATTTCTCACTGCTGAGCATTCGGGATCTGCTCTTCCAAAGATTGATAGAAGAAGTTTTGTGGTTTACTATATTAAGAATACCGTGAGTTCGACCGACTGGCTGCTTCATTACCTATTTGCTCGAGTGGCAAATTTCGAATTTCCTCAACGGTTGATGTTAACATGTCTTGCAGGATAAATTACATGAAGCTATCATCAATCTATCTACTGGACAAGTAGAGAGCAATGTCAGACTTGGTCCAAACGTCCACAGTAATGCCGATGGAGAAGAAATCATTGCAGTGGAATTAGCTGCCCTGGCGGATGAAGGTGTGAAGGCCGAGATTGCAAAGCTTCAATTACCAGAGGGCACCGTAGTTGTTTGTGACCCATGGATTTATGGTGAGTTTACTTAATACTTCGAAATGGTCGTTATACTGACGATTCTAGGTTCCGATGGAATTAATGATGGCCTTTTCACCGATGATGAGCGCTTCTATCAATGTTTCCTCTATGTTCGGGATCCAAAGAATCCCAACGAAGCTGATAGCAACCATTATGCTATGCCTCTTACTATTTCTCCAGTCATCAGTGCAGAGACTATGAAAGTTACACGTATCGATTACATGCCAACTGGAGCCGATCACACAACCAAGGAACCATCTCCATATAAAGTCCAACCTGCCAACGAATATATCCCTGAAGCACAAAATCTCCGAAAAGACCTTAAGCCATTGAATGTTATTCAACCAGAAGGTGCTTCATTTAAAGTATCTCAATTCAGCGAACAAGGGCATACTGTCGCGTGGCAAAAATGGACTTTCAAGGTTGGATTCAACCAGAGAGAAGGCATGGTTCTTTATGATGTTCACTATGATGGACGCCCTCTCTTTTACAGATTATCTCTTTCAGATATGAACATTCCATATGCCGATCCTCGTAACCCATTTCACAGAAAGGCCGCCTTCGATCTCGGTGATGCAGGTGCTGGTATCATGGCAAACAATCTCCAACTCGGATGTGATTGTCTTGGCTCAATCCATTACCTCTCGGCCGTTCTCAATGATGACAAAGGAGAAGTTCTTGAAATGCCAAACGTGGTCTGCATTCACGAGCAAGATAATGGTATCGGATGGAAACACACCAATTACAGAACTGGTCGTGCAGCTGTTGTCCGTAACAGAGAACTCGTTCTTCAATCTATCATCACAGTCGCAAACTACGAATATATCCTCGCTTTCCAATTTAACCAAGCCGGAGAAGTCATGTATGAAGTTCGAGCCACCGGCATTCTTTCAACCCAACCCATTGACGAAGGTCTCACCGTTCCATGGGGAACTGTAGTTCACCCAGGTGTTCTCGCTTCTCACCATCAACACATCTTCTCTCTCCGCGTAGACCCCATGATTGATGGTCCACTCAACAGCGTCGTCTACGACGAAGCACACCCCATGCCCCGCAGCGACTTTAACCCTCACGGAGTTGGCTACACCGTAGACAGCACTCCCATCACCACCTCCGGCGGATACGATCTCAACTACGACGTTAACCGCACCTTTAAGATCCAAAATTCCTCAATCAAAAACCCAATTAACGGAAAACCCGTCGCCTACAAAATCCACGTTCCTCCTTTCCAAAAAATGCTCGCAGATAAAGATTCTTTCCATTTCAAACGTGCCGAATTCGCCGATCACAATATCTACGTTACTTCCTACCGCGAAAATGAACTCTACGCCGGAGGCAAATACACAAACCAATCTCGAGGTGGAACTGGTGTACGTTCTTTCGCAGCTCGAAAGGATAATGTACAAGATGATGATATTGTTGTCTGGGTCCAATTTGGTATTAACCATGTACCAAGAATTGAGGATTTCCCAGTTATGCCTGTTGAAATTATCAAGGTGGCTTTGAAACCGGTTAATTTCTTCACGAAAAATCCAGCTATTGATGTACCTCCTTCAGAACAAAGTTTCAATAAGAGTGTATTGGCAAAAGATAGTGCTGCTCAACATCATCAGGAAACTGGTGCTGCTGTGATTGGAACAAATGGAGATGTATGTTGTGTTAAGGAGGGAAGTAAATTGTAAGAACAACAATTTACGAGGTTTGGGTAGGGAGCATAGGAGTGTGGAGATGCGATCTACGAACAAAATGATATGATGTGATATGATATGACGAGAGAAATAGTCTCTACATATTCATCAGTACGGCGTTTGGAATCATGGGAATTTTTCGTCGTAGTTATTATTTGTATGGGAACAAAGGCGTTAGCTTTGGTTAGGTGATGAATCATGGAAATACCAGGAGAATGGCTAGCTACCTATTTACTATCTATTCATGGATCGATCTGACGGTATCTTTTTTGTAGTTGAAAGTCATGTAGAAATATATACTTAGTATTGTACTCCAAAAATTTTGAGGGTTGATTTGGTTTCGTGATGGGTGAATGGGTGCATGAGTGCATGAGTGCATGAGTGCATGAGTGAGTATATAAATAAGTGAGCAAGTGAGTGGGTAAGTGGGTGAATGAATGAGTGAGTGAGTGACGAGTAACTAAATCTCATCTCTTTACCCCTCTCTCTCTTCATCTCTTCATCTTTATTTAACATCTATCAAATATCTTTCTTTTTACTAATATAATATAATATTTATTTATAAATAATAAAACAAATAAATAATTTAATATGATAAATTATACTCTATAAATATTTTAATAATAAATTTAAAAAGAAATAATCTCGTTCATTATTGATCATTGATTATCTATTGATTATATAATATGAAAACTCTAAAGAGTTTATAAACATTTTTATTCTCCGCGCGTGATATTCCCGCTGTGAGTTAATTGTTTAGTGTATACTAGGTACTAGGTAGTAGGTACTAGGTAGAAAGTATTTACTAATGGAAACTCCCCGTAAAGTATAATCTATAATCCTTGATATGAACTTGACTCAGATTTGTAGGGTTCAATTGTTCGAAATCCTAGGTTAATTACTCCGTCCACTAGTCTCGTAAGGTGGGTAGTGACTCGGGAAACCTGCACTTTTTTTATTCATTCATTTATTCATGCATTTGTGATCTGTGGCGATGGATTGATCGTTCATTTATTAACCTTTACTCTATAGAATCACAATGATGATCGGCACCGAGCCGTCCACTTCATCCACTTCATCCACTTCATCCATTTCATAGTCGGATAAGTCCTCATCTAGCGACATCGGCAATCCCGTTCATTTTCCCCTTCGTAAATCTCCTCATGATCTCATGCAGCATGCTTGCTTGCTTGCATCCCCCCCATCCCATCCCATCCCGTCAACCCAGCGCCCTGCACCCTGCCATCTCGGTATATGCTAACTATATGATGGTGGTATATTATCATTCTCTCATCTGGAGTCTAGCCCGTAACCTAAAGTACCTTGCTAGGTATTGATATATTGATATGTTGATACATTCATTACTCGAGCATCTTAAGCCATCTGATGAGGAAGCAGCGAGTTTATTTTTATTTTTATTGACTTTATGTTTTTGTTTTTGCTTTTGGTTTAAACTCTTAACTTGACTGCTTAATTTGCTTAATACGAGTATAATAGATGGTTGATATATCGAAAGTGAGAATGTAAAAGTCTTGTTGATAGACCAATTTGTAGAATGATATGCGGAGGACTTGTGTTAGGTAATTATGGTTCATGTCATGGCTTGAATGGAATGATATGAACGCGGAGTTGGAACCCCGCGTTTTGGATGTGTGGGGAGGGAGGGATTTGTCATCAGTCATTGAATTCGCTGTAAGATGATTACTTAGGTAGGTAGGTAGGTACTTGGGAGAAGAAGGAAGGAAGAAGGAAAGGAGGCTGTTTATCATTGCTCGTTTGAATATCGAGGTACTTGTATCTTATTCCATCTAACACATGATGTTATCTGTTATACCTATGTTATACCTATGTTATACCTATGCTATACCTATGCTATATGTAGTTTTCATAATATACAGGACGAATTACTTGGATAGATATACCAAAGACATGGATAGGTCTAGTAAATGTTGTAAATATTGATGATGACAGAGGAATCAAAGGTCTAAATATCCAAATATTCATATCAGACTCTGTTGATTTATAAGGTTATATATACCTATCTCCTTTGGCGTTCCTCCTCGACTATCCTTTAAATATATATCACCATCTTTGTAATATACTATGCTATACTATATTCTACTACACTATACTATACTCTACTCTACTCTACTCTACTCTACTCTACTCTACTCTACTCTACTCTACTCTACTCTACTCTACTCTATACTATACTCTACTCTACTCTACCCTACTCTACTCTACTCTCTCTCCCTCATTACAAAGAAACATGAACATCCCCCGTCCAGTGTATACTAAGTATTCTCACCTTAGACAACATCAAGATTCCAAACCCCAATCCCTCAACATCCCCCTCAACATCCCCTCACTCAACCACTCAACCCTCAACCCCTCCCCCACCCTCGGCCCCAACATCCGAACCAGCTCTGCACCGGGAATAAGCTTCTCCTCCAACAACAACCTTCTATCCAACCCTCCAGATCCAATTTTCCATTCCCATTCCCATTCCCATTCCCATTCCCATTCTAATTCCAATCCCCGTTCTAGATCTTATCCGTTAAGCCGTTCATGAGTCAATGATCGGTCATCCATCAAATGGAATATTGTATTGTATTGTGTTGTATTGTATTGTAGATCTTCTGGATTCTTTTTGTGTATTTTGTCTCTTGTCACCATCTCGTCTTCCTTCTCCCGTCCGCCAAACCTTCCATAACCTGTCTTTCCACCATCCATCTACATAGGTATCAAGATCAATATCAATACCTATCCCTCCAGCTCATCCATCGCATTACAAAGAGAATAACCCCAAAGTTTGAGTCATACCCCCATCGACCAAGCTCTACTTTTCATACATACATTTTTCTAACCTGCGAGCTTACGACCAACTTTTTTATTTCCGGATTTCCTTGGAGCAGAGGATCCACTTATTTTATCTATTTATCTATTTATCTACCTCCCTACCTATTGATGACTCCTCAATCTTTTGATATGAATGAAATGACATCCCCGATTGAAGATTGTGGGATTTGAACTTCTTGTATATATTTTGAATATTTTGTTATTGTGTATATTTTGTGTACCCGAGGGAATCATATATCTTTCTCTTCCTCTTCCTCTCTCTCTTCCTCTCTCTCTTCCTCGACCTTGGATTGGATTTGGGAGTAGAGTATAGAAAAAGCCTTACATACATAGGACTCCATTGGCAGTTTAAACCGAAATGTCGACACCCATTTCCAACTCCTATTCCAATTCCCATCCCTATCCTCAATCCCAAACCCAAACATCCAATCCCACCACCCTCACTAGCACTCCCAAATCCACATCTTCCAACTCCCCCTCCGTCTCCTCAAATCACAAAACCATCGAAATTTCTGCAGACCTCTCAAATCCAGATGCATACGCAGATCCAGACCTGGACCTCAGAACCGGCGACGAAGAAAAACAAACAGCAATTGAAGAAACTTTAGCCCATAGAACAAGAACAAATGGAACTCAGGTGACGACGGCGAGTTGGAGGGCGTTAGGACCACCTCCTGATGGAGGTTTGAGGGCTTGGATACAAGGTGTGTTTTTGTGATTTCTTTAGTCTTTTGGGGGTGTGGAGGGTAAGAAGGAGAGGGAGGCGGTTTGAGGAAGCGAGTGTGATTTGACGAGGGGAGGAGGAAGAAGGGACATGGGGAAGAGGAAGAAGGGACATTGGGAAGAGGATGTAGTGGTGATGACAGGCTAGGCTAGCACTCAATGAGCTTTTGGTGGAAGTACCCAAATATTCAAAAAGTGTACATTTTGAAGAACTTGTCAGTGCAAGTATCAGGACAAGTGTAAATACAAGTAATGCACAGATGTGAATATGGAAGCCAAAAAAAAACAAGAGATGAAGAAAGACAAAAATAATAAAACGCACATATATTGATATTATATAAAATGGATTGGGCTAGATGCTAAAAAGAAATAATTCTGGTTCACTGCTAGAAACCAACGAGACATCACTAACTTCACAACATCTAGTGATCCTCAGCCACCTTGTCATCATGAATACATGGTTAGTAACCTCTTCCCAATTCCCTCCCCTTGAACAAGACTTCCAAACACAACTTCCAAATACAACTTCTAAATAACCCACCTAACAAACACCCAGGGGATTCATAAACTCCTTCGGCGTCTTCCAGACCTACTACGTAAGCAAGCTCCAACGTCCCGCCAGCTCCATCTCCTGGATCGGCTCCGTACAAATCTTCCTCCTCTTCTTCATCGGAACATTCACGGGACGCCTCACCGACGCCGGGTATTTCCGCTCCGTATTCCTCGTCGGTACAATCATCGGACTGGTAGGAATCTTCATGGCATCCATCTCAACAACTTATTGGCAAGTCTTTCTCGCCCAGGGAATTTGCATGGGTCTCGGAAATGGCTGTTTATTTTGTCCGGCCCTGGCAACGTTAAGCACGTATTTTAGTACGAAGAAGAGTTTGGTCATTGGGATTGCGGCCGCCGGGAGCGCGACTGGTGGTGTTATTTTTCCAATTATGGTACAGCAGTTGCTACCACGCATTGGATATGGATGGACTATGAGATCCTTGGGTCTTATTCAATTGGTGTGTCTAGGAGTTTGTAACCTGGGCATTAGACAAAGGGTTCCTCCTAGGAAGAGCGGCGCGTTGATAGATTATGCATCTTTCAAAGATATACCCTACATGTTATTTGCGGCTGGGATGTTTTTCGTAAGTAACCTATCGAGCTGTATTGATCTCAATTTGTAATATGAAACATAACACAAACTAAAACCACCAAAAATAGAATTTCTGGGGTATATACTTCGCTTTCTACTACCTAGGCGCCTACGCAAGAACCATCATCGGACTCCCCCTTCCAGAATCAATAACCATAATCATCATCCTCAACGCGGTGGGAATAATCGGACGAATCCTCCCCAACCACCTCGCCGATCGATACTTCGGTCCACTTAATACACTCCTCCCAATAACCCTCATCAACAGCCTCCTCTGTTTCTGCTGGATAGCCGTTTCTTCCCGAAAAGGTCTCTATGCATGGGCAATCATGTATGGGATATTTGCAGCGGGCATTCAAGGTCTTTTTCCAGCTACACTGAGTAGTCTTACGACGGATATGCGGAAAGCGGGTGTGAGGATGGGGATGGTTTTTACGGTAGTTAGTTTTGCAGTTTTGACAGGGCCGCCTATTGGCGGGGTATTGGTGCAGAGGAAAGCTGGGAGTTATGAGTACGCGCAGATTTTTGTGGCGGGGGATTTGTTCGTTGGGTGGGTGTTTTTGCTTTTGGCTAGACGGGCGCGTTCGAGGGCTTGGGGGGTAAAGATGTGACGGAGATGTGAGCATTGATTGATTGACTGTAAGGTGTAGGGTTCCTTGGGCCCTTGATTGTGAGATACGTGTATGTCGTAATAAATTCTACAATCTACCCTATCAACCAAGCTATTTTTTGCCACTATAGAAATAAATTAAACAACCAACCACAAACCAAGCACAGAAATATAAAACAGCCCCAAAAATTGAAAATAGAAATAACCTCAAATCCAAACCTAGAACCACCGGATATCCCCGGGTGAGCCTGGTAAGGTAAGGTATGGTGGTGAGGTGAGATAGAGTAGAGTAGGATACGGTAAGAGAAGGGAAAGTTTAGTTAACCTTGAATAAGCCCCCTCCCTACCCTACCTTGTTATCTCGAGAACAGGAACAAAAATAAGAATAGAAATCGTAATTCTAATACCGCGACTCGGGGTGCAGAGAACCGGAGAACTCTATAGAGTATTAATATTAAATAGAGTGGTTCGTATCAGTCTCTTTATGATTGTTTTATTTTATTTATTATATTTATAGTCTATTATTAAGTAATCAACTTTGGTTATTTAAAATTAATATTAATATTAGATATTTATATTTTTAGTTATTTAATCTAATTTGGGTTATTTAATTTATCAAAATTATTCAAGTTATTTAAATTATAAAAGATAATAAATTAAATTAGTTAAATTAATTATTATTATTATTATTTATTTAAATATTTTTTTGAAAAAACATTTGAATTAAATTAAATTGATTTATTTTCTTTTTTTTTCTTTTCTTTTTTTTCTTTTCTTTTTCTTTTTTTTCTTTTTCTTTTTCTTTTCTTTTTCTTTTTTTTTCTTTTCTTTCTTTTCTTTTCTTTTATTTTTTAATAATTTTATTTTTAATATTTAAATTTTATTTTTAATATTTTTTAATATTCTTTTTAATATTCTTTTTAATAGATTTTTAATAGATTTTTTTATTTTTTTTTTTTTTAATTTAAAGACTTTAAGATTGGGTTTAAAATTAAAATTAAAAATATCATTTTGATTTTTATTCTTTTTAGATTTTAAAATTTAATTTGATTTAATCTTATTTTTAATAATATAAAATATAAAATATAAAATAAAAACAACTTTATTATTATTATTTTTAAAAGATAAGTTTTAAAATCAATTTTAAAATATTATAAAAAAATTAAAAAAAATTACTTTTATAAAATATTGAAAATCCAAAATTTGAAATTTATAATAATTATTAAAGAATTTTAAAAAAATATATCAAAAAAAATATTTTTAATTTTTATATCTATTCATCAAGTTATATTATTAAATCTCGAAATCTATTTATTTAAAATATATATATATATATTTTCTTTATAAAATGATAACAAAGAACTCAATCACAAAAAGAAGATATTTATTTATAATAACTACCTACTCATGTTCACCGATAAGTGAATAAATGAATAAATGAATCATCACAAAACACAAAAACACCAAGTAGAAAAAAAGCTTTCAATCTGCAGCACTACTAAACCCAATCCATAGATGAGGAAGCCGTTCAGATGCCCCAAATGGCTTTTCTTATTACATCTGCATCGACTTGGGAAAGCGGGGGTTCCATTCGAGGGAGGGATGACCGAAGTATCTCGGTGATATTCCCCAAGAGAAGAGCCCCATAATATGACCGAGGGGATGACACGTGATTCGTTGTACTGTGAGGGTGGAGCCGCGAGGGTGCAAGTTAAACCTTCGAGGTTAATCTTGAAGATGGATGTGGAGTCGTGGAAGGGTTGGTATTGACACATTGGCTGCATGGCAGGCATGTACTCGAGCTAGTTAGCTACTACATAAGCATAACTAACTAGTCAGCATTGATTGTATCATAATTCCAGGGTCCTTTCTAATTTCTTTCATAAAAACGGATGAATGGTCGCCGATGATTGAGCAGTAGACTAGACTCACTAGTCATGGGTATGACCGTTTAACGGCCGCAATCAACGATCATCAGGGCAAATTAAATCGAGAAAGTAAACCTTAACTGAATCCAGGAACGTACCTACAACTCTATTCCAGAACCCTAACCTGGAAAAATTCCTTTAGCAACAGATCAGATAGATGAAAGGGTAACTGCAAAGCTTCAAATGGCCATAAAAAGCTCTCCAGGGGACTGTCAGGTATGACTTGGATAGGTGGGTGGTTGTAGCGCAGTTGAGACAGCCATCTGCATCTACAGGCATTTGCCTGTCTTTGAAAATCTTTATAAATTGTTCACATCTGCCAAGGTTAATTACAAGCTTCAACCCACGAGATCATGTCCATACTTAAAAAGTACCTGGTAAGTAAGGCTTAGCCTGCCCGTATGCAATTTGGAAGGTTGCGAAGTCACCGAAGTGTCGGAATATTGTGGACGTTGACATTTGGCAACATCGTGCTCTTGTTCTCAGGAGAAGTGCTAATTTCTAGCATAATGCTGGCAAATACGCTGCTTTGTATTTGCTGATCGTGGCTTTGCATTATCAAATCAAAACGGAAGGATGCTCTCCGTGACTCTATTACTCCGCATATCTGCTGCTTCTTTCATCCTTCTAGAAAGTAGATTGTCATGGATGCATTGTAAAAGCTCTGAGTCCCAATTAATCTTGTTGTCTTTGCGCTTGTTCAAAGTACTCTAGCCCTATGAGTGACGGACGACAGGGATAAGTGATGGTCGCCGCATAATCCTTCATCCGTCATCGGTTTAAAAATATCACGAATTTCATCGTCTCTCGTGTACGGAGCACACACTTCGTACGGTACTCGCGGTAGCTAAAATTTTTGATTCGATAGATATTTGGGACTCTGGAGAGAGATGAATGGCGGGGCGGCGGGGTGATGTTGGAAGTTTGAGACATGTCATTGAAATGATTCAAAAGTGGAGGCTTTTGTGGACGGGAAGACCCATCATACGATCTTGCTCCCCTTCTTCTCAGTCGAAACGTGTGCTTAGGTACCTGGACAGATCGTTGCTTAGACCTCTCTCAGGGAAAAGCTTATGCAGCTGTAGATTAAACTTTGTGATTTCTCCCTTGTTGGACGATGGAACCCAATCACATGGAGGATACAAAAGTGTGTAAACTTTAAGAAGCGTAGCGTACAATGCGAGGGGGTCCCTTTTCGTCCTTCAAGTCGCTTCCATGACGCCCGAAAATCATTTAGCGGTCAAGATCAAACGCAATCTCACAAACTGGTGATATATGAGATGATATTCTAGGCAGTATATGGAGTAAAGCGTCGAACCTTAACTGGTAATATCCAACGCCCAGTGTTTCTTCAGCTCGTTACAGACTTTATTCAGTGACAAAGCTTGTTGAAATGAGTTATGGAGACCTGTCAACGGGAGAGCATCATGCTAGGTATGATAATTGGTGGATGAAATAGGGGATTTCGGAAGTGTTAAATCTTTGAGAAGTTTTTATTGATGTATAGATCTGGATGCAATCCTACATATGGACATGTTTCGGCATTGCGCGTCAAATTTGGGACGAGGCTTCATGACTCGTCAGATAAAGTGTATTTGTTGACGTACATTGTTGATGTACGGTATGAAGTTAAAGAAGTTGTATGAGATGTCAAGATATCAAGAAGTCGAGGTGTGGAGGTGCCGAGGTTGCTTTAGTTGTGTTGAATTGCGGCAAGCGAGTAAGTGATGTAAGTGAGTAAGTTTGCGTGGCTGTTCACCCGCCCTGACCGTAGAAACTACCTGGGTAGCTGCATGTAGGAGAAAAAACTCTAAATGCTATGAGGTATGAGATAATGCACGAAAACGTAAGTGCAACCCTATGGAGCGCACACGATATAACATTTCATCATCCACTTTTGACTTAATGATGAATTGATGAATTGATGAACTAATGAGCTAATGCAGCGAATGAAGGCAGAACCGAGATATCCCATGTTGGACTGTGGAAAAGACTGGACCCCAAATTGAAGGAGGTTGAAAAAATTAATTAATCGAGTTTTATACTCCATAGATCTACTTAGTAGTCCCGTACGTCGTACGTACCAGTGTTCAAATTCTACAGAGATCTTTGAAGACCTTTGAAGACCTTTGAAGACCTACCCAGACAACTTCGACAGCCCTCAGGTCCATAGAGACTAACTAACAGCATTTCTAGCTACTCAGCGTACACTCACACGGTACCCTCAGACATTCAATCTCGCGCCCTAAACTTGAAATCCGAATTGTGGGATACTATCATGGAATTGTGCACTACTAGGGAAAGATTTCCGTATGGAGAATCAACATGTAGGTGGGATTTGTGGGATTTCTAACTGGTACAAGAGAAGTCGCCTGCATCGGAGTACCGGTAAGGCGCTTTACCTAAGAAGTGTCTGGCTCCTTTTTCTGCTCTCGGTACTTTCTACCAGGGTCAAGATATCTGACCCGTTTTGACCTCAAAAGTAGCGTCACGACTCATCACCACCAAATCATCAAATATCAGCCTAATTCTGAATCTTAATGCCAAAAGTCCTGCTGTCGCTAGGCTGTCGGAAGAGCAGAACTCTCCGCCCAATACCTGATGTGCATATATACCCCATGTGAGCAAGCATGCACATAATAGTGATAACACGCACACGCACACACACATACACATAATTAGAAATAGAATGAACTTAACGGTTTTCTAGAAGCCGCCGTCCCCGCCTAAAAATCTTCGAAATGGCGGTGCGTCGATGCATAAGTCAGGTCCTCAATGATCTCTTACTGAAAGAGGTATGGACCTCGACCGTTCTGTGTGATGCATATAAGTAAGTTTTTCGTATGTGAGAGAGATATCAATAAGGCTAGTAATAGAAACAAAAGGTCGGCCCATCGTATTAAAACCACTATTAATAACGGACATTTTGAACTTTGATAACTGCTCAGTACGTACATACTACACATGTATGGCAAGATGCTTGATATCCTCTATAAAAATACTCGCTACTTGATACTCTAGAAGGTTCCTCGTCGGTTAATGATAAGTCTCATAATAGCTATACAAATAAATACAGTATTGATACATGAATCTAATCGCTTCTGCTACGTATCTTGTTCAACTCGAGAAAAGGCGATTGATCACATATTCATCTGCAATCGATGATACTCACCGTGAAGACGTTGGCAATTGACTTTATTCACTAGGTTCTCTTGTCAAGTCAATTGTGAGTTATTAGTTATGACTTATTAGTATTCCCGTCACTTTCGAATCTCTCATGAGTTTCATCACATATCAACAGACAAAAGTATACAAGAAATCAAGAAATCAAGCTCCAATATCAATATCCCACATGGTGTAAAGTATAATAAAGTTCTGTCAAAACCTCAGATCAAAAGGAGTACCGTACTGCCCTTGTATCGCCATCTAATCAGGGATCGTCTCTCATTCTCTCATTCTCCCATTATCACTGCCATCAAGCACAAGTATAATTCCCACAGTCCTCGCAAAGGAACCATTCACAACCCTCGACCCCCTCTCTAGACTCTATCATCCATATTCGACCGGCCCTAACTTGTCCCAATTGATCATCCCAAGGATTTCCATTTCTCGTCACTTTACTTTCTCCCGTCCCCAAAACGTCAAGCCCTCTCTCAAATTTACAAGGGTGTACATCTGTAACAACCCTGTAGAGATGTGAATATTTGTCCTTCATCCCCCCGATATATTCAACGTCGAAAAACCCCAAAATCCAATTCAGTTGGTTGCACAGTACAAAAAAGTCTCTCGAACTTTAATCTTATACCTACGGCCCAGGTACATATACCGATACAACTTTGCCTTTCAAACAAACTTGCTCTCTATTCGATTGGTTTTTGATCTGATAGGGAAGAAAGAAGAAAGAAGAATATTTTCTAATATAATTTTTAAAAAGCGGTTTCGAAGAGGGGATCAACCTATTTATCATTTATTATTCACCTCTCCATTCTCCATTCTCCATTTCTCTACAACTACCGGCCGGTGCTAAATTCACCCATTGTCACGTCTAAACCTCGATCCGAAAAGAAGTCACCCAAACTCCATCTCCGTACAGTTGAAAAAAGAAAAAGTAAAGAAACGATCGAAACACCCAAGAGAAAATCCACTCTCCTTTACACTCTCCCCCAGTTCAACCGGATTTGCACCGGTATACATCCTCTCCGACCAGACATAAAAAAATCATTCAGGGATTTCTATTGGCAAGATGTCCGGCTACCCAGCACCGAATGGTCACAACAACAATAATAATGGCTACAATCCCTTGCCTTTGCACGGCCCATCATCGATTTCATCACCAAATGATCCGTTGATGTCCCATAATCAGCAGATTCAACATCAACATCAGCATCAGCACCAGCACCAGCATCAGCATCAGCATCAGCACCAGCAACAACTCGGCATATCTGTCGCACCGTCATTTCAATATGATCCTCAATCAATGGGAGCTCCACAAGGTCAGCAATCACCACAAATGCCCCCACCAATGCCGCAATACAATGATGGCATGACCAACGATCACAATGGTTTACCTGTTCAAACTGGAACACCAACATCTATGAATGGAACCGGAGAAGCTCCAAAGGGAAATAGATTAAGGAAAGCATGCGACTCATGCAGTATCCGAAAAGTTAAGGTGAGTGGATATCATGGAATTTCCTTCCAAAGCTTCGATTGCGGGGTAAATGCTAACAATTAATTTTCTTGATAGTGTGATGAATCGGGTCCTCCATGTCGAGCATGTGCAGCATTAGACATTCCATGTACATTTGAAAGACCAAGTCGTCGAAGAGGCCCACCAAATCGACATGCGGAAGCTATAAAAAAGAGAAGACTCGAATCTCCAGGTGGTGGGCCTTACTCCTCTCCGACATCACCAAGCAATGTTGCCGCGACTCTGGCATCATTTTCTTCACATGCAGTTCTCTCTGCTGAATCGATATTGCCTTTCCCTACTCTCGAGCTTTTCATTGATGACTTCTTCACCTACATACATCCACTTGCACCTTTCCCACATGAGCCTTCCTTCAGAGCGGCACTCAAAAATCGAGAAGATTTACAAAATCCATCATTTCTTGCATTGTTGGCATCCATGATTGGGATATTGGTAGCATCATTTCCTAGAAAGCCTAGGCTACACTTAAAATCTCAGCACCGAGAACATCTATTCCCAAATTCACTCGCCTTGGTCGAAAGATGTCACAAGGTGGCAGTTGAAGCTAGGGGAGCTGGTTACCTCGATAAAAACCTTTCGGTGTATGATGCAGCTACAAGTTATTTCTTAGGATTGTCAGGCGCATATACATTCAATTGGAGACAATGTCGTTTGTATTTTGGAGAGACCTTGAACATTATAAGAATGTTGGGAGCGCATAGAACCAAGAATGCAGGTATGGTGACGACTATGGGTCATCTTCCTGCTACATTTGGTGCAGAAGGCCCTCAATATGTTGATCAAACTGAACCTATCGATTATATTCGTCAGGAGATGGGTAGAAGACTATTCTGGGTTATGTTCGTTGGTATTCGGTAAGTGATTCTGGCCCTTTTTTAAGAGTGCTCCACTAAGAAATTAGATCAATGCAACAATTAGGTGCCACTTTTGGTGAACTTTTAATCCCACCACCTACTCCAAACGAACCATATCCTCCACTTCCGGTGGAAGTCGACGATGAGTACATCTTCCTAGATCATATTCAACCGCAGCCCGAAGGTGCCGTATCAAGCATCACCGGATTCAATATGGGTGTCAAGATATATATGACATGTACGCCTCTTGCAACAATGGAAGTGGCATATGGTATCGATCAAGTCTTTGACTTTAAACGTCAAAAAAAAGTACTCTCACAATGTCTCAACGCTGCAAAGCACGTCCTGGATCAGTTACCAAATGAGCTGATGCTTCTACCAAACCCAGAGTCAGGTGAGTTTGGTCAACGAGATGAAGCCTACTATCCACCTTTGGAAAATTTTCCAGGTGCTCGTTCGGCTGGACTTGAAGGACGGTCCTGGAGCGAAGTCCCAGTAGATGAGAAAAGAAAAAAACAATATGAAATTATGAAATCCAATATTTACGCAAGTCAGTTAGCCACCAGGTCATATATCGTGGAGAAGTATTGGAACCTTGAAGATGCCTACGAACAGCTTAAAGCTAAAGCGGGTGGTTCTGAGGATCTCAAACTAGGATCTCCAGGTCTTATGGCAACTGGTTTAGATGCAGTGCTACCACAACCAGCAACAGAAGAATCGATGGAGTCTATTGTCATGAATGAAAGAGAAAGTATTGTGAAGGATTTGCTAAAGGCGCTGAGTTGTCTTCAACAAGTTAATATGGAGCCAAATGGTGGCAGCTTTGTTCGTCTACCCTTCTCACTTTTTTCCAATAATTTTACATTCGGTTTTGCTAATTATCATCATTATAGGTCAACAAAATTCGTCAAATAGCTTCTACCTTGGTCGATACCCCTCAAAATCGCAAAGGACCTTTCGCGTTACGTGCAGAGGAGTACTTAGGCAAATTCCTCGATATCTTAATGAAACTCGAGAGAGCTAGTCCTAGTGGTGCTAGGAGTGAAAGTGCCGATGGCGTAGTTGATGAAGAAGAAGAATTAAGCAATTGGGCTGATCTCAGAGAATATCAAACGAGGTTCGCTCAATCGGGGGGATTTTTGAATGAATTGTAAGATCAAGCTTGGGTTTGGGGGCAGGGGCAGGGCGGAAGGGGAAAGATATGATTTTATGCGTTTGCAATGGAATGGTACGGAACATGTGCAAAAGGGGCTTGGGTACAGGCGTATATCTTTAATTGTAAAATGGACGGATGGATCGCTGGGTCGGATTTGATGGGTGCATAGATGGATGCCATAGGTGTCATGCGTGGTACGGAATATACATGTATGATTTGGTGGACGGATCCTGAGATTTCAGGTTCAATTGCGGTTATGTGTGTATATCAAGAATTCATAAAAAGAATAATCAATCAACAGGATGGTAAATAAAAAGTTGTATATGGTTTGAGGATTAGATGGATATATACATGTATGTACTATGGGTTTTGATAGCTTGGTGGGTAGTTATTTATATATAGATATTTTAGTTTATTTTAATATACTATTAATATTTGGATATACATAATTTTTCCTCAATCTGAGATACTAGGTATTTTATTGGAGATACCTATCTAGGTAGTATGTAACGTAACTTATTATCTAGAACCACTGGTGAACTCGTAAATATGGTATGCTTGCAAAGTTGCAATAATAGAGAAGGGAAGGAAGATTAAATTTATCTTTGCTAGGTATGGATGTGGACTGATGATGCTTATGCTGGGTGTGGATCGTATGGTGTGGTATGGTATTATTTAATTGGTATCTGTGGATTCATCTTCTGGTAGAGATTATTTTCTCTGTGAAGATTCTGTGGAGATGGCATTTTTGAGGATTGGGTTGTGGTTTGCTGAGTGTAGGTAGTTCGGTGCGTGGTGATTTGCCTTCATATTAGTTTTATTGGATAGGGGAGAAGATATGATGGAGAGCAAAGAGGATAAGCTGCTGCGATGGGTAGCTATGGTTAATGATTGTGGGTTGAAGGGGGGATGCTTTGGTTAGAGGCGGGAATGGTATTGGGGGTGGTTCTGGGAAGAGAAGGGATCATGAGATGAGAGGACATGCGATGTTGTTAAAACGGGCCTTTATGGTGAGGTCTAGGCTGGTATGATGCTTAAGATCTCTACTCATATTTCAGTCTATCTAATGCCCGATGAATCAACTCAATTCTCGCTATTTTATATTCATAGAAGAATCAGACATTCCAGGTGCATGTACACCATGTTCGTCTTAAGTCCTCTGAAAGTAATTCCCCGAGGAAACAACGCCCTAAAACACCCATCCTCTCATCTTGCCCTAATCCCAGCTCTTCAAATATAGAATCCGCCATTCCTCAACCTCACCACGTTGCCATCAAATTCAAAAACCTAAATGTTTGACATCAACACTCCTTCCATCTCCACCATTTCCTTCGCAGCACCCTTCTCCAGCTCCCTAGACCTTAATTTCGTTTTCGACATCTCCTTGTCAAGAGGCAGTGGGCCTATCGAATGACCCCTTACCAAAGCATCGAGTTAATAATTGAGCGTTGTGGCGACCAGAGCTGAGAAAGTGGTGCTATGGGTGATACCGTTGCTCATGGATGTAAGATGTTAATAGTCTTGCTTGTTGATATTATGGAAGCTACAGTGCTGCAGTATAGTATAAAATTGCTGAGTTGTATCGGTGGATGTTTGTTAGTCTCCTGTAAGTTACATAGATGAAACTTGGTTTCTTGTGGGTGACTGTTACCGTGGGCATCTGCAATAGCTGGAGGGCAACGTTGACTCTCATATCTTAACGTTGCTCATTGGCACTATTTGATATCAAATGTAAATGAAAAGAATATTGAAGTTGATTGAACCTTTCTTAATAGGTCATTGGCGGAACTCTGAAATGTTTGAAAATGACTTACGTCAATTGAGGCTGAGCATGATAAATGTGATATTTTGGTACATATCCTCGATTGAATGAATCAAAGTTTCAATTGCGCTACATGAAGTGATGTTTGGCAAGTAGCTTGCCCTCAGCATTCCTTAGTTAGTCGTGCTGTTCAAACCATGGGGAGTACCAAGATACAATTCAATTTAATGAAAACGGACTAGACCACAAGACGGAATTGGCATTATTCCCGTAAAAAGTAACATTTTCTGTTCCATGGCCTCTAACAATAATAATGTTTTCACAAACTATTGGTGAAATTCTCATAGGTGTCGAGTTCACTTCTTATTAGTATCAAACTGGACGATCCGTCAATTCGAAATATCCCAGTGTCTTCAGTAGCCTGTTCCCGTTTACCCATTAAGAGAGTGCATAGAGCTACAAATGATGCAATGTAGAAGTCATGGCAGGGTAGTGATACTGGTTAGAGGAGGTGACGTCAATTAGCAGGAGCATCCATTATCACAAGCTCATGTCCTATGGTTTGGATATTGGCGGCTGCTTGATTGAAATTTTCGACATTAGACACCACTTCCTGAGCCTTGTTGCCTAGTGAGCATATGAAAACGCGACGTGGAATCTGCACCCATAATTTTATCTTTGGTTCGGAATGGCCCAAAAAGTTATTCAAAGAGTACGAGTGTCAAGGGTTCAGTTGCTGGAAGAATGAGTTAAAATCATTAATAAGTGAGGAAGTTGAAGAAAACATAGTCTAAAGCGGTGTTTCAACAGGCAATGGCCTGTTCCTAAAAGTAGACCCTAGGGATTGAAATATATAGGGCGTTGTTTGTGTTAAAAGGAAACGAGGCGGGTGTTGAAATTTTGTTTCTGGCCCTCCCTGATTTCCAACATCTCATGGTCGGACCCTATTAAATTAAAGTGGTATGATGATTTCCGACGGTAAAATATGGGGAAGAACTCCCATACTTTCAGCTACACACTCGTGAGCCGGCCGACATTTTAAAACCTTAAATAGTAGAATCCCACCGAGCTCTGGCTTATTAGTGTTGGAACCTGTGTAGGTTGGCTTTCAGTAGAAATGCATGAAATCACAGATGAAGTGGCCGATGGTGCAACAACTACTAGGGCCATCAGCCTGATAAAGACAAAGGCAGTAGTGCCGAGGCTTTTTGGGGGAATCCCTACCAGGAGAACAACGCTTAGCGCGCGGCCGATATGGCATGACCAGGTAATTAAATACTGAAGAGATCAGTGTATCGACTTTAATGCACGGAAATCGTGAAGACCATTAAGTGAGAATGAATTTCGTTTGAGAAACGTCAATAAATGCTAATCGTAAGCTATTCTATAGCGGCTGCAATAGTGAGGAAATGGCATAGGCAAACACAGTGCCGAATCTGATAACCATCTCTAGCGTGATGGCGACCCAGCTGCGTTCGTATCAAGGGAGACAAAATAAAAGCGATGCCTACTGCAAGAGCATCCACACAAAGCAAGTATTGTCATAAAGCAGACAGATTTCCATTCGATTTCCATTTACGTACTGGCGTGAATTATGGCTGTTGCCGGAAATCAGTGGATGAGAAGGTGTTTCAACATAAGGAGAGGAGGGTCGCCATGAGCCTTGGCTTTCGGTCGTACTTCGCCATACCCACGGGTACATTCATAATTAGATCGTAAGAATGTGCTTGCACTTTCCTGTCCTCGGATCGTTCAGGACTGGTTGTCATGACTGCTGCCATAATTTGTTTGGTCTATGCCAGGATGAATCCTATTTTATATACAAGAGCCTGAATACTGAAGGAAGATTGAGTGACCCAAGTCAAACCGTTATGTTGAACTCTTCGTCAAAGAATTCGCAATCATCAAACAAACAAGATGTTGAGCTAAGACATAAAGATTGAGATGATGGTGTAGAAAATGATTGAACATTTTGGAGGTTCTGATTGGCAAATGCAGATGGGCAGAACTCGAAGAACCAATTTTAGAACCCGAAATGAAGAGAAGAAACCCGGATCCAAGAAATAGTTGACTTCATGAGAATTCTATTTGTGATGAATCAGCCTCAAGGGAGACTTTGCCCTTAATAGAAAGTATTTCATGAGCATCTTTAATTGCACTTGTACAACAATGTAATATTTTGCTATGCGCAAGAATAGAGCAATTGACTGCGAATATGCTTCAACTTCCCGTGGTGCAATAACTGTTTTCTAGAGGCTGCATGAGATGCAGGTCGATCGATAATGCTTTACCTTCGAAAGATTCGGCCGGTGCCAGCTATTGATTAACATACCTTGATTTGTGGTAGAAAGATTAAACCTGTAATGAACATTCAAATTTTGTTTGAAGAACATTTATGTGACCACCTTCACACAATTTAATGAACATGAATAGGAATTTGACAGACTGAACTTGGAGGATGAAAGAAAATGTAGATATTGAGTAGAGGCGAAGAAACTGGGGTGAAGTTTTGTAGCCTGAGGCAACAAAATGATATAATTTGTTCGCTTACTAGCGCCCACACACTTGCTTGAATTCCAACTTAACATTTTTCGAACTTGCAAAGTCTCACCAAAGACATCGACAATCACGGCACTCTTTCAACGACAAGATGCCTACCCATTTGAGCAAAACCCGCAAGCAGTACGTTTTATTCCTCGAAATCGCAATTCCTATCGATCAAACTACAAACCGATTGAGCGCGCGCGCCCAGATCAATTCCCCACGAAGAAGTTTTTGTTGATGTATTGCACGGAGGATTGGAAAGAATTGAAGCTGACAAGATTTTTCTCCGTATAGCCGCGGTCATGTTTCCGCCGGTAAAGGTCGTGTAGGAAAGCACCGCAAGCATCCAGGTGGTCGTGGTCTTGCTGGTGGTCAACATCACCACCGAACCAACATGGATAAATACCATCCAGGTTACTTCGGAAAGGTCGGTATGCGATACTTTCACAAGCAAAGCAACCACTTCTGGAAGCCAGTTGTCAACCTTGACAAGGTACGTTTAGTCCCTGGGTAATATTTTGGACATTGGGAGATCAAGAGGAAATTGGAGATGGAACCTGGCATCAAAAGAAATTTGCTAATTATCTTCTTCAGCTTTGGTCCCTCGTCCCAGCCGAGAAGCGTGATGAATATCTTTCCGGCTCCAAGACAGATACCGTCCCCGTCTTAGATCTCCTCCCACTCGGCTACTCAAAAGTTCTCGGCAAGGGTAGAATCCCAGAAATTCCATTGGTTGTGCGCGCAAGATGGTTCAGCAAGGAGGCAGAGAGAAAGATTACTGAGGCAGGTGGTGTTGTTGAATTGGTTGCATAAATGGGAAATTTCATAGCGAATGGATTATAGGCTTTTCTCATATACCAAGAAATGGCTCTACAACGGCTATGGGAGTTCTTTATCGAAATGAAAGGAAATGAAACCATTTATTCGTTGCCCGCCTGTGAATCAAATTTCATTAAGAGTGCTATGTAATAGTACCTCGGGGACTGGCATACAAGATATTAACCATATAATACTAATATATACACACAATGAATGTTTCTACCACACTCTTTACCATACGCCACATAACGCCAAACACGCCAATACACCATTCATCGGGCTTGAACCATACTTAATTCGTCCTCATCATAATCCTCGTCCTTGAATTCATGTCGTGTTTCTTCCGAAAGGAATGGGTGATTTAAGGCATCTTCCGCACTGATACGCTTGTGTGGATTGAGCTCCAAACAGCGCTCCAAGAACTCTACAGCCAACGTCTCTTCCTTAGTCAATGGCTGCTCCGCCCCATCTGGCCCTGCACCATTCCTACATGTTGACCATAAAACAATTTTCTCGAGTGCGAATCCAACCTGACCAATAGTAGGAATGTTTGTCTCGAAAATCGTTCCATGTAGTTGAGCGCAACTTTTCATTCTCTTGGCCCCGAATATGGTAGCAATCTCAATCAAGGCCTCAACATCGTCCGCTGAATTAAAGAATGGGAAGCGTTTTGAAAGTATAGTTAAAAGTATGACCCCAGCAGACCAAATGTCGATTTTCGTTCTTTGCTCTTGACACTTAAAAAGCACTTCAGGAGCTCGGAATCCACGGGTTCCAGCACGATTTGCCCGCCTCGATGGCCGACTGTCATGTTTTGGATAGCCGACCGATGGCAAATTTTGAATGACCACGCTATGCTCGAACTTCCTCTTGCGTACGTCATAGTCTCTTGTACACAAGCATGATTTGCAATCTTCCTCTTCTCGTTCTGCCAACCCAAAGTCCACAAGTACACCCCTTTTTCGCTCCGGTTCGTAGAGAAAATTCGTTGGTTTAATATCTCGATGAAGAATGCCCTGCGCATGAACCGCTTTTAGAGCGGTGAAGAGTGACCGGAAGTATACCTGCATTTCTGAGACCTTCATCTTCCTAAAATATGCCCTGAAATCCGTATGTCTGAAATATGGTAAGACAGCAACGACTTGATCGGTATGCCTGAAAGCTGTAATGAGTGGGCATACAAAATCGCAGCCTCGAAGATCATTAAGGAGTTCGAGCTCGTTGAGGATTCGGGTTGGACTGCTGGTAACATAAATCTTCTTTATAGCAACATATTTCCGCCTACGGCGCTGTTGATTGTATTCGTCCAGAACCTCTCGAATTCCACCAGTTCCCTTCTTCACAGGTGGTGACGTCCATGCGGAATGCTCTTTCTCTTCAATATCCCAATCATTATCATAATGTTCATATAAGAGATCCTCGGCTTTGTAAACTGTAGAAAATGTCCCTGGTTCACATTAATGAGTGTCTCATAACATAAAGGGTGTCTTGATTACCTTCTCCAATGCGATTTATCAGCCGAAATCGCTCCTTTATACCCTTGAAAGTTGCTTCGAATTTCGCAATGTCCTCTGCAGTGGCAGCATCAACAACATCATCACTTCCTTCGGATTCATCCGAATACCCTTCATCTTGCACATCATCATCCTCAGCTCTAGATTCCTCATTCTCAGTACCCTCTTCCTCCATTGACTCTTCCTGCTTTATTCCGTCGTCGTGAATGTGGAAAGTGTTTTTGGCATTTCCCTGGCGTTGACGGGCTGTCGCCATTCTGTTGTATTGGGAAGGTTGAATACGATTGTAAGTAGATGTGGTTCTTATAAATACATCACTGAATCAAAGTTGAAATCTCAATTGGATTTGTTCAATCCAAACATAGTAATCTAATGTTTGCGGTCTGTGATTTTTGGCGGGGTCTATTATTGACGCGGTCAAATCGCGGTCAATGCATGCGCTAGTCTTCAAACAGTAGAAAGTCAATAAACAACCCCAGCAATTATTATCGACATCACAAACTTCATTCGGACAAACAAATACAAACAACAACTACCTATCTACCTTAATATTCTCGGTTTATGTATTTTACTGCGACACTACACTGGATTGGTCGCCATTACCGACAATATGGATACGATGGATTTCGACATCAATAATGCTCTTAAGCATTATATGAGCGACCCCGCGACTGTTGCGACACCAGAGGCAGATTCCAACCTTGTCGATTGCGAAAATGACCCCGAATCACTCACAAACGCCCTTGTCAACAGCGTATTGAATCCTATTATAGATTCAGTTGCAGAGAATCCAGATGCTGTAACTAAAAGTTCTTCATTTGATTCCTTGCAATTTTTGCTAAAGTGTGTACCAATTTGTTCTCAATCTACTCAAAATTACCCCACCGAACCAGATTCTGAACTCTTCAAACTTTCTAGATCCTCCTCCGCCCTACCTACACATGCCCTAAGCAAGATATTTGATCTCATAATCTCCGGACTTTCTGCTGAAGCAGATATCATCCATAACGACCTCGAAACGGACGAACAAGAATTAGTAGCACACCATAAACAACTATTAGAGATCTTTGGATTCCTGTTACAATGGACAATCGCAGCAGTAGAAACCAAGGCTGCCGAGAAGTCGACATCTGCCCCCGCAGCCCGTGGAAGAGGCAAAACCTCGAAGACCAAAGCAAGTGTGAAAAACGAGAATTGGGACTCATCTGCCCAATTACAAACAGCACTTGACACTATGTGCAAGGTTTTAAAATTAAAACTTTCAAAAATATTTCTAACAACCTCTGAGAGGGATACATTTATAAGCCTCTTCACGAGGCCTGTGTATATGGTACTAGAAAGCGAGCAGAGAGTTAAGAATACACCTATCCGAATGCACGCTTTCAAAGTGCTCTGCATCGCTGTAAAGCACCATGGCCACGGTTATGGTAGGTTATCTTCCGGCCATATAAAGGGGAATTGAACTGACAATAAGATAGCTGCACAAATATCTATTGTGCAAAACTTGACATATTTCGAACACTTGGCCGAGCCTATGGCCGAATTTTTACACATTCTCTCAGAGCAATATGATTATCCTCAACTATCGGACGAAATTATTCGAGAGCTTAGCAATAAAGAATTTAATAGCAATGATACCAAAGGACCAAAGTCAGTTTCATCATTTATTGTCAAGCTCTCGGAGCTTGCTCCTAGGCTTGTCATAAAGCAAATGACTATGCTGGCAAAACAACTGGATAGCGAGAACTACGCAGTTCGATGTGCTCTTATCGAAATTTGTGGAAATCTCGTTGCGGACTTGAGTAAACAGGAAGAACGTGGCGACAACCATAAATCGCAACTTAATGCATTTTTCGACGTTTTGGAAGAACGATTCTTGGATATCAACCCGTACTGTAGATGTCGAACGATCCAAGTATACATCAAGCTCTGTGAACTCGAACAAAAGTTTCCAAAACGTCGACAGAGAGCCGCAGAACTGGCAGCACGAAGTTTGGAGGATAAAAGCAGCAACGTCCGCCGAAATGCAGTCAAACTTTTGGGAACCTTAATCAAAACTCATCCATTCAGTCTCATGCATGGATCACAGTTAAATTTCAAAGAGTGGAATTCTCGATTGGAGGCCGTTGATGCCGAACTGAATGCACTTAAGCCTCCAGCAGAGGCGGCTGGTTTAGCTGATACTACCAGAGTTGAAGCTGATACACAACTACTAGACGATGCTACAGTCCTAGAATCGGATTCTCCCAAGAAGGCTCAAGCACCTATGAGCGATGAAGAAAAGATAGCTGCAATTAAGAAAGCACAAGAAGAAGCTGCTACTTCAGAGGCCATTAATAAGTTAACTTTGACCAGACGATACTATGTTGAGGCTCTTAAATTCATTGAAGTTTTGCATGGAGCTACCACCATCATTTGTCAACTTCTTGGATCGAAGAATAAGAGCGAAGTTATTGAGGCCATGGATTATTTCGAAATTGGCGATGCTTACAACATCGAACAAAACAAGCTTGGCATTAGAAGAATGTTACGTCTCATCTGGACGAAGGGCAATAGTGATGAAGGAAAGGGTGTTCAGAATCATCTCATTGATTGCTACAAGCGTCTGTTTTTCGAAGCCCCTGATACATACAGTGGAAATGACGCTGCCAACTACATTGCACGCAATATGATCAGTTTAACATTTGGAGCGACGCCAGCTGAGTTGACTTCTCTAGAACAACTATTAAGTACAATGATGAAAGCGAACCATATTTCGGATCTTGTGATCTCAAAGCTTTGGCAAGTCTATGGGGTCCAAAAGAGAGAAATTTCAAAAAGTCAGAGGCGAGGCTCAATCATTGTTTTAGGTATGCTTGCCACTGCAAAACCTGAAATTGTGGTTGGAGAAATGGAGACTATGTTAAGAATCGGTTTGGGTAGTCTTGGACGATCAGATTTACAGCTGGCAAAATATACCTGCCTCGCGCTCAGGCGAATAAATCCTACCGGAAGGCAAGCAACAGTGCAAACTTCAAAGCTTAGCAATGACCATGCAGTTCTCGGAAAGCTGGCCGCTATAATAGAAGTGGAGTCGGATAATAAGGAGTGGTATGGAGTCGCTGAACAAGCAATTAGTGCTATCTACGCTCTTTCAAAACACCCAGACAATCTTTGCTCAGAGGTTCTTCGAAGGAAGACGAAACATGTATTCCAGCAACGAGCCACGACACCGCCTCAACTAAAATTGGATGAAGACAATGATACAGATATGATGGACGTAGATATGATGGATGTGGATACTGAAGAAAAGCCACAAGAAGAAGCGCCACCAGCAGAGACCGCAACGCCAGCGCCACCAGTAAGCAAGCAAAAAGGCTCTGTTGCTTTATCACAACTTCTATTTATAGTTGGCCATGTTGCGATCAAGCAGATTGTGCATTTAGAGCTGTGTGAAATGGACTTTAAGAGGCGGAAGGCAGATGCTGAAAAGAATAAGGCAGCCGAAACACCAGCCGACAAAGCTGCAAAGGAAGCCGCTGATGACCTAGATATGATAGGAGGAACAACGGAAGATGACTTTACCGATGCCATGTCACATATCAGAGAACGTGAGCTGTTATACGGGCAGAATTCCCTACTGGCTAACTTTGGTCCACTTGTGGCTGAAATTTGTTCCAATAACACAACATACAAGGATCGCAGTCTTCAAGCAGCTGCTACACTTTGCTTGGCAAAGCTTATGTGCGTGAGTTCTGAATACTGCGAAACGAATCTTCCTCTTCTCATCACTATTATGGAGCGATCAAAGGACCCAATCATTCGTTCAAATGTTGTCATTGCTCTTGGTGATATGGCCGTTTGTTTCAATCATCTTATAGATGAGAACACGGATTTCCTTTATAGAAGACTGAATGATAAGGATGCTAGTGTGAAGAGAACTTGTTTGATGACTCTCACTTTCCTCATTCTTGCTGGTCAAGTGAAGGTTAAGGGTCAATTAGGAGAGATGGCTAAGTGTCTCGAAGACGAGGACAAACGTATAGCAGATTTGAGCAGAATGTTCTTTACTGAATTGAGCACTAAGGATAATGCTGTTTACAATCATTTTGTCGATATGTTCAGTTTGTTAAGTGCTGAGAAGGAGCTAGAGGAGGATGCTCTCAGGAGAATTATTAAGTTCTTGGCTGGCTTTATTGAAAAAGTACGTTTTCTGCTTTTCTTATATGATCTCCTTGCAGAGAGAAATACTGACATGATATATAGGATAAGCATGCTCGCCAACTTGCCGATAAATTGGCAGCTCGCTTAGCCAGATGCGAGAGTGAGAGACAATGGAATGATGTAGCCTATGCTTTAAGCTTGTTACAACATAAAAATGAAGAAATTACCAAGTTGGTACAAGGGGGGTTTAGGGTTGTGCAGGCTAGTGCTTGAATGATGTAAAATGCTTCTGTTAGGCATGTCATAGGGTCGGGATTTCTGGTACCAAAAGGTTGATGATAATGATGATTATGGCGTTTGAGTAAGATCGTTCTAGGAATGATAATGGTGTTTGGTTGTTGGTCGGCTTATGTGTTCATGTATCAATGATCTTGATGAATATGAGATTTTTACATATCTAAAGATTCTCCTCATTTAAATACAGGCTATATTTCAGTATAGATTGAAAATATGAACTTCATCTATATATTCATACTGATCCAAGATCGTTATGTATATAAGAGTTCTGGAAACTTCTAACCGCATACTTTACCAAGAAATAACCATAATCTTATTTTCAACCCTCAATTATAAATAATTCATCAAAATTCGAATTTTCAATATTTTCTATTCAAATTTAAAATGGTTGTCAAAATTCAAGATGAAAATGATAATTAAGAATTTCATCAAAATTGGGGTATCCTTTGTAGAGCTAAAGTCTTTCAGATTAGAAAGGATGGAAAATCGTGATTTTGGATCGAACAAAATTTGGATATACTTCGAAATACTATAAAAGGTATCATTAAATCGAATTTATTTAAAATTATTCGTAAAAAGAAGGTATATCGATCTTTTATAATAATAATTAAAAAGATTCGACGAATTATAAAGGAATTGATAAAAGATTGGAAAAGAAGAAAGATGATTTTTGAACAAATGAAATATATATTAAGGATTAGGGTTTCAATATATATTATTCAATATGAATTATATCGATATAACTATAAACATTGTATAACTTGTTTTAGATTATTTATCTTTAGAAAATAAACAAAAAAGAGATTGGATTTTGTATATATATATATTATTGATAAAGGACAATCGATATAATTTTCGAAAAGCCTAAGGGAGGTAATTGAAGGAAGATTATATAATCGGACGAAAGTATTTTCGAGATTGGAAAACATAGTAGGATATAAATAACTTATAGGATTGAAGAAAAGAAATATGGGAATTGTATCAAATCAGTATATAGATTAGGAAGGACCTTTATAATGATATAGAATTATAAATCTTTATTAGTCTTTTTGAAAAAGAATCCTGATAATAAAAAGGTAAATTCAATAGTATATTAGAATTAGATTCTTATTTCTATTATATTCCTTTTATTTGATGAATTAGAATCTGAATATATATTTATGAAGGATAATATAAAGGTTTATTTGAAGTATATTAAATTAATTCGATTAGAGTATGATATTAGAGACTTTCAATAATCCCTTTCTTTTTCAGATCTTAATTCAATTAAGAAGATATAGTATTGAATAAAGAAGGAGCTAAAAAAACTATTATTTGTATCTATTTTTATTAAGAAATTGAAAAGGGAGTTTAAGAGATTGTAGAAGATATTTGATTCTTTAAATTTCAGATTATATATTGAAAGATTGATCTGTAAATTAAAGGATATGATTGAAGTAAAAGGATTAGCTATTATTTATTAATATATTATCAGATTTTCAATAAAAAATATTGTGGTATTGATTTAATATTAAATTTTCAAAAGTGTAGATGAAATTTAAAGAGGGTGCGGTGAGTAATGATCAGAACTCTTACGAAGCGTGTACATTTGAAATTCAGGAAGTTATAAAACGAACCGAGAAGTAGCACCTATATAAGTTATAACTCTTAGAGTTTGAAAAACAACCAGACTTAAGTTTATGATAGATAGATAATACCTGGGACGGTAAATAAGCTACTTAGGATTTCTATGTAAATTTGTTACAGGTGTATTTGTATATAAAATTGTTTTAAATAGATGGATAGATGAGCAGAGGACTATTGTCCTAAGGCTTTCTTGTACATTTTTCGTTGGAGAATCGAAGGTGATGAATTAGTTCTTTGGGATGAGGAAGATAGGAATCTATTTTAAAAAGGGGTGAGCGAAGATATCTTCCGCTTTTCATGGGCTGATTCTATGGCCCGCCAGAATAGTTGTATAGTAGTTTTCTTTCCCCGTATTTTCTATTTGATCATGATCGTCTATCCGAAGTAGATCGTGTCTAAACTGTCTATTTTGTTTACCCGTCTAGGTCCTTTCCATGCTCGAGTCCGCTTACTGAGCGTGGAAAATCTCGCGCAGTTATGAGGTTCCGCACAATATCTTATTGTACACCCTCAATATTTCTCCTGCTTATCTAGACCCACCTCCATACCCAAAGCTCGCCTCCACAGCCGTATCTTTCACATTGTAGTGGTAGGTGTCAAAATATTTGTCTCTCGGCGCCTAGGTGCTCTCCAAAATCTCCAAAATTCCTTTCAAACCCACCCTAAATAACATCCTCCCGTTCCCCCTCAATCATCCCACTCATCTCCCCCACCCTCTTCAAATGCAACACCAACCTATATGCGCAACTCCCATTCAAATAATACCTACTCAACTTCTTACTCCTTACAAACCCCAACCGTTCATATAATCTCATGGCCGCCACATTTCCCTCCTCAGTCTCCAGTACTATTTCATCAGCGCCCCGCGCGGCCATCGCATCAATAGCTAATTTAACCAATTTCGTAGCAATCCCACGACCGCGAAAAGAAGAGGAAACCGCAAGCATGGCTATGTACCCGCGGAGAGTGGGTGGAGAATGTGAAGAGTGGGTTTCGAGTTTGGAGATTAGGATGCCGTGGAGAGGAGGGGTTGTAGTGGGGGTGAGGGGGATTGAGGGATCGAGTGCCTGGGAATGTTAGGATTTGTATAAGATTGTTTGGGACATGAGAACGGAAATACCATAAAACATAAATCCCCCCATTGATATAAAAAATATCTATACACATAAATACTATAAGGTTCGCTCAAATCTTTTGATATTAAGGCTCGAATTGAAGGTAAATATTGTTTTTCCAGTGAATGCTCATATTGGATATATCGTAACTCGGCTGGTAATTCTTTATTGCTTGGAGATATAGGTAGTATAGAGCTGGTTTCTGAAGTCATATTTGCCGGTATTATGGAGTTGGAGGTGAAAGTTTGGTGTTTGGGTATCTCATGAATATGTCTGTCTGAGTAGGTATCTGAGTATTGTATCTGGTGGGATGAATCCAAGCACTCAATGATGATAGCTGAGCTGGCTAAACCTCGGTAGATTTGACTAAAATTCATCGATCATTTTTGGTCTCTTTTCCCACATGCAAGAAATACCTCATGTACCCCTGTTAATCATTTTTACATTTTCTATTCACCAATTAAAATGTTTATGTGGAAGACGGAAAAAAGCTTAGATCCGGCTCAATCCGTCAATGCCGAAATCAAATCATGCCCAAACAATCCATTCAATGCGATTACGTAGCTTTGGTAGGTTCAAGTTAGAAGCATCGGATTGATTAATCAAGCCGAGAATGTTTATGCGGAAAAGTTGACTTTTCCTCATTTTCCGTCCTTTACCCTTTTCCTTTTTTATACTCGAGTAATGATGAGATGATATTTATATGATCTCTCTCACTCCTACTTTCTCTCCCGTCGATTCTCAATTCCCTCTCTCACCATGTCTTTCCTCCGTCGCCTTATCTCCGGAACTCCAACATCCTCCCCCTCCCCCTCCGTTCCTTCAACCCCTTCTTCACCCCCAGCCAAAGGAGAAGAAATGCGTCTGGCGCCCGTGTCAAGAATTCTCACACATAAAGAACTGAAAACTAGGAAACGACGTAATACTTTTATATTCTTTCTTGGGGGACTTTTTGGGTTGGTAGTGGCGGGGTTTTTCGCCGGCAGAAATGATTTAATTGAGTTACCGGAAATGTTGGAGGGGATTACCATGGATAGTTTGATGGATGTATTGCCCGCAGGCTTTGTGAAGGATGCGAGGGATTTGGCTGTAGGTGCTGGTTTTTCCGTATTGTATCCCTCCCTGGATTTCGGGTGGGAGGTTGGAGAAGGGAAGAGGGGAAGAGGAGTGTCTGATGGGATCTATGCTAACAAATTTCTGTTTGTAGAAGGGAGAACGGGAAGCTGTGAATTATGATTCATTCTCTGTGGGATTATATCTCAAAGCACAGGGAATTCGTGCGAATCATTCGGTTATTATGGTTCCCGGTGTCATTTCGACGGGATTAGAGTCTTGGGGTACGACGAATGCTTCAAGACCTTTCTTTCGCAAAAGATTATGGGGAAGTTGGAGTATGATGAGAGCATTGGTTGCAGATAAAGATGAATGGAAACGACATATCATGCTAGACAAACGTACCGGATTAGATCCACCAGGAGTCAAACTGAGAGCCGCGCAAGGATTCGATGCCGCCGATTTCTTCATAACGGGATATTGGATTTGGAGTAAAATATTGGAGAATTTAGCCACCATTGGTTATGATCCTACGAATAGTTATACGGCGGCTTATGATTGGAGATTGTCGTATGCAAACATGGAAGTTAGAGATCAATACTTTACAAGACTAAAGACGCATATCGAAATGGCAAAAAAGATTTCAAATAAGAAGGTGGTGTTGGTTTCACATTCTATGGGTGGTCAAGTGCTATTTTATTTCATGCATTGGGTAGCATCTTCAAGTGGTGGAAATGGTGGAGATGATTGGGTTGATAACCATGTTGATTCTTGGATCAATATTAGTGGATGTATGCTTGGAGCTCTCAAAGGATTGCCAGCAGTACTATCTGGAGAAATGAAGGATACAGCTCAACTCAACGCATTTGCGGTTTATGGCCTGGAAAAATTTCTCAATAAAGAAGAACGAGCGGAACTCTTCCGAGCCATGCCGGGGATCTCTTCTATGTTACCCATGGGAGGTGATGCCGTCTGGGGTAACGCGACCTGGGCACCAGATGACACCCCTGGCCAAGAAGTCAGCTATGGACAATTTCTGAATTTTAAAAATCAAAATACTTCAACGGGATATCGCAATCTTACAGTATCACAATCTTTAGAGTATTTGTATAATACCACAGAAGATTGGTATCATAAGGCAGTTGAGGGTAGCTATTCACATGGTGTAGCTCATACTACTGCTGAAGTAGAAGCAAATGAGAATGATCCAAGAAAATGGATTAACCCGCTTGAGACAAGATTACCTCTTGCACCGAATTTGAAAATCTATTGTTTCTATGGTATGTTGTTTTCGCCTCAGAATTTCACTAGCAACGATGCTAATATCTAACAGGAATTGGCAAACCAACCGAGCGCTCCTACTTTTACAGACACTCGGATAACCCCCTTTCATCCCTCAACATCACAATAGATACCGGCTTAACACAAGCTAACATAGACCACGGAGTCATTCTCGGCGAAGGTGATGGGACCGTCAATCTCCTGAGCGTAGGTTATATGTGTAACCGCGGCTGGAAATATCATCGCTATAACCCCGCAGGTGTAAAAATTAAAACTTACGAGATGCCTCACGAACCGGATAGATTCAGTCCTCGCGGAGGCCCAACTACAGGAGATCATGTGGATATCTTGGGAAGACATAGTTTAAATGATTTAATACTAAGAGTGGCGGCGGGTAGAGGTGAAGAAATTCAAGAAATGGTTGTTAGTAGGATTGCTGAGTATGCAAGGAATGTTAAGATTGAGGAGGAGGACAAGTATAAGGTGGCGGAAGATGATGAAAATAAGGAGGAAGAAAGAAGAGGAAGAGTGAGGGATAAGATTGAGGAGAAGGCGGAGGAGGTGATGGAGACGCTGGAAAATATTATCAAAGGAAAGAGTGAGAGTGAGAATAAGAATAAGGACGAGTTGTGATTTTTTTTTGATATGATGGAAGGGGAATTTTGCTTTCTTTAGGGATTGGGATACGGTTGTACCTTTGATAGAATGGGTTTGGGATGGAAGCAGGGGATTGTACATACGACTGGCACAACACTTATGATATCGTACGAAACATTAAGGAATAAAGCAGTAGGATCCGTAAGGATGGGAAAGAACTTGGAGTTGGGCGTTTTTGGGAGAAAGAAAGAATGGAAGTGGAGTTTGATATCATAGGGGTGGTTTAAGCAGATGTATTGTGTAGATTATGATACTTGCAATAGGTACTGTTTAGATATTAGATGAGGAGAGAGAAGAGGGGAGAAGAGGAGAGAGGAGAGGAGAGGAGAGAGGAGAGGAGAGGAGAGGAGAAGAAAAGAAATAGATTCTTAATGGATTTAATTTACGTGTTGATACGGTAGTTGGATGATTGATTGATGATTGATGGATGGATTTATTAATACTGGTGGGTGCTCTTAGTTTTGCTGCCTACATGCTCTCTTTTTTTGCTAAGGAAATTAACCTTAGTTGAGGTTAAGCTAGCTTAAGCAAAAAGGCGAGAAGGTGATGGACGAGAAGGACGAGAAGGTAAGATGGATGGATATCTAGGTAGTATCCTCTCTTGAAGTTGGGTATTAGTGATTACTTGGGTTTGAATATATAGTCGTATTACAATCTTATCCGTTGAACATTAGTATCCGCATTTGATGGTAATTTCCTACTGTAGTTCGGTAGAAGTCAAAGAGGAAAGGGGAATGGTGTATTGCTAATTGGTGGCTCCCGGATTGGGAATAAGAATGTCGATGTGATGCGATAGGAAGGAGTGGGATATAGAACTTTATATTTTGGAAGTAAGGAAGGATTTCGATGTTGTTCAGGATTTAAATTTAAATTTGGATTCACTTATTATTACTTCACTTTCTAGAATTATTGAACAAACAACATTCGTTTCACATGGACAGATATAAATTATGCTGTTGTCGGAACATTCGTTTTAATATCATTTCTATAGCTTTATAGCTTTATAGCTTTTTGTATCGATACATACTTCTATCCTACCTCTTCCTCTACCTCTATCTTTATATTATTCCAATTCCACTCCCAAATTCCATTCCAGTTATGAAGATCAACTAAAAACCACACATACCATCGCTAACACCCCTCACACACGTCACCTCGTCTCTCCTCTCACCTAGCCTCCAAAACACCCCCAATGAAACCCCCTTCAACTATTCCAATCTGGGTCATCTCTTCTCTCGCCGCACCAGCACCAGCACCAGCACCAATAGCAGCATCAGCACCTCTTACCACTTCTACTTCTGCTTTCATTACTCCAACAGTTAGCACTCCAACAGTCTAGACAATACCACCATTAGCACCATCACCATCACCAACCCTCACGCTGCACACTCCCCAAATCACAAACCCGCCTGAAACACTAACAGGGCGTTTTGTAACCGGGGTTTTTCTTACAGTAGGGCGAGGGGAGTATACGTATACGGCTGTGATCAGGACGAGTACGGTTTTGCATTATCCTTTGATACAGGGGAGTTTGCAGGCGGTTAATAGGGTCGGGGAGAGTGGGATGGTTAATGAGATTTTGGTTACGGAGGTTAGGAGGACGGAGGTTGTGGTGCGGGACATGGGGGTGCGGGATGAGGTTGCTGAGGGGGATGTGGAGATGGTTGGAAATGCAATGAGTGGGACTAGACGGCCTGTTTATACGAGCGAAAGCATGACGACGATTCCGACCATGGAGATGAGTCCTGATACAAACGATTCGGCATCCGTATCCATTACCAAATTATCTACAAATTCGAACTCAACAGCAACAACAACCAAACCATCTAATCCAACCTCCTTCCATCCCCTCCAAACCTCCCTAAATAGATCTAACCCAACCGCTCCCCAATGCCCCTCATCTACAAATCGACTCGCTCTATTAGCTCTCGTAGAAGATAACACGAGAACAAATCCCAACACAGAGCCAAATGAATATCAACCCTCATTACTGGATAATATTATAAGTCATCTGAATGCAGTAGATGCGGGAAATCTTCGACATGCGATTTATGGGGAGCCGGATCTTGATCAGGGATCGGATACTGATGCTGAGGGAGGGGAGGGTTCGAGTGAGGATGGGGATGGGGATAGGGATGAGGACAAGGAATCGGGATTTGATGAGGGATCTGAAAGTGATTCCGATAGTAATGGACGATTGTGTGGGACATATAATCGTCTGAATTCTTCGTTGCATGAGGATCATGATAATTATGGAGGAGATAGGACTTCGGATTCGGACTCGAACCCTCCGCCTGGTGGAGGTAATTTTTCGGAACTGCCGAAGGATTCGGATACTTCCACACGATCCAATGGGAAATTTGATAAATATGCCAAGAAAAGAGATGCTAATGCTAGATGTACCGGTACCTCGAAACAGAATTCTTCTGCGGAACCATCATCACTTGAAGAAAATTCAGGACAATCGGGAAATAAATCATACATCTCCTCATCGCAATGCCGTTCTCATCGTTGCGGAAATAATCAAAGGCATGTGTCTACAGTTTTGAATTCTGATGCGGATATGGATATTGATGTGGATGTGGATGAGGGAGGAGGATGAAGATGACTTCATCTGTAAAGAACCAGCTTTCAAGAGTGAAAAAAATTTGGAAAGTGTCGGAGGTGGATGTGGATGTGGATATTGATGAAGTATTTTGGGTAGAACCTACCTATCAGCACGGCACTGGAGATTGCTGAGCGAAATGAACAGGATGTAGAAGAAGAGGCTTGGACACTTTCATTCAACGAAGATAGTGGAATGACGAGACAAAACTCGGTTCTTGGTACTAGAGTTAAGCGTGGAGATAGGGGTTCGAATTTCCTTGGCGGGTTTTGTGGATAGGTGTATGTAGTCTTACATAGGTAGCGGTATGTGTATAGATTAGCGGTTTATTTTCTTGAATTAATGTTTAGTATGAGGATAGAAGTTTTAGTGTACTCATCTACGTACAGTTTTGAGTTGAGAATACCTCCTTGATCCATGGACTAGGATCTCTTGATATTTGATCCGGAACGCCGATTTATGCTGGGTTTGCCTTTTATATATATCATATCATATCATACACCTCATCTCTTCATATATTATACAACCTCCCATCTCATCCCATCCCACCCATTTTATATAAGGTAATAGTCCGGATCCCGCCCACAAACTCGTCTAATCTACCCACACCTCCCATCCCTCCACCCGGTCCTCCACCTCTCCTCCCACTTCGCACAATCAAACTCCCTCTTCCCAAGCTTCCTATTAACATCATTATGCGCCTCACACATCCAGCGACCAAACTCCTCCCGACTCTCCGTGCGCACCTTATTCACAGCCATATATTCCTGAAAATCAGACGCGCACGTCCAACAAGGATACAGTTGCGAGAAGAGATTCATAAACGTGCTTATATTTGTGCGATCAGTTGCGCTGGGATTGCTGGGGTAGGATGCGGATAGTGTGTGGAGGAATGTCCAGGAGGCTCGGCCGAGGGTTTCGATTGAGGGGGGACAGTCTGTGGGGGGTGTGGAGGGGATGTTGGATGAGAGGCTTTTGGTGCTGTTGGTGAAGGATGCGAAGGAGTTACAGGAGCGGCAGCTAGGTGGGTTTAATGTTAGATGCGTGATTGGGAGGTTTTGTTTGTTCGTGGATAGGAAGAAGGTAGGGGAGAAAGTAAAAATGACTTACGGTTTTCCGTCTTTTCCTAATATAACGCCTTTTGGGTATTTTTTTGGAGGGGCTTCGGAAGTACTGGAAGTGGTTGTGACAGGAGAATTGTCGTTAGAATCGTTCCGCGTATCATCTGCCATTTTGTTTTTTTGTTGTAAGTGAAAGAAGGAAGAAAATTAGAGTGAAATGGGAAAATGGAAAGATTGGGAAAAGATCAAAAATTTCGAGACATAGGTATTGAAGCTTTTGGTTTGTAATACTTCAGATAGATTTGTCGGAAAATCATCGGTTATTTATGCGATAGGACAGGGGTTTGAGTTAAGCTTATTTTTAGGTGGGGTTTGGAGTTTCGCATGTGCTAATCGTCATTTTTTACGGAATAATGTAGGTAAGGTAAGGTCTTAGTTCTTTTACCCCACTAGCTCTATTGCTAGTTTGTTGGAGCTTGGTTCCTGAGTTAGTTGTGTGAAGTGTGCGAATTTTGATTCATTTTACATGGTAAGGTTGATTGTGAGAATATTATTGGATGAATGATAAGAAAGAAGGAAAAAAGAAAAGGAAAGAATAGGAACGATGACGAAAATACCAGTTTTCCTTTTAAAGACGAAAAGTGTCCCGAATGACGGGTATGAGGAGAGGTTTGAGGAGGTGAGTTTTAATGCGTTGAAGTATGGACAGGGGGAAATGAAGAGTGAGAGGGGTTTTGAACCGATTTTTGTACCGGTTTTGGAACATAGGTTTATGGAGGAAGGGGCCGTGGTGGTCAAGAGGTTACTTAAGGAGAGGCAAGTTGGGAAAGAGGAGGGGAAGAGATATGGGGGGTTGATTTTTACGAGTCAGAGGGCTGTGGAATTGTTTGCTAAGTTGGTGGAGGAGGGGAGAGCGGGGAAAGATGGTATGTTTGCAAGTACTTCGAGATATTGATGATTGACTGATAATTCTATAGTGGATGATGAATGGCCTTATCTGCAAGATATACCGATATACACTGTTGGACCAGCTACATCTCGAGCTTTACGATCGATTCCTCAAAATCCACCATTAAATATCTTTGGAGCCGAAACAGGAAATGGAGAAGCATTGGCACATTATATGTTAGAACATTATGGAAACTGGTATAAAGATCGTACAATAAAGCCGTCTCTGCTATTCATGGTCGGAGAACAGAGAAGAGATATCATTCCTAAAACATTAATGGATCCAAATTTATCAAACGAAAAGAGAATTCAAGTCGATGAATTGGTTGTTTATGGTACTGGAGTGATGGAATCTTTCGAGGAGAATTTCACGAATTTGTTAAAGGAGACGAAGGATAGGGATGTTAGATGGGTGGTTGTATTTTCACCGACGGGCTGTGAAGCTATGTTACGTTCTCTAGGGATGTTGGATTCTCAAACTGGGAAAGTTAAGAAATCGGATGAAGGAGATGATGGACAGAGAAAAACTTTCATCGCTACGATTGGACCTACTACTAGAGATCATCTCCAAAATACCTTCAATTATGAAGCGGATGTTTGTGCTGATAAGCCAAGTCCGGAAGGTGTTATTGAAGGGATTAAGAGATTTTTGGATCATACTTAGGAATTGGGGAAATTCTTGACACATGCTTCTTTGGGTTTTACATGCATTGTCCTTAGGAGATTTATTATGCATTGGTGATACAACATATTGAATACTACCTTGGTAAGTAGATGCAATATATATCAAACCCCCGCCGGGTGTGTTATACATGAAATCGTCCGATTTATCAATTTGATGACGTACAAAAAACGTTCCTTATGTTGTTAGGTAACTAAATTGTTGAGCCATTGACTTAGCAGATTAGATATATAACTTGAGGAAGCGAGGTGAAATAAAACAAATCATTGAACGAATTCGGATGGAGGGTAATAAAAATAATAAGAGATAGATAATAATATCATCTTAGAGTTTCCTCTACACAACGGCCGTTTCTTGGCTGTCAGCCTTAGCCGTTTCTTAACCCATTCAACCAATCAAAAACCCAGTGGCGTCCTCCCTTCAATGTTTACATCTTCCATTTGATCAGGCCACGAACAAGTGAATTCACTCCAATCAATTTGTAAGTTATTACTCAATTATAAAACCTTCAATCCCTCCCAGCATCCCTTCCATCATATACATTCCCATCTCATATAGGGATACAGCCATCCTCGGTACAAAGCAACGAACTCCAGTTACACATCCACACGCATTCACAACAGAGTATATATCCCTAGTTGAGGAAACATTAATACGGGAAAACTAATTAAACACAACATTCACAAACGCTGCGTCCACAAACATTGCATTCACAGATATTAAATAGCTTTGTCATATCGCATTCACAATGTCAAGTAATCGCTATCACGACGAAACACCCAATTCTTCTGGTCATTCTACACCCGCCCTCTCAAGTTCCGCTACCTGGACTGTGCCATCTACGGTTTCCCATGCAGTTACAGGATTACTGAGACGTTTCTCAACTGAACCTTCAAATCATGCTGGAAATGGAAATCTTAACAACATTCATAATCAGCAATCAAAATTCCGTTCCTCGAATTTCTCTCCCGCCTCGGCACAAAATGGTATTCAAGGAGTCTATACCCCTCCTCATCGCACAGCTTCACCTTTTCAACCCCCGCCTCTGTATCCGGTGACTTTACGTGGTTGGAGAGAAAATACAGATCCTTCGGCGCAATTATTGAGCAGGGCGCTCGCGGAAGAAATTAGATTGTTGGTTCCTCCGAGGTTGCAGTTGTGTGAGGAATGGAATTTGGTTTATAGTTTGGAACAGGATGGGGTTAGTTTGGGGACATTATACAAGAAATGTGACGAGTTGAGGGGATTGAGGAATGGGTTTGTGTTGGTCGTTAGGGATGGGGAGGGTGGGGTATGTAGTTATTTCTTTCTTGCTCGTGTGTTTGGGAATGGATGGTGATTGTTTTTGAGATCGAAGCTAATGTGGAAGCTATATAGTTATTCGGCGCATACTTAACAGAAGCTCCTCATCCCGCTCCCCACTACTTCGGCACAGGAGAATGTTTCCTCTGGCGCGCTACCCTCATTTCCTCCTCCCTCCTAGCAAATCTGCCTCCTCCCCCTTCATCCGACACAACACATTCCCAACGCTCCACCACCATCGGCGTCCCTCACCCCTCCTCACTCCTTTTCCCCACGACCTCGCAAGGCCCACCCAAATCCCCCGCCTTCTCTTCAAAATCGGGCACCAGCACCCCCGAACGTATCCGCTTCAAAGCATTCCCTTACTCAGGTATAAATGACTACCTGATGTTATGCGAAACGGGATTTTTATCAATAGGTGGTGGTGATGGACATTATGGACTTTGGTTGGATGATACGTTTGAAAAGGGGATCAGTAGTAGTTGTCCTACTTTTGGGAATGAACCATTGAGTGAAGAGGGGGAAAAATTTGATATTCTCGGGGTGGAAGTTTGGAGTATTGGGAATTAGTGGGGTTAGTGGGAGGGGAGGGATAAGATGTGAGATGGATTGGAAAGGGAGGAGAGGGGAGTAATTGGAGTGGATGAGAATGAGAAAGGAGGAGGACGTGGGTGAGGAAATGAAAACGAGAATGTGAGGAGAATTGGGGGAGAGGGTCACAGGATGACGCCCGTTTGATATATGCATTATATGATACCCTTATTGTGAAATTTGTAGGCTGCTACGAGCATTTTATTTTACTTCAACTAGGTACCTAAGTACTTCAAATACTTTAATTGTATCATTATAATGGAGATTTATAAATATATTTACATATCCCACGACGCTAAACAATCCACTGATCACCTTATCCCTGATATAGTCACGCAAAAGTTATGTTCGAAGCAGACACTATACCTCTTGGGTATCTAGCTAGTATGTTCTCGACTCGATGGTTAAAATTCAACTTAATTTCATCTGCCACAGAAATCTCCCAAGCAAGGACTACAACATCCTAACTCCCCATCCATCCATCCATATCCCTAAACGAAGCCCAAGGCTAGGAAAGTAACTTCACAAATTCCCTACCTCCGAGCAAATCTACCTACTCAACTCAACTCATTCATAATTAACCTAATTAATGCATAGCCACATCACTAGGTTCCTTCTTGATTTTCCGAAAGAAGCTATCTACTTTCGCATTTTCTTTTTTTATGGGTCGAGTTTTAGGTTTTGTATTGGAATTCGGTTGAGGGGGATCTTTGAAAAATTCTTGGGAATTGTAAAGAGAGGCTTTGATGTCGTAGGGATTGGAGGAGTTGAGTTGTAGGTAGGTGTATACATCTATTTCAAATGAAAAAGGATGTGCAGGTTAGTTTTTTTATCTTCACACAATTATGTATTACCTTCCATTTTCATCGGAGGGGAGGACGAGAGAATCAAAGGGGAACATACCGGCTTTATAATAAATCGCACCCCTCTTTGTTTTATCTACTAACCCTAATTCCTTAATAGCTTTCAAGACTCGATACACATCCATTTTATCTGAAAAGTTCTCGGTATAGACACATATGAGTCGAGTTTTCTGAAGGAGGCCGGATCCATCATCGGGTGCTACTTTGGCGCCTATGCCGAGGGAATTGGTTGAGGTAGATTTTGCGATTGCGGACCAGATCTCGTTTACTTCAGAGGGAAGACAGAAAATCATCCACTTACGAAAAACGAGTTAGAAATTAGATTTGGAATTTGAGATGAGGAAAAGAAGCAAGATGAAATTCCCGAGCGGGGTGATTTTCTTCTTCGGATGTGAATATCACATAGGTATTGAAAATATCCGAGAGCCACTCAGGTGAGCATCGAATTGAGAGCAAAGAAGTCTCAGGAGTAACATATAAGCGAGACATAAAACATACCTTCCCAGTAGTACATTGACAATCAACTGCTGTATCTAAAATTTTCTGCACAATAACTTCTTTCCCTTTGTCTATCAACCGAGTGATTGCAACTGTGGATTTTCCAGCATTTTCCTTCTCAATTGTGTTTCGAAGAGTTTTTAGCTCCTGTAGTAAACGATTCCCTTCGAATACACATTTTCCCCAGCTGTTTATGCAAATCAGCATACGGAAACTGCTCATTGAGACTCCATGTACACAAAATGTACTCACTCGCTATCTTTATCGAGAGGAGCTTCTTCATGTATTGCAATACGTTTCGGTGCCTCACGGAAGGGATTGGTAATGTATATCCATGGAATCGATTCAGAAACTTGAGTCGTCTTTGGTGGTAATCGTTTTAGAAAAGCTTCAACGCTCTCTTCAAGTTGCCATGCACATTCTTGACCTGCATACGGATTATACATGGTTGATTTTGGTGGTGGACTTGCAAGAGCTTGGGCAACATTCGCATCTGCCTTTTCGGTCAGGGATGGTTGATGATTTTTCCAATATGCTGCATCATTAAATTCCGAAGCACGATCTTCGAATGATTCTTTGGTTGTCGAATCACCTGTTTGAAGGTTAATAATGGGATGAAGTAATATATAGGGTTGTATTACCATAGAAATCTGATTCATCTGATAGGTAGCCCTCATTTTTGGATACGTTGGTTTCTTTCCTGTTTGCCATTTTGTCTCCTGGTCAACTTCCTCACATGAACGTCGTTGGATGATAGGTGAAGTAAGCTGAAGTTGGAAACTAGGAAAAAGCGTAGGTGAATCGTTGGTATGCTACAGGTAACCTGTTGCTTATATGACCACTAGATCAAGTAATAGATGACAGCAATAAATAATACCTAGTAAGTATGTACATAAAAGAAGTTTATAAACAGTTGAAATCGAAGGCAGTTTTTCCTTGGAAGTGTTGAGAAGATTCACTTCATGGAAGATGATGCACGGACCATATAATGGTTTCTTTTGATGGACATCCAGATCTTGCTTGCATGGACGAGATTCAGGATGACCTGTCCTTCTTGATAAGTCAATTGGGATAATGAACCTGGAGAAGGTCCTAATGCTGGGGCTTTGGTTTTTATAGACTCTCTGTGAAATGGAGGGGGGGTGTTGAAAAGAAATCGTTTCACCAGAAATATTTGGCTCCCACGCCTTTTAAACAAACGACAACGGCGAATTGCATATACTTACAACAGGGGTTTGGGAGCAAACAGCCGTTTACAAGGGATGCATTGGTGCATTGATGCATAGTAGTGCACAGGACTTTGCCGATATAATAGATGAAGAAGGGAAAAGGAAGTATGACGAGAGCCTTTTCGAATACTTTGAACAACAATGTTCAATTATAACTATGCTCCAAACGAGTAGAGGTGAGAAGTGAGAGGGGTACTTCTATGGGGCATTTTATCCGCTGAATCACTGTCTCGTCTTGTGTATGGGCGAAAAGAAAAGGAGGAGGGAGGACTGAGACGTATAGCGGAACCCATTTGTGAGACACCCGCTGATATCTTGTTTGAAGCATCATAAGTTCAAGTAACCTGGAAAGAGAAATATTGTAAGTGGCGGTGCAATGTGGCTTGTAACCTACATGACAACAACATTTTCCTCGAGGGAATATCCCAACCTCATTCTCAGCAAGATCAGATCTTTTCCGAACGAAGTCTCCTCCTGTCGAAGCACTAATTATTGTACCAAAACACTTTTGGGGGGAGAACGAATTTTGCATGCCAGAACGTCAAGTTATCTATCAATCAATTAAACATGGCTTCAAAAATCGAAGTTCTTGATTCTGATCTCTTAGACCTTCCTCCGAGTTGCATGGAATTTTGGCCAAATAATCCTTCATGGTTCGTCATTGGAACTTATGAGTTGGATAAGGAGGAAGAAGATTCATGGGTACATGTCAAGAAGTCTTCGAGTGAAGTCATTGTGAATACTGAACCATTTCCACAAAAAGAAGGAATGGTTTCCTCAGCTCCCTTGAGTTTAATCGATTATTCTCATCCTGAACATATTTTTGTTGAAGAGAAAAAGATCATCCCAAATGAGTTGGAAGATCAATCAGAGCCTCCATCAACTCTTCAAAAGAGGAATGGAAGTTTAATGCTATACCATCTCGATGGTGGTTCCCTGTAAGCATTGTTCATAAGTTTATATCCTTCTTATCACATCTGATATGAGTAGGACCCTTTTTCAATCACGCCCATATCCATATGGAGCAATCTATGATCTACATTTTTGTCCCACGGATCAAGATTACTTCGCAGTCTCCTCCAGTACAGGCAGGATATCCCTCTTCAAAATAACGGCCGATGAAAATACTTCTCCCAATCTCGAACATATTAATACCTGGAAAGTATTTGATGATTCAGTTCTGATTACTTATTTTGCATGGTGTCCTTCAACATCGAAAGATGGTTCCCTATCTTTAGCTGTAACGGCTTCGACTGGAGTTGTTCAAATACTTAATGTAACTGGAGCGATATATGGTAAGATACACGGTTCGGATTTACGGTTGCGAAAGGAAGAACCATCCGTATCGTTGCATTCTTTGAAAATACCATATTCAGGCGAGGAACCTCAATATGCATATTGCTGTTATTGGGCTTGTCACCCTTTCACATCTTCCGAAAAGTTCCACGGGATATTTTCAGGAGGCGATGATTCGAAACTCCGAACTTGCATTTTAGGAAATTCTCGAAATAGAGATAATCATTTTGACTTGAATTTGCAAACTTCGTACTCAGGGCATGAAGCTGCTGTTATTTCTATTCTTCCATTACCATCGGGAGACAAGAGATGGGTTCTCTTAACTGGCAGTTACGATAATAAAGTTCGAGTCATCAATATGGGATGGTCATTTGGTCCGGTGTCACCTTATGAACTTGCCAAAGAGGCACCAATCGATGTTGTAGCGGATTTAGATGTTGGAGGCGGAGCATACCGTCTTGAATTCCTTCACGAATACCCTAGACAAACAGAAGACAACAAAGATATCTCCTTCAGGGTCCTGGCATCATGCATGGAAGTTGGCGCTAAGATTCTAGAAGTCCAGCGAAAGGAAGATATGTGGAATATTAAAGTCATCGCATCCATCGATATTGACATTCCTAAATGGCCAAACCCAAACAATAAATCTCAACTATGTTATGCCAGCGCAGTACAACCTGGTAGAAAGGATGGAGGTTTGGTGTTCGTCAGTTCTTATTTTAATAAGAGACGACTGAGCGGTACACCAAAAAGGGTACAACCTACTATTACGAGTGGAGATACGATTTTTGTTAGTACCTGTTTTAATAAGCGACAATTGGGTGTTTATAAATTTGTGGAGGATGAGGAGAATGAAATTGAAGAAATTACGAAGGGAGTTGAGGGTCTTTGAGTATTTCACTTGAGAATGCGTACTTTTTAACGATCATAAAGCCAGAAAGTGAATATACTTAGGTTGTGATAAGTTCTGCGTCATCATAAATCAGTTGCGATATATATGAGATATAGAATGAGGAACTGGATGAGAGCTTGATGAAGATATGGAGGGTGTATTACCAGTCTCTGGTGCTCTGAAAGATATATAAATACTCGAAAATCATAAAGAAAGAGGATTATTCATGCATATATAAAGAGATATATTATTATTTTTTCCAAAAAAAAATACCACCAGCCCAAGCATCTAAAAATACTACCTATCTACCTTACAAGAAAATCCCATCGGTGATATTTATCTATTTATCTACCTACCTACCTACTTACAAAATAACATCACAGCACCCTCCATAGCGTTACTCATCAACCATCACTCAAATTCAAATTCAATATAATAAATATCCCAAACGCCCCAAAATCTGCTCAAATACCTAGGTACCTAATGTATAAAATCCAATCACCCCCGGGTCTCCCCGGCCCATCTTTTTTTCTTCAATATTTATTTACTTCTCTCTTTTTATATCTATTTGTTTTTTTTTTCTTTTTTTAATTATATATCTCTGTTTAATAGATTAATATAAATAAATATATAAATATCTTATATTCTTTTTCTTTTTTTCATCTCAAGAATGATTGACTGACTGATTAATCTGTGTGGAATATATTTGATATTTGATATTTGACATTTGATTCTTCTAGATATATATATATTATACACGAATACGATGGGCGCGGGGCAATATCTAATACAGTTGTAAGAAGATCTTAGACTTATCATTGCCGAAGTACTCGTATAGCAAGTTCCTGTATATGTGTACGTAGATCGATATGATTTAGTTACCGATAATAGCTACTCATTAACATTAAAGCACTTGATCCCGTCGTATAGTATTAAAAACTTTCTTTCTTTACGGTGTGATTTCTGATAAGATTGTAATGATTCACTGGTCAAACACCCATTTTACTTGACAACTCAAATCCATTCAAATTAAAAGCATCGTCTAAACACGTTGCAAGACAAGATGCAAATAAATGTATAATCTTCATTTATAACAGAGAGCCAAGAACAACATTCTACATTCATCAACTAATTTGACGGCATAGTTTTTCCTCAAACTCCATATGAATTTTTCACCTCAACCAAAAGATATCTCCATCATCCTACACCACCCTAAATTCATGCCCCATTGCACCTATGCAACAAGTTTCAACCCACTCCCGTTCTTACCAACCTCACAAACACCACATACAGCACAGACAGTTCCCTTATATTTAGCTTGATATTTGCTACCATCAAATGCACAGACCTCGAATGGAGAGCCAGAGTAAATAGGTGTATGTGAGGCAGCACAAACATCGAATTCGGCAAATTGATCGAACTCAATCTCGTGGATATCATTAGGGTTGCGCTCACATGCAGCTTTAATCTTACGAGCCTAGATATTTAATTAGTACATAAAATTAATTGCGCAAAGAGATTGCTTACATTATCAAGAACCTTAGCACTTCCGCCATTTGCCAACATTCTGTTAGCGAAACTTAATGCGGAGTTATAGTTCTTGCTGGAATAGGCCAACTTCATCGCACTTGTTAAAGCCAATTGTCTATGAACAACCTCCAACTTAGGAATAGTGAAATAAGCTGACAATTCCAAACTTCGCTTCAGTTTCTCTGGAGATTTTGATATTTCATCAGCAGTTCCAATCTTCCGCCTTGAAATTTCAATGGCCATTGCTATACTGTATTCTGATGCTGTCGTGATAAGTTTCTTTGCCTCTGATACTTCCGACGCAGTTGAGACCGCGTTGACGAGTAGAGCATGAAGGATGCCCTTGAAAATTGTAGCACCGTCTTCAAGCTTGTTTTGTCGCATGGCATCATATCCTTTCTGTAAGTCGATTGTTGCTAATGATTCGATATCTCGTGGAATAACAGGAAGAACTTTACGAGGATCTGTCTCATCAACTGTTCGTCGAACATAATTGACCAAAGGTGGAAGACTTGCGGATGCTGGAAGGTATGTTTTTGATGCTTGGTAAATCTCCAAGAATCGAGGTTTCAAAGGTTCGAAGTTGACAGCGCCAAGTTGTCGGTTAAGTAATTGCATAGCAGTTTCAAAGGAGCCACCAGCCACGTGGTCAGCAGCGATAGGGGAATTGCGAGCCCATAAATCAGCCTCACTACTACCCGCACCAGCTTCTGCACTATCAACATTGACAAAGTCACTCTCAACTTCTGGAACAATATCATCACCCATGTCCCATCCCGCAGCATCTTCGTCATCGTCAGCCTCAATGAGAGCGCCAGTTTTAGCTTCATCGTCTCCAGCTTCATCGAACCCAAATCCATTTGCTGCGGCAGAAGGTTCATCTTCTAGAGAAAGACCTTCGACTTGACCAAGCAGAGCCTTCTCAAAGAATGATTGCGAAGTTGCCTTTGTTGGCCAGTTTGCCTTGAATGTAGGGATGACAGGTTTAGGAGGAGTAAGTGGAGACCCAAGGGATGGTAAAGCGATTTGTTCTTCGGTAAGGCCCGAAGCCTCAAGAATGGACTCGCATTCCTCTGTAAGTCCATGTGACTTTGCGGTCATGTAAGCAAGTGGATCTAATATGAGTTAGTATCTTACGCGTGAGTATCAGGATCTTTAATGTGAACTTACAAAGATCAATTTCCTTGAACATTTGTATCCTATCTTGAACATCTCCGAGATACAATGCGTTTTGGAAGCGGGCAGTGAAGTCACCACGATGTTCCGCAATTTTGGCCATTCTTGTCAACTTTGCCTCATCTCCAGTGGCAAGATACAAGAACGATAATTTGTCAAATTGTCGTAACTTCTGATATGTCATCTCGACGATTTGGTGATTACCGTGAGCAAGGGCTTCCGCCGTTAATCTCGACCACAACTTTGGTCGATCTAATTGCTTGGCCATCTCCACGGCGACTTCCAAGTTACCACATTCGATTGCTAATTCAAATCGAGTTTGTGGATCTTGAACGAATTGCAAAGCAATTTCTGGATAACCCTTCTTTTGCAAATAAGAGATAATACTTTGACCAACAAGACTTGAGTTCTTAATGATTTGCAACATCTCCTCATAGTTTCGCTTCACAAGGGCAAGCTTGAAACGATACTCTGTAGGATCGATATTCAAAATCTTTGGTTTGGCATTTCGGTCCAAGCAGTACATGGTACGTGCTTTAACCCTGACAAGGTAAACTGTCTGATCAAGGGTGCGAACTATACCGTTATCTCCGTTCAATAAGGTGTATTTGATGTGGTTCAAAGTCGAGTAAAGAAGGACGCCTGCATCATCCCAGGTAGCACTCTTAATACGGATGGTCTCGTGAAGAGAGCTAACTTGTTCTAAAGATTTCGTAACAATCGTGACGTTATGTTTGCTCAAAAGAGCCGCGTATAAACCATCGTTAGACCAAACAACATACTTGACACCGGATACAGCAAGTTCAGCAGTAGCTTTCTTTTGTTGGATATCATATAAATGAACAGCAGTTGGGGTGATCAACAAAAGGTTACCAGTTCCACCAAAGTAGATATCGGTGGTTCCATTTGGAGGCTTAATGGTCTTGGTAATGGAGTTGGAAAGATCTTTGATATCAATTTGCTGAGTTGTAGCATTGAACACAGCGAATCTGTTTCGTGCTACAAAAACTGCAGAAGTACCTTGACCTCGCTTCGTGTCATTTGAATCCATTGAACCAGCTCCATCCCGAGGAAGATTGATGAGTTCGTATGAACCACCATCTGCAGGGGAAGTAACCAAGACGGCTCGTTCAGCTGGATTGTAGGAAAGTGATCTAGGTGGAACCCAAGGGCTACCGAGTTTCTTCAATGTTAATAGTGTTGGGCTCTCGATGTTCTTCTGGAAATCATAAGATTTGACATGTTTATCCTTGGTGATATAAAAGAGATTGTTTTGATAAAAGGCAGAAGCAGGGCGTTCTCGCTCAAGCTTGAATACCATGACACCATTATCGTGGCCAGCGGCGAAAAGATTTATCTCAGGATGAGCGGCAATGACCCAGAACCTATCATTCTCTCGCTTGAATGATTGCACTGACGTACGCTTGTTGAGATCCCAAACTCTGATGGTTTTGTCTTCGCCAACTGACAAGATCAGGTCTTGATGAGGGTGAAATAAGCATCCTGACGCATTTTGGAAATGTCCCCGACAGGTATCGACCTCCCAAGCTTTAGTTTCGCTCATTCGCCATAATTTTACGAGTCGATCATCACCCGCAGATACGATCAGAGGTAATGTTGGATGGAAAGCTACCCAATTGACACCTCGGTCATGACCTTCAAGCACAAATTTGACCACAGCATCGGTATTTCCAAACATATCCGCTTGAGCCTGGTTCCCTCTCGACATCTGATCTTCGAAAGTCATTGATGTTGGCGCCGAATGCTTCTTTCGCAAGCCTGAAATATCCCAAACTCGAACCGACTGATCAAGGGATGCAGATACTACCAAATCGTCTTTTGGATGGAATTGAGCGCACATTGTATAGTGATTGTGACCAGTCATTGTGCAAACTGAAAAGAAGGTTAGTTCCGCATACGTTTATAATGTTGACACATTCCCAGCTTACTTAAAGAACGATTTTGCCAATTCCATATTCTAATAGTTTGATCGTCCGAACTGGAAATGATCCAAGGGAGCTCATGATGAAAGAAAACTGTGCGAACATAATCCAAATGACCATTCAAAGTAAAAAGACATCTTCTAGTCTGCAATGACCAGACCTTAATCTTGTAATCATCTCCACCAGAGACAAAGAGGGGTTGTGTTTTGTGGAAGTCAATTCCTCGAACTGGCCCATCATGCTCCTCGAATCTATCAATCAATGTTCCCATACGGTAATCCCATAGCTGAATAGTCGAAGAATGTAAAGAAACTAGAATCCATGGCCTATAAAAATAGTTAGATAGAGTTGCTGCGCATTGTATTTATGAACGAACCGTTTAGGATGGAAAGCAATGCCCTTTGCTCTGGATGATTTTGACTCGAACTTATGGGGGTATTAGTACTGTAGCCCATCTGACTGAATATATCAAGCTTAGAGTATGAACATGCGACATACCTTCGTCAACATTGTAGGGGAGGAATTGGAGTTAGATGCCATGTTGACCGATGCTCTGAATGACGAACAGCCCTATACGTTGCGCATCAAGTAACTGGGCAAATTAATTAATATCCTCCTAATGTGTCACTTTCTCAGATATGGCGCAGAGTAGAGGAGAAAGCCGTAAAAAGAGAAGATATTTGGTGGTTTGTTTGAAATTAAGGTAAAGTAGGTTACAGGAGGATATGGCATTGAATTTCGAAGCGTGTGAAATGCGACGTTGCTGTTTCCCGCAATTAAGGCATCAACAGACTAAAATTGACAAGGCTGCCACCCAAATTCACACCAAAGCTTCACCAGCCGCAAGAGCTTGAAAGGATCCTTGAACCAATTTTGGTTGGAGCTCTAGATTATGGAAATCTGTCCCTTGGAAAGAATGCGATAAGACCTTAATTCTGGTCAGCCTTGTGTATAATATCTTTATATTCTGCTATCAGTAGACAAACCTCTATGTAACTTTCATTGCTGATGTTAAAGTTCATACACGTCTCAAATTCGATTATACATTACAAAGTTTATTTTGTTTAAATTCCCAGGCGGACAAGAACTCGAAAGATTCGTCCCGCCGTCATTAGCCAGCCTTATCTCTACTGTAGCTTATGGAAGCTACCCTGTGAAAGTCGAGAAGCTCTTTCACTTCCCCGCGAAAGTGTTTAAATCTCCACTACCAAGATGGGAGCCTTCAAGTTACCTTGGGGACTTTCGGGAGCTCTACTGGCATCTATATATCTTCATTCTATAGGTGTCACTGCTAGCCCGTCCATCAATGTTGGCTTGCAAACATCCTTTCCATCCGCCCCGTATCTCCTTGAGCTCCTGTATGTTCAATTCCCTGGCTGCTGTTCAAGCAATACTGATTTATATATAGAGAGACAGCAGCAACTGAAAATGTTTCCTCGTACTTCCCTCTTCTTGATCGCATTGCAGATGGCTATTTTGCCAAGGCTTCCACGGATAGAGACCTATATGCCAAATTTATACAAATTCTCAGAGAAGATGGACATATGGATGCCGAGTCGCTTTCATCATACCAGCTTGCATTATCCATGAGAGTTGCCGCACCTCGTATTGAAGCACAATTTCAATATTACCATACCGCTGTAGAAGCCTCAGTAAAAAGAGAGGAAGACTCTTCTTGTCCAACGTGGGTTCTCTTTGATGGGAACCAATATTGTTCACCAACATTAAATGAGCCCCATGGAAAAGTAAACGGACCTTCGTGAGTTTTGAATGGTTGATTGAAAGCGTCAATATGCTAATCATTAGCCTGCAGACAAACGAAAGAACTACCATTTGATTATGTTCTTGGGAATCCTAACGGACCTCATTCTATATTATATGCTGATATAACATCTCCAGCATTTGGTCATTTCCACAAGACTTTGGTGAAAACTGCCCGTGAAGGCAAAACATCTTATCGTCTCCGTCATAGGCGAGCCCTTGATTCTGGCTCGAATAAACCTCTAATGATTCCGGGTTACGGTGTAGAACTCGCTCTCAAAAGAACCGATTATATCGTGATTGACGACCGCAAGGATGATGATGAAGAGGCACCAAAATCCAAAACCGAGACCAAAGTCAAGTTTGAAGATGAGGAGGTGGCGGACCTAAAGCCCCTCTCTACCTCAGAGCTCTCTTCTCTTGGATTGAAGGCATCTAGTTTCATTATGCAGAGTGAAAACCCATTTGATACACTCATCAAGCTTTCACAAGATTTTCCAAAACATTCTAGTGCTATTGCTTCATATAATGTTTCTTCTGACTTTCTTGCGGAGCACAATTACAACCGTGGAAAACTCGTCCCTGCGGGCTTCAACGTATGGTGGGTAAATGGCGTACAGATGATTGAGCGTCAAATTGATGCTATAACCATGCTCGATATTATGCGGAAGGAAAGAAAATTGATTAATGGTGTTAGCGAGCTTGGTTTGACAGGACCTGAAGCTGTCCATTTACTTTCCCACTCTAACATTTCTGAAGCGAAAAGTGATGGAGACGTTCAGAGATTTGATTGGAGAGATGAAATCGAGGGTGGGAGGGTTATCATTTGGTTGAATGATATCGAGAAGGACAAACGCTATGCAGAATTTCCTGCAACACTTGGTGCTTTACTTCAAAGAACGTATCCTGGCCAGCTACCCTCAGTCCGAAAGGAAATTTTCAATCTAGTTGTACCGGTGGATTTTAGCACGTTAGAGGATATCGCTCTCGTAGCCGAGACTTTAGCAAGCTTCGTCAAGCGAAAGTTGGTCCTCCATATTGGGCTTGTTCCAATCACAACGTCTCCAACCGCTACAGAGCAAGCACGAATCTTGTATTATCTTTTAGATGCCTACGGACTATCTGGAGCTATTGCTTATCTTGAAGCTTCCGTCTCGAATGGAGTTGCCAGTCCTACCGAAAAGGCTTTCGAGGCCGCTATTGAGGGTCGCGAGGTTCGAGCTGAAAAAGTAGCAATTACCCTGCAAGATTTATTGAAATCAGATTATTACAATGATCGGATCGACGCCTCCAACCGCTGGACCACAAGACTATCCGCAAATGGCGAATTTCCACCGATATTTGTGGATGGTGTTGCACTTCCTAGAGATGAGAATTGGTTGCAAGCAATGGTTCAACGTCTCACTGTAGACTTGCAGGTTATTCAACAGGGAGTATTCAACGAAATATTTACTCAGGATTCCTACATTCCAGATTTCTTCCTCTCTGAAGCAACATCACGAAGGAACGCCCTTATCATCCCAGAAAGTGATAAAAATATCAAAATAATTGATATGACCACTATCTCAAAACATCATGATGATGTGTTATCCAAATTGCCCAAGGTTGGAGCAAATTCGGCATGGTCTAAGGAAGATTGGGCTCACATGGTTTTGGTAGCAGACCTATCGTCCATTGCGGGTATGGATCTCCTCTTATCTGCGGCTAAGTTCAGGGAGTCCACTTCGCCTCTTGAGATTACTATCATACATAATCCTTCTAGTGATAAGGAGACATCTGATTTTAGCACCCGATTGTTTTCACATATCCAAAAAAGGTCCGATGAACCATTTGTGGACGCGCAGGATTTACCTACTTTGGCAAACCAGGATGGGCTTGAATTCGATGACACGACTAAAGACTCTGCAAAGACCTACTGGAAGCTCGCGAGTCCATTGATTCGATCCGCGGGTTTATTGCCAGGTGAAAGTGGCATACTGCTCAATGGAAGGCTTGTTGGACCAATACCGGCTGGTTCCGAACTGAACCAAGAAGATTTTGAGCAGTTGATCTCATATGAACGTGCGAAACGGATAACTCCCGTCTTTGCTGCGATGAAAGCTCTCGGCTTATCAGAAAAAATTACGGATCCTTTAGCTGGTGCGAAGATTTCTTCAATGGTGGCGCTGGCATCTGTATCAGATACACCTGATGGTATATTTGAGCAGGCGCCAACCACAAGAGTAAATGCATTTGATGTTTGGAACTCTTCTTATACATCCATTGAAGCCGGAGACTCATCAACTGCAACTATACACATGACAGTCGCTATTGATCCGGCCAGTGAGCAGGGACAAAAATGGGTACCAATTGTAAAGGCCATTTCCGAGCTTGAAGGAGTATATCTTAAGATTTTTTTGAATCCAAAAGAACTTCTTCAGGAACTTCCAGTCAAAAGATTTTATAGATATGTTCTAGAGTCAAAGCCTACTTTCAATGATGATGGGGCTTTAATTACCCCTGGTGCCTCGTTCACCGGCGTGCCACAGGAAGCGTTGTTAACTGTCAAATTGGATATACCACCGGCTTGGCTAGTTGCCCCAAAAGACTCAATACATGATCCAGATAACATCAAACTCAGCTCTATTAAGTCTGATGTAGATGCTTTATATGAGCTTGAGCATATTCTTATCGAAGGTCACTCACGCGAGATGCCATCTGGCAGTCCTCCTCGCGGAGCACAACTTATTCTAGGAACTGAGAAAGACCCACATTTTGCTGATACCATCATCATGTCTAATCTAGGGTATTTCCAGTTTAAAGCAAATCCTGGATTTTACAAGATTGATCTCCAGAACGGAAGGAGCTCAGAAATTTTCAAAATAGACAGCATAGGCTCAAAAGGATGGGCTCCTGTGCCTGGTGATGAGTCCACTGAGGTTGTTCTAATGAGCTTTCAGGGAGCTACTTTATATCCCCGTCTTTCCCGCAAGTCTGGTATGGAGGATGAAGATGTGCTCGAGGCTAAGGTTGAGTCGGCTATGGATTTTGTATCTCGCGGACTTAACTTTGCTCAAGGTATCTTGGGTAGCAAGACGAAAGCTACTGCTGCAGTGGAAGAGCAGGCCGAGATCAATATCTTCTCTGTTGCTAGTGGCCATCTTTATGAGCGTATGCTGAACATCATGATGGTCAGTGTCATGAAGAACACAGAGCATACAGTCAAATTCTGGTTCATTGAACAATTTCTATCTCCATCTTTCAAAGATTTCATTCCTCATCTCGCCGCTGAATATGGTTTTAAGTACGAGATGGTAACATATAAATGGCCTCATTGGCTCCGAGGGCAAACAGAAAAGCAGCGTGAAATCTGGGGTTATAAGATTCTCTTTTTGGATGTCCTTTTCCCGTTATCACTCGATAAGGTCATCTTTGTGGACGCCGATCAAATCGTTCGTACAGATATGATTGAACTCGTAAATCATGACCTCCAAGGTGCACCTTACGGCTTCACTCCCATGTGCGATAGCCGCACTGAAATGGAAGGTTTCCGCTTTTGGAAGCAAGGTTATTGGAAGAAATTCCTTCGCGGCCTACCCTACCATATCAGTGCCCTCTACGTTGTAGATCTTCGCCGCTTCCGCCAAATTGCCGCAGGGGACCGTCTTCGTCAACAATATCAATCTCTTTCCGCAGACCCAAATAGTTTGTCAAACTTAGATCAAGATTTACCAAATCATATGCAACAGGTTCTTCCTATTCATAGTTTGCCACAAGAATGGCTCTGGTGCGAGACTTGGTGTAGTGATGAAAGCCTCAAAGAAGCGAGAACGATTGATTTGTGTAATAATCCGTTGACAAAAGAACCTAAATTGGATAGGGCGAGAAGACAGGTTCCGGAGTGGACGATGTATGATGATGAGATTGCGGCAGTGGATCGGAAGAGGAAGGGAATTAATGGAAGCGGAAGTGGAAATGAAGTTGGGGATGGTAAAAATACTAAAAGTAGAACTTTGGAAGGGGTGGTTGATACAAAGACTAAGAAAGATGAGTTATAGATGAGTGATGATTATAGTGTGGATAATTGTATGCATGTAGAATATCATTTGAATTGTCCTGGTAAATTTTGTGTTTTGTTCCTTGCTTTCTGGCTATCTTTGTCTTTGATATTTGCTCCCGCGTGGAAATGGATTGCTAGTATTTGCATAATCAATCTTGACACTAGGTGTTGTCATTACTGTTCTTTTATGATTAATCAGTCATATTGCTTTGATTGCAAAGGTTGATGATACACCTAGTAGAAGAAGGGGCTTTATATCTTCCGAAGTTATCTAAAGGACATACTTATGTATAATCTATCTTTCCTTATAGTGTCTTTCTTACCTCCTATACCACAATAAATATATTCAGGTGCTTTCCTAACGTAGTAGAAATGAGTTCTACTTGGATAGGTGTATTTCTTTTATAAAGATAGTACTTATCATTTATTGGTTCTATTATATTCAATGTGTCCAATAAACTGGATTGGTACAGTAACCGTAAACTTTTAATGTTTAAAATCAATTCAATATCTAAGAGAACTTCAACCTTGGAAATATAGTATTTTTAACAGTCATCTGGACTATTGGGTACACTGATTGACTTATACTGTATCACTTTCCTTCAGCACTTCAGCATGTCATTACAGGGAGGGATTTGTCTAAGGTATTGGGAAGAAACTTTGGATGGATCTGACAGTAATCAATCTCAATATATACTACCTAGATACCCTTCAACACAATGAATCTAAGTAGTTTGGATTCAATTTTTCTCAGAGCTTGTGAATTGAATACTACTTGGCCGTATTTGCCTGGTCAATGTTTGGCTGTATTTATCTAATCGATGTTTCTTGGTTATTTTAGCATCACATAGCGAGCTGTATACTACCCAAGAAACTACTATTTCAGTTCCTGCGGATACAGAAAACTCTAGATTTTACAACCTCCAAATCAAAAACCATAATAACCAGTGTTGTCACTTCTTGAACCTCATCATCTTTTCTAATCAATCAAAAGACATTGATTGAAACTAGTATCATTGTGGCCCCTTTCAGTTTCAACACAAACACCCATTTATTCAACAAACACCATAACAACTTCAAGATGTCGACGGAATCCTTTTTCGTAAGTAATTTCCTAGCACTTCAAGGATAAGCTAAGCAACCTCTGTGTTTTTCTTGGCTAATGTACTCTAAAATAGCCATTCAAACAAGATCATCCAAAATTTCCCGCAGCATTGCGCACCCTCCAGAAAAGCTTCAAGGCAAGAGATGAAAGAGATAAGGATATTCTTATTGAGCAAGTTGATAATGTCAGCTACATTGGCATGTTCGAAAACGGGTGCCGCAAAGCTTTCTCTGGGATTTTTCGCCGCTCATCCAAGGACTTCTGCCTAATCGAAAATATGAATCCTGATCTCCTTACAGAGTTCTTTTTCGACATTAAACACAGCATTAATCCTTCACAGAATGCAGACATTACACCTGCAGTGAAAGGCGTACCAGATATGCGCAAGTTCTTCTTTATCAGCTGCAACTATCTTGACCCGGAGCATATTATTGTTCGCACATATTCCAAGTTAAGAGGTTTTGACTGGAATGATCAAGCGCAGATCAATGATCTCAACCTCTTCCGTCAGGCAGCCATTACGGAGGCTTGCGGAGTCACTGCTTTTGACGAAGATGGTGCCATTCTCAAGCCAAGGTGGATGAAATCTATGGTCACAGAAGGAACTGACAAGCCAAATTCAAGGAAGCGGAAGGCGAAATCTATTAAAGGACCTCCGGATGACAAAATAAAGAAAGGTCCAAGCCTCCGGACTCAGCTGAGAAGTCGAGCTCTGACTCCGAAGCCTGTCCAGTCGGCTGCACAAACCTTGCGACCACAGCCGGCTGCACACGTCTTCCTGTTCCGACCTACTGCACCACAATTTCAGCCTAATCTACCAGCATACGGGACTACTGGTATGCAACTTCAAGCTTTAGGAGCACTGATAGCATTTCCTACACGAAATCAAGAACAAGGAATGCAAGGTTTATGGCGTGACTTGCATACTGGTCGGCCTGTGCATGGCTCAGGATATATATCCCCTCAACTTAGTCAGGGTGACAGCCATGTGGCATTTTCTCAGCATAATCTGCAACCTAGAATGAACCAGTACCAGGGCCAAGGATTTGGAATGAATCAACAAGCTCCACAAGGATATAATCCATTTCCAAACCAAAGATCTGGAATGCCATATCAAGGAGCTCAAGAGAGTTACGGATCTTTGCTTCGGTATCCAACACAAAACTATTTCCCGTCCCAGATTCAAGAATATGGGATGATTCAGCAACAAAATGTTCAGCAAGGATATAATCCTTCACAAAGTTATGGATATGTACCTCAATATATTTCAGCGCAAGGCCAAGTCCCGCTTCAACCCCAAGTGTACGGAATGCATCAACAACCAGCTCAACGAGGATCCACTCAATCTATGAGCCAACGTTATGGAATGCATCAACAGATTCAACACAGTCACAATCAGATGCACAACCAAAGCTTTGCAGTCCACCAGCAACACCATCAGCAAAGCTACAACCGAAGCACATTCTCTGATTATACACAGCAAGCATCTAACCAATATAATATGGGCGCTATTGCCGGCACTGGTTACGGACAAGTTCCTGATCAAATGACTACATTCATGAATGCAAATTCACATCAGCAGACTTCTAGAACTGAGCCCGGAATGGTTGCTCCACTAGCTTCCATGCCTCCACAATATTTGGCGGATGTTTTTGCCAGTAGTGATATGACGCTAGAAGAATTTTTCAACATGGAAAAATGATTGAGGGTATCCAATAATTTAGACTGCAGCCACTCTGGTATGATTATTCTAGAGTCGAGGGTGATTTGCTGCTCAGGGAGAATCACAAGCACCGCAACGGTGGGAGCTTCTCTGGCATCAAAGGATTGCAGTGATGATACCATGGAGAGAGTTAGAAGGGGAGTATGGAGATGAAACTAACCTGATCTACTTCTTTTTGATGTCACAGTTCGGGTTTCCAATTTGCTTTTGTCTATTTGGCGATGATTTTTCTCAGGTTAATATAAGGAGTTAGAAGATAAATACAGAATTATGTTAGCTTAATTTGCTTTTTGGCAGGATAGTAGATAAGTAATCATAATACGACCAATCACCCAAGCCGGCCGTCTGACCTGGTGTATACTGATGAATATGGTGACTTGAACGTGTTATGTTGTACAGAGGCTTGATAGTATAGAAAGTTCCACTTCATGAAGATTTCTATGTTTGCTAGAAATCTCTGGACTGAATTGAGTGAGTTGAAGGACTTTTTTCATGCCATAACTGGTTTGCGAAGTCGCGTGACTTTTTGCAAAGTCGTGTGCTCTTTCCCGTTAAAGTTATTCTGACCATAGTCTTTGTACGTCTTTTTTCAACAACAATTCTTTAAATCATTGATATTTCTTGGAGTTACAAATACTTGAATTCAAATTGCATTATTTAGCTTGTTTGCCTTGCTCACCTATAATCTACGCAGCTAAGCTACTGAAAAATCCATTAGTGGATTGCAGGAGTTGGTAAAATCAACCAGCTCTCCAATTGCTATTTGCTACGCTAATCTACTTTCAAAAGCTTCAAGCGTCTTAATAAGATACATTATCCCATATTCTCTTCTCAGAAATTACCGATCTCCATAAAGTCAGCATGGATGAGTCTGTGATTGTAAGTAGCCCTCTGTTCTTTGGTACCCGAATCATTTAGCATGTAACACATGCCTAGAACTCTTTCGTTAGGATTTACATACTAACAAAGATAACTAGCCTCCCCAAAGCTTTACTAGCATTTTCAACTTTGCCCCCTATAATGTTATCCCTCATCCTACCTCCTTGACAATTGGACAGATGCAAGATATTAGTCCCGCCATCTTAGGTAAACCCGAGCCTCACAAGTATATTTACCTCCACTTCAGATATTCGGAATCTGGAATATCTAAGCAAATCATTATACATCAATACCGAAACCACCGCAGACACAATTGGTTTAGTCAGGATGATATTGACAAATTGAACTTGTTTCGAATTGCTGCTATTACATTGCAAACAGGTGTTGATATTTCGAGGGATAAGAGATGCTGGAGATTTCTTACTAAAGCGGAGAGAAAAGAGTGGTTTCCAAGGTTAAGGAAGTTTGCCAAGGAGACGGAAGCTAGAGAAACAGTCGAAGAGGCACTTGGAAAGGCCACCAACGAGGGATACGCAAACGAAGAAGTTATGGGTGACGCGACTGATAGAGCAGTTGATGAATCAACGCAAGGATCAATTCAAGGACCAGTCCAAGAACCGGCCAGAAGATCAATTGGTGAAACCATTAGCGGGACGATGGAAAAAATATTAGCAGAGAAGAACCCGAGTCAGATAATCTTGCGGTCAATAGCGAATATGAATCTAATATTCCTCAAAGCAGCGGGCCTCTTGTCCATCGAGGTCGCCGCCCTAAACAAACTTACGGCTTTCCACAATGCCAGAGTGCGCAAGGAATGAATGCTACCTGGAACACCAACGACAACACGGTGTCTCTCATCGAGACACTGCAAAACCTCATTCATATGTTAAAGTACGGTTATCCGAATAATGATTCACCGTCCATTGGTTCTCCAATAACTGGTTTACCATCAGCCGCTGCTTCATCAAGTACATGTACTCCTATGCTAGAAGTGGAAGGATCGAATTCGGCTGAGTGTCTGATGTATTGAGTCCTGTTCTGGAGAGATTTACCAACAATGAGGGCCACGGGGAGGATTTATTGCTTTAGCGCGTTGAGTAACTATAGGATGGGGCTACATTAGAAGGCAACAATATCCGTGTATGCAAACAAAGCTCAACTGGTGAGATTGTAGACTCCGGTAACTGAGATAAAAAGAACTTTCATAGCGTTTTCGGAGAAACAGCGTTCACATTGGTCTATCTTTTCAACTTGAGAATTCAATAACATGACAATCATTTTATTTCTGTTGGTATCACTTTGGGTGATACTATTCACATAGTACTATTATGGGTTTGCTTGTTATTCAGTCTTGATCATTATATTCAATAAAAAGGTTCCCGTTTATATCAAGAGAAGATACTACAGTTTCCCTTGTAGTACGGCTCTATATGAGCTAGTCATATGACCGTACTTACAATTTCATTATTTATAATTGAGCAAGTATTCACCATAATTAGACTTGGTGAAGATACACTACACTCGGTATCTTTAAGCAGGACCTCTACCAATCCAAACACGGTAACTTCTGAAAGGACCTCTTCGCTTATCAATATTCTTGTACTGTCTACCAGGAGCAAGTCCTTGTTGGTTGGTAGTAAAGTATAACCATCCATCCAAGATAGCCATAGTGTCTGCAGCCTGGAGCTGACCACCACGAACAAGTGACTTGAGGTTATAGTTTGCGGCTGCTACCATTCCGGAGCCACCGGCTGGGACGCCGTTAATCTCATCGGTGACTTCAGATTGTTGGGTATCGGCATATAGGATTGCATTTTGCTAAGTTTTGTTGTTAGTAATCCGAGAAAAAAGAGCAGAGTAAAAGAATACCAACAGCAGAAGCACAAATATATACTCGGCCGCGGTCATCAGCAGTGAAACCCGCTTGCTCAGAAGGAAAGTTTCCTGGATTTTGAATTACAGCTTCGATTTCTGCATCGTTCAAGTTGGAGGTAAATGCTTCTTGAGGAGCATAATACCAGTGGTTGGAAGCCTTAACTCCCCAGTATACATTGCCTCCGGTTAATGCAATGCCGTTAGTTCCAGAGTTGAGAACAGAAGATTTAGTACCGGACCAGTTTCTGATGACGTCTCCATTGTACATGGAAATGAAGTTTGGATCGGGGGTAGTGAAACTGCTGTTAAAGATGTGTCTGACGGTTGCTCCTGTCTTCAAGTTGATGGTTGAGATGGACCCGTATGCTGAGTCTTCAGTGATGAATGCATATCCAAGAGTATTGTTGATCTTGATGTCGTTCAATTGGAGCTTGACATTGTAGAGCTCAGGTGGGTATATGTAGGTGCGGATTACCTCTGCAGTAGTGTAGTTGAATGAGATGACCTTGGCTCCGTATGGAGTTGGTTGGGCACTTTGAATAAGTCAGCTGATATTCTTGAATCAGAAAGTCCTACTATCAGACTCCTCATCGAAGAAACAAAAACAGAAATATCAACGTACGCTCCATTGGGAACTCCACTATCAATAACCCAAAACACACCCTCCGCATCCAAAACCACATTTTGAACATTAATAAAGCATTCTGATGCATTTTGACCAGCAGCACAGTTTTACCATTCTGCAGATGGCCAAGGTGCCTCACTATTGAACCCAGTGGCCTTTGTGAGAGTCCAGTTTTGTGGTTCCATATTGCGTGCATAGGTGAAGAAAAGATTGGCATCCAAATCTACAGCCAATCCAGTAGGAGCACGCACATACTCATGAACAGCTTGCAATTCTGGACCGATGACATCCAAATCCGCAGAACATAGTCCAATTGTAGTGAGATTCGTGCGCTGCTGTGATAATGGTACTGGACAGGTTCTGTTGAGGCCTTGAGCGGCTGCTGTAACGGCTAAAGCGGCTAAAATGAATAACATCTTTACGGTTTTCGGGTAGGCCGCGTATTGATGAAGAGACTTGAGTAGCAAGAATGAACAGATTGAATAACGCCCTCACATCGGAATGTCTATTTATTTGAACAACTCGATGATGCTATTTACGCCATTGATAAACTTCGGCATTTGAGTTTTAGGTTTTGTGAATATGAAGCTATCGATAAATGAAGAACTTGGCATCACTTGGCACTCTCCGCTATTTTACGTACCTTACAGTAAGCAGAGTGAAGTGTTTTATTTCTCGTAGAAGTGGGGTACTAGACTTAATCGCTAGCTAGCTATATTGTCCCTCTTCGTGAATCATTCGATGTCGATGCCAAATAACTGGTAAATTTTACACCGTAATTGATTCATACCTTAATCCAATATCCGTCCTAACTATCTCCGGACTATACAGAATTTCTGAAGAAGTGGAGTAAATGGAGTAGAATACGGAAGCAAAGGATAAAATAGCTCAATCGCCAAGTAGGAACGGTCAATATCTCGAGCTCTAAAATCGATTTCTATGTATTCTTACATTAGATTAGTATATAGAGAACCTTAAGATCCACGATTTTTGTGGCTATGTGTACATGGCGAAAAGACGCCGGCGATGCTGTTCGGAGACTTGGCACTCGACGTCTTTGCCTAAAATTCGGAAAGGGTTCGGCCAAAAATACACACTAAGTTAGATATTACCTTGTGGGGTGGGTAAATCGTCGGTGCCGACAATTATGCTTCTTGTTGTGTATATAAGCAACTGCTGATAATCACTACTGGATCGAACGTCGCGACCATCTCAATATTTCTTCTCAAGCGACACTCTGTGTCCCGGTCTCTTGTACCTCAAGGCACCTGGATCAAAACCCCAACGCAAAATGTCGCTTACGAAGCTAGATCCCCTGATTAAGCCCCATAAATTCCCTGCCGTCGGAAATTCTGTACCGTTTCTCATGTCATCTATCGATTTTATCGGGTGTATCGTTAGGAGATCATGTGCCTTGACGGTGCTCATGAAAATATGTCGATAATCGTTGACTTCACTGAAATATATAGGACATAAGGTTAGGGTTAATGACTTTGTTGTTTAGGGCTTGGGCTGCCATGGTGTTGAATTTGGTGAAGTCATGGATCAATGGTGACCATTACTGAATTAAGGAGGTCATGGATGTGAATATAAAATGCTGGGAAGTTTTAAGAAGTGAGGAAATGGATGAACTCTTGAAGAGATGTGGTGCTTTGTTGTTTCTATGGCCACAATTTATCGCTAGTTGTCATTTTTATATCAGTATGGACGATAATTTGAATCAATAGTAACGTTTTATTGTATGTCTTTTCTTCTGTATTTCCTTAAAGCTACACCTAACTCTTTAGGTATTAACAGCTTAGATTTTTATACAATGATGAAGTTGTACTTGATGTCTCTTTTCTGTGCTTTTGAATATATTCACTCACCAGCTTTGATGAGATAATGGATCTCAGGCCCAAATCTAAAGATAGTTTACAAAGAAGAAACCTATGTATTAGCTAGTCCTTTCTGAAGTGGAAACTCGTTCTCAAGAAATCAAATCATCTCTTACTTGTTTTGCTTATAAATAACTTTTCTTGTTTTCATATGATGGCTCATTTGTAAATTCCGATCTTATATTGGACTTCAAAAGAACAACCTCCGATATAATTGGATATATGAAATCAATATATATTCTTTGAATGATCAAGACTTAATATACTTTCATATATTTTTATATATAATTACTTTATTGTCGGCTTGCCGACTCCATAATTTTGCTGTACGCGAGGTTTACCCGGTGGGTGATAGAAAATGAGAAACTCGCTTAAATGAGTCACGATCCTGACAATCTGATTGGTCTAAAATACCCCAGTAAATACCCGGTAAATAATCTAACAAAAAGCTTGGCATAAGCCTTACAACCTTAGTGTAACGATCTGGTCGAGGCAGCGGCTGCCCGAGGTTTCGTATGGTTGGTAGTTGTGGGTTAAGGCTAATACTCACTGGTTATCCATTTGAAAGTGAATTCGTTACTAGATCAATTGGAATTTAGGTAAACTAATTGATAACTAAGTTGAGCATGAAGCTCTTAAATTATGAAACTATTCTGATTATATATTAACGAATGGAAAGGAGCTTTGTGGAGCTTTAGAGCTTCAAAAAGCTCTTGGAGCTCTGGGAGCTTTCGAAGCTTTCAGGGCTTCTTATCATGTGATTAGGATAAGATTATATGTTCGAGTTTGTTGAGGGTGGGGAGATTATATGAAGCGATTACTATACAAATTTGTACATAATTTGCTTTGCTTTTCAAGGAGGTCCAAGTTCACATGGACAGGTTGATTGTTGCCTCTCAACACATTATAATCTCAACTTGTGAATCGTGACACTTAGACAAATCTGAATTGGAACTTTTTTCAACTTTAGTGAAATCATTCAAATCATTCAACTTATTTAAATTATTCAACTCATTCAACTTAACTCTATTCATTCAATTCAAAATAATAATAATAATAATAATAATAAATAATATTATAAATAATATAAAATATTATAAATAATAGATAATATTATAATTATAATTAATATTATTATCATTAATATTATTATCATTATAATTATTATTTTTAAAAAAAAATTTAATTTTCAATTATCAAAAACAAGTCGATATTCTGCCTGCATCTTAATATATATTTAATATTTAAATTTATTATAAACTTTTTAAAATTTAAATTTTCATTAAACTTTCTCGAAAAATTAAAGGTCCAGGGGGCGCAGGCCCCTGGTAATAAATCTCTTTTGTTTACCAAGTTTAATATTTTTTTTTCAATTTATATTTTTTATATCAAAAATCATAATTTTTATCTATTAATAATTTTATAATCAATTAATATAATTTAATAAAATTTGAAATATAGATTTATTATATGATTATTAATAGATTTTGAAAATTTCAAATTTTTTGTAATTGATTTCGTTGAGATTTTCAAAGATTAAATTTTTAACAAAAATAAATAAAAATAAAAATAAATTATAAATTATTTTTGAGTTTTTTGAATCAAAATCTATTAAATAAATTAAATTATTTTGAAAAAATAATTTACAAAAATCTGATTAATTAAAATATTAAAGTTTTTAATCTTTATAAAAATTAAAAATATTAATAAAAGTTTTTCTTTATAATTTAAAATTTAAAACTCTTATTAATTCAATTAATTATAATATAAATAATTGAAAATAATTTATAATTTATTTTTAGTAGTTTTTGTTGAAAAGTTGTTTCAAGTTTTAATAATTTTCGAATTTGTATATAAATCTTATATAAATTGAAAATTGTAATTTCAATTTTTAATTTCTCAATCAATAAAATTATAAAAATCTGAAAACTTTAAAATTTATTAATAATTATATAATAAATTTATAATTAAAATTTCAATTGATTTCATTCATTTATTGTTGAATCATTAATAATTGAAAATGATGATTTTTGATGTAAAAGAGTGACCGAAAAATAGAGTACTAGACTTATATAACAAATTATTAATCTCATCAGTCTATAAGATAAATTATAATTATTGTAGCTTATGCGTCATATTCAATAAGAAAACTTCATAGATTCACCAATCCTATCTACTATTGAATATAATCAGTTTCATCTAAAGCCATTCCAAGCACAATAACTCATTATGGTAATTTCCTCCGGACCTTTTAACCCTAATCATATGTAAATCTCGAACCACTTAAAAAAATCTATCTAATCTATTCCTTGATTCATCTCCTCAGTACGGTCTGTCTACATCAAGATGTACGCTGAGTTAATATCCTAGATACATGTGAATAATGGACTTCGGACTACTATCGACCAGCCGACCAGCACAGCCGTAGAATTTTCGACTGTAGTTATTGCATTCATATAAATGCAACTCGCAACATTAAAGTCTTCATCTTACACCTAAAAACTTCTAAATTCTTTACTTGACAAAGATTACTTTTGCAAAGACTTACGAACATACTTGTACAACTCTTTGCATCTTTGACAACTCAACATCTTGTCTACGAAAACTTTTGAGTTCAAGACAAATTTTATTTCAAGACACTCTACCTGTAAGATCGATTTTCTCTAATATTTTTCTATTTATACTTTTAATATATATTCTTTTAGCATAGGCGGATAGAGAGGTAGTTCATAGGCCAAAAAAGTTCATTACCTTGGCACTACTACTCTACCATCTCATGAGGTCTATCCAAAAGTCGTCTAAAATTCACTAACTATACCAGATCTTTTAAACCGCCATGTCTGAACGAAACAACAAAAACCTTCCACCCACCAAAGCTCCTATCCCACCATTCGGTGAACCAGGGAATCAAGGAAAATCTGCTCTCCGTCGTGAGAACTTCCTCTGCAATATTGCAGATGCCATTGTTCCCTCAGGTCTCTTCTTCGGAGATCATAACAAGCACCGTCGCGACACCGCATACAAGTCTGGAGATTTCAAGAAGGCTGAAGTTGATGTCCAAGATGAAGAAGATGATTGGGTTAACCTTACAGATAAGACTACCAAATCTGGTCCTATTCAAATCACTCCTCGTGCTTCCAACTCTCCCGAGCGCTCTAGAGTGATGACTGTGGCTCAACCTACCACTCCCGGATTTGAGCAAGCTAGACTCAGCACCAGATCTTTCAAGAATGCAAATGTTGCTTGGGCTATCACCGGCGATACTGATTTAACTCCTGCAGTGGTTGGTCACCCCGATAACTCCAAGTTCGTGCTTCGCCGATACGATATCCGTGATCCTACCAAAATCGAAAAGAAACGTATTGAACTGCACATCGATGGGTTTGACTGGAATAATAAGGAACATGTCGGTAGACTCAACAAGGCTCGTCGACAGTGGGAGATCAATACTCTAGAGTCTAATCCTCAGACTAGTGGGAAGTCTCGGTAAGCTTTGCATATGCTAAGAATGGGGAGTTTTGGATTGCTGATTATAATTATTCACAGAGTTACAGTTGATGGGAGAGACTCTCCATTCGATATCTCGGCTGGATCGTGGTTGTCGGGTGAGGAAGAGGATGATGATGATCTAAGACTAAATTGACGAATTCTTGAGGTTTGAATGCAAGAAACAGGGATAGATTGAGGTTGGAGATTGAATATGCGTGTTTATCATGACGGGTAGTTAATGAATGGGAAAATGTATGATATTGGTATAAGAATCGGTGATCATAGGGATGCGGAATTTACATGGTTGATATGATATCACAGGGTTTTTGCCATTTTATGGACCATACTATTAAATAGATATCAAATCTTTCTCCCCTCTATTTTTTGTGCTTTATCTTTGAATATGAGGTTAATGCTATTCTTTCTGCCCTGTGTATGTTGGTGGATATTCGGTTAGAAGCGTTCTATTGTAAGAGTTCTGGTCGTTACTCACCACACCCCCTTCAAATTTTATCTATATTTTTGAAAATTCAATATTAAATCAACGTTATAATATTTTTTATTGAAAATCTAACAATATATTAATAACTAATAACTAATCCTTCCATTTTAATTATATTCTCTAATTTATAGATCAATCTTTTAATATATAATTTGAAATTTAAAAGATCAAATATCTCTTATAATTTCTTAAGCTTTTTTTTTTCAATTCCTCAATAAAAGTAGATAAAAATAATAGTTTTTTTAATTCTTTTTTTATTTAATATTACATTTTCTCAATTGGATTAAGATTTGAAGAAAAGAAAGGTTATTGAAAACCTTTGATATTATATTTTAATCAAATTAATTTAGTATATTTTAAATGAACTTTTGTATTATCTTTTATGAATATATATTCAGATCTTAATTTGTCAAATAAAGGAAATATAATAAAAATGAAGATCTGATTTCAATATAGTATTGAATTTACCCTCTTATTAACAAAATTCTTTTCCAAAAAGATTAATGAAGATTTATAATTTCAATCAAAAGCTTTTTATATCATTACAAAAATCCTTCTTGATTTATATATTAATTTGATACAATTATTATATCTTTTTTCTTCAATCCTACAAATCACTTATATTCTATTATATTTCCCAATCTCGAAAATGCTTTCGTTTAATTATTTAATTTTCCTTTAATCATCTTTTTTTAGATTTTTCAAAGATCATATCGACTGTTCCTTATCAATGATATATATATATATAAAGTTTAATTTTTTTTTTGTTTTTTAAAGATAAATAATTTAAGACAAGTTATATAATATTTATAATTATATTAATATAATTTATATCGAATAATATATACAGAAATTTTGATGAATTATTTATAATTAAGGGTTGGAAATAAGGTTACAGATATTTCTCGATAAAATGTATGGTTAGAAGTTTCCAGAACTCTTACTGTTATGTAGGGACATTCGCCAAAACGACGAGTTGGAATAGATAATAGTGATATGAAGGATGAATGCTAGCTCACGTTAATACCTCGAATAAGTATCTTTAGATATGACAGAACCGAGTAATCAAAAACCATTATCCAAAGATAGCCATGCTCGATTCTATTTACCATCTTCTATGCCACTACCGGCAAAATTCAGGATCATGTACGTAGTATGCCAGTATCAAATGACTTATATTCGGTAATGTGTTGATGATGTTATCTCTTTATGATTTAATACTGGATATAAAGAAAAAATATAAAAAAAGGATATAAAAAAAGAACTTAAAAAAGGAATATAAGAAACGATCTAAAAAGAGAATATAAAGAGAGAATATAGAAAATGGATGTTAAAAGTGTAAAATAAGATTGAGGGAATTTCCTAACAGAGGCGGAATCGGAGGGAGTCGGAAAAAGGTACAGAACCTATCAGGTATTGAACAACTTCTCCACATCTACGTCTCCACTCGCATATCTTCTTTAAGCTGCGCAATGGGTACGATTATATTTATTTATAGATAATCTACAGAATACCTATATAAAATGGGTATTAACTCTAATAAATAATCTATAGAATGGATAACCTATGAGTACTTATGGGTTGTAGGTTATTTCTCTGCAGCCTAATGCTCTCACATGATCAACCCCCCTTAATAAATCATTATTCGCGGCCGGTAATCGTTTAAAAGAGAACCATGACCCCTCAGACCCCTCTTCTGGCTCCATCAAACTACAGTTTAAAGCATTGAGGTAGATATTAACAAAAGTGATATGAGGCTGCCATCGTCTAATGGCTACCATGGATAATTTTAGCTTTCTTCCTACTTATTTCCCATCTCTATACATAGAATATAAATGATTCATAGCCAGCTTTCAATACATAAATCAAGAGTAAGATCAGGATTAATGGTAGATGCTGCCGGATCTCTCGTTCTGATACATGGTCTGGCGAAGGAGTAGCCAAGATCTCAAGCCAAATTTTCGAAGTACTTTATACTCCCGCATGTTTCTTTATGGCACTTAGTTATGTAAAGGTTGTCAAAGATCAAAAGTATGTATTTATATGAACCTTTGATACATAGTTATTAGAATTTTCTGAAAGGGAAGAACAAAAATTGCCGATTTCCATTTAGAATCTAGAGCCTGGATTACTCAAGCCAAAAACAACGTCTCCGGTAGTAAGCACTTCTAGATACTATGATTAAGATTGAGTATCCAGCCAAGAAATATATAAAATCCTGAATCGATCTTATACTACCGCCTCTATTTCTCTATGGAAACTGTGCAATAGCAAATAAGAGTACTAAATCAAGACCTGATGGATACAAGGTGATTGTTACATACGAGCCTACCAAAGTAGAATTCACCAAAATCGATAAAATCTCACCATCTAAACCAACCAGAAAGATTCACTCATGAGTTTCCACAACCAAAAACATATATTTATCAGTCTTGTATTCACCTTGTAGTCTTACTATCCATCTGTACTTAGCAGAGTAAAAACTGATGCCTTATTTTAGCGAATTGAGGATCTTTGGATAGTAGGTAGGTCAATCAACATTGATACAAAAGTATTAAAAACAACTTCATTTTTCCAGATCTTTTCTTTTCTAACACAAAAAAGATTACTTTACTTCAACTTCAACATTCCATTCCCTCCCAAACCTTTCTTGACTCCCTTTCTTCATAATAATCTCTTTGATTCTTTCTTGATATTAGATCATCACTTCTTTCATCAGTGGTAACGCTGTCGACGCATTTTTTGATAGCTTTTGGGAATATCCTCGAAGTTTCCAAAATACATTTAGCTTTAGTAAGTTAATAGTTTTTTTTCCAGCACTTTGGAATTTATATTTCTCTTTATTATTCAGCTTCACCTATTACTATTTAGGATCTTGTGATTCAGAGCAATTCTTATAAGAGCATCTCTGTTCTCACAGGACAACCTTTTCTTCAACAAAAATTCAATCTCGCGCTTGTGTTGAAGAATCTCAACACGCAGAATTATCCTTAGCAAGATAATATTATCTCTTACATGTAGAGGCTCGTCGTTCACTTCACTTCTTGCTATTATTCCCACGTCAGTCTGGCAACTTACCCTTTCTTCTTATGCTTGTGCCAATTGATCTCCCTCTTACGTTGCATAGCTTCACAAATAAGTTTGCCGTTCGCTTTCAACAGCCAAGATCTCTTCACACAACTTCTTTTTCGCCCACTTATATCATCACTCCATTTCCTAGAAACACATAGCCCTGCATGTGCATGTGCATGTCATTCACAACACTTCACACACTTCTTACTCAAAGAGTTTCTATTCCATATCAGTGGATAGTCTTTTAGAGGCCGCGATTGTTTCTGATATGTGTTCCAAAAACCAGGCATTCATCTGAATTACTTCGTAGGACATTCCAAGTATTGATACTAATTCAGCTGAACATCTAGCGAAACATCCGAAACCGAATACAGACGAGTACACATGAAGGAGAAAAATAAAAAAATGCAAGGAAACAGAGAAACAAACATGTCTGCCTCTCCGATGTCGCCTCTTTTATCAGGGCTGGGTGTCCTTACCGCTGCTGCTGTTTCCCAGGGAAAAGGCCAAATACCTGCCGTTGATCACCGGAAAGCAGAGATCAAGAATACGGAGAGAAAGTCCGTAGCTTCCACTCAACAATTAAAGCGCAGGTCTGGTTCCGCAGATGGAAATGAGAATGGCAGTAAACTCGATATCACTAACATGACTCACACGAGTCGTCACATAACGCCTCCACCAAATGAACCCAGGGATGAGTTCGAGATGTCTAACGATGCATCGTTTAGTGATCCGCACTCTCCACTTTATGTACAGCCAACTTTGAAGGAGAAGCTAAATACCGCTTGCGCTTATGAACATAAACACCTTATCGGTCGGTTTTGCTTTCACTGCCGTCATATGGAAATGCCATGGGGAGATGATCTTCCAATTGCTGTCGACGATAGTGGTACCGAAATTCGAAAGGCCCCACAAGGCTCACTACTAGAAGGAATCAAGGATCTGGCGGAACCATTTGAGATTTCCCAACTTGCTATATTTATCGAATTTCGCACTATACTACAAGATCTTAATACTCTTCCTGGTCTCGCTGAAAGCCTCAGATTCTTCCCAAATTTGCATGAAGTTGCTAGTCGGATTACAGGTCTCACCAAAGAGCTTGAAACATTGGTGGATGAAAGTGAACGTGAGCAACTGCCACATTGGTTCAACAATCTTCATGAGTTATTAAAAGATCCAACTTTAACTCATGACCAATACTTGACACGGGTAGCCCAAGAGTGGAGCTTGCGACCTACGAATGAAGGTATCTGCCGGGTGAAATCCAAAGCTCCCGAATCAGACTCTTTTCGAATCTCGACAGGAGTATTTACGAAGCCTCTGGTAACGCTCACCAGGGAAGATGCGATCAAGAACGATATAGAGATACACAATGAAGCTGAGGTTGACGAGCTAATCAATCATCTTGATAGGAACGAAAGCCGAGGTCCAGGGTATGTCCAATTTACACTCGACTTCGTAAACTGGTTGAGAGGAGGAGCACACAACACTGGCCATGATGCACCACAATGGGGTCCTCATTATGCTAAAGAATTTTATGATCTTCACTATCCAGCACATGCAGAAGTACATAATACGAACAACAATTTATCCTGTTCTAGTGGCCGGTTGGATTTCTCCCGCCGTCAAAATTCGGCACCCACCACACCCCGTTGCAATGAAGAAGATTCCGATGTTGAGGTCTACGATAGCAATGATGATGAGGCAGAGCTTGAAGGTGCTTACTTCAAGAAACTCCCCGAGGTAAAGAAAAACACACCAGGACGTGCCAATGTCAAGTGGCGCTTCGTTGAAGGAACCGATATCGAGAATGCCGAACTCGGAAAACCTGATCCTAGCAAATTTTATCTGACCCGTCAAAATGTAGATGATCCGCTTGAGATTGATCTCCGCCAGTATGCACAGATTGCTGGATTCAATTGGGATGACCCGACACATATCAGAAGGCTTAATAAGGCTAGGGCTCAAAATCGTAAACGAACTCATGGTAATATTGCCGAAACACGCATTCCCTGGACACAGATGGAGAAGATTTGCCTTGAAGAGGAGGTACGCGATGCTATTAAAGCTGGTTTCGATAGGCGCACGATGAATTGGGATGAGATTGCAATTCGTCTCAAGGAAAGATTCGAGGGAGTTCTTCAGCCAAAGGGTTCAAAGTTGGCACCAGGAGTGGAAAGAGAAACTAAGGATGGGAAAAAAGATAAGAGTAAGTAATCCTTCGGCGTCGTTTTCTGTGAAATGAAATTGTTCGGGCTTCTCTCCGAATTCCGGACGGCAATAGTGAATTCAATTCCTATTTGAAGTATGGTAGCTAATCATTGGTATACAACAGCTCTCAAGACCACTCGCAGTGACCGTACAGGCTACAATCGTAGTGGCTCCGCAACTGAAACCCAGGCCATGAAATACTCCGATATTCTCGAGTTGATCAACAAAGCAACAGGACTTGGTGGCAAAGGAGGCCGTGGTATAATCCGAGGTCCTCGTCGCAATGTCTCGGAAATGATGGATGGCGAGCAAAATGAAGAGGATAATAGACCAAAAAAGAAACTCAAGACGCTCACTCGCCATTTTTCAGCCAGCCCGCCTCCTCGTACGATCGATAAGTACTATGACGATGACAAAGATAAACTATCTCCTCCGCCTACTAGTGCACCCGGTCTGAAATCTGCTTTCAGTTTGAAGTTCGGTAAGAGTAATGCAAAGGAGTTTGTCGCCAAGTCAGACAGAATTTAGGGTATTGGCGAAATCCAGACTGGTACATCTAGACATCTAGTGTCCGCTATACTATGCACATAATCTCTAGCTTCGACTTAGTACGTCAATTCTCATTATCTCGATTCAACATTATTCTTCCAGTTGGCATAACGAAATACAAACATAATCCGATCAAGATTCCATATGTACGAGTACTACTTTCCACCCGTACAATTTCAGAGAAATTTCAGCACAAACTTACATCCCAAAATGCACAACCCACAATTCCATCGGTATTTTTCGCCTACAGGAGACTCTTCTCGCCAAGAATGATGTCACGAACACACTCGGCTATCGACAACTCAAACACAGCACATATTTTCCTTTTCCTTCCTTTTATTTTCATTACACGGCAATACGGCATGATTCACAGTGACGGTGTTGGTGGCGGTACAGATATGGCGAAAGAACATCAATTTCTGTGGCGCATATAACTCTACAACTTTTATTGTTTCAAAAATTTCATTCCATTTCATACAATAGGATAGGATAGGACAAGAATTTGTAATCTTATAATACTAAGAGATTATGGGGTCTATTTACAATGATGATACTCATAAGGATATCAATGGTGAGAATCAAATTCAGAGATGTTTAAGATTCATTGGTTCTCTTTAATTAATTTAGAATAATTATAGTTTATTTTGTAATGATGTATAGTTTACGATGTAATGATAATAGAAATATTAATAAAAAATATATAAAAAATTAAAATCTTAATTATAATTTTTATATTATAAGAAAATTAGAATTATAAATCAAATACATAGAGGTTTTTAACCAATCAATCACATGAACTCTTGTAATTAGATATAAAAGGAGAGCTTTTGTCTCTTCTTTTTATAATAATCAACCTTCTATATATATACATTTGAACTTATATAGTGTCAATTCTAAAATTATTGTAAATCTTATTTTCTTTATAAATGATATATTATACTATGATCTAATTCAACTTTCTCTTTCAATTCCCTTCTTACAATATATTATCAGGATATATATATCTTGATTTATTAATTTTACAATATCTAATAGAATATATTATATTTATATTTATAATAAATCTTCTTTTCTTTATTTATTTATAATTTTATATTTTGAATAATGTTAAACAAAATTAATGTTATAAACCTCTTTTTTTTTAATTTTAAAAAAATATTAATTTTTATAAATAATTGTTTTAAAGTTTTAAAAAATTAAATTTTTTAATTTTATAAATCTTTACACTAATATTAATACTGGTATCACTTTGATAATATGAATACAGTTGTAACGATCTGGTCGAGGCAGCGGCTGCCTGAGGTTTCATATAGTTAGTAGTTGTAGGTTAAGGCTATTAATCATTGATTATCCATTTGAAAATTAATTCGTTATTAAATCAATTGGAATATAGATAAACTAATTGATAATTAAATTGAGTATAAAGCTTCTAAACTATGAAATTATTCTGATTATATATTAATAAATGGAAAAGAGTTCTATAAAGCTCAAAAGCTTCAAAAAACTTTTGAAGCTTTAAAAGCTTTTCAAGTTTTTAAAACTCTTTATTATATAATTGATTCTGAAATCTTTCCTTTCTTAGAGTATTTGTCCCAGAAGCTTTCCTTTAGGAATTACAGTTCTAGAATATAATATTCTTTAAAATGATTATTTTACTATAATTAATTAATTAGAACATTTGTTTTATTCTAATATAATTGTCTAGGATACTTATCCTAAGAATCCTGGGGTCCTATTCGTAGGTGATTAGGCCTCTGTAACGATCTGGTCGAGACAGCGGCTGCCTCGAGGTTTCGTATGGTTGGTAGTTGTGGGTTAAAGCTAATAATCATTGGTTATCCACTTGAAAGTGAATTCGTTACTAGATCAATTGGAATGTAGGTAAACTAATTGATAACTAAGTTGAGCACGAAGCTCCTAAACTATGAAACTATTCTGATTATATACTAATCCATTTCGGGAGCCTCCATCACGTGACTAGGATCAGACTATATGTCCGAGCTTGCTGAAGGTGGGGAGACCATATGAAGCGGTTACCATACAAATTTGTATACAAGTTGCTTTGCTTTTCAAGGAGGTCCAAGCTCATAAGGACAGGTTGACTGTTACCCTGTAACATTCTATAAAATGATTTCGTGACAGCCCCCTGAAAGCAACGGTTAAATCACACCCCCTTTGTAATCGGTATATAAATCACCGACATCAATAATATTATTATAATCTAAACTATAAATTGTGATACTTATATATAATAAAATTATAATATTAACAAATCAATAATTATAATATTAAAAGAGATTTTCAATTTTTTGATTTTATAAATCTTTATAATAAAATAAAATCTATTATATTAAAAGAAATTTTATATATTTAATCTTAATAAGTTTTTATCAATAACAAATTTTATAAATTTTATAATTGTTAAATGAATTAAATTTTTTTTTAAAAAGAAAATGAAATAAAAGTAAATAAAATCTTTTAAATAAAGAGATTAATAAATTAATATTGTATTATTTTTTATTTATTTTTAAAAAAAAAATTTAAAAGGATCATTTTTCAGTTAATTATATAATTAAATAATTAAGATTATATTTGTAAAATAAAAGTAAAAAATAAAATAATATATTGTTTAATATTTAATATTTTAAAAGTTATTTTCTAATTCATAAATTTAGATTATTATAATAAAAAATTCGATAATAAAAATAATAAATATTTATCGTTTCATTATTATTAAATTTTTATAAAAAATAAATGATTATATATTAATTAATTAATTCTATATCTTATTTATAAAATAATTTTATATATATATAATTTATATTAATTATAATATTTTGAATATAAATTAATAATTGAAAGTAGGATTATCAAATACTTTTTATAATATCATAAATTCATAGATTGATACTCTTTAATTCGGGTATAAGATAACTTATCAATTGAATATAAATAAAATAAATATATAAAATGAGTATTTACATATATAAAGTATATACAAGAATATTAATAATTTACTTCTAATTGATTACTTGAATTCTACCTCTTTCCTCCCATGATATTTATCTATCTATCTATTCTTTCATCCAGCTGTTAATCTATCCATCTATCCATCTATTCATCCATACATCTAAACTAAATCTCAATCCTTATTTACATTTACTGAGAATCACCCTCCTCCTCCTCCTCGTCATCATAATAGCATTCATCATCTGCGTCATCATCGTCATCAGCAGCGCTCGAAGAAGCAGCAGCTGCGGAACTAGTAGACGTTGAAGTTAAAGTCAAAATCGGAGTTGAGGATGAAGATGAAGATGGAGTTGAAGCCGAAGTCGAATTGGAAATCAAAGTCGAGTTGGAAATTAGAGTTGGGATAGAAGTTGAAGATGGAGAAGATGGAGAAAAAGTCGAAGTCGAAGTCGAATTCGAAATCAAGGTCGAGTTCGAAATTAAAGTTGGAATAGAAGATACAGAAGAACTTGAAGCTGCGGATGGAATATCTGAGGAGCTTGTGGTTGTAGTTGAAGTTGTGGCGGCTGCGGATGGAGTCTCAGATGAACTGCTTGTGGCGGCTGATGGAATTTCAAATGAACTAGTAGTCGCGGCAGCTGATGGAGTGACGATAGAAGTTGTAGCAGCAGCGGATGGAGTTATAGTTGAAGTATAAACGATTTCATATGTAGATGTAACCGTCTGATATGAAGTATCGGTTGTCGAAGCAGTGATCGTGGCAATACAAGGATTTTCTGTAAATTGTTGAACAGCAAATACGCTTGCTTCAGCTGATACAGCAGTAACAGGTCCATTTTTCAAAAAACATTGGTTAAGAGCACCGATAGTTGTGTAAACTATTCCGTTACATGAACTGGCGGCTGTTTTGAGATTGTTGAGAACATTGCAGAATGATGCACACACACTCTTAGCCGCTTGTCCAGCAGGCTCTACGTAGGCACGGATGATAGTCCCGCCAGATAGAGATACGGAGCATGCTTGTGAATAGTAATTCCCTCCTGGCAAGGAAAAAACAGCACCTGGGGTACAGCCAGTTTCGATAGGGATTGTGGTTCCTACGCTACAAGTTGTTGCTGTAGTGATGACTGGATAAGCAGTGATAATGGTGTTTGTGACTGTGCTGACGGAAGTGGATGTAAGGATCACTTCTGATGGACTGATAGACTGTCGAGGAACGACCGCAGTAGCCTGACTTAAGCCTGTCAAGGCAGAAAGAACGATTAAAACTCTCATTTTGAGGGATTAAGAAATTTTTTAAACGAATGATGAGAATTAGAATAGAATGAGCGTTTTTAAAAGAGTGAGTGCTTGAAAAGAGAGGTAGAGGTGAAAAGGTCTATCTGAAAAAGTTCTACATCTTGTATAAATAACAATGTGGAGAAATTAGCTCAGCTCTAACTCTGACACGAAGGAAGTAAATAACATTTGCGCTAAGTATAGATAGTCCTATCCTATACTACCTAGTCGCATTTTGTGCACGTTGCTGAGGAAGAGCATGGTAATTGTTTGCGGGGAGAGCCGTGCTGACTTGCACTTTCTGCCACGAGGCAAAGCACTGTACATATCACAAAAAATATTTTTTGTGCGTGGCATGGTAGATTGTACTCATATCTGCTGCTTTGCTCGCGATGATACTTGTGCAGAAAACTCTATTTGAACTTCCATTCCCTATGTTTTTGCTTGCATTTATTTCCCGTCTTTCCCTGCATGTGAGAAGACCCTGATGCACATGGAGAAGAGTATGGTGGACCTAATCCGACAACGCGGTCCCCAAGCCTAATCAAGGCTAGCAAATACTTGAATCCCGCGTTCAAACGCTTATTCTTTTTTCTAGCTCCGGATGGAGAAGCTCATCAAAGCACCAACATAGTCGGTTATCATGTCAAAACCTTCATAATTTCCACATCCGTCTCCAGTCTCAATAGTTCCAAAAAGATACAATAGGGAGTAGTGGATTGACCCATGAATTTTTGCCAGTTGCGGCTGAGTGTGGCTTTTCCTTAATCCATTTTGGTTGGAGCACCGGCTCTTTGGAAGAAATTTTTAAAATTGCTCGGCGTCTAGATCTTTTAGACCTCTCGGTTAAATACCCCTTCACGATTCATCAAGTGATCAATGCTCTGGGATCGCCGTGACTTGTCGATCTTTGCCGAAATGTGATTTTGATTCTTGTCAAAAACCTTAACTGTTGCGGGAAGATCATGTGATATAACACAGTTTATTTCAAGGTATTGAAACAAAACTCAAGAGAATTAATCCTTAATTTGGAATCGAAATGTTAAACCTATCAATAGATGTCACTCGCGGTGATCATGTGGAAGACCACCCAAACTCCTCAGCATACACGTGCAAACGACATAAAACGAAAACTAGACATGCAATTCAACAACATCAATGACGAATCCAATCGCTTTGGGCTGCCGCTCAACCATCCGTGTCTGTACACATCCCCATCTGGCTATCATTAAACCACCGTTTATCGTACTGAAATTAAGCTTCTGCCGCCGAAAATATAAGACCCTCCCAAAACACCAAAGATTCCTCGGATCAAAGAAATAGAAGACCTAGGTCGCCACGGGTGCTCTTGGTGGGAACTGATGCGAACCTTTAGGCTACCAATATTACAAATGATTTGCGGGTGAAAATCCGAAAGAACTGCGAATGCACCAACATGAAAAGGAGTTAAGATGGAGTGAAAAAGGTCTTCAACCGTGCCGTAATGAATGCCCGGACTTATTGCACATTTTCTGACTTTCTGCGCGTCATGGGAGGTTCACTGCCCAATAAATTATTAGCAACAAGAACTGATTTCCTGCGCTTCATGAGCGGCTCATCATCTGAATAGTCATCGACGCCATCTCTCTGCATTCTATCACTTTGCGTGGAGGAAGTTTCATCGCCCGAAGATCCTCTTCCATCCTCCGTTTGCATTTCATCATCCTGTGCTACACAAGGAGCAGAAATAGCTTTGGGAAGTGGGAGAAGATGATCGGCATCATGAATTATCTTAAGCATCTCGTTTAAAGTCTTACGTCGGTTCGGCTGTTCTACACTGTTTCGAAGTAGTGCATCGATGTCACCAAATTTGTTGGACTGATTCATGCAGCCTGTTGCATTACGCTCGGAACCAGTACGGCCTTTTTGCATTTTGAGATGTCTCTTTGTGTGGAAGTCTTGTTGTTTTGTCTTGGGGTTCCATTTGCTTGGTCTGGCGAGGGCGGAGCCTTGTCTTTGAGTGACTTTTTCCAAATCGACATTGATATTATGAGCAACTTGATCCCATGGCATATTATTTTTCGTGTACTGTAATTGAACAGTCAGCGGAGATTTGATGTAAGACAATGCAGAATAGGCTTCGGCTAGAGTGAGAGGACTTACGCCATGTTTGAGACCCTTGATTACTTGGTAGCGCAAGAGATCCCTTTCCATTTGTGACCAAGCCAATCTAGCTGGTGCCTTTGGACCATTAGTTCGAAGGATGATCTGGTTTCTTCCTCTATTTAAACCCTTTACCGCTTCTTTATCATTCCAGTCAAAACCAGCTATATGAGGGTATTCTCTGACGTCGATCTTGTTTGGGTCTTTTCGAAGCTGACGGACCATGAAAAATTTGGATGTATCCGGACTAGCCAAATAAGCAGGCTCCAAATCTTGGCCAGGGGCAAATTGCCAACGAAATTTTTCAAGCTTGATTTTCGAACCAAGAGCTCCATCCTCATATTCTTCGTCGTCATCACCCTCCAAATCATTATCATCCGTTCTATCACGGCTAAAGAACAAAAGCTTCTTGCCCTCAGGTATATTATCAATATCGTCATAACCGAGGTTCTCATTCCGTTGTTCTTGGTCTTCTACATCGGGTAAAACAATTGGCCTGCTGCTTTTCGACTTGGTCTTGGATCTTGTTAGCGCTGCCTCACCACGAATACGTGCTTTGTAATCGGCCATTGTCAGTTCAGGATCCAAGAGAGCTTCGTGTAATATATTCCACCAGTTACCTAAGTTTGCTTTCCGCCATTTGGGCTTTTGTGTCGCCATGTAAGAAATATCAGTGAGGGCATGAGCTGCAGCCTTTACACGTCCCCGCTCAATTCCACTGTCTATCTGCACAGCTTTATCCCATTGGTTATTGTTGATTGCCCATGTGGCGAATGCCACCATACCTATCTCTCGTGGACTATCAACTTGAACGGCTTGTAAAATTGTACCTGGTCTTCCAATGGATACAGGCAAACCCTGATATCGAGCAATTGGTAGAAATCCTTCCCAAGGCATCTTCATCCTATTGCATATGTCGCAATAATGTCCACTTGTGTGGTTCGTGATTTCTCCAGGACGGCATCGCGGTGCTTCGGGCATGGGATAGGGTTTCACGAGTTGTCTTGGTTGATGTCCTGCCTGAGTTCACCATTGTGTGTCAGTATCTACCGGTAAGAATTTTTTTGACGAGGTCGGCAAAATTGGAGCTGAGATAATTGCCAGCATTCAAGTGAACATTTGGATCAGACGGGTCAGATGGAAAGTACGAGTGGGTGTAATGTGTGAAGAGCAGTGAGATCCCTCTAGAAATCATGCCAAACAAAGGCACCACAAATCGCCATTTATGACAAAGATATTGAGATAATTGACACCGTAGCCGTAGAGGATGAACCCACTGAGGTATTATTGTGCCAAGGGAAATAATATGTTTAGGATGTACCTCGAACTTCAAGCGATCACTGGACGCTAATTGCTCGACAGTGTGCGGGCTGTTATGAAGTCCAAGGTGGTGAAAGTGGCATGAATAAATGTTTGATGGGTGACAACGTGTATGTGTGATACATATCCAGCGTTATGTGTGAAGTAGGGTTTAAGTATACTGGGAATACCGAGATGTTAATGGAGCGAATCCGGAGACACAAGGTTGGTAAGTGCAATGCATGGTGAGGAATGTGGCAGTTGTGTAAAAGAAGCCAAAGTGGGAAGGCTGATTGATAGAAAGAAGTGAGGAATGAACTTCATGCATCAGTAACTCTCGGCTCAATGAGATGACCATACATGGCCATGTATACAAAGGCAAAGGATGTGCTGTTGACTTGAAGAATATAAGATATGGTCCTGAACGTACCATTATGATAGCTTATTCGTATTCAAAGAAATGATATAAGTGTATTGATGTACCAATTTACCACCAGCTAGGTATTTAAATTATGTGCTGGAGTATTTGCTAGGTCAAGCAATTCTTTCGTGGGATTGAAGAGGTAGAAAGACGGCACGATAGCCTAGATCAAAACAAATGGTATCAGCATGTGCAAAGTATATAAACAAAGGGTTTTACTTACCACTCTGATCTATACAAATTTGGGGAACTCCTTGGCAATTCTCAATAGCAATGTTAAATCTCAAAGAGAAATCAACCTGACGAAGGAGTCTGCGTGAGGCGAAATTGGGTTTGTTGTGGAGGTGGAGTTTTTACAGGAAGAGAAGAAAATAGGTATGATTGAGATATTCCTCACAATCCCATAAATAATAGAAATCGAAATCTGCAACGTAAGACTCAGAGATTTCACCGGGAGCACTGATCAGGTCGTGTGAATGTGGAATTGAAATAGTGAGATTTCAAAAAATTTGGTGCAATCTAGGCCGAGGTTGTGGCTGGATCTGGATTTGCCTTAAACTTGAGATGGATTGGATGGGATAAGATGAGATGAGATGAGATGATAGGTTGCGATGAAAGGATACGAGTGTCTGATGTTGTTGATGTTGTTGATGGCCATAATTTGTTTTGATATTGGTGTATATTTTTTTTCTATATGTGAACATAAATTAATTTGTATTCTTTTATTTATTTCTTTAACTTCAAGGTTCCTGCTCTTTTATCTACTTATTTATATTATGCATAAATTTGTATCTGTTTCTTTATATATCTATTTGTTAATTGGTATCATTTTAAAAATTAATCTATTAATCTTCTATTCTCAAGACCAAAGAGGTCTGCCTTTGATCAAATTATACCAAAAATATTCTTATGATGTGAATTCTTCATTAAAGAACTACAATGCATAACATTGGGTAATATTTTCTGAACGTCTAGTTTATTTGTTCAATTCACCTCAAAGATACATCTTTCTTTCAAATACTGACTTGCAGATAACTAATTGGCTTCAAGAAGGAGTATTCGATCAGATAAGCTCATCATCTTGATGTATATGAGGGAAAGGGTTTGTGAGTATCATTTCCTATTTCAGTAGAGATGTAATTTTACAGAATACCTTGGCCATAATTATATCCTAATCTATTTGTTATTTCTAGATCAACAAGAGCATGTTGTAGTCTGCACCCAAGATCTAATATACAGATAACTATTTACCTAGTTGGACTCCTTTATAGGATATATCTTCGGTCTATACGCCCATAACCGGATCCTATCACACAATAACATAAAGATTCATTAACTGCATGGCTAATTGCTTTGAGCATAGGCAAATAAACATCTAGCTTGGCCCAGTGATGCAATGGAAGTGGTAAAATAGTGTACCACAGTGTTCAACAGTATAGTTAAGCTTGATTAGTAGTAGCTTCAAGCCTAAATTGAGCCTGTAGTACATAAAAACACGTATATAAATCTCAATAGTTTGCCAACCACCGAAGGTCTAGTTCCGCAAAAATTATGATCGTTGATCGCCGCGCCAAGCCAGTTAGTAGGAAATTTCTGTAGATGGAATAGTTCGTGGCTTTCCACGACCATTTGTGTTGAATTGATGTGCAATGCAAGCAAATTAGAAAGCTCCGGAGATTTTTCGCATTGTAAAGCAGTAGGTTAGCCTTCAAGCCTGTGAACCTGCATTTGGGCTTTGCTGGATATTGGAGTAGTATGTATCTTCGCAGAATAAGGGGCAAGCAAGTACAAATGATCTTGATTTAAAGTGTCTAGCGGTTTTTTTTAGCTCGGTTGTATTGCATACTCCGCTCGTATGCATCATTGTTTCTGTGCGTGAACTTTCGAAGGCCGAAATTTCTCTAGCACTTCCTAGCCTTCTCTTCCTCAAGGCCCTGATGCTGATTCTTCTTTCGTCATAGACTCCAGCAGATACCTGTATTTTCTGGACTGTGACCTCATGCCCTGCCCCAACCCACTTTATGTGTTTTAGATGCTTTGGAGATCGTATCGAACCTGAACCGTGTTGATATGTTCTCGGGAAGTTTGTGTGAATAGTATCACGGCCACTGTCAAATTAGCTTAATGATCCATGAAGAGGGCAAAAACGGTACTTATCTGTAGCTAAGAATAATTAGAAATCGAGAAGTTCTATGATAGTTGCTGAAAACTCTACTGTCTCGCACATACAGGTAGATTGAGAAATGTTATCTGCCTTTTAAAACTCGGTGTCACCACCGTCTCCCATGTTTGATCCATAAAAATGGCACGATTATCTCCTAGAAAACTAACTGTCTCAAAATAAACCATAATTGCTTAGAGCCCAGCAGGATCGGCGGCTGTGCGACTGGATGTAATGACTAACAGCATGTGGTCATTGAAGATGAGGAAATGCCCTTGTTACCTTCGGACTGCGCGTCACAGAAGTTGTGACTTGGAAAGATCAGAATAATAAAGTTGAAAAGGCTTCTTTGCGGGATTGTGGCGAAACTCGAAACTTGAAGAGTATAGAGAGCAAAGGGAAAGAGGGAAAGAGAAGGAGAAATTCCAATTATTATTATGAGTTGAGTAAAAGGAAGAAGAAACCTAGTTTAGATAGGGAAAATTAGCAAGCAGAACAAAAAATGTTGGAAAATGACCAAAAACATAGTAATTAGAAGGCAGAGATAGAAAGTGAGAGACCATGTATCAAGTCGATCTACATTTCAGTGCAGAAGATCCAAGGGATCATTGCATGCGAAGGTGCCAGTAAAACGAAGAATTCAAATACATGAAGTTTGAACAATCAGGGATGGAGATAAATACACCTTGGGTTAACAGAGTGACAAGAGAGGAGCGGTTTTTGTGACACATTTTGCATCGGAATAGCATAATAAAGCAAAGTGTCTCGCTTGAAAGGTTATGATACAAGTTAGAAGGTAGTTTCGAGGGACGTTAGAAGATGAACACACTATACGACAGTACTGACGAAGTAATTTAAGTTACACGCCTAATACACGGCTTAAGCTTTGGGTAAAGATATCACCAGCTGATAGTGTATTCCACGAGAGAATTGAAGACGTCGGAGAGGCTGGTTAGGAGGAGGCAGCGCGTCAGGCTGTAGCAAGCAGATTTTTAAAGGGAGAAGAACGGATAAGAGGATGCTAAGGAAAGAAAATTATTAGAGGAATACAATTAGATTGACATACACTCTCAAAGCACAAGGAGTATCAAACTCGCAGCGTAGTCTGTTGGATATGAGGCTAATATTTTCAGTCTCATTACTTGTGCAGTGGGCCTTGATCCTACTGAGATTAATCTTACCTAGTTTCCCCTCGAGTTCTTCCTGGATGAAGCTAATTTGAAGTTCTTCTAGGCATTTTATATACTTGACGGCTGGTGGACTGTTCTGGTGCAAATTTAAAGATCGTTAGAGCTTGGGGGCTTGAATAGATTAAGGACTTCGTGTCTGGAAAGCAGATTTGTGATAGTAGGAAAGGAGGCGGATGAGTAGTACAGAGGCAAAAGCTGATTAGGAAAGAATGGAAGGGAGGAGGAGGCCATTCGACTAGTTAGTTAACAAATTACGATTTATGAGGAGCTAAACTTTTTAACGAGCCTACTCTTTGTTACATGCATATCAAGGGCTCACAAACTGACTAATAATATCCTTAAACGCATAGAAGTCTTCGACAGAAGCCTTACGATATATCAAATGTAGGACAGGAGGTGAGGGTAAGCTCAAAGCGAAAGTAATACACAGGCGCTAGATAGAAGCGTAGTGGAAAACTTCCAAATGATACTATTTTAGGTTTTATACATAGCATAACGCCGGTAGCCTTTCCTTCTATCCGTTTACCTGGCACCGAAGCCTTTTATGGCATGCTACCGCTCATTAGCCTTACAAAGCGGCCTTGCATGACTGTTATATTCAATTAAACACGCCATTAAAAGCAAAATGGCGCTAGAAACATCTTCCGTAGCCTTGGCATCATTTATATAATGTGCCTAGCGTTTTTTTCAAGCTCATTTAATTTAAATATGAATGGACGTCTTCTGGCTACCAATTCTGAATCAACAATTCCCTCAACATCAATTTCGTGTATTTAACAACAATTCTTGCATAAAAGACCTCCGGCTCATCGTTTATTTCTCTACATTCTAAAACTATACACCAATGTCCTTACTATCTGTCTAACATCTTTGACGACTATAGATAGTATAATTCTTGGCGTGATGGAAGGCAGAAATCAGAACAAGGGTGCGATGACTTCACCATTTGGCCCAAATCCAGATGATCCTTTGTTGTCCATTGAAGGAAGCGATACAGGGTTATCGGATGATGCATCGACTCCAGTGCCTCCTACCAGAGACCGGAGTCAGCAGCGTGGTGGATTGATTGGAAGCCTTCATCATCGAACGTCAAGCACAACACCTATTCCACCACAGCTTGCCAGAGAACAAAGAGGCTCAGGCTCGGGCCACTCTGCATCACTTAGTCTAGGTTCACTTAATCCCCTGGGCCAGCAGCAACTGTCTAGTGATCCTGTCCCTGGTAGGACATCTCATCAAAGCCAGATGTCAATGTCATATCACCAACCAGTTAGCTCTTATAATTCGCAGTCATCGTCTCGGGCAACTCTCAACGGGCTACCAATGTCCAATATTATTAAAACAAATACAATCGGCTCCTCTCCCACGTCTGCAACACGTTTTTACTCAAGACAACAATCATCTCCTCACCAGCTAGCTAGAAGAACTATGACATCTCGAGGCAGGCCAGAATCTCACTTTAGCCCAATAAATCTCCAAAATGAACAACCGGAGGGATTTTCTCACCAAGCGCACGCTTTAAATTCAAATCATGAGCAAGTTCCAGCTGGAAATTTTAAGTATTTGGGTCCTATTAACTATAATCCACTTGCAGATGCACTAAATCCCAATGACACTTCAAACTACCCTACTCAGCTACCACCAAATTTAAGACAACGTGCTCAGATGCAATTGGGCTTATCTGCCTCAAGGGGCATGGTATTACCAGCAGAATCACATGCACCGAAGGGTACAGCAACTGGGTCAAGTAATACTTCTCAAAGCACGTTTGGTGTTTTAGTTCCGGTATGTATTGTTCTTGCTCTTGGAATGATATTATGTTAATATTGAAGTAGCCGAGAAAAAAGAGAGGGCGTCCACTCGGGTCAAAAACGAAGATTCCAAATGGTAGGAGGACGCAACACCCACGACAGCGTACAATCCTTCCCAGATCCTCGGTAAAATCCTCTCTTCCATCATCTGCTGTGAGTATCTACTGATAAATAGCGTCGTTGTATAATATCTAACTGCTTTATTAACAGGCTCCTGTCTCCTTCAGTCAACAACTCAACGTGCTACGCGCAAGCCGTGGAGTAACATTTAGCCTCGCAAAAAATGCGTCTGCGATGCTTAATCCGTTTAGCGAGGTCGTCCCAGCCACAGTCAAGCTGGTCGCTGACGATGGTCAATTATGGGTGTACAAGTACGCAGGAACTCGGCGTGGCTCAAAGTCGGAACTAAGCGGAAATGTCACTGTTGCACAGCTTAATGAATGGGCAAACTCTATCCTACGTCGAAGACTCCCAGATAATTTCCCTGCCACGCCTAGTGAGGAATCATCCTCTACTCCACCTAAGCCAAAAGCAGATAAATGGACAGAATGGGAGAGGAAATACTTAGAGGCGCATATCATGGATGCTTTGAAGGCAAAAAAGACTAATCTCGACGAAGAAGACTGGCAGCTTATTGCAGAAGCCCAGAATGAGGAGTTCCTCCACTATAAAAGGCTTCCTGGCTTACCTTTGGCGCATTTGACGTCACGCACTCTCACTATCGACAATGTTCCCTTGATTAGAGGTGGTGGCTTTACGAAGACCGAGGGATACTTTCCAAAGCGCTCAAGCTCTGAAATTCAGAGTATACTTTATCGTTGGCCTGATGTTCAGGAGAAAATCAAGGAGGAGATCAAGAAACATCATGGAAAGACTCCAGAATATCTGGACTATGGCACTGATCTCAGTGACTCTGAAAGAACTTCAGATGATGAGAATGGAGAGAATGATACAATTATAGTTGATACTGGTGCAAGTGAGCTTGTCAGTGAGGAGAGGAATAATTCTGGCAGCCCGTTAAACGAGGAATAGGGGCATTTATAGTGGTTATTGAGAATGTATAAGGAATTAGCATAGGATATACGAGCATTAGGATAATATAATAATGATAAATCTATCCTAATAGTCCAGTAGACAGTTGAAATAGGCTATGACTGCTTCATAATAAAGATGAAACGTTAATACCTATTTATTGAAGCAGAAACTACGATTAACAGGCTGAAGAATTGATTTCGCGGGGTTCTACCATGAGTCGCTAATTGGGATGGTATATATTTGAAGGCATAGAGTAATAGAGCAAATGAACAAACAATAAATCTCTTAATTGGAAAATGCTATCTTGTTTGTTTACTCTTCTAATATGAATCTAATCATCCCATCTTTCAACGTGATTTACAAGCTCCACCCCCCATCCAAATGAATTTGCACAGCCTCACTACTAAAGCCTAAATGTCTTGTTCAACTCGTCCTCTTCTTATTACTTACAACTCCAAATCTTCTCAAGCTCGGTATACCTTTCGATCTATTACAATCTGCAGCTAAGGTAATTCTTTCTTTTTATACTTATGTGACTTCGTTGTGTGTCTAATCATTCTCAGATTAGCAATAATTGTCAAAAGCCATCCCTAAGTTCTCGAACGGTTGATTGCCAAATCACAAGTAGTCAAAATATTTCATCATTTCCCGAAATCGCCCAGGAGATGGATCTGCCAAATCCATCCGCTTCTCGAACCAAAAATGCTGGTAAACGGGGAAAGAAACATGACTGGACACTCATGCAGAAGCAAGACCATACTGAAGCACTAATCGGTGATCCACAACCAAATAAAATGCGCATTGGGTTGGTGCATTTGAGGGAGCCCGGCTTGTCTCGCGAGATATTTTACAATCGGGGTTTTGGTTCTGGTGAACCATTTGACTGGAACGATCCTAGTGATCTCTTCCTCTTGAATAGTTGGAGACAAGACAAGATTCGCAAGTACACGACAAGAAATGAGGGACCAGTGGAGCGTACTGAGGTTGTCAAAGATCAGGTTGTCAAGAACCGTTTTGTCCAAGGAGCCGCCATACCGAGTGTAATTGGCGAGTCTGGAGATTCTAGCCGTGAAATCGTCTCAATGGTCAACCGCGGAAAAGATATTGGAAAATTTCGTGTTCAGAAACACAGATCATCGCGCCGTGTACCGCCTAGATTATTAAATGGTCGTCGCCAGCATCCATCTACCCTTCAACGAACCATCGAGTGTCTTGACGTTGATCTCGACAGTATTGCTAGTTTGACAGAAGAGCAAAAGCAACACCGCCAAAAGATACAGTTCAGAGACTGGACCATGATTTACCACTTTATTGAGATGGCTTTTGACTATCCGAGTCGGGAGATAGGTGTCAATTATAATCTTTGAGTTTTCTGGCTTTTCCGCAAGTTTGAACTGGTCCTATAATGATTTCCCCAACAGAATGTTTCAATTCTGAGTAAGGTACTTCAATTGATCGGAGGTGTGGTTGATTATGTGATAGCAGGGGACTGACAGGAAGGGAGATAGAGACAAATATCTGCTTGCATTAAACACACATGTACAGCTCTACTGGTCAGGTTAGTCTACGGAAGAAATACTTTAGAAAAGTAGACCTGGAATACAACAATCATGATCATGATTCTTCAACGTTTCGTGGAGTCTGCTTTGCTTTGAATCCTGGGAAATATACGCCTGGCCATCATGATGGTACTACCGCTAGAAACGCTAGAATAAAGGTTCTTCTGTGCCTTCCTCGTATATCACAACACTTGACAAAGTTGACGGTCTCACTTTCCAAGTTTATCAATCAAGAGTTAGATCAAACTTTTTTCTTCGCACAGACTAGATATTTCAAAATTCAACAACGTTCTTAATTTCAATCACAAAACATTAGCCACCATACCTTCAATCACAACAATAACGACAGCAGATCTCATCTTGCAAACAATCAACATTCAATTGTTCGCTGTTACAGCACCATCTCCTGCCACATGGCAAACATCCCAACCTGGGAATCTTCTCACAGGTATAGGGAACTTCACGATCTTGTGGTCACCCAGGGCTTATCCTTAATTCACGGAGCCATGACCGGCAATGATTTAAACCAAATTATAACATTCATCCATCGAATTGTTTCACGCCAATATCCCAATGTGGCCCAAAATGTATTTGCGTTCATCCTTGAGCGAAATGTTTGGCGATGCTGCTGTAAGTGATTCTGTTTTCCATTGACATCCTTTCATATATACTAACATATTGAATGCAGTCGTTAAATACGAAAAGGGTGTTAAATTTACTAAGGAGAACCCCAATTTTCTATTCCCTGGATTTGGTCCAACTCAGGAGCTCCGCGCTGAGCACTTTGCTGCCTGTCAGCGGCGACGGCAGCAATATCTCCAGCTGCCACCTCTCCAATTGAACCTCTTCCTCGAGCAAATGCTCCACCGGCCAATGAAGCATCACCTAAAGCTTCAAATGTGGCATTACCAGTGCGCCGCCGGCCATCACCAGATCTTGATGAAAATGCGGCAGCCGATAACAATGTTCCCGGGGCTGTTCTTGCGGCTCCTCCAGTCAATTCCACTCAAGCCATTACTCCTATGGCACACTTTCTGCCAAAAGGCATGGTCATTGAAGATCGTGATAGATCACTTGAGTGGACTCAAGATTCTGTCACAATTCGATTGGCCGTTGAGCGAAGATTTGTGGCTAGCAAGGATTTCCGAGGCCAACCTCAGTTTGGGTGGGAACCTTCTGGTTACCCTCGCTTTTCCATGATTACCTATGCCATAAATGCCCGTCGTGCTATGAAGGGCGGCTCCGATCACACGCTATGGTACCTTGTCTAACTCCAAGCCAAGCCTGGATGGGAGGAATTTATAATCAGATGCCATGATTTTATGACTCGCGGCGTTATTTGGGTCGAATGGAGAAATCTCGCCTTTTCAACGGACCGAAACCATTTCCAAAAGTGGCTCAAGGTCTACGCCTTTCTCCAATGGTGGATTATCCCACGCCAGAGAGCAGAAGAAGCATGCCAAAATCTCGTCGTCGCATGGGCAGAATGGCAGAGGATACCCGAGGAATCCCGCCCACAGTTCTCATTGGCGACAAATACCACACCAAAACATTTCTTCAATCTCGCCAAGAAGAAATTTCCCCATCTCAATAAGCCAGACCCTCGAAAAACTGGTTATCGAGGTAAAGGGGATAAAAATGAAAATGCTCCTGCTCCTTCTGGTTCACAAAATCAAGGAGGAAAAAAATCACTTGGAGAGCCCAAGCCACGGGGTCGACCTATCACCGATGTGAATGTCATCACTGAGGATGATAAGGCAAAAATGCGAGCTTGGGAGCTCAATGCTGCAGCGGGCAAGAGAGATAGAGAAGATAAAGCCCGATAGGGTATTGACCAGAGTTCAATTTTTTTTCTGCTTTTAAGCATTCTTGTTTTATTTTGCCTAGGGGCCTTACGTCTAGAGACGTTTTATGTATTTCATTTTCCCAAAGTTTTTACGTCTAGAGGCGTCTTGTTTTGCCTAAAGGCTTCATACCTAAAGGTGTTTTTTTTGGTGATCCAAAGACCTTCATGTCTAGAGATGTTTTATCTTTCCCAAAGGTATTTAGGCTAAGTCTAGTACTCTACTTTTGGATCACCCTTAATATAGACCATCTTTTTATATCAAAAATCGTCATTTTTAATTATTAATAATTCAATAAAAATTAAATATAATCAATTGAAATTTTAATTTTAAATTTATTATATAATTATTAATAGATTTTGAAATTTTTAGATTTTTTATGATTTTATTGATTGAGAAATTAAAAGTTGAAATTACAATTTTCAATTTATATTAGACTTATATACAAATTTGAAAATATTGAAAATCCTGAATAATTTTTCAATAAAAATTATTAAAAATAAATTATAAATTTTTGTAAGATTTTTAGATTAAATATTATATACCAAATTACTATTTTGAGTTTTAAATAATATAAATGAATCTCTATTAATATTTTTAAATTTTATAAAAATTAAAAATTATAACATTTTGATTAAAAGGATTTTTGTAAAATATTTTTTAAAATAAATTAATCTATTTAATTATTTACGTTATAAATATGCAAAAAAGATTTATAATTTATTTTTAATTATTTTTATTGAAAAGTTATTTAAGATTTTAAATTTTTTTTAAATTTATATATAAATCTTATATAAATTAAAAATTATCAAGGGCCTGTGCCCCCCGGACCCCTGGCTTTTCGAGAAAGTTTAATGAAAATTTAAGGTTTAAAAAATTTATAATAAATTTAAATATTAAATATATATCAAAGTACAGATAGAATATCGACTTGTTTTTGATAATTTTTAATTTAAAATAATAATTATAATAATTATAATATTTTATAATATTTTATATTATTTATTATTATTATTATTATTGTTTTGATTTGAATGAGATAAATTGAATAAATAAAATTAAATGATTTTAAAGTTGATATCACGATTCATGGTTTTTTTTATAGTAGTATTATTAATATCAGTGATTCATATACCGATTATAAAAAAGATATAATTTAACTGTTGTTTTTAAAGAACCTAATTATTTACAAATAGAACTTTAGGATTTCTAAAATAAATATCTTAAGTAATTATATTAGAATATAATAAGTGTTCTAATTAATCGATTGTAATAAAACAATTATTCTAGAGGATATTGTATCCTAAAGTTATAGTTCCTAAAAGAAAACTTTTAGAATAAGTGTTTTAGAAAAGAAGAGGCCTTAGAATCAATTATATAATAAGAAACTCTAGGAGTTTAAAAAGCTCTTAGAACTTTAGAAGCTTTTTGAAGCTTTTGAGCTTCACAAAGCTTTTTTCTATTCATTAATATATAATATAAGAAAGTTGGAATTATAAATTAAATACATAAAGGTTTTTAACTAATCAATTATATAATCTTTTATAATTAGATATAAAAAAAAAGCTTTTGCTTCTTCTTTTGAGAATAATTAATCTTTTATATATATACATTTGAATTTATATAGTATCAACTCCAAAACCATTATAAACCTTGTTTTCTTTATAAATAATATATTACAATATAATCTAATTCAGCTTCCTCTTTCAATTCTGTCACGATTCACGGTTTTCTTTATAGTAGTATTATTGACGTCGATGATTTATAGACCGACTACAGAAAGGGTGTGATTTAACCGTTGCTTTCGAGGGTCCTGATTACCTAAGCCTAGGACCCCAGGATTCCTAGGATAAAGTATTCTAGGCAACCATAGTAGAATAGGATAAATGTCCTACCTAATTGGTTATAATGGGACTATCACCCTAAAGGATATCGTATCCTAGGGTTATAGTTCTTAAAGGGAAAGCTTTTGGGATAAGTGTTCCAGGAAAAAAAAGGCCTTGGGATATGAGAGGCCTCAGGATCAGTCACGTGATGTGCTAGCTCTGCTAGCCAGCTAGCATAGCTAGCATGGGAAAAGAGATTAGTATATAGTCAGAATAGTTTCATAGTTTAGGAGCTTCGTGCTCAACTTAGTTATCAATTAGTTTACCTACATTCCAATTGATCTAGTAACGTATTCACTTTCGAGTGGATAACCAGTGATTATTAGCCTTAACCTACAACTACCAACCAGACGAAACCCTGAGGCAGCCGCTGCCCCAACCAGATCGTTACAAATTCCCTCCTTATAATATACTATCAGGACACATATATCTCGACCTATCACTTTTACAATAATCAGAATAGTTTCATAGTTTAAGAGCTTTATATTCAATTTAGATATTAATTAGTTTATTTATATTCCAATTGATCTAGTAACGAATTCATTTTCAAGTAGATAATTAATGATTAATAGCCTTAACCTACAATTATCAATTATACAAAACCTTAGACAGCTGCTGCCTCAACCAGATCGTTACAGTTGAATGATTTCAATAGAGTTGAAAAAAACTAAATCAGATTTGTTTAAGATAATAAAGCTTATATTAAGTTTTTTGTTAGATTTTTTGTAGGGGTATTTTAAACCAATCACATTGTCAGGATCGCGATTCATTTAAATAAGTTTTTATTTTCTATAATCTGTATTAATTAAATTATAATATATTATATATACAATAAAATTTTGATATTGATATATTGATAATAATTTAAAATTATAAATTTTTTTTTTAATTAAATTTAAATTCATTTATTCTTTTAAAAAAAATCAAAATTAATAAATAATACTTTTAGAAAGTATCTTTTGTTTTTTTAAAGTTTATAAAGTTAATCAAGATATATAAAAGAGAATATAAAGTGAGAAGTGCTTGTAGATTTTTGTATTTTCCTTTTCGTTGAAATAACTCTCTCTTTCTAGTAGGGAAATGCAAGACTCCAAACTTGAAGGTTCAAAAATTCTAACTTGTAATTATCACATTATAAACAAGTAGATGGATAGCTTCATTAATACAAACATTTGGCTGTCATAAGGTTACTACCTCGGAGTAATTCGTAACCTTATCATAATTTGTTATCTTTGACTACCTGCTTTATTCTTCAGTTGACAGCATTCTCGTAGCCGAATATTGGTTCATTTTCAACTCTAATGAAGCGGAAATATAACTCCGTGCACTCACTGTTGGGACCATAACCGAAAAAGTTACTACTCATTTCCGGAAAAGCGTGCTGCTTTACCCAAAATTTCTTACAATGAGAGGTGACTCTGGGCCGCAGAGATGCATTGCAGTTAAACAAAGCTGTGAAAGCCATGGGACCTCATAAACACCCATTTACCCCGCTGCCGCGAACAATCTCGAGCCCTATCAACTTATCCTACTTCAACTATCCAGCCAAGAGGAATTTAGTCAAGCAATTTGCATCTCCATTTCATCTATCAACATCATTATTGCAAGATACGAGCTATCATCCTCCTTTAGCCTTTGAACCATGGCTAGTCATGACGGAATCGTTTTCACTATCTTTAGAGGCTCCAAAGACGGCGATATTATCGAGTCTGAATCTAGTCGCCCAGGATTGAGCGGGGATCAAGTATTAATCTCTATATCTGCATCCAGTCTCTGCGGCGGTGATTTACTTTTCAAAGGCAATGATGTGCGTCTTCCAATGATCTGTCCCCTGTTTCAAATATTGACAAAAATTCAAGATGGTTCTGGGCCACGAAGGCGTTGGTGTAGTAGTTGCACTGGCCCTGAAGTCCAGGCTCTTACAAAGGGCGATCGTGTGGGATGGGGGTTTTTACAAGATACTTGCGGGAGATGCAAGCAGTGCGAGTTTGGAATAGATGTATTCTGCCCAGACCGAAAGATGTATGGTCGTGCGGACCTTGATCAGGGTAGTCTAGCTTATAGGATCGTCAAGAAAGAGAGTCGACTATTTCCAATTCCCAAAGAGCTTTCCGATGAAGAGGCAGCCCCACTGATGGTAAATAAAACGAGCCTTGGACTGTGCTACAATTTGAGATCAACTATTTAAACTTCTGTTTATTCTGGCGACAGGAATACGTTATTGTCTCTTCTTGCATTTTGTCAATTCCTCGCTAATACAAAGTGATCATTAGTGCGCCGGAGCAACTGTCTTCAATGTTCTTGACACCTACAGGGCAAAGCCAACCGACCGCGTTGGAGTGATTGGTGTTGGCGGACTCGGTCATCTCGCCATTCAGGTAAGCCTGGAAGGACCAAAATAAAATTATGCTTACCATACTAATCACCTCCACCCATAGTTTGCATCGAAAATGGGCTGCGAAGTCATTGCCTTCTCCAGCACTCAATCCAAAGAATCTGACGCTCTCTCTTTCGGTGCCAGCTTTTACTACGACGATACAAACTTCAAAGTGGCTAAACTTGGCAGCTCCCTCGACATACTCATTGTGACTGCTCCCACCCTACGAAACTGGGGTGTCTACCTTCCATTTCTCACTCCCAAAGCCAAAATCTTCGCGCTCACTATTGGCCCGGGACAACTTGCACTGCCCAATATGCCATTATTGTTGAACGGTATCACTATCCAAGGGAGCATCTTGGCACCTACGAATGTACATAAGCGCATGCTAGAATTTGCTGCGGCTGAAGGCGTGAAGCCCAAGGTGCAAAAGCTTGCAATGGATCTTGATGGCATTGTTGAAGCTTTTAGGGTATTGAAGAATGGGAAAATGAGGTATCGTGGAGTGTTAGTTGTGCCAGAAGAGAAGCGACTCATGTAGAGTGTCCGTAAATCTCTACCAGAATGATCACTGGAAATCTAAGTATGGTTAGATGCGAGGGGAGACATACTTGAAGTCAATAACAATTTTGTATGTGTTCCTTGCGCAGAAATTCTATGACATACCACTTGCTATGTTTATTAATTGACATGTGTTGTATGAAAGTATTCCATGATGACCCCGCGTCTGAGTAACCAAAAGGCGAGAAAAATTGCTCGGAGTTCGTCGAAGGCTCTGTTTTGAAAGATAGCACTCGCAATCATTAATTCCAGGACTAGACGTTGGCCTTGTACAATGTTCATGAATTGAACAGCTTTATGTATACGATTACGCAAAACTATCATAAGTGCCAGGACGTATCCAGCCTGTGATGTTGTTGTACCAAATGCGATGAGAATTGTGTATCCGTAGATATTGGCAACTGAAGTCCCACTCCAGGCTCGAGGTACCAGTAAATGAAGTCGCCAGTTTTCCCCATAAATCTTCCGCAAATTTACACTGTTGCAAAAAGGCAACAGACAAGCGGTAGTAGGCGGAATTGCGGACTTGCGGACTTGGTGCCGTCGTTGCCATCGACAAACTGAGAGTATAAAAGCACGTAATAGATGGTGACGCGGACAGAGGAGCAGTACAAGCCGTGGTTACGCGGAGTGGGGCGGGAGTGCGGACCGAGGCCATTTCGCAAGGAAATAAGCGGTCCTCATGTGTCTTCCACACACAACATATCTGGGTAGTCGCGAAAGCAACGAGAAGAATTGAAAACATTACAATGCAGGTGATTGTACGGCCAACATTGCATATCCAGATGTTTCCACCAAAATTCCAAAATAGTACCAAGGAAATTGTAACCTTACATACCAGCATTAAGCGCGATACTCAAAAAGTCTATGCCTTGGAGACGCTGAGAAAAGGTCATATCAAGTCGACGAGGTTTGGAAGGTAGTATAAAAAAGCTACAATGGAGCCATTGCAGCGAAGACAAGAAGGTTAATGTGAAATGCCCAACGTCAAGTAGCCGACAAGTCACTGAGCGGAGCGCCCACGATAGGTCCCCAGATTGGATCATATCCAAAGGTGAGTCCTATGATGCCGATGTATAAGGGTTGTCTCGAAGGTAGAGTAAGCAAAGTAATGTAGTTGATGTTCCTATTGTTATGAGATTAGTATTTGTCCCATGGTCATGTCGTGGGACGTCGTGAACGTGGCTTAAGAAAGGTGGTCCGAAAGCGGGGTACTAGACATATATTTTAATCTATTTCTTTTATATCACAATTATAAATTTATTATTATTATATAAAAATGTATCCATAACATATCTATCCTAACTCAACTCAAAAAAGAATTCTTCTCTAATCTAAGAATTAAACTCTCATTCCCCTCTACTCCAGAACGCCTTAATAGTTATACATATCCCAATTCCAAATGCCCGTCTTGAGCTTAACGGCCGTTGATACTACCATAATCAGGCCTTTGATCCGATTCATAGTTTCCCTCCTCTGTAGCGATACATTGTATGAGGTCTTTTGTTTTCGGTCCTGTATAAGTTCTATTTTATCACGATATTAGTTTCAGTACCATTTCATCTCACATCTCGCATCTCACATCTCACATCATCCCAAGACAACATAAACAAAAAGATAAAGAAGAAAAAACATACGTCCTTGCACCAGCCCACCACCACCCAAAACTAAACATCGCAATTGCCCCTCCTACTACCACCGCATAATTCATATTCTCCATGGTAACCGGTCGAATCGTCGGGAACATAAGTACTATGCTAATAAAAAGTACCCAGGTACATGCAATAGCATTAAGAGGCTTTTGCCAAATTCCAAGTGTGTAAGGACCAGGAATGAATTTTACGCGTGAAGCGTAGATATTACGGGCGACGATGACAGCGGCATAAGACATGTCGAGTGCAGGGGCGGTGATGTTGAAAATGGCTACGATGGTTGTGGTACTGCCGATAGCGATGGTGTTGAGGGCGCAGGTTAAGAAGACGATGAGCCAGACGGAATTTACTGGGGTTTCTGTGTAGGGGTTTACTTTGGACCAAAATCTATTTTTGGGATGTTAGTTTATTGGAGTTTGATGATTGAAACTTTGAAACACTAAATGATATAAAGTGAAGGGGTAAATTCGGGACTTACTTTGAAAATGGTAATGCTCCATCCCTAGCAAATGCGTATGCCATTCTAGTATCCGCAAGCATGGCAGAACATCCAGTGAAGAATTGAACCAAAACAACAAAGAACCACATTGCGGTTCCTCCTCCTTTTCCTCCAGCATTTAAAAAGATTTGAGCAGCTGGCATTCCTGTTGGTGAATTAATGATAGCATCGAGATCAGTTGTACAAAAACAAAATGTAACTGTGAGCATCCAACCAACGACTCCAGAAATTGTAACGGCCCATCGAATAGCCATTGGTCCTTGGGTTGCTGCATCATGCGTTTCTTCTGACATGTGAGTTGTGCCATCATAATCAGTCATGGTCCAAGCTACTGATAAGAAGGAGAGGAAAAATGAAAATGATGTTCCCCATCCAGATCCATTGGTGAAGTGAGTAAATACCCATGTTGCCGATTGTTTATTAGGAGTTAGAACAAGTAGTGCGATGCAGATTGTGATTGATGCTAGGACATTGATAGGCATGAACCAGGTTACGATTTGATGAAGACGTTTTGTTGTTAAGGAACATATTACTCCCAAAATAACGAGGATTAACCACGAGAGAAGGGTTGTTTCTAGAGCAGTTCTATCAAATTGTTAGGAAATAAAATCTTAGCTTTGACCTTTCACTTACGGCGAATAGGAATATATTCCTGTGATTTCATCAAAATTAGAGTTCATACTAGCAGCTGCTAGGATAAGTTGAGAGACAGTATATCCCACGCTGGCAACACCAGCCGTTTGACCCAATAAATTACACCATCCAATAACCCAACTCCAAATGGCGGCATGTTCATCCGGGACAACATTTTTCGTAACAAAGTACATACCACCCGCCGTCGGATATGCTGAGACAAGTTCTGATACTATTGAATGTTTAAGCGCAAGTCCAAACTTTATAGTGAAGATTTCCTAACCTGAACTTGATATAATTTGAGCCATCATTGATCCAAAGAACCATGCCCAGACTGAAGCTGCTGGTCCACCAAGACTCAATGGGCTTCCAAAGGTAGCAGGAACAGATCCCAAAACACCAAGAACGGAGACTGCGTAGGATAATGTAGACCATTTTGAGAAATGTCGTCGTAGGTCCTTGAATATTGTTAGTGATGATCACAAAGAGGACGGAGTATAAGAGGGCTTACTTGAGTATAACCAATTCGATTCAACAGCCTCTCATCATCATTCGCAATGGTAGCCATTTTATCCACCGGCTTATCCACGATATCTGGCTTGTCAGTCGTGGTAGAGACCGTAAGCTCAAGGCTAACTCTTTGCTCCATCGTTGATAGATTTCAAGCGCAAGGACAAATAAAAAAAAGTCCAAACGTTTACTGTGAAGTTCACACAGTCATGTGGGTTTATGGAAATATTTATAATTTATATGGGCCAACAAATAGAAGGAACGAACTCACATTCGAAGGGACCCGGCAGAAATAACAGGCAATATATCTTCCCGCGCAAGACCCAATATGATGATGGACAGGAGCGGTAAGGGCTCAAACACGTTGGGTCTTTCCACCAGCAATTCGACCCGAATGTTAATCCCCTGTCGAATATGAGGTTCAAAAGGAGGGATTAAACGAATGAAAGGTAACACTACCAAGGAAAATCTTTCAACAAGGCTGGTCAATGGACCCAAGATCTTCTATTTCCAAGTTAAACAATAAACAATAGCAAACCAACCTGCACTGCATTAGGGTACACAAAAAAGTCCATGCCAACAAAAAAGACCGGGGATTATGTCAACCGTTCGCCAATTTTAGCCTCACAGTGGGAACTTTCTGAAAATGACCAAACAGATGAGATGAGATGAAATGAGGATGATGTAGTACAGTAATGCAGTGTGTGGTTCAAGTATGTAGTACAAGGCGTGCAAGTAGAGTAGTGCAAGTAGAGTAGTGCAAGTAGAGTAGTGCAAGTAGAGTAGTGCAAGTAGAGTAGTACAGGACAGTAGTACAAGTAGAGAAGATGTACTCCGTAATACACAATTGAAACGACGCGTACGAAAAAGATCACATCAATCTTGAAAATGCAGACCATGCAGACATACAGGGATTTACGTGAGAGAGTGGGGTTTTGCGGCAATTGCCAAAGAAAATTGACCCACGCTGGCTTTTTATGTTAGCTTGGGGTTTCTATTGGGGGACCCCTTCGATTGATTGCATATAGTTGCATGTTGAATGTTGCATGAGGAATTGTCATTGATAACATTGATAACATTGATTTGTTTGATTTGAATGGGTGAGTGGGTGAGTGGGTGAGTGGGCGAATGCGGGGTCACCGTTACATGATTCTCGACATCTATGATTCCATTAGTGCCCGTTTGGAAGCAGCTAAGTAGAGACAGAGGGAGAGATACTGTACATCAATATGATCATAGTATGTTGAATGAGCTTGAATACACTCTCATGATAGTTTCATGGATTTATTGTTGGGACACTGTTGCTGTCTGCTGTCTGCTGTCTGCTGTCTGCTGTCTGTTAATGTGATTGATGCTGATATTGATATCTGATATCGATATTACCTCCTGCTGACTGCACTACCTACCTACAATAATATTCTATGAACTAATTCAGCATAATATCTTAAAATTAACTATCGACCTCTCCTTGGTCTATCATTTTTAACCTTTCGTTCCGAGCCTGGTCCGGAAAGTGTAAAGTAGCATCCGTGTCCTGCTGAAGTCTCTTTTCGGAGGTGATCGAACGTTTAAGCAAATCTAGACTTTATTCATCATGAACAAATAATCAACCCTTTTTATTCCATGACAAATATTCGCCCCAACTTTCGTCTTTCGACTTTCGTCATTCTGCTATAAGTGTTACATTGTGGAGGGGATATGATAAGATTTAATCCAATGAAGATATACCCAAAACCTTACTATACATAGATACGTACGGAGTACACATACCGGTACATACATCCTCCGTACATAATGTTACTCCGTACATACAGAATCTCCTGCGCATTGGTGGCGGTGAAGGCTATGGCCTCCAATATTTCCCCGAGGTTTCATCTTATATCCATTCGATCCATTCGATCCATTCGATCCATTCGATCCATCTGATCCATCCGATCCATCCGATCCACCCTACAAGCTTCTTCTTCTTCACGGGTGGAGAGAACCAATTAAGCTTACCAAAGAATTCGAACTCATTTCTTCAAGGGATACCGGGACCTAGGAAGACCTACATGCTCTATACTATGGAGTCCATACGGAATACTTACCACGCTGACACCGTTTCAATAGGTATTGATAAGGCTGTTTAGACCCGCAAGTTTGGTTCTGTTGGACTGCTGGTTTGTTGCTTTGTTGGGGACATAACAATGATAACACCTGAACCAACCATCAATTATGTTCATTTCCATGACCTCGGAATAACGTGCCGCGACAGTTACACTGCATATATTGGAATATCGATGATAATAAAAACGGTTATTAGGAACACGTCTCTTTGGGTCATATCTATGCATACATACATACATACATACATACATACATACATACATACATACATACATACATACATACATACATACATACATACATACATACATACCATCCATCCATCTATGAACGAAATAGAGTAAATAAGATACATCGCAATAAAGTTCAGGAATCCCCTATTTCGAAATGACATTCTAGCCATCGGGATACATTGCTGGGTTCAAAATCACTCTATACCTCAAATTGATAGCTCGAGGGTGCTGGGCATCAATAGTCTACCAGGAAAGGGTAGTATTGCATCGAAATAACCATCACTCGATCATTCGCTTCCAGGAAATTCTCATCTAACCAGCCGTCCGATATAGTAAGGCTCATCGGCTTCCGAGTCCCGATCAAATCATCCTGTTGAATTTTGTCAATGCCAAGATTCCGCACGATCATGTATGAGAACGGCAATAATACATTGGTACATAAGTATCTCACATACCCAGTAGGCATTGTTTATTTTCGGATATTTTTATTCGCACAGACCTCCCGCATTTTCCTTTTCTTGCCCTCGTTCCGCTGACGTGCATTGATTGCATCGGTGAGGGAAAAGAAGTTCAAAATTCTAGATCTCATCACATGATCATCCCAAATCACGGCCATGGCATGATCAATTCATGATCCGCCGGACTCTGAACTCTGAACTCTGAACTCTGAACTCTGAACTCTAATCTTACAACCACAGCATAGCAATGAGCATACCATTCATCCCTTCAAACGATTTCTAAAATGAAGTTTATAAATCATGACCAAAGTTTTCTCATCTCAAACAATGGAAGTTGAAAAATAACGTCTAATCACATGTTTCATACCTCTCGACGCATAATATCTTGAAAGAAAATGAAACGCCATAATCATTGGGATATTCTGTGGAGAATCTGAAGCAAGCTAAATTGATTCAGCATATCATCATTTCATCATTTCATCTTGTATGATCTTTTACTCTATTATTTGTTGGATTTTCGCTTTTGTAAATATGGGTATTATCGTAGTCTTAATATGTTCCGACCTATCTGCGATCCAGACACCATGGAGATCGAATGAAATGGAGGGGAAAGTCTTGATACCTAGTGATTGGCGTTTCGTGGATGATCATGGAAGGTAAGATCTTATAATCGTCATTTTATAGGTACCTGAGATCTTGTATTCATCAATATATTCTACAAAAAGGTTAAAATCCTTTCTCTTCAATCCAACTCAATATACAACAGAACATAATATATAGCCCCTCATCATCCACCACCTGGGCATATAATCCTCAACCATAGCATTCATACCTCCGTCCAAGTTCCAAAGTGCCAAAGTTCCAACACACACCAGAAAGTCTGTGCGCCTATCAACCTCCACTACCTAGATAATGAATGATAGATATTCTTAAACAAAGTGTTCTGGATTTATATTTTTTGTTTATATATTTTAGTATAATATGATTGAAGAGAGAATAAGTGAAAAGATAAAAGGATAAAAAAATAAAAAAGAAAACTATTTTAAACTTTTTAATTTTTGAGTTCTTAAAAACAATAATTGAATATCATTAATTAAATCTTTTGAAAATTTAAGAATTTGTTAAAAAGATTTATTTTGTAATTAAAAAATATTACTTTACTTTTAAATTTTAATTTTATTTCAAGTTTTAATTCTTGTGTTTTTTTAAAAAATAAAATATTTATCAAATTTAATATAATTTAAATTATAAGAATTTTAAAAACTTTAATTTTCTATTATTTTGATAGATTTTAAAATCATATTAAAGATTTAATATGTTTATTTTTTTAATTTTCCAATTTATCAGTCTTTTATTTTTTTAACTTTTTCATTTTTTGATATAATAAATGACCCTCTTTTAAATAATATTATATTCTCGTGATCCCAACCCCAGAATACAAATACCTAGCGTCTATCATTCCAAACCATCCACGATCCATCACCACCGTCCATCCTAGCACCATCCGAACAAAATACATACATGTAAAGTCCGAGAAATTTACTTTCCATTTCCATCCGTTTGAGCGTGGCTTAGCCTTATCATGAAGCTGATATCAAACTTATTCTCCCGATCCGTTTGAGAAGTGTACTTGATGAATCCGAACTTAATCTTTTGATGTACATGAGATAAGTATAAATATATGTATATATATCACAATGAGGAAAAGAAAATACTCTCATCAATCGAATCTTCTCTAACAAATATCTAATTCGCTCTTTATTTCATTCCATCATACCGCGGCTAGTCCTGCGAAAGACATTCCTTGGAAGATATTTGATACAGACTCATCATTTACTTACGCATACCTTCCTTTCAACGAATCAATAAGTACAGACAGACAGACGGATAAACAAATTTGATATAATTACGCAAATATTTCCAACCAATCTTTCCTTTCAGAGTTCAAAATGAAATACTCATTTACCGCCATCACATTTGCTTTTTTGGCAATAACTCTTCATGCCTCTCCTGTTCAATTGCAGGATCGAGAGTAAGGATTTCTGTGTTAAGATGTTCTATGATTTCTAGACTAATATGATTTACAGTATGACAACCATCGAAGAATCCAATGTAGCCAATGTTAAAATGCCGGCTCCACACGTACCTCGAGTTGATGTTCCTGTCGCTGATTCTGATACACTTCCCGCTCCAACCGAACCATCTGCTGCTCCACCTAGTGCACCCCCTGCTTCAACCGAACCCTCTGCCGCTCCACCTAGTGCACCCCCTGCTTCAACCGAACCCTCTGCCGCTCCACCTAGTGCACCCCCTGCTTCAACCGAACCCTCTGCCGCTCCTCCAGCGAATGCATCATCCCCTCCAGCTGATGCACCCCCTCCTCCGGCGGACGCATCCCCTCTTTCAGCTAACGCCACCGCACCCATAACAGGCGCCTCCATCACCGACGCACCCGGCGCTGCAAACATGACTAGTTCCTCCAACAGCACCAGCAGTAGCACCACCAATACCCCGGGAACAGTACTTCCTGGAACAACGGCAAGTTGTTCTACGTTCTATACCGTAGTTATGGGAGATACGTGCATTGCCGTTGGTGCGAAGAATGGAGGGATTACTTTTGATGCTTTGAAGGGTTTGAATACGGGGATTGATGCTACGTGTTCGAATTTGGTGGTGGGACAGTCGCTTTGTGTGAAGGCTTAGATTTTTTTATTTTTGGGGGTGGGAAAAGGGGGAGGTGGTGAGATTGGATGGGAGGATGGAAAATGTAAAGTGGGAAGAAGAGAGTGAGGATTCTTCAGTGAAGAATCCTCGGTACCGGATCTAAGTTATTAAGCAAGCAAGCAAGCTCAGGAAGCTTAGCACTATGATTTGGTTATGTTATTTATGATATTGATATCGATATCTATTGAGATGGGATGAAGAATTGTCGTTTCTTTTTTGTCTATGAAGGACTTTACGCATAGTCACATGTCCGTCATTGAATATCTATAACTAGAAAGTATAAAAGAAATATTCGTCGACTTCAATTGAATGCTCATTTTCGTATTCGGCTCCACCTCATGAGTGCTTGATATGATATTGCCTAAGATTTCAATGGAAATTCCTCGGGCGAAATATAACTGTTGGTATCATTCCGCTAATACTACTCGCATAGTACTATTATAGTATGTGTTGATTCTTAATTGATTGTAATTATTTACGAGGAAGAGGTCTTATTTATATTAAGGAGGGAGGGGTTAGAACTAGCTAGTCGTACGGCTCCCTTTGTGTACGGTCTTCTTTCGAGGTGAATCACATGATGTACCAACAATAACATAACTGGAATACCAAGGGCATGAACCTGGGCTGGAACCTATAGCCTACCTGGGGTATTCGGTGGGTTTATTCTAGATTACTCTAGGTATACTCTATCTTTTGTCCAGTCCTGGTATGGATATCAAAGTACTCTTTGATATTTTTGAATTACATTCAAAATAAAATAAATAATCATCGCCCTTCTTGTACAGAGAATATTGACAGGTACTAATACTGATACATTATATATATAATTAATATCTTCAAAATATATAGAATTTTAAATAATTCTACTGTTTTTAATTAATGAATTTATTATATTTTAGATTTTTTTTTTGTTTTAAATACATATTATATTATAAAATATTAATATATATTTAATATTGAATAATATAATTAAATTTATACTTTTATATATCTTGAATAAAAATTATATAATAATAACATATAATTATTTACCAGGGGCCTGCGCCCCCCGGACACTTGGCTTTTCGAGATAGTCTAATGAAAATTTAAAGTTTAAAAAATTTATAATAAATTTAAATATTAAATATATATTAAGGTGCAGGTAGAATATCAGCTTGTTTTTAATAGTTGAAAATTAAATTATTTTATTTAAAAATAATAATTATAATATGATTTAATACTATTATTTATAATAATAATAATAATAATGTTTTATATTATTTATATTATTTTTAATGTTATTTATAATAATAATATTTTATATTATTATTATTATTATTATTATTATAATAAGTTGAATGAGATGAATTGAATGAATAAAGTTGAATTGAATGATTTCAGAGTTGAATAATTTTAATAGAGTCAAGTTGAATGATTTCAATTGAGTTGAATTAAAAAAAGCTTTAAATCAGATTTGTTTAAGATTGTAAGGCTTATACTGTGAGAAAGTTGAAATTATAGATCAAATACATAAAGGTTTTTAATTAATCAATTATATAATCTTTTATAGTTAGATATAAAAGAATAACTTTAGCATCTTTTTTTGAAAATAATCAACTTTCTATATATATATATTTGAATTTATATAATATCAATTCCAAAACTATTATAAACCTTGTTTTCTTTATAAATAATATATTACAATATAATCTAATTTAATTTTCTTTTCCAATTCTCTTCTTATAATATGCTATCAGGATGTATATATCTCGACCTACCACTTTTACAATATCAAGCTTTTTGGTAGATTTTTAACCAAAGTATTTTAGACCAATCAGATTGTCAGAATCGCGGCTCATTTCTCGACCAATCATATCGCAACCTTAAGCGAATCTCATTTTCCATCACTCACTAGATAAACCTTATATATAACAAGATTATAGAGTCGGCAAGCCGACAATTAAAAATGAAAGTAGTTTTAATTTAAAATAATTCATTTCTATTATATTTCAAATCTCAAAATCAAAACTATAAGGATTAATTAATAATAAAATTTAGATTACAAAATATAATTAATATTTAAAAAGAATTTCAAATATCGATTAATAAACTCAATAATCTAAAAGAGATAATTATTTAATTTAAAATCTTATAATTTGTTTATATTGATAGTCTTTTGATATATTTAGATAAATAAGTTAAAAGAAACTTCAGACTATATAAAGACAATACTGAAGAAATAATTTAGAAAATTCAACAAATCTGTGATAATTTCTCAAGTTTGTCTAGAAGTCCTTAGATTTTGTATTTAACACCTTTCCGAGACCCAACCCCCAACCCCCCACCCCCTAACTCTAACCCTCAATAATGGTAGTAGTCACAACGTTAAAAGTATCCCCTGTTTCAGCGCTTCAAATGAGTTTTTTGGCGACAAAAACCCATGGAACAACTATTATCAAACCATCCCAAACGAAGATCATCCATCCACCAAAGTTTTGGTTTACCAGCCACAGTGACATTCATTAAGAAATATGTCAAATCCCTAAAGCTAGAATCCAAATCAACACTCGTCAAAACACAATTTGAAAGTTCAGGACAAGCTGGGACATTGACAACTTGTTGAGTAACTTGAGAAGTCTTCTTCGAAGCGAGATCATAACTATATCCGGTAAATGTGAAATCGCATGCCGCATTCCTTGAATCACAGCCCAGTGATGCTCCGTATAGATTGAAACTAAAACAACCTGTAAAACCTTCATCACCACTTCCTATTTGACCAGAGAAACCATGATCTGCTGCATTTGGTCCTGTTTCTTTATTTGATGAATTGGCATCGAAGTTTGGTATGAATTCAAGGAGTAATGGTGACGAAGAAGGAAGGAATAGTAGACGCTTTGGTGGTGGAACCACTGTAAAGCCGTCTGAAAAGAGGAATTGATGGTATGGATTAAAGAGGGGTTCCGGTTGGACATCAGTATCGCTAGCGTTCGAGACTGATAGTGGAGGTACGTCGTCAAACTATTGATCCATTAGTTTCTGAATATTTAAAGGTAATGTGAGGTATTTAGAAACCAGGCACCATGCCAATGTCAAAATCTTACTTGAAAATTGATGTGCCTGCCTTATGAAACAATCAAAAGCTAGGGAAGGGTAATGAAGAACTTACATTCAATACGAAATCCCCTTGCTCTCCACAACTTGATGATGTGGCTAAGGCTGACATGCTAGTAGATGTAACCGACGTTGAGTTGAGGAAAGCGGCAGAACTTGGTCCTATAGTCGTAGAAATAAAGCTGGCCATTGAAGTAGGGGTAGTCAATGGAGTCAAGTCATACATTGGAGTGGTCTTAGATATTGAGATTGAACTGGAAATTGTGGTATAAGCGGGCAATGATGTAGCATTAAGTATTGACATTGGGGTGGACATTGTACTGGGGCTGGATAATGAGGTGGTCCGAGTTGTCGAAGTCGCACTATACAATGGAATCATGCTTGAAAGTGAAACAACTTTGGATATTGAAGTTGTAATAGTCGATAGGGCTGCTGAAGTAGTTAAACTGGCAGAAAAGAGTGTTGAACCAGTAGATGAAGGAAGAGATGCTGAAGGTTGATCAGAATCTTTGAATCCAGCAGCCGTTGTTAAACTAGTCAAAGTCCCGATTGTGAAAGATGTATGAATATGGAAAGATGATGATTCGAATATCATGGAAGAAGTTCTATTCCATCCTCCAACAGAACCCATGCCAGTAAATACTCTACCCGATGATTGAGTGGAAGTAGAACTAATTCCTGTAACTGCGCCTATAAATCCTGCAGAAGATGTTAAAGCACTCAAGTCCGTAGTATTGATGGTTTCGGAGAAGGTAGCACTTGGAACAAGTGTGGAAGTAGAACTGGTCAACATTGATTCTGGTTTTGAGGTGGGAACAACGGCGGATGAGATTGCAGATCTCATAGTACTTAGTATAGTGAAAGATGAAACCAAAGTGACTGGTTCAACAATGCTCCGAGTGGATTCAGGTTTGGGTATTGTTGGAATTGAGACAGAAGGTATGCTTGGACTAGACTCCGCAATAGTAGAAGAACTAATCGCGGAAGAAAGATTGAGAACGCTGCTGGTTTTAACTGCCGAACTGGAAATAACCGATGTTATATTGGCCGCTGATGGTAATGCTGAGGTCCATGTTGCCATTGTCAATGATGATATAGGAACAAGCAAAATACTACTTTCTATGGTAGCAGAAGTAGGAATGGAAGTCAGCATTAATGGGACAATTGTTTTCTTTGATGAAACCACGGGCTTATTACTAGACATCAGCTCACCGGTCGATGCTGGCTGGCTTGCAGATGATTGAGGAAGGGTTGGTAGAGGGACAATTGTCGCTGTCGATATAACCATGGGCTCACTACTGGAGATTTTTGTCGATGAAGGACGAGCCGGTAAAGGAATAACCGTTTCTGTTGACAAAATCACAGACTCCCTGGTTGACGGTGATGGTGATGGAAGCACAGTTGATAGAGGAACCACTGTAATAGCGCTAGTGACTACAACGAAAGATTGAGATGGATTGCTGGTTGGTGTTTGCCCATTTAACCAACTAGTTGTACCGCTAATGACTACGAAGGCGTAATTATTGCTTGATGATTGAGAGAGTATGGTCTCTTGAGCCGGATCAGATAATCCCGAGGCTTCTACCTTTCCCGTGGGTTTTGGCAATTGGGAATTTTCGATAGTCCAAGTTGGTTTTGATAATTGTAAAGACGGGTTTGTAGGAATGGGCGCGACGTGAAGAGTTGTATCTGCAGAAATGCCAGAAACATGTGCCATACGATTGCCTGATGGAATTGAGAACGAAGTGGTATCAGAACAAGCGGCGTAGACGGTGACTGTAGATTTGGTGGAACGATACTCATACTGGGGAGCTGCACCAGCAGTCGCACATAGGGTCCATATTACGAAGAGGAAATTCAGAATCATTTTCTGTATATTTCGAGAATATAACTGAGATGGTTTTGAATATGTAGTTATGCTTAAATGAGTGACTGAAGGAAAGCTGTTGTTTTGAAAGAGAGGGTAAAAGGGCGAAGAAATTATTACTTCCTTCGTGTTTGTTTGTTGATGGTGAATTTCCAAAATGGTGCATATACATCCATATCCGCTTAAGATTTTTGAATAAACCAATCAAAATCAAACAGATCAAGACCAGTCAGTCAATTTTATTACATCTATTTTTCAAATCGTCGAAAGCTCAAAGTATAATAAGTGCTGGCTACAAAAGAACCTTTTGAGGCTATGGTAAACTCATCATAATAACATGTTACAACTAACTACTCAAACAATCAGAAGCCCTTTACTCAATCTTGAACCAACTCGAATCTTCATTCTTCCCAAATTCCACAATCACTCCGATCTTAGATCCGTACCCCAGCAAGAATTAACAGGATTTTTACTAAGCTTTGGAGAGATGAATTAAATTTTGGCCAGCGAGTTAAACTTTAAGACATTCTTCTCGTTTTAGCCCCAAGTACTTTTGGCCTCTATTGAACAATGGGCCAGAGATAGGAAGAGAGGTACCCATGGGCGAAAGCTGCTGTGGTCTGCTTTAGGTCCTTTGTGAATACTAGGTAGGGTGTTTGTAGAGATGTCTGGGTCATCCTCTCAGAGACAGACATCGAAAGATCACTTATGGCAATGTTCTTGATTATCTGGAGCAGGTTTCGGGAAAGGAAAGGAGTCTTCAGTGAAGAAATCAGGTATGGAAATCTTAAACTCCCAGTAGAGACAATACTAACAGATAAGCTCCTGAATTCTAGTGCATGTTATCTCAAACGAGGGTGGGAGCAGATGCACATTGAAGTTCAATGCTAACTTGCCAGTATTGATGGAGGAAAAAGTTATTCTGACGTACAAGTCGGTACAACCCGTTTTTCAAACCTCTCTAGGACTTTATCCTCATCATGAAAACCGAAGTCACAAGTCCACAACTCACTACTCAAAGACTCATATATCTCCACAGCACCCAAGAATCCTCACCATATTCTCCAATAAATTGCCTTCTACTTCCCATCATAAGGCAATCAGACTAACTTACTATCCTACTATTCTTCCCCTCACCCATGGACACTTAACCAGTATCTTCCATCCGTCATTTTTCTATACTAGACACCAATTCTCCAGCAGAAGCAACATAAAAGAAACCATTAATCCATACCATTCTATCGACTTTATATCTCAATACCTCTAATCTTCACACCTTATCAAGTTAAAGTAATGATCTCGTTCTATATCTTCATATCTCCTCAGATAGCCTGACGGACTCATGTAGATTCTGCTTAATAATTCTCACTCCTCATACTCCATATCTCATCTTCCCTTCGCCCCCCATCCTTTTCCTCATCCTATTCTTCCTTCGAATTTTAAAGTTTCCTCTTTTCCTTCCCTACCCATTTATCACAACACATCACATCGCATCACACCACCTAACTATCCAATTAAGAAAATATCTTTACAGCTCTTTGCGCCGTTCAGCCTTCGCAGACAAACAAAAGCCCAAACCCAACCTCACTTCGCCCGTCACACTTCTCCAAAACCACCTCCCCAACCATCCCACCAACATCCATCCATCATCCAGAAGCCAACTCCAAACATCACTCTTTCCATATCGTCTCATCTATCTGACCCTCCGTTCCATTTTTTCTCTCCTCTTCCCTTCCCTTCCCCTCTATCCCTCCCCTTTCCTTCTTCTCTACCTCCACACCCAAACCCCCGAAGAGAAATAAACTTCTTCCAACACCTTCCCTTTCTCCTTGCCATACTCATTCCCAAGGCTCTTTATAATCCATCTCACCAGGTATGATATAATATATGTATGTGTATATATATATATATATATATATAATATAATGTATATTTTCAACTGGATGTAATTATATAAATATATAGGTATATATCTATTCAGATATCTCATTTGTGTATTTATTCACTCATTTATCCATTCATTTCCGTACTAACACCATGAGTATCCATCCTTATAAAATAAAATAAGATAAAATGAACAGCAGGGAAATAAAACACCTTTCCTTTCTATCCAGACACCACGCCACACATTGCCTGCCTTGCCTTGCCTTGTCTCTATTAATGGTTTTTAACTCGTAGTCGAACATCTTTATCCTCTCTCTCTTCATCTTTTTCCTCCTCCCATTCCTCACTCATACATGAAAAGCTCTTGCACCTATTAGAACAAACAAAAATCTAAACAATAAAATCAAGTCTTGAACGACGTCTCTTTCCCTGTTTACTCTTTCTTCCTTCCTGCGCAGCATTTGTACCACCATTCTGTCCTGCTTGACCTTGAAATTGATTTGCTCCCTGACCTTGATTTTTGTTTCCTCCTTGTCTATTACCCGTATTTGCTGAATTCGCTGCACCAGCTTTATTTCCATTAGCTGCCGAATTTTTCGAAGTAGCTGTTGCAGTAGCAGAAGAAGCCACTGAGTTATTTGGTCCAGCATTTACAGCACTTGCCGCCAATGCAGCAGCTGCTTGTCCAACTGATCCATTATCCGAATTTGCATTTGCAGTGGTACCTGAACCCGTTACGACAAATTTTGTACAGTCGTCTGCTGTGCCTCGTTGAGCAACTGGCATAATGACAGGTTGATGATTGGACGATGAAGCCAATGTACAAACCCGATAGTTTCCAGCTGGGAGACCACCAGTGACAACAGCAGAAAGAAGACCTTGACCATTTCCTGCGTCGTTGATACCTTTAAAGAAGGCGAATTGAGTGGCGTCGAGAGCTTGTTTTGGGTTTAAGGAGCTACCAAGGTCTTGAACAGTGACGTGGGTGTGGCCTACTACTTTTCCTCCTGAAAGATCTTGAGGTGCTGAGAAGTAAGTGGAGTCGGCGTTGGTGAATGAGCCGGCGACGAGATTAGACATTTGAACTGTGATGTTAAAGGTTGTATCTGCGGGGATGCCTTTTCCACCTGTTGGAGGATTGATAATAGTTGAAGAGACCATGGCGGTTTTTGCTGGAATCCTTCCCATTGCTATTGCTAATCAGATATATAACAATAAGATGGATATCATTGATGACTTACGGATACCATTACATGATCCTGTGGTGATTTGTAGGCCATTTGTCAATTTGTCACCATCACAAAAGTTGATGAAGTTATTTTTCGAAGTTGCTGATTTTGCTTGTCCAACTTCTGCCGCACCAATCTCGCCTGAACCATCGGCAAATGAGCCACTCTGAATAGCATTTGATGCTAATGTAAGGGAAGCATCATTCCCATTGGCGGCTGTAGCACCGTTGTTCGTCCCTTTTTGTGGTGATGGGACTGCCGCTACAAGACTTATCAAGGCAACTGCGCTTGCAAGTTTGCTGAAATACATTGTCCGGATTTAAGATTTGAAGTTAAAAACTGTACAAGATACTGTATATAAACGAATGAAGACCGTCGAGGCGCTAGGTAGTGAAATTAGATACACGGTCAACGTGATCTACTTGATTGACAAGATAGAATAGATCTGAACTAAAAGAGGGAAACTATAAAAGAGAGGAACCCGCCAGATTAAGTTTGAATTGAGATATTAGAAAAGAATGCTAAGGAGGAGGTTGAAAGAAAAGAAGAAGACGACCGTCTATACTTATTCTTTTTCCTTGGCATCACGACATCTGTAAGTTCAACGGATATCCAATTGAATCAAGAAAAGAGTAGACAAGATTGGTAATGATGCTGCTGTACATTGGCAATGAAGATCCCGTTGTTGCATAAGAAGCTATGAAACTATACATGAGATTGAAATTGTCGCAGCGCCTAGCCGTACCTGTCACCTGAAAAGAGAGAAGCGAGCGTGTAGAGATATCAGACGGGATTTTTAATCCGGTCTGATCTGATCTTAATGGGGGTTTGACATGCGCTAGCTTGGTTGAAATGCGATGAGATGAACGAAATGTAGAGACGGGGTTTGGTTGTGTCAGGGCTGATTGGAAACTGTTGATGTCTGGAGTACAAGGGTGATAAAACTTCCCAACCGTCTGATAACCTTGAAAAGCGACCTATCAAAACTCATGTTCAGGTCTTTTTGAATTATCGAAACCATCAGGAATAAAAGGAATCAACGATGTATTGAATTCAACCAGGGCCATCATATATTTGATGTTAATATTGAAATATTTGAAATATTTGAAATAATGATGATGCTGATGCTGATGCTGATGCTGATGCTGATGCTGATGCTGATGCTGATGCTGATGCTGATGATAAGCAATGATTTGTGATGATTCTGATGTCGCTGAAAGAAGAGTTAGGGGTAATTAATAATTTTGGGGGCTATGATAAGCTTAAAGGGAAGTGGATTTTTAATTTGAGTAGGGTTGATTGGGGTTGATTGGCCCTGAATTGGCCCTGAATTGGTCCCTGCCCTCTTCAACCCCGCTATTATTAGAAGTACTCGAAGTTTGGCGCAACTCAAACAAGAAATGTAAGTACGCTGAACACAACATATAGAAGCTCACAATAGATAAGTCGGAGCCTCTCGACCTTTCAATTAGTAATAATAATACAAAATACTTGCTATCATTTAATGATGATTGAATTTCAGTAACTCGGATGGCAGCTGTCAACCTATTTTCGTCTGAAATGGTAAAAGCCAATGCGGTAGAAAAGGCTCGTCTGGCAGCGGAGAAATTACGTGGTTTCAATTTTGAAATAATCGTCCGTGATACAGAAAGAGGTGTCTTGAAGAAAGGCTAGAAGATGCGTGCGCCCCAGAGTATGGGTATGTTGCACGAAATGAATTTCGACGTGGGATGTGATTTGTGGCGTGGTGGGTGTAGTGCATATGAATTAGTAGGCAGATCCTAAGGTCAATGTCTTGAGCGAACGGTCCTTAGCTTCTCAGGGCAATGTGGCAGCCATAGATCAAAGGTTAACATTACTTGACATCAATCTTTCGGAATATATCATCTTTATGATCTCCACTGTATGAAACCCGAATCCAATAAGTGCTCAGACATAAGCTTGCTTGAAGGAGATTCGATACCATGCTGTGCCTGTCTCAGGTAGTGTTGCAGAGATCTGATAAAGTCCATTAATCTCCAGGATTCCTATACACTAAACCCTCAGCCGAGCGTCTTCACACCCTTGCTCCCCCGTCTTTCCTCAAAAGCAAAGTATAGAGGTCCTTGGTATCGGTTTGTTTTGGGACAATGCTTATCCTATGGTCTATAAGCGCAGATACGGTAGAGCGGCTTCAGATGAAGGTGTCGTGATGTTCGAGTTGAGAGACTTTGATGGCCGCATCATCCGAAGCATTATACTCTGAAAGCTCTTATGTCAAAGATTCGCTAATGATGATTGATGATAGGAGGACTGTCACCTAGCGAACTTCAGCCTTCATCAAGTCAGATTTGAGGCCTCATGTCTTATTCTCCAAAAGCCTCATCTCTTTCAGCCTCGCTCTCTTTCTTCATTTGCAAAAATTATCGGCCGAGTGCTTTCATCGACTTTACGCCTGCATGCTCATGGTTTTCACCATGGCCATGTACAAACAGATGGGGTGGGGGGTCACCATAGGAAGGGACTTCATGAAACTATAGCCTCCATTTCATCGCCCTTGAAATAATTATGTGGCAAGTTGGCAAAGTTAGGCTATGATGGATTCATCTCGATAGGGTAGGAGTTCGAACCTTGGCTATGAAAAGCTCAGTCACTTACATCTATCCATAGAATGAAGTAATCTTGTCAAAAGCAATTGTCATTCAGATGTTTTCGATACAAAGTAAGGTGGAATTTGTAGCACAATTCAAATCTACGGATCCGTGTGCTTAATCTTCCGCAAACTTGTGCTTCACAATCATCGTACAGCCTGTGTTCAATATTGGTTCAAAGAAGCAACAACAAAATGATGATGGAAATGAAAAGCTGCCGCGCCGTTCATATGACTTTTGAATCTGCGAACGAGGCATTGACATGAAGATTTGGATGGGCAGAAGATTTGTGGCCAACACACACGACACCGACGAATGGAGGATGTGCACTTGGGTACCTCTCGCCAAGTCCGAACTATCATACTACCGTGTACTGAACGGAAAAAGCATAGAAATCACCTTCTGATGGAAAAAGGAGTTCCGATAGTTGGACAAGAGGTTCAGCACGACCCGAGACATTGGCTAATTCCCTTAAGTTGTGTTTTGTGGTTTTTGCGATCCATGGGACGGATTTAATGCACTCAGGGTTGGTCGTGCATATTGATGAATGAATGGATGTTAATGCATTCACAGGAAATACAGACACAGTAAGTAGTATGTGCTAATACTTATTTCTTCATGGAAATGGAAATCATGCAACCATCCTCACCAGATGCTAGACAACGAAAAAGCTAGAGATATCAGCTTACGTCGAATCCGGACAATTACCATTCCGGATATGGTGGAACTGAGCGGAAGACATTTATAATAAAAAAGTATGTACACGATGGATTTCGCCAAATCTGGTAATTCTCCGCGGTACAAATCTTCTTTCCATTTCTGTTGAGGCTCAATATGAGGGGAGTGCAAGTCGTGCAGGTCGTAGAGCCCTTTACTTCCACGACATGGCTTGTGCAACGATGATCCCTTCAGCAATAGAAGAGAAGGTTTGCGCAATTTGAAAGAGTTTGTATGTGTTGTGCTACAATGTAGTCTTCAGAACAATGCTAAAAAGTAGTGAAAGATATACAAAGAAAGGAATACATTATGTTCACAACATATGTTTACAATCTCAATAAAGTCGAGTCTTGTATCGTTTGAACTTCTCAATTCCTCTTGTTTAACGGGCTCAATAGGGAATGCATAGATGCATGTAAGACTACAGTGATATTAACGCTAAGGTCCATAACATCATTTAGCCATTCAATGAACTCGCTCGTGGCACAGCACTGATGTTTTTGGAATGATTAACCTTTTGTGCTTTTCATAATACTTTTCTTTTCTTTTCTTCCTATCATTTCCTTCAACACCAAACATATATGTACATCCCACTTTCCTTTCCTCTTCAGAAATAAATATAATATATTTCTCGAGACTTTTCCACAAACCTTATTCATCAATCATTAATTCTTCCTCATACTTTTACAAACTTGGTTGATATACCTAGCATTCATAGACAGAGGTATCCTTTTACAAGAAATATTACATCGACTTGATAATATTTTTGTTGCCTTGCGTTGCGAAGAACTAAACCAATCGACTCCAAGACCACCAAAAGCACCCAATATCAGTATGCAAGCACCTCAAAAGATCCGTTACACCTGTGTCGAAAGCTTTATTAATGGAATTAACAAATAGTTACAATGACTTCTCCAGAACCAAGAGCTGTGAAGCGACCAAGTAAGATCTCTTCTCTTTTCTTTTTCTTTCTTTTCTCTTGTTCTCGTTCTCTTCTCTCAAGCATTCTTGACTTGAAACTTTACATGAGTAATTTCCTTCTTGCACTATTCAGCGGGTCGCGCCGCTCTAGGGCGAGAAAAACTTTTCAACCAACTGTTGAATTTCACATTTATATACCCTTCTTAACTCGCACTCACATACATATTGATATCGTTCATCAATAACATCGCATAATTCAAAACATCCATTTCACACCTTTAGAAGCATTCAACATCTCTTCTACCATCCACTAACCTTTTACTCGCAATGTCAGGAACTCAATCTGAACCTCCTCCAAGCCTTCCCAAGGTTATTGCAGAACAGCATGTCCCAATTCCTTCTACCGATAAAGATTCGCAAAGATTGATTGTCGTTCTTTCAAATGCCAGTCTCGAAACCTACAAGCAATCTTCCGGCGGTGGAAGACCTGGAGCGCGTGCCGCAGAGGAAAAATATTCTCTCCTCAATAGTGATGAGCACATTGGTATTATGCGCAAGATGAACCGAGATATCAGTGATGCCCGACCTGATATCACACATCAGGTTCGTAAATAATCATTATATGACAAGTCATTCCAATACTCACCTATAGCAGTGTCTTCTCACCCTCCTCGACTCACCGATTAACAAAGCTGGAAGGCTCCAAATCTATATCCATACAGCCAAGGGAGTTCTCATTGAGGTCAGCCCAACGGTTCGAATTCCACGTACCTTTAAGCGTTTTGCTGGTCTTATGGTACAACTCCTACATCGACTTTCTATCCGATCAGTCAACTCTCAAGAAAAACTTCTCAGGGTCATTGCGAACCCGATCACCGATCACTTGCCTCCAAATTGCCGAAAAGTTACATTGAGTTTCGAATCAGAGTTGGTCCGTGTTCGGGATTATGTGGAGACATTGAAGCCGAAGGAGAGCATTTGTGTGTTCGTTGGTGCCATGGCAAAGGGAACAGACAACTTTGCAGATGATCTAGTGGATGAGAAGATCTCCATTAGTAACTACAGTCTTTCTGCAAGTGTGGCATGCAGCAAATTCTGCCACGCTGCAGAGGACGCATGGGATATTATTTAAACTACCACGTTGTCTGTTTATGCTACGAATTTTGCCGACGAACACATTCGATCGTATACGAACGGGTGAACGAAGCACAGAAACATCGTAGGGTTATAAATGGTATAAGATGGTGGGCATATGGGATTCGGTCGCTATGAAAAGGTGAAAGCGGAACTATCAAGCAGACTCAACGATAACAACATCGTTCGATATGCTTATGGTCGCCGGGCTTGGGTGTCTGTGTGCTCTGTCTCTGTTTTTACAACCAAAACATCAGGCGTTCAACATCAGATCCAAGACGCTTTAGTCGTCTTCGTGGACCACTTCAACTTGGTCCACATCTCTTTTGTCTTTTCTTGTACCTTTCAGCATCCACTCTACAGCTTAGTAGCTACTGCACGTTGGATGACGATAAGTATTTTCCCCTTCTCAGCGTATACTTTCGGCTTAGCATATTGCATCAAGCTTCCTTCCTGGAGTTAGCTACACTGCAAATCAGCTGAATTGGCATGGGAAATTAGTTCATGCTGCTAGGTGGCAGACACTACCGCGAGTCATTCGGCGACAGCGGATAGCTTGACGTATAAAAATACTATATTGGTCAATGAAAGGATAATTTTCCGAAATCCCATCAAATTGCCATGCTTGAAGTTAATCCACTTGTCGTATGCCCCATTCTTCTCGCTCTCTCACCTTGCAAATGGTCCAAGAATAGTTTGCGTGATCAAGAATGGGATAACGGGTAAACCGCCTTGAATTTTAATATACAACAGAACATTTTTCATGCAGGTTCTAGATGCAGGTCTAGACAATTGAGATGAAAATGGAAACCACAGATCTTGAATTGATCTCCTTATAGTTCATTGGAGTTTCCCCGTCGCCTCGAGTTGACATGTCGAAAATATTGAAATAACAAGTTTGAATCTTACGTTGGAATTGGGACACCTCGTTCAAACAAAATACGGGGATGAGGGATTCGAGTTTGGTTCAATTGTCCTATTTGCTAACCATTGCTGCTTCGCATAATCTCAAGACCAATCGCTTGATTTGAGGCGATCTTCTGACCCCGGTCTAGAGCGGTCGCATAATATTACAGGTGTTGGTACGAGATTCCCTTGGACGGGAGATCTCCGTTCGCAACCGGAGACGTGGCATGCGGAGAAGCAGCCTTTACATTTGGATGAAAGGTAGGAACAGTAGGAACCGGATCGTGCATCGGATTGATTTCTCTTCTTAACTAGGTATTCCGATATGCAGAATTAGAACCTTTAGAGGTGATGAGTGAAAGATAATGGTGATGACTTTAAAGTATGGAACCTAGTAGCAGCGACAGGCGCCACCAATTGGGCACGACGGGTGGACGAAAAGAAGTTATATCTCGAAGTACCACAGTACATGCAAATACATGATTTTTCAAAAATTGATATGAAATCAATTGATTTATATTTTGAGGTGTGGGTTGGGTCCAACATTCTAGAAGCATCTAAATTCACTGACAGTTCAGTACTCTATTCTATTTTGAATGATCTTTGACATCATTTTGTGGTGGTTTTCAATCATTTTCGGATTGGATGTGTTAGGTGTGAGGTTTTAGCCGTTCAAAGTACTCATAGAGTATGGTTGGGCTCCATTTCCTCACCAGGACACAAAAGTTGGCCACGATTATCCATAGATGTTTCAATGCATTGAATTCTGACCAAAGGATATTGAAGAAAATGAAATTGATTGAGGAGAGTGGGTGAAAAGTGCTGACTCTATCGAGTTCGCATAAGCCAAATGAAATTCTTGTTCGCTACGCTGGCCCCAGAAAGTTGTGGGGTTGTGCTTGGTGTATGCATGGGTTGATTTGTGTTGATGAATTGATTCGAGGAATGAAGATGAGGCGACAACTGTCAGACTAAGATGGTCTCCATTCACAGGCAGGATGCATACATACTATTACTAGGTCCTCCCGTATATCTACTCAGATTCACATATACACCAGCGCCAGTTATGTTATTCTCTGATGCATAAACCTATTCGATTGCTTCTACAGTTCTTCTTCTGCTTCCTTTTCAAAGTTTATTTATCAATTCAAAGTTCAAGTCCGTCACAGATAAAGTATAATAGACCTTTCAGCATGTTCTAAGATCTACTTGCGAACAACTTTTGTTTCTCTTTTTAAAAGTTTTCGAAAAAAAAAACATTGAGTAAACTCGGAACACAGTACGATCTTTTTTATCTCCTTGAATAAATCATACATACGCACATACATACATATATTTGAAACTCTTTGAAACTTCTTTAGAACATCCAATTCATAATTCAAGAAAGACTTGTTGGGACCCATTTTTTTCATCTCTTAATCAGGTCCTATCGCGGTAGATTTTCGTTGTACCTACAGACATATTACCTGTCTAGTGTACCTGCTTCTTTACCGCATTTTCCCAGCCTCCGCAAGGACCTCAACTCACTCCACGCCAACGCTTCCATTTTTACGAATCTTGCATCACCACGCACCCATTTACCACATTACAACATTTTACAACTATTTTTCCATCCAACATTTTATTTATTTACTTTTTGTCTCACTCTCTAACTTCCGGAGGGGTTTTGATATATTCCGGCGTGGAGCTTTTTCTGCATCATAAATTTTTAATACGACTTAATTCACAACGCTTTTTACCTTAATCCACTCGATCTTACGATAAAAATACAATTACCAAGTTTGATCCTTAGAATCATTCATTGCTTGAGTGTTTCATGTTTTGAGCTTTGTTGGATAAAATAAAAAGTTGTATGCACATGAGTTTACTCATCTGACCTCTGACCGCCTTTATATCCACAGCTACATAGTTAGCAGATCAAGCGGATCAAGTAGGGAACAAGCAAGAGTCACATTTTGTTTAGAACTTATCAAGATCGTTATTTCATCATTCATCGGATCTTTCTTCTTTTTCCTTGATATTTTTGAGAAATATCTGAAATACGTACATTATCTTCACCGTTTCCCGTTCATACGATTCAATATTCACGCCACGTCCATTCGATTCGAGTCATTCACCCTACCTTCAATTTAACATTTACAAACATATATACATTTCATTTCGACATTCGATAAGTACGAGAAAATACGTTTGATAAAATTTCATGTCCGCAAGAACAATTTCAACCACAGCATAAAGTACGAAATATAACATTAAAACATACAATCCACGCCCTAACCGAAAATGAATTCCCGCGGTCGAGAATCTTCCCGTCCTCCAACAATAGTCACAGCTGCCACGGAGAAAGAAGCTCGTCGTGTCCTTGAATGGCAAGAAGAAGTCGCTCGAAGTACAGCTGGTAGTTCGACTGCGCCTACTTCTGATGAAGCATATCGTGCTGTAGCTCCCAGTCACGTTTCCCGAGCACCACCTGCTAGAATCCAAATTTCACATGCACCTCAGACTCAAACTTTAGAGAGCCCACCTTTTCGAAGAGCGGAAACGTTTCCTAGAGGTATGAGGAGGGAAGTTTATGGTGAACATAGACATCCAGGTACCCAAGTTAGTGTGAGGAGGGATAGGAATCGAGATGATGAACAAACGGTTTACGTAGATGAAGTGGAACGACATGATCAGGAAAAAGAAAAAGAGAAAAATAATGGAATTTTTGGTATGTCAAATAAAGCTCTGGTCGGTACTTTTCTCGGCGCGGCTGCTGGCGCTGCTTTCGCATATGCAATGGTCAAGAGTGAAGATCCGGAATACGAACTCGATTCAGAACATAAGAACATGCCAGGTTTGCGCAGAAGTTACACAACCGGTCACGCAGAAACAATCGCGAGTAGTAGTCGAGGCGGAGAACGCAGATACCGAGTCATTGAAGCGCCCATGCCACCACCAGCCTCTAGCTATACGCGCATACAACGCGACCGCGAACGCGAAAGAGAAAGTGTACTGAGCCCTATCGAAGAACGCAGTTACTACAGTTCTATATCCCATACAAACACAGGCACGAAAATTCGCACAAGAACTTCGGTCGAGCAAGGAGAGGGTTCAAATGCTGGAACAGCTAGACCTCCTACTGCCATTAATGTTCGCGATAAACCACAAAGTATTGCACCAAGTCGAGTCAGCGAAAAAACAAGTACAGTGAAAGCAGCGAGTCGTGCCCCTACTATGATTTCTCGAGTCCCTCAAGCAAAAACTCAAGTCAGCATACGGGAATCAGAATATGAGTATGGATCTTCCCCAGCCCAGGTCTCTTCCGCAACCAATAGAAGAAGTGGAGGAACCGAAGAAACGAAGAAAATCTCTCACACGCATACTACAATTAAATTCTCTCCATCAAAAGTATCATCTCGACCTCTTCACTCTAATGAACGCGAACGTATTCCTCGCTCAGAAGCCACATGGGAACGCGACGACATATCCGTTTCAGCCATCAGCGAACGCCCTCGCGCGCGAGAGGTACCACTTCCCGCATCAACGGTGATAAGCGCGCGATATGGTGGTGGATATAGGGAACAAGGGGGCGGATATACGCATGTGGGAGATGTGGAGAGGGATCGCAAGAGTTGTATTGATAGGGGTGTGGATGAGGATGGGAAGAGCTACTTTAATCCTCGGGGTGCGATGAGTGTTGCGCCTTCGGATAGTGTTAGTAGTGTGGGGACTAAGAAGGAGAGGCTTGAGAGGTTGAGGGGGAGGTTGGAGAGGGATTTGAGGGTTTGATGGGGTTGATGGGCGGGGGATGAAGGTTGTTATGAAGGTTGTTTATGATCGATGATTTTGATGGTGATGTTAACGATGATGATGATGGTTCATATATGCAAGCAAGCATATGATACGATGACATCATCGAAATAACGATAAATGATGGATAAATGATGGTCAAAGAATGAAGAATGAAAGACGAAAGACGAAAGATGAAGAATGAAGAATGAAAGATGAAGGATTAAAAATGAAGAAATCCCGAAACGCGCCTGTTTCATTATATTACATTTTACCTTTCCGCATTTTCTCGTCTCCGTATTATTTTAGCATCATTTTATTTAGCATTGCCTTTATTTTTATTATTTTTTTGCATGGAAAAAAATTCTTTCAGTCAGTTCAGGTATGGTCAGGTCAGGTCGGGCTAGCTTAGGTCTTGTTCTGAGCTGAGTGATGTTTTTATACGTTGGTTTTTTGATGGATTGATTGGAAGTTGGTGAGCGGGGTTTAATGGATCGATCGGGTTATATTTATGTTTTGTTTTGTTACTTTGGATTTATTTTTATATATGTATAGATATATAAAATGAAATAAATGAAAAGAAGATAAATATAAATCTTTTTTGAGATTGATTTTTATTAAAGAATTATTATTCTAATTAATTAATAATAATATTTTAAAAAGAATAATTTTATAAATTATATTTATTATTATTTTTTTAAAATATTTATTTAAAACAGTTATTCGAAATATTATAATATATTAAAATTATTGTAAAAGTAATCAAATAAAAAACTTTGATTAATCGAATTTTAAAAGAATTAAAATAAAAAATACTTTTATTTTAATCAAGATAAATAAAAATAATCTATCAAGATTTAGAACAATTTAAATAAATTATATAACTTTCACTAGTAAATTAAAAAAATTATTATATAAAATTATTATTATATAAATTTATTATTATTATTTTATTATATAAAATTCATTATTATTATTTTATTAAATTAAAAATAAATTTTTTCTTTATATATATAAATTTATTATTAATTTGATTCGATTATAAAATAATTTTATAATATAATTTATATTAAAACAAATCTTAATAATAATAAACATTATAGTTTTTTAAATAAAGTTTTTTATAAATTTAAATTTTTAATTTCTTAAAGAATAAAAAACTTTTAAAAACAATTTTTATTATTTTTAAAAATTAATTTTTTATTATTATAATCTTCATTATTTGAATTTTTATAATATACATTTAATATTTCAAAATATTGTTTTATAAATATTCAATCTTTATAATTTTATAAATTAATTTAATAAATCTATTCTCATCTATATTCACCCAAAATTAAAAAACTACCCTCCACCCCACTTCCCCACATCTCACGAACTAAAGCTCAGTCTAAAATATCTTAACACTTAGACTGAATTTAAACCACTATTTCCCCAACAACACAATCAAAACAAAGCTCCTGTAACTCAGTGGTAGAGTGGGCGATTGCAGTAACACTCTAATAGGAGTCGTTATCGGTCAAGCTATCGCCAAGTCGCTTGTTCGAACCAGGCCGGGAGCTTCAGTGATTAACTTTTTGAAGAGGGAATTCATTTTTGGGGAATTTTTGGGGGGTGGATATTGTGAAATCATTTTGCCCGAGTCGAACAAAATTCTGTTTTTTTTTTGAATTCATATGTTTTGATTTGGGTTGTGAAGACATGGCTGGATGGAATTGGGTTCTTTTTGGAAGGGATCGTGGGAATAGAGGGAGTCGCATGCTGAGGCCGGACAATGAGGTCCTTAGCTGGAATTTTCATTCATCAGGATTGTCTGAGATAATTCCTAGATAAGCGTTAATACTCTATACCTAAATCTTCTTTAGGCGATGGTTTATCATTATTTGGGGCCGGTACCTAGTCAATGTTTTCCTCTTGATAAATGATTTTTCTGGTAGCCACATGCACTATTAAGGGGTACAAATCTCGTCTATCAACGTTGAGCAAGTATTACCGCACCATCCGTCTACCTGCCTGCCGAAATTCTCGAGATCTGATTCTTGTAGTAAATTTCATCGAAGGGCAACTTTGATTTGGCTTTTATAACTTCTGGCTAAATTAAATATCCATGACACTACCCTGAAGAAAATCAGAGGAGTGCACCAAGCAATAATAAGTCTGGCGTCAACTTACCCGACTACAAGAAAAAGACAAAAAACACCTTGAAGCATGATTTGGATGAGACCGAAGAGTATTAAGATACCAGAGAAAGGACGAGACTGTAAGGGCCAAGGAACTCTACTACCCAGCCACAAAAACGATTATGTCGAAGGCCGGAGAAGTGGATAGCATCAAAGAGGCATAGAGAAGATTTAATATAGGGAGAACGAAGGAAGCCCATATTAATGGAAGTTGTGACGCTTACGTGCTGGAAGAAATTAGTCGGTGACTGCGGGATAGAAACATCTTGAGTCACGACTTGATCAATGGAGAGATGACTCCAGATAAGAAAATCTGCCTGTACTTTGTAGGATGGCAGGAGTAGACAATAAAATACAAAAAGCCTTCAAAGGAGGTCTGAAAATGGCTGAAAAAATCTGCAACTATGAGACGACTTAGGAGAAAGTCTTTTCACTGCCCCACTGAATATCATGATGATGAATTTTTGGATCAAAATCGCCGAACTCTATTCCATCCTAACTAATAGCTGTGATGGGGCTCAACAGTGAGACCCTCAGCAAGAAAATTCTATACTTCGCAAAAATGTTCAGAGATCCATTCCAGGAAGCAATATCAAATCTACTAAATCTCCAGAAGAAGATTCGAAACTTCTCATGGCCTGATCTATGGGGTGTCCAGTGAACTGTCTTTATACTTACTTTTCATGAGGAGATGGAGTTGGGTGCATTAGTAAGGTTTACTCTCGTCGTCCGAGTCAAAGAGTGTATAATTTTATTGGACTTTCTGCGTTGGTAGATAGGCTCTGCGTGATGGATTTGATGGATCTCATAACAGATTGTATCGTAAGACCTCTGGAGCATGCGCCTGCCCTGAAAGTTTTAGTTTACAAAAGCTATGCCTGCCATATCTTCACCAGCTGCCCATTTTGCTCTTCCTGAGTGCTGACCTGTTATATGTCGCACTACAGAAACGAATAATGATTCAAAAATCGATGTCCTTAACCTCAGAGGATGGCAGGAAGAGTATATACTGACGTCTGGAAGCACCAAGTGATTTTTCCCATTCCAATTTCGTGACCGTACTAATGGAGAAATCTGCGAGTAAAGATGTTTAAAGAACGGCCGGAAGGTCTGAGATATCCTCAAGAAGTTCACTCGTTGCCAAATGGAGCTGAGGATTTGGCGCACTGATAGGTTCCAAGAACATGGTAGATTGTAGAAATTGGTAGCATATTTTGAAGCGCCTTTGATTTACTCTGCTCCGAGTGCATTGAGAAGAGTTGCTTCGGTTTTGGTTGAGAACTTTGCGGGTTTGTGAAATCCTGTCTGCAGAAAAGGTTTGATGGTAGTCTCTTTTCAAGGATAATATGCTTCGTTCAACAATTGATTGTGGTCGGCATGTCACTTAGCCAAATAGCCAAATATTCAATCCGATGACTGTATCGTACGAAGGCATAGGTACTCTGGTCATGACAGTATTAGATCGAGTGCCTTTGAAAATATATTACCAAATGCTAGGATTCTTTGCACATAGATACAGCCGGAAAGAGCTGAATACCTGGTAGTAAAAAATCATCGCCGACTAGAAACGCCATGTGTTTCTCCATTGACAGGGACTTGAATGTGATTCATGAATGTCAGTAAACTATCGTGGAAATCTATGTTTGACTTCGTGGAAGAAGCTTGGCGATAATATCTCGTTAGACCTTGATCCGGTCCCACGAAGAGGAATTTTGAGTAGCACAAATATGGGCTCGGAGTGTCATCGCGGTGGTACGTCGCCGCGGAAGCAATGGTACTTTTCGTCAGGTCAGGCTAATGTGGGAGCAGAAAGAAGCAAGTAATTGAAGCCGGAATGTCAAAGCGAGCCATCCGGGTTTTGAGGAATTTACCGAATGCAGTGCATCTTGGATTTCAAGTATGGCACTGATGTACTCGGTCTTCCAGAACATTGACTGGTTGTTCGTGCACATAAAGTATTACAGTCTTCATCGAATGTTGTGTACTTGAGTACAAGTTTGGAATATATAGGAATCAGGATGTGATTGTAAGGGTCCCGTGAAGTTTCACCTCGGTTCAACCGGACGGCCGCCACTATCATCAGATTGCACGACTTCCAAATTCCTCCACAAACAACATCACGACAATGATCCTAAAACATGATGGTTTCGACGACGTCGCACTGCCGAAATCTTATATTATGACTGTGAATCTTGGCTTACTGAGCTTCCTATACGACTTCAGAACAACTTCCTCAGGTCGTGAATTCAAAAGACATGTAAGGTTACCAATATTGAGGAACCATCCGCGGGATGTGCTTGCGCGCAGAGGCTTCATGGCTTTTCATTGTGTCAATTGCCGCATTTGCGTTATTTCAATGGCATGTAAGTTCAGGAGGTAACCAGTGGATTGTTTATATATCTGGCCGAGTTTCCACACCAGCAGTATTTGGTGAAGAGCGTCTTTCTAACCCTTCAGCTTAATTTACTTACCCCTCGGTTAAACAAGATGGCAGATAATAAACCAACCCTCCATCATATGGATGTAAGTCCGCTTCTTTCCTCTGGTGTCTAGCCTCTAACCTGAAACTAGAACTCCCAATCTCAACGCATCCTCTGGCTTCTCGAAGAATTGGGTGTTGAATACAATGTAGTTCACCATTTCCGCAAAGCTGCCGATGATCCAGTTGCTCCTTTCCGATCTCCTGAATCCATCAAAGCCCTCGGTCCACATGGCAAAGCCCCAATTCTCACAACTGGCGCCGCAGATGGCAATCGATATATTCCCGAGAGCGATGCTATCTGTACATACCTTCTTCGAAAGTTCGATACTGAGGATAAATTCGGCTTGCATAGTGGTGATTGGATCAGAGACGAAATTCTCAATTCATTCAACCTTACGACATTCGTACGATCGGTTTATTTTATCCTTTTCATTGATTTTGACCTCATAAGAAACGGAGTTGTGGATTATTTTGATGGACCTGAGATAAGAGAAATTCTCACCATTTTGGATGGAGAATTGAAGAATGCACCAGAAGGTGGCTACTTCATGGGGAAAAATCCAGGTAGAGCCGATATTATGATGGAGTTTCCTATGAGTTTCGTAAAACATAGGAATTGGATTGATCTTGAGAAGGAATTCCCTAAATTAGATGAGTGGTTGAAGAGGGTTTATGATAGACCTGCTTGGAAGAGAGGTTTGGAAAAGGGTAATGGTTTTTATGATCTCAATGTCTTTCCAAAAAGAGCTGTGATATCATGATTGGTTCATTTACTTTTGTATTTCAGTCATCCTGGTACGACTCACTTGCCTGGGATTATCAGAGGCAGGATAATGTTTCAAAACTATTTCTCTAGCCATGTGAGGCTTTCTTTGCTTTACAATGTGCAATGAATCTGCGTTTAAAATCATCGCTCTAGCTTTAATACCCCTTAGCTAATACGTACAGCTTTGCAGTGCGTTTACCTTATCGTATCCCAAATTCAAATTGTGCCCCAAGTCCCAGCCATGTGGCTGGGTTATTCTGATTTATCTGGGGAAGAATCTCACTCATTCCGTCAGTTGCGAGTGCAAAGGAAATGATTCCCGCCAAAAATCTTGAATGGTGTTCATCTATATGGAGTCATTCGAACTTTTTTTTTTCAAATACCATCAACCATTCCTGCATTGAATAGTCTGGCGCCCCATTCAGTTACAGCACCTCTTTTTCTGTTCAACATGGACATTATCAACATACATACAGCTGTTCGAACATTTGTGCTGACGTTTTGCCTCCAGACGTTATGGCTAAACAAATCAGTCAAATCCTTCACATCCTCTACAATACATTTACTATTGAGGATCCGGGATATGAGCCCGATTGATCAATAATTAAGATGGGGAAAATGATGTTGTTGTCAGACTATGGGAAACAAGGGGCTACCTATCTAGGTTAAGAAACAGTCGATCTTGTGATTTCACGGAAAAGTCGGTTAGGATATCTTGATAGCTCAGGATTACTGTTCAAAATAGATGTGTCCGTTGATGGGAAGCCAAGGAACAGCGAACTATCTGGATTAATGAAGCATTATTGCGTCATAAATCCGTGATGTTTATGTACTGTCATGGAGAGTAGGAGGAAGCCAGCAGCAACCCCACAAAACTATAGTGATTATAAAAATTTAAGGATCGGCCCATCCAATAACCCATTTTGAAACTGGATATCCATTTTTATTAAGGCTTAACTTTATGGCATTTGACATAATAGTGCCGATACTCCCGTACAGATTCACGTCTTGCCATGCGGACTTCTTCCCGTCGGATGAAATCAGACCTTGATCAAACCCTTTCCATACTTTCATTGATCGGCGAGGTTATTGTGATTAAAGATTTTGTTTAATTAGTACTATTTAGATTAAAAAATCTTAATCATTGCTATCCAGAATATCGGGTACAATCGGTGTGATATTTGTCCGACAGAAGTTAAATCCAACAACAGGACTTGGAATCTTTTGAGATTATACAAGTGCGGAATCATCTACAACAACATCCAGAATTCCTCTCCTTTCGCATCGATACGTAAATCTTTCTTTCTTTCTTTCGGAATTCACGAAGAGAATTAAACATGTCCGGGTCCCGCTTAAGCAAACATCTTGTCGCGATTTTCATTCTCGCATTTACACTACTCATCATCTCAATCTTTGCCATCGTTTTCATTTCTATGGACATCATTCATATTCCATACATTTCCCGCGGCTTAGCTTCATTCTTCTCATGGATAAATGTTATTCTTGCACCAATATACCCGTTCTGGGCTCCTCTAACCCTTGCTTTCTCCATCAAACTATGTCGACACGAGACATTTCCCAAACAAGGACAATGGATCACTTCATCCATTCTGATGTTTTCACAGCATCTTGCACAAGTATTTGTGAATACTATGAAGGTTTTTGGATTTTTCGATGGCGTTTGCAATTTTAGGAATTGCTGGCATGAATATATTCAGACTGGGTCGGTTGCTGTTGTGATTATTGGTGAGGTTTTGGGACTTTCTTGGGATGCAAATATTCTTCAGAATTGGGTTGAGAAGTTGGTATTAGTCTGTGAGAAGGAGGAAGAAAAAGAGGCGGCTAAAAATACTGAGGATGGGATGGAAAAGGGTGTTGTTGATCATTCTACAAATGAGATTGAATATTTGGAAGATATCAAGTCAGGTTTAGATGAGGAACAGGTGGTCATTGAGGCAGTTGATATTGACGAGAGCAAGCCCGTGAAAGTGTCGGAGGGCGAGACGGTCAAGCAGGGGGATCAATAGTTCAGACCGAATTTTATTTCTCGAATCTTCGATGTTGGGAAATATTCGAATGTTTGAATGTTTGAAAACGGTCCAATCATCGGTGGATACATTGTTCCTCTGGATTTTAATATCCAGATCGCTTCGGCATACGAAAAAGCTTTCTGTATCAAACATCCATCACTCTTGGCTTACAATCCGAGCTATCAGAAGTGGCTGAAGTGGATGGTGACCGATAGAAATTTTCATATAACGATAGCTCAAGGAGAAAACACTTACACTGGAGTCTCTCCTTAGTTTGTTTTTACTTGCGAAATGTAACATCTGATATGGGCGCAATTCAATATATTGCTAGTCCCCGTTTGTGTAGTCCCCAAATTATTCTCTTCCACTCAGATTCTCTAGGGCTCGAATCACACAAGGACTAATGGTGAACCACAACTTTCTCTGTCCACAATGTTAGGCGTTTCATTATGTGCTCGCTGTCAGAAAGAGGCATTTGACACCCACAAGATCTCCTTGACTCAACTAAAGTCTTTGGACGAACTTTTCTTGTGTCGCCAACTTTAACATTCGCAACTTTAAATCCAATCCAAGGCCATCACACATCGCAAATTTCATCTGATTGGAAAAAATGGCAACGGAAAATTGGCACAAAATGACATTGCATAACAAGTTAAGATTGTTGTGGTGTTCTTCAACATAGGAATGGAATGGCTAAAGTGATAAATAACTGGGATTACATACTTCCCAACACACCATCACCGCCCATTAATCTAATCGCTATTTTAAGGATCTCACATTAGACGAAGGCGTACTTGTGGTGGGAATTTAATCATGGGTTGTTTCGGCGAGCCATTGGCTGCGCATAAAGGACTAGAAATCCGAGAACGATTCTTGTGTGATTTGGAGTGGAGGGACCTTTCGAACTAGCTGACCTACCGGGTCTCATCGTCATCGATAATTATTGGCCGCCTCTTGGAATTGATATGGTCTATTTCATGGAGGTCGAGGACTTTGGTTATACCTTGGTTTTACCTGCACATGCGCGCAATGATATTACTAAAGCTTTTATGCCTGCCTACGATGGTTTTAAAATGCCGACAGAGTGGTTGGTTACGCTCGAGGCATTGAGAGATACTTGGGATGATTTTGACCTTCCTGAAAGAAAGAAACTGGAGCAGTTGCTGTGCAATTTACGCAAGAATCAATACCAATACCAGGACCAACCGAAATGATCAATAGTTTTCCAGATGACGACGCGGATGCAGGTGCGGGTAGAAATACAGGCATCGAGCCTCTTCGACAGGGCCACCATACCGACAGCAGAATTGGACCCAACACTCATTCTCGAGCCTGTCTATTCTCATTCTCAAGCATCATTGTCAATCCTCCACATAGCCCAAGCAAAAGTATCACCGAACGAAAAGCTTTTTGCCCTTGGTTTTTCTTTCTCGATAATTTTATACTCACCGTTTCTCTTGTCTGTGTACTTTACAAGATTGTATTATATTCAAAGAATTCATCCATGGAGGCGGTCCCAAAAAAAGCGATCCATTTTATCCGAGGCTTCAGATTGGGAATAGGAAAGCCCGTTTTATATTTGATGATATGGTGAAGAAATTAGTGATACTGATATTGCCGTATGCTCGGAAGCGAAGACAGGTGAGAGAGGAACTATTAGATATGGTAGAGAATGGATATATACGGAAAGTATTGTATGCATCGACAGCTATAGGTATGATTGATTTGATACGGAGGATTATTGTTAGAGTTTGATTTTTGTGAGATATGAACAGTGGCGGTATGAATTATGGATAGAAATCTTTGCATAGGTAAAATATGATGCACAGCTGGGGTGACTGGAATTGGGTATTGATATACTCTGTTCGTACTTTGTCACAGTCACCAGCTCAAAATCTTCCCACTTGCACACGTGATCATATCCCATATTGCGTGGAGTGTTTATAATAACATTAATAACATTAATAACATAAACTGGCGGGTTAATATAAGTATTCCTAACACTTCAATACTTCTTCAAAAAGGATTCGATATTTAAGATAATTTCAATGTTCAAAAGTCTCCATCCAATCACGATCATCCCACCTCCTTGCCTCAAAACCCGCCTTTCCTTCAACCCCGAACCCTGCGAAATCTGGATCAAAACGATTCCCATCACGCGGGTGAAGAGATTTCTGTGTATAGATATAGAGCCTTGATGTTTTATGGAGGAGCTCCTTATTTACTCTCTTCGAGGTTTGTGTGATCTGTTAACTATATATGAATTGCATGCCTCATAAGTTAGGGTTATATCGATCGAACAGCAGACACCCTTACAACACCATTCTCGCCTTATTTTGATTCTGAAATAATCTCGATGAACATCAACGTTCAGTACCAGGTCCTGCCACAAAACCCCACGAAGATCAGCCTGTGCATCCATCAAAAATGTATCCAAATGAAGCCGAATGAGCCCAAATGAATCCAAATGAATCGAAACAACTAAGAATCGCCAATGGATCGTCTGATCCGTCTCCACATGTGATAAACGTGCTTGACGTTCGACCCTGATCCCCCAAAGGCGGGCTGTGCCCCGTATATTGGATCCTTTTTTATGCGGGTGAAATACAGTTTTGATAAGATGTTCATGAATTGGACATCAATCAAGCATGAATTGCTGGGCATCTTGTACCATGGGCTCTTTACATATAAATATCAGTGGGTATTACACCAAATCTGCAATGTTACATGGACATGTAAGGTTTCCTTTTTATCTTTTGAACAACGCATTGATCTTCATTTTTTTCTCATCCTAAAGACGATCTGTCTCTTCATCATTCAATTTCCTTTAAACATATTCTTGAATCCGAATACTCTGTCTTTTTCTGTCGATTACTTTAGTCAATTACTCTTTGCAGGCCACGCAAGTTTTGTTGTATCGTTCCGAGGTCACTTCTAGGACTCATTAAGACACCCATATACCTATTTAACCTCAAAATATCTTATATCCCATCAAACTTACAAACCAAGATGGGATCCATCGCCAAAAGAACAATCGGCTCTACTCACCAGTGGTGGAAGGAAGCCATCGTATATCAAATTTATCCAGCCTCTTATCTTGACACCACCGGATCAGGAGATGGAGATCTTAACGGGATCGCCTCAAAATTACCATACATCAAATCTCTCGGTGTAGATGTCGTATGGCTCTCTCCTATCTACAAATCACCTATGAACGACATGGGCTATGATATTTCGGATTATCGAGCTATCAATCCAATGTTCGGTACAATGGAAGACTGGGAACGTAAGTTTTTCTTTGATTTCCACAACTTCGATAGTAAGTACTAATAATCTTAGGTCTCTGCGAAAAAGCCCACGAATTAGATCTCAAACTAGTCATGGACCTTGTCGTGAACCACACAAGTTCTGAACATGCCTGGTTCAAGGAATCCGTCGCTGGTGGTCCGAACGGTCCAAAACGAGATTTTTACTACTGGGAACCACCGAAAAATGGTAAAGAGCCCAATAATTGGGGAGCCATGTTCGGTGGTTCATCGTGGGAAAAAGATCCATCGCATCAAACGGATGAATATTATCTGCACGTCTACGATGTCAGTCAACCTGATTTAAATTGGACTAATCCTGCCGTACGTAATGAAGTCTGGGATATCATGAGATTTTGGCTTGATAAGGGATGTGATGGATTCCGTATGGATGTTATCAATTGCATCTCAAAGGAACCCGGATTTCCCGATTTCGAAGTGACGGATCCGCGTAATGAATTTCAAGTTGGGTTTCATAGCAATTTCAATGGACCGCATGTAAAGGAATATCTGGAAGAAATGCATCGCGAAGTACTTTGTCATTATCCAGAAGCCTTTACCGTTGGAGAAACCCCAGGAATCAAAACGGCCAAGAGTGCATTGGGATTAGTACAAGGCGGGAAACCCCTTCAAATGGTTTTTCACTTCGAACACGTGTACTTTGACATCCAACCTGGAAAAAAACCTTTCTTTCCACGTCCCTCCTGGGATCTTACAGATCTGAAAAAAATCCTCGGAGATTGGATGACATTCAATGCAGCAAATGATGGCTGGGACTCCCTGTATCTCGAAAATCACGATCAGCCCCGCATTCTAGGCCGTTGGGCAAAAGATACTCCAGAATGGAGAGTTCAGGCTGCTAAAATGCTGGCGCTTTTTCATGCTACTGGAAGAGGAACATTATTCGTATACCAAGGACAGGAAATTGGAACGGCTAATAGTCGATGGTGGAAAAATGAAGAATTTAGGGATTTGGAAGAGATTAATTTCTTTGCAGCCGAGAAGAAACGTAGAGAGAAGGAATCAAATAGGAAAGAAGTAGACATGTCTGATATCTCTCGTGGAATCCAAGGATATGGAAGAGATAATTCTAGAATGGGTATGCAATGGGATGATTCCCCCAATGGTGGTTTCACAACTGGACAACCATGGATCAAAACAAATGAAGAGTATAAAGAGATTAATGTCAAGGCTCAAGAGGGTATTAAGGGAAGTACACTAGAGTTCTGGAAACAGATGATTCAAATTAGGAAAAATAATCCGGTGTTGTGTAAAGGCGGGTTTGAAATGTTGGATCAGGAGAATGAGGAGGTTTATGCCTATTTGAGGATTGGGGAGGGGAAGAAATATTTGGTTGTTTGTAATTTTAAGGAGTGGGATGTCACATGGAAAGTTCCGGTTGTGAAGGGAGGATTTTTGTTTGGGAGTTATGAGGATGAGGGGGTGAGTGATGGTGGAGAGGAGGAGGAAATGAAGTTGAGACCGTTTGAGGGGAGGATTTATGTTAGGGATGTTTGATGGGGAGATATTAGATGATTATTGAGTCTCTGTAGGAGTTTAATTAATGGTTTTTTTTTGTTGTATGCTCTCCCCTTTTATCACGTCTAGCGTCGATTCATATTTTCTCATGTAAGATCTTACTTTCATGGAATCCTAAAAACTTGCAAAGCCGCTGCCAGATTCGCATCATCGACCCCCACTGGATATAATGTTTTCCCTATACAATTGAAACTATCAATACTGATAGATAGATAGCATATTCTAGTCACCGCAAAGCGAATAAGATAGGAAAACATTACTTTCTATATCAATTCCGCACATCAAGCTACTCTTTCACAAATAATCCCCAACACTAAAAATACACAGTCAAAGAGCACGACAACCATCATAATATTGTAGGACCCTGTAAATAATTAATACTTTGAAGAGAAAAAATGACGTGAAAAAGTGTGATTATTCAAGTTATTCCTACAGATTTAAGTAGAGGATCTGATGTCCAGGGGGAGTGTCATGGGAAGTGCTCAACGGGGAGGTTAGTTGGGAATAAGTTGTTTTAGTTGGTAGTTAGTGGAAGAGAATATTTTCTGAGCTGTGATAATTGTAAGCTTAAGACTATATATTTCTACTTCCTAATGCATTGTAAAGCGGCTGGCTGGGTTTTTCTGGTGTATACTGAAGGGAATGAAATGCTGAGTACCTAAGTAGGTATTTTGGATTTTTCTCAAGACCTACGCGGATTTCTTGTCTGTACAGTAAGAAATGTTAAGGAGGTTGATGAGTGAGTATCTGATCAGTAGGCATGAATGATACTTAAGTATGATTCGTACATGCCATCTAATCTCAGCACTTAGGGAAAAAGATTAATTCACTTAATGCTGATATGTCGTGTTCATACGCTACTTCGCTCAAAGCTTGGGAATTCAATACATCTCCAACGAAAGGAATTAATGAATAAAGTACCACCGGTACAGCGCTCTGCTTGCGGTTCTACGGGATTCACCTCCGCTTCGCGAATTGGTATTACTATACCTATACCTGTGCTTCCGAGATTTATTCCATGATTTCTTCCTCTCAATATTTTCAATTTTGTTGATTGCATTCTACGGCTACTTTCCTCAGAGTTGGGGTGACAAATAAATCCGGAGGCCTAGGATTTACTCATAAATAGATAGACGACTGTGAGTGTGTTCATCCACTTGGCTCCCAAGTCTTCGGCAGTTCCTGAGATATTGTTGGCCAACTACCGACTAATCAAACTTTAGAATACTTTCTTTTCGCGTTCATTAGAGACTTCTAAGCTCGGAGTCATATTTAAACGAGGTGTGTGTTAGAAAAGGAGGAGACACGTCACTATTATACACTCATTCCTTCCCGACCATCAAAGTGTGCTATTTCAAAGTCACGCTACATCAACTAACTCACCACACAAGCAACTCACGTCATAATAGCCTTGACACTTCCTCAAAATGGCACCTCCAATCCCTGGCCAAAATTATCCTTTCTGGAACAGTCCAATCCTCAACCAAGAATATCCACGTTGGAACAACCTATTCGACACAATAAACCTCAACGACCAAGAATCTCTCCAAAGAATCCTCCAAGCAGCCAACACCGCAGAGAAATTCCACCCATTCAACCTCAAACTCCCTGCAAACACCACCTTAAACAATGCAGAAATAATCGCACTCCGCGACCTTTCCTATGCTTTTAACCGAAATTTTCTCTGTAGAGATATAGTACGCCATCTTATATCATTGTCTAGATATGACGATGGAGAATTTACTCTGGGGAGAGAAATGAAATTCTATATTGAGATTCTGAAAAATTGTAAGTTGAGTCCTGTGCGGAAGCCATTGGTTTATCTTCGGGTTCGGAGAGAATTTTGTTTTTGTGCGTCGGATTTGGGATTTTTTGATGAGGATGAAGCGAAGAGGGAATTGGATAGATGGGAGAGTTGGGGGTTTGATGGAGGGTGGGAGGATATGGATGTTGAGGGGGTACATGTTACTTGTGACCGAAATTATAGGTTGGGGAATGGTAGAAATGGGGATGGGAGTGAAGTTGCGCGAGCAAAAGATGAGGAAGGAGCTGAGATTTTCGAGGTAACCCATAATTCATCCTACCCGTAAATAAGTATCATCATACTGACTAATTCTCCTCTCAAAGGCAGCCAAAATCCTCATGTCTATGAGGGCGCAGAGAAATTGAGGGTGGCGGGTCTTGATTCCCATTGCAAAACCACCGATATTCTTTCCAATAAGACAAATGGGGAAGAGCCGTAATGTTCTGCAAATCAATGAAGGAATGACCTCACCTTGAAACGGTCACGGTATTCATCCTTTAGCTTCGGTGTTCTGTGGTTTGCTGTCTCCTGCTCCATTGCAACATGATATATTTATTTTCATAAGAAATCCATGAGAATTTCCCTCGCAGTCACTTTATTCTCGTGGTAAGAAGGATGTTTAAGAAAGGTGTTGCGCATTGTCACGTAGTTTAGGGTATGATTTAACAGTCCGCTCTATGATTCAATTAACGATACAAAGATCTGAATTAATGAATGTATGTTATTTTATCTTATTTAAAGTATTCAAATAAAAATAATAATAAAAATAAAAATTTATATATTTATTATAAATCTTATACTCTACTTTCGGATTATTTTTATTTTGCATTCTTTTTAATATATTGAAATTATTAAAAATAAAATTTTATTATTTTTCATTTATGTATATTTTATAAAATATAAAATGTAACAAAATACTTTAAATTTTTAAATCATTTATATTTATATTTATAATTTTATATTATTTTATTTTATTAATTTTATTAATATCTTTTAAATTAAAATCTTATTATTCAATTATTAATATATATAATAAGATTTAATATTTTAATTTTAAATAATAGATTTTATAATTTAGTCTTATAAATTTATTATTTTATTATTTCTTTTCTTTTTCATCTTCTGATCTCAGTATTCTCATTCTAGTCTCAATCTCATTCCATTCCATACCTATTATTTATCCACATTCTTTTCTTCATTCCATTTCCACCATCCCCATCCTCCCCCACTCTCTTCCACCCTCCACCCCTCCACTTCCACCCCTCCCACCCTCCTTCCTCCAATCAATCTTCTCCTAACCCTCCTTCCACTCCTCCACACCCCTCAAAACCCTCCTCCTTGTATCCCTCCCTCCTTCCCAACCAATTCCTCACCCCACTCCTCACCAACCTCCCCTCAAAACGGTATTCCACCAACCCTCCCTCCCTCTCCACCCTACTAACCTCCAACAACCAACTTCTCAAAAACTCCTTCCTCCTATAAAGTTCTGGGCTTTCCCTCACAAAAGGTCTATAATGATCCAAATATCTAATTCCCTCCGCATAAATAGTTCTAGTGCTATCTTCTAGGAGGAAAATTTGTTTATAGCGTTGTATTGTGTGGGCTTTGATGCGAAAGTGTCGACGGAGAAGAGCCTCGCGTTTGCGGCGGGAGATGGGTTTGTGTTTGTGGGTGAGGGATTTGTTGGGTTGGTGGCGTCTGTGTTTGGTGAAAATATGGGAGGGGTTTACGGTTTGGATGAGGGATGCTAGGGCTGAGAAGGAAGGTATGTTTTAGTATGACTTCTTAGAGGAGGTAATCAGGGTAGAGGGGATAAATACTGCCAGTTCTATCTTTTCTAATGGTTCCTTCATAGGATTTACCAGGTTTCTCCTTAATATCCTTCTTAGAGAGTATAGAAACGGGTATCTTGGGTGATTTACCCAGATTTAATGCATGAGACTTATTCTTCCCCACGAAAGCTGCACTAATATTCGCACCCGCATTCATGAAGAACGAGCCAAATTTCGTAGAACCCGGACTTTGTGGAGGTAAATTCGGTGTATCTTCCGCAAACGACGTTGTTTTGGAAAGTTTTGATGTTGTCTTTCGCAATTGATTAGAATCATTAGAGGTAATGGTATCGATACTTGATTCAAGAGATGCTCGGTGTTTCGATGTAGGTTGAGATTGAGCTTTTGCGTGCTCTAGATTGGCACGATGTTCTTGCTCTAATGCAATATCGAGATCAGTCTCCCAACCTTCAAGCCTTGCTGATTTCTTCAATGGTGGAGGAATGAATCCGTATAGTTTGTTTTCTGGTGATATGGGACTTTCATCTGAAGGGACGGGGAATTTATTGGCTGTATTTATTCGTACCGTCGGCTTTAGCTTCGGGGCATAGTCGTTTATGATTGGTGTTTTGGTAGACGGAGCGTGAGACTTGACTGGGTTCTGTGTTGAGACTTGAGTCGGTACTCTGCTGGGTGGAGCGGGAAACCTATATGGCTCTCTGCAAGCAAAAGCAGTGTGAGGACAATATGCTGTACAGCCTTGTTGTGAGCCATCGAATATGCCATCCATATCTCCAAATACAGATATTTGAGTCGGCTGTATAGCTTTACCCTTATCCTTCCCACTGTCGCTGCGAGGGAAGAGACCTAAACTCTTTTGTTTCTTCAATATTGGTTGTTTTGGAAGATCCACTAGGTCATTTACTGAACCACCTCCTTTATGAGGAAAAAAGCCCAAACTTTTTTGTTTCTTCAATGCTTGTTTAGCTGGCAGTGGTGGTGGGAAGCTCATGAAAGAATTTGACGTAGAAACGGGAGAAATGTGAGATAATGTAGTACTTGACTGTGCATCTGGAATAGAGATACCCAGTGCATTATCACAGCCATTGAATGTGGCAAATTTAGAGCCCACAGATGATTTTATTGAAGTCTTTGAGCCTTCTGATGATGTCCTGGCAGTTTCCAAACCTGCAATATCATGACTTGTTTCTGTATCCTCAAATCTCACAGACTTCAAACTTTCAATTGATTTCCTGCGAAAGATGGTGGCCATACTACTCTTTTTCTTTAACCTTGGCTGAATTCCATTAGGAGGTTCGTATGGATTGTCCAAGAATGAAAGGTCGACATTTGGAGATAACTCTGGTAGCGTAGGTTTTCTGATAGTTGTATCTGTCCAATGTCTTTCTGGGGTGCAATTCATGTTTTTGTTAAGGGAATCTGGTTTAAAGTCGCATTGAATACCATTTTTCGGCCTTAATTTTGTGAGTTTTTTGCCTTTTTGATGGATTTCCATACGTCGAGATGTTGTAGTAGGATCCAATGATGGGGGCAGAGGTGATTTTGACCCCAATGACGAAGTATTTTGTGTTTGGACTCCAACAAGTGAAGAGTTATGTAAAGCAGTATTACGAAGTTGAGCTTCAGGACCAGGTGTAATAGGAATTTCTTGTCCCAACGGTAAGGGTGATCTTCGAATTGAAAGAGGTGAACTGGGAGTTTGCATTTCCGCAGTAGTAGTGTCATCTAGCGGCATCTTACGTAGTTTGATTCTCGGTGTGGTCAGCGCTGGAGTAGTTTTAGAAGTAGGAAAATCAGAATCACTGAAAGCAGGAGATAAATTTGATATCCGAATATCCGTAGACGATTCGCGCAGTGGTGTCTTGCGAAGTCGAAGTTTCCGTGAAGTACCTGTCACTAGTGCGTCTTGCTGCAAAGGCACTTGAGAGTTGATAGTCAAAGCAAAATCACTCATTGCCCGACCTCGAAGACCACCAGAGGAGCCATACGACTTCTGTTTTCGGAGCCGGGGTCTTTGAGTATTTTCTAGAGCCACGGCTTTTGGAATTGAAGGATATCCGGGTAATTCTCGTAGATCTAATGCCTGATATGCTTGAATTGCACTTGGATTACTCTTTAAAGCCTTCTCAACTTGTTTCCTTGGGCTAATTATAGTTGAGAAACCCTCATTTGGCGGAGAGCCAGCTCGAAGCGTCTCAAATGAAGTAGCACAATTATCTTTATACACTCTGTGAGATTTAATCTTTGTGGAAGTGACACTTGAGGCTCTAAGCCGTGAGGATGAATGTATCCCATTGGTAAAAGATGCCCTTCTTCTAATAGGAGCTTCCCCGCGGCGTAAAACTTGCAAAAGCTTTTCATCTTCAGATAATTGTCGTGGAGATTGTTGATATTTCGGATTGGGAGGACCTCTTGACCATGGATCAGGATACGACGTTTGACAGGATTTTGATTTCTGATGCTGATCTTTCAATGGGACCCAGGGTTGGAAACTGTGATATTGTACTGCTTCAGATTGTTGTTCCATAAATGGTGTATTTGCTCGTGGCCTCGTGTGCTGGTTGTTTGGTACTGTGACCTCCGTTTCTGCATTCGGGGGCGTTGAAGTTGAGAAACTTTGATTCTGAGAAAGGTTAGGAGTTGTCGCAACAGAACGCAGTATTCTTGGAGCATTCATTGGTATGGTATGATATTCTTGAGAGTACTCGTGATGACGTTTGGGCGATGCCAGGCGCTTTCGACTCGATAGTTTTCTGTCACCCCTGCCAGAACTTTGAGACTCGATTGGGGAACCCGGATTGATTGCGCTATTAGAAGAATTCTCATGACTGTGGATTTTTTCTGTTATGCTTCTTGAATGAAGTCGAGAAGTTGGAATTTTTGGACCAGGAAGAACATCCTTTACCATGGCTGATTGTTCATTCTTATTATCCTGTCGTTCAGTGCGAGCTGATATTGATGAAGATGCGGTTGGGCTTCTGTATTGTGCAGATCTAATGCCGTATGCTATTGCAGTGCTTTTCTTGAAGAACATAATATCATGTACAGCGTTGGATTGCTCGATCATCTTACTGGCTAGCTCAATGTAATCTTTCAAATTTTCTCGAGTATCGATCCAGTTATGTTTGCAGGCTGAGTTCTTGAGATGAAGTTCGAAATCATTCAGTGCTCCAATGCCTCTGTGTGACACCTCAACCATGAGATTGTAAAACTTGGATCGGTGCTTTCGTAATTTTTCAGGATCAATGCGATTGTTTGGAAGTTCTCGAATGCATGGTGGATAAAGGGTATTGAGCATCGCAATAACATTCGGTTTGTAGAAAGGTAGAGTTTTGAGTTCGTGAAGCATAGTCTATTGAGTAAATCAGCATGATAGATGACCTTGGAGAAAAAGATTCACAAACCCAGATTCTCAGATCAATAAAGCAAGTAGCGTAAAAATCTTCAATAATTGTCTCCTGAGCTTGAATATCTTCCACCCACTTCTTGGCATCAGGATCAGCACTGAGCACCTTTTTCCAATTATTCTTGTCAATGTTCAACCGTAACGCAACTTCTCTAAGAGCCTCTCTTCTTCGGCACTCTAGATCCTGAAGATAGTCTATGCCAGTGAGCGCCTGACTAAAGTCCACTTGCTCCTCCACCTTTGTAAATACTTTATCCAAGCACCATTTTCTGATGAAGTCAGGTGGTAGTCCTCGACTTGCACGTTTGCCATCGGAGAATTCTGATGCAAAGCCAACATCTAGCAGAGTTTCATTGTGAGGATCCGTGAAAGGGTCATGAACAACATGATTGATCTTTTCTGCTTCGATGCTTTCATCCCTATTGTCTTTGTCTTTGCTGATCCCACCCTCCTTCTTCCCAAGCTTTGATTCCTCCAACGAGATAAGAAATTTAATGATTGCTGTTCCCTTTGGTTCATACTGCCACCACTTGTGTGCTTCCTTCAATGTTGGTACCCTATAGCCTTTTCAGAAAAGAAGTCAGCTATTACTATAGAGGTTGCGCCCGGACAATTCATTACAGTGAAGGAGGAGGAATTGTAAAAAGGTTTCAACATACCTGCATTAAAGGAAAACATTATTCTTAAAGGAAGTTCATATGATAGATGACACTCTAGCACATGACTGATAATCCAAGGAGTTCGACCTTGGTGTTGATCAATGGTGGGTCTGATGGGAGAGCTGAAGATCGGGTCACTTGAAGTTGATGATAAGGAAGACCTGGTAGATGAGGCATCATCCTGCCATGAACCACTTGAGAATGAATTTCCTGCCATTGTATTGTGTGCCTTTAACTTAAAGGTGACCCGTGCTCACTCCAATCATCGAAGATTATAATCTCATATGAATGAATTACTTGAAATGAATATCTTTGAGGGAAGGTCAAGGACAATGACAATGACAATGACAACAAAAATAACAACGCGGACGATGTAGAAAGCTCTACTGAATATGCTGTCATAGAAATGCTATCCTTCTTAAGCTCCTCTTCCATAGGCAATGACATTAAATTTCCCAGACACTCATGCGTAAGTGGGTATCAGATGATGCGATCGGTGTCCTCAGAAGCCCTTGAATCTGCATAGTAATGGTAGTTTGTGTAAGTATTGTCGAAGTAGCTATATCTGTCAAGAGCCTCATCATATATGAAAAGATTTATAGCCTCAAGTTCTTGGATTATTATCTATTCCTTCAATATCGCAGTATTGACACTCGTCGATGACTCGGTAAGCACACTTTACGTCCTGATGTCGGTATCCGCATGGCAAACAGATGAGAGCAAGGTATGCCAGGAGATCATCCCGGTTCGGGGATTTTGACATATTGTGGTAAGTTCAAACGGGTAATTAGGCTTGGGAAGAGATGTATGACGCTACTTTCATCTCGTCCGGGGGAAAGAAGTAGATCACATCCGGGTCCATGGCTAGTGGCTTTGAAAGGTCCATGTTCAACGATGATTACTAGCCAATGGAAGTACTATTCATAAATATGTATTTGCACGACTAGCTCAAGCTTTGGCAAAGGTATATAATCGGTTGCAAAGGGGCTTCGGATGGTACAGACGAAAGCCTATCCATAAATGGCATTGGCTGCATCTTCACATGATTATGGACTTTGATGTGCAGTTTTCGAATTGTTCCACTGTATTTCCTCAACACTGTTCATGCATGATTCAAGGGTGGTATCCATTCATATGTTGACCAGCCGATGCTCGAGGTCGGCGTTCATTCTTAGGTTAGATGAACTTCCTGTATATCCTACGTCGGAAAGATAATTGGCTTTCACTCGGAATTTCTTCAGAAACCATATATACCACATGGCTCTCGATGATCAATGATATAAGGCTTAGTACAGCTTGATCTCAGCTTGGGGATACAAGAAGCAATGTTGAAATGCCGATTGCCGTCGCTAGTAATGCAATTGTCCTTTTCTAGAAGGATACAGGAGAAGCAGAGTGAAGATTACTTGATGTTTGAAGGTATATTTTGAATGACCTTGAGATCCGAAAGCGATTGTTGTTTCATGAATAATATTCTGTACTAGAGAGATTGAATTGATGAAGGTTTTCCAAAGTGTCTTGATGCTGTTCATGTGGTTGTGAAGGTCACCGTATAGTCCAAGTTTGGGCCTCAAGTCAAGTCGATGACTAGGATGAAATATCACCATGCTCATGCTTCATATTTGAGCCCGCTACCCCAGCAATCTATATACTAAGTTACCAAGAGCTTATATTCAATTGTACTTTTGCTTCACGTTCACGGACATTCCTACAAAATAAGTGCGCAGAGTTAAACCATTCGAGGACTTGAGAGCATATGAAAGGTTACAAGACTGCTGTCATTATGCATGATTTGACGGCAGTGCGGGTAATCTCAAGTGTTTGCAGCCAACAAAATGTGAGGAATATGTTAGGAATGAAGCCGAATTTCTATTGACAGCCGCTGTGATCCGACGGGTAGTGGTATAACTGATCGAGAAGAAGTAAAATCCTGGGTGCGATTACTCGTGATCTTTCTACTTAGCATTACACAGGATCGAACTGATCTCCTGGTCAACCTTAGCAATTGACGATGATCACAGTGAGCCAAAGTTTTCTTTTGCTTTTAGTTTCATCAATCTGGAAATTCACAATACAGTCCTCCTGTACTGGTACCATATCAACTAAGGTTGAACATAGAAGAGAGTACCTCACGGAGTATATCTCACTCGTTTCAGCCTTCAACTTCGCCGTAATTTACCATAGCTCCAGCACCGCCAAGCAGATTAGGAACATCAAACTTTGACGGCTTCAAATCAACACTTTTAAACAACAACCAAACAGCGACAAAAAACAAATTAGAAATGATTTCTGACGGTTATACCCAATTCACACCTCTTCCTTGATCATTCTTTTCCATTATCAATACTTTCATACATACATCCGAAAAAAGAGGAAGGGAAAAGGGGGTATAGCCACCTTAACCATGCAACCTTCAATCATTCAAAGATCTCTGGCCAAAAGAAGCATACTACGCGCTTCTACAACGCGCCATTGGATACAAACACGAAAGCCCATCATCGCACAATCACGACTACGATGTATCTCGACGGAAGCGGCTTCAGAGAATAAATCAGATGGTTCTAATCCTGGAAAACGTGAGTGTATCCCTTTCTTTGAATATCTCCGTCCAGTCCATCCATGTACTGCTTGGCGTGCATTTATTCCTCTCACTCGTTCTTTTTCATCGGAACTTGATTTTGATTTCAATGGGAATGTCTCAATTATCTGTGGTCCAATCTCACTCTGATGGCCTTTAGCGTAGCATCAGCTAGGTTCGTAAAATACGTGAAAAAGATTACTCCGATGAGTGTTCTTCTAGAAGGATGGAGTACGCACCCATGGTTAGCATAAACATCTTCACACAAATGAAACCCACGTGTCATTTGCGAGAAACTTCCTTCTTGTTTTCATCATCAATCATCTTTAAAGAATCTTCATCTGACCAAACACACAGAAATCCCTGAGGCGGAACCACATAATAATCATTTTCGAAAAAGTCGAGAAGATTCATCGTCACATGATGAGTCCTCCAATCTCAAGGCGAAGATGCTCGAGGCTGCAGTGACGGCTCTTGCATCCATCATTGTACTTGGAACAGGTTTTGGCTTAGGAGGTTATCTTTATCATAGATTTTACAAATGGATGGTCCTTCATAAGATGGAAATCGCCTTCAAGCCGGGTGATCCAGTTTTAGACCTCGCCGCTACTTCGAAACAAGTGCCTAAAAAGTATACAGCCCAAGATGATGAACATTGGATACATCGTGCAGAGCAAGAGAAAATTGATAAAATAGTGAATGGAGGAGATCGTGGTCATTACCATTTGTTGATTGGGGAAAAGGGTGTGGGCAAATCTAGCATGTTACTTGAGGCCATGCAGAAGGTCGATGGTGAAGGAGTTAGTATGTTCGAAGCACATGCGGACCCTGAGATTTTCAGAGTCCGTTTAGGAAAAGCTCTCAATTTTGAGTTCAATGAGGATTATATTGGATCTTATTTCTCTGAAAGAGGTCCCAGGGATAGCACAGCTTTGTTGGATATCGAACGAGCAATGAATAAATTGGAAAAGGTAGCATTAAAGAGACGAAGCTCAGGACGTGGACCTCTGGTAAGCTTATGCCGCCCTCATCTCATGAAACTCTGGTCGGAGTATTGTCTGATAGATTGTTAATACCCACGATTTCAGATTATGATTATCAATGCGGTACATCTTCTTCGAGATGATGAAAATGGCAGGGATCTACTTGAACTTTTACAACAACGAGCCGAACAATGGGCCGCATCTAACCTAGTCACCATGGTTTTTAACAGTGACGACTATTGGGTTTACGAAAGATTAAAGCTACTAGCAACTCGTATGGAAGTCACTACCATTCCGGATCTTCCACGTGGACTAGCAATATCTGCACTTCAAAGATATCGTCAGAAATATTATGCTGAGACGCCCTCGTCTGAAATATTAAATGAAGTTTATAACAGAGTAGGCGGCCGTCTAACTTTTTTGAACCGAGTTGCCAAATCTTCAAACATGCTTGAAACTTGCGATAATATCATCGACACTGAACGACGATGGTTCCTAAATCAATGTTGGATCCTAGGAATGGAAATGGATGATGATGTAATGGATCAACAAAAATATGCCGCAAGTATCACTCCCCACTTAACATTCCCTCATACTCACCCTCATAGTCCGCAGCCATGGTCCTAGCCCAAGCACTCGTCGCCGCCGAAAAAGATACACCGACCTACATCGACGATGGCTCCCACAACATCCCCGAAATCCCCCTTCACAAAGCCCGTCAAATCATGACCCGAGCAGATTTCATTCAACAATATGATCACGTTAATCTCTTTACCATTACCTCCAAAGCTATGGTTCGAGCCGATTCAGTACCAATGCAACAAGCTTTCCGAAGTATCTGTGCCGAAGAAGGCTTTGAAGAACATCTTGAGGCTACTTTACAGAGAATCAATGATATTGAAAGTTTAGGGAGAACGAGGGAAATTGTGGCGAAGGATTTGGTGTTGGGTGGGAAGTATAAGATTGTTATGAGTGATGGGGAAAAGAGGGGTTCGAAGGTTACGGAAGTTACTTTAGAGGAGAAAGAAGAGGAGGATGGTGGGGATAAGTGATGTGTTATTGGGGATATTGTATGATAGTTTAGATTTTGTATATTTAAAAGTGATTGAATAGGTTTAGATTATTAATGTTATTTACACAATTAGATCTAATCAAATCTTACACTCACACTTGAAAAATCCAACCGAGAGAACTTTCCTCCTCTTCACCCTCCCTCAGGAGAATCCAACGCCCCACTCAGATACAATAATATACACTTTCCGCGTATTAATCACAACTCCATCAAGCCAAATTCCCATTCCCATTCCCGTTCCCATTCCTCAAAAACCAAAACTCAACACTTCACTTCTCCGCAGCATTCACTTTCCATATTAATAGAAAACCCCCCCATATTAATAAGTTCTCATAAAACAGCACATCAACTCAACATCAATCTGATTGTAGAGATGCATGCAAATCATGCGAATCATACGATGTAGAATAGAAGGGAATTTTCGGAGTGAGTGAGAATTATGGTCTTGAGGGGAGATTTCGAGGGGTGTGTTCTGCTCGATTTGAAGATTTTTGAGTCCTTTTACTTCTATAAGATTGTTGGGTATAAGATTGTTGGATATAAATGAAGAGATGAGGATGAAGGAAGTTAGAAAAATCTCTTTTGTGCGCGCCTCGCCTCGACTGCGGGATTCGAGTCTACAGCATCAGGGAATTCTTCTTCGCTTTCACTCTCATGGTATATTTGAACATTTTTGGATATTCTGGTGGTATTTCGGAAATGAATCGAGTTATACTGTGTTATTAAGCACTTTTCTTTTCACGCTCATGTATAATAATAATCCTCGACGAACTGTAACAGCACGAACACACGCACCTCATCTTCAGATGCCTTTGTCCAGGACATTTAAATCAAGATTGAAATAAAACTCTTCTGGTTCATATTGATTAAGGAACGACTCATATAGAGCGATATATCCTTTCTAACATTAACCACCACAATTAATTTCCGATGAGTCACAAAACCATTCATCCAACAGCCTCCAACGAATCCTGCTGTCTAGTATATTGTATCCAATCAATAGCCTCCAATAAATAAGGAACAAACTTTGCCGGATTTTCCGTAGCTGGGAAATGTCCAATACCAGGTATGGACTTGTGTTTTGCGCCTGGGATTTTATCACAAGTGATTTGAGCCAGAGCAGGAGTATTACTCCAATCATATTCACCTGTTAACATATAGATTGGACATTTCTTGATATCGATATTGGAAACTCGGGAGCGCCCATCAAAACCACCAAAGTAGAAATCTAAGTCGCCGTGGAAAATTCCATAGGCTTGTCCGCTGTACATGTGCCAAATGAGTTGTTTGTTGACGAGAGGGGTAGTCGGTGATATCATCTATGAGTGGGTGTTAGCTCTGTAGGTGAGAATAGATTAGAAGAACCTACTCCGTAAATCCATTCAGGATTAAAAAGGGACTGGTTGATGTAAGGCGATAGATCGTTAAATTGACGATCCATGTTAAGATAATCACAACTACAATTGTCAGTAATGCTGTTGAGAGGATATGTATCTTACCCTTGCAGTGGAATTGCTCCACCAGCACCGACTTCATCAGCTCTAGTCGCTACAGCTAGGCATGCTTGACCAGCCATAGATGCTCCACATATTATAGGCGTCTTCAAATTCAACTTCTTAACTATGGCGGCGATAGCACCAACATAGCTATCTTCAGTGTTCGTATAATCACCGGGACTAAAATATTCAAAGTTAGCGACTATTTTATAGGATTTAATGCCACAATGACACCAACCACTAACCATTCTGCGTCATGAAGCTAACAGACCGGTGAGCTCTACAATAAATCTGTAATGAAACTACCGTTGTACTTACCAGTGATTTTGAGGTGGGAAACTTTTTCCATGGCCAGGTAGATCAAAAGCTATCATATTGCACTTTTCCCGCATTTTAGCATGATTCATAACACCATGGTACTGCCGACAATCTGCGCCGGCGGTATGAAGGAACACTATGTCTTGTTCTCCAGAACCGGCTTGTTCGTAAAATACTTTGCATCTTCCCCATGTTGGGATAGTTAGGTATACATAACGGCCGATAATATAATCCTCATCCATTTCGAGCTCTCCGTCCACTTTCATTGGCCCGCAATATGCGTCATGAAGGACTTCAAGGACACGCCTCCAGATATGAGTATGCTGAGCGAAATATGTCTGATCCCCTTGAACCTCAATACCTTCCTGCTTGATATTCATTCCAAACATACCCCAATAACTTTGGAAAGGAGCAACTGGAATTGGATGGAAAAACTGCTCCCAGTGTTCAGGCGAGGCAAATAGTATAAATGAAGCCTCCTCGGCATTACCGGCTCTCGCGTGACATTTACCATTTTCAATGGCAATAATTATGATTCTCTCGGACGAAGCTGTGCCGATCCCAAAGGTAATTTGAGATAGAATCGCTGGAGTCTTTACAAAAGCATTATATTGAGGATCATTGCCAATCAGTTCGTCGAAGACGGGAAGGATTGAATGGAGTTGATCGAGTAGATTAGTCCAACGATGAGATGAAGCCATGCTGGGAGGGGTGTTATCACAATGACGAAGAGGATGAACTGGTAGAGAAGTAAGATGGGGGTTGATTGAAGGTAAGTTATAGACTTATAGTTGACTGGACTGTGGGAATTACAACCATATTCATGTCACCTACCCCGCAGCAAAAACATAATCTTACCACTCATGCACCTGCACGACTTGACGATGAGAAATCAAGTACTTTCCCGTCGGCCAATCCGGAGGCTGCCCCTCAGCTAGATAGGTAGTATGACTACATTAGTTCGTGGGCATTGCTTGTGATAAGAATATTTCCGACTGGCCTATTGAGACACGGATTTTCACGAGCTGCTGTGTATAGGGTTACCTTAGCTAGAGGGATCACCAGATGGGTTCCATTTTGAATGGGCAATTTCTAATGCTTTGCATCATCACACACATATTGTTTGTTGGTTTGGGAAGTCTCTTATGGAAAGCTCCAAGGCGGTTGGCACCTAGATGACATGTAGCTCATTGTTGACTCAAAACTTCCAACGAAGTAACCGCGGTAGCTTGCCACTTTTGGATGAATGGTAACATGTAATCTTTATAGGTACAGATTCGTCTGGAGATCTGATATGATGAATTTTAGATAAGATCAGTAGAGATGAAACAAAGCCATGACGATTAGTCAAAAAAAGAAGTCTAGCAGGCTTTGATATAATTACAGGAGAGAATTCACCTGGGTGTTGGTTTTAGATCTTAGAATCAACCAACCAACAACCCCTTTAGGATCCGATATTGTATTTTAGATCTTATGGCATTGGAGAACGGACTGGAGAATGGACCGGAGAGAATACCGCATGGTCTGTGCGGAAGCTTATACTAGACTACCACTTGATATCCTAGCGGCCGCTAGAGAGAATTCCCCAAAAATTAAAATCCAAGACACAGGACGCGTCTAAAAATTAATAGAAAGTCGATTACTCCAATAGTTCCCCTCCTCCATTTTGCAACTGTCAATATATCAACAAAGCTTACGAAAAGAATTCGAAAGAATATGCTTCAGAAATCATGCTAGGTTGGGCCAAAGGACTGTTCTCCTCGCAGGTTGAACCCAATAATCCACCACAGGTTCCGATAAAAGATCAGTCTGATAAGATAATTGAAGGTTGGTCAAAATTTTGGGTTATTTGCTTTTGAGAAATCTGAGAATGTTCACATAAGACCCCAATTGAACTTGGCAAGATTGATCTCTGTATGGAAAACTGATTATATTTCCAATTTAGGTCCCAAAACAGAAAGCTCCTTCCTAAAAAAGGATTCAATCATGGAAACTCCGAGAGAGTCTAAACCTGGTGGTATGGAGGAACACGATGGTACCAGTACGAAAAAATCTAAGAAGGATAAGAAGATGAATAATAAGATGGGTGGAACAGCGAGTGTTTTGCAGAGAGGATATGAGGTTGCGAACAGCCAAGGAGGTCCAGAGGATATCGCCACGCCAGAACAAGATTCAGCTATTTTACCTACGCCAGCTTCGGAATTGAGCGGAAAGAAGGAAAAGAGGAAACGGCGAAAATCTCACGGCAACGTTCAAACTGAGCACCGTCACGAAAACGGACAAGCGGCAGGCTCAGAGGCTTCACCATCTGAGCAAATTGGGGAGCCAGATCTTGCTACAGCAGAGTCTGAGTTGGCCAATCCTAAGTACTCAAAATCGGAGAAAAAGCGCAAACATCGGAAATCTCGCCAAGAAGAATTTAAGACTGAGGATGAAGCCCATGCCCTGCTTGAGCCCCTCGCCGCTGCACACTTAGCAGACACGGAACAACAAGAACGCGATGCTGAGATGCAGGAAGATTCAATCGCTCAGGGAAGTACAGCCATCCATTCTGGCTCAAAACAGAAAAACCATCGCAAGAAACAAAGATCTAGCACATCACATTCGACAGAACCAGCCGAAGAAGAAACCCTACCAGAAGAAATGGAAGTTCAAGCAGGCTTGACTCATGGGAAGGAAAAATCTAAGAAGAAGAGGAAGTCAAAGTTGGAGAAACTCACTTCAGTAGAAGCTGTTGAAACAAACGATGAGGGTCGTGATCAAGATCAAGTAGGAAATTCAGTCGAAAAATCCACTTCAGATGTTTTGAACAACCATTCAGAAGAACAAATACATCTTTCAAAGTCAAATAGTGGGAAGAGAAAGAAATTGATTTATGTTGAAAAACCGGATGCTGAAGGTCATATCTCGGACAAGCCCATACTCCCACAAGCAAAGGGTAAGAAGTATAACGCGAAACCAAAAACTTCTAAAGCCAGCCGAACAGAAGCTAGTGATGAAAACTCAGCTGCTCTCTTAAATCAATTCATGTCTACTCGCAAGAATCCTCAGGCGGAAGCAGAACCGGTTGTTCTATCTGCAAAGGCTCTGGGAAAGAGACCTGCTGTTGACCAGCCAATTGAGCACCAGTCGAAGAAGAGAAAACAGATTGATTCGGACCCTAGAAATGGTGATATACGCTCAATGTTTTCCGACGATTCTCAGCATGGAAGTTCAAAAGTAGCTGCATCAAAAACAAAGCAAAGGACAAGAATACCTGCATCGAACTTTGAAGTGTCTATCCCATCCCCCGCGGTAAAAACAAGTCGTTCCGGGACCGAAGAGATGGCAGCTTGGTCGGCTACTGATAAAAGATCTGCATCTGCTGGAAATAATAAAGACTCCTCGAATAATGGTTCAGAATTTGAATTAGAGCAACAGTCAGATGAAGCACAAGTTACCCGTCGAAAGAGGTATTTGCCCGTGGACGAGCCTTCTCTAGTGGGATTAGGGACATCTAAATCGGCTAAAAAGCCAAAGCGGCCAAAAGCCGAAAAATCATCTATCACAAAGCGCGGCAAGGGCAAAAAAGAATCTTCCAATGAAGTAAAACCAAAACGTAGCAGAAGCCAATCTGTGACGAGACCGAAGGATGGGAATGGAAGACTCAACGAAGACGAGACAAAGAGGATCGCAGATGCCGTGGAGTTGTACCGCGCTGATAATGATTTGGAACAACAAGCTGTCAACGTCATTATCCAAGGAAATGCTATAACCGATGGAAAGACATTTTGGGATTTTATGACGGAGGAAGTACCTGATATTCCCAAGCGAAACCTGCAAAGTTGGTGCAGGAGAAACTTTCACAACTATGCAGCACGAGGTGTTTGGACTACTGAGCAAGATGAAGAATTGATGGAGGTCTTCAATAGGATGCCCAAAAAATGGTCTCTCATCGGTGCCGAACTGAACCGTCTGCCTGATGATTGTCGTGATCGCTGGAGGAATTACTTGTCTGTTACGAATCTAGAACTTGGTCCATGGAAACTTCAAGAAGAACAGCAACTCAGAGATGCTGTGAAGAAATGTATCGAACTCATTCGCGAAGATAGACGTCGAGACGGATTGCTCAAACCTTTCGAAGAAGATGATACTTATCATGAACATGATATTAGCTGGATGAAAGTCAGTGAACTCATGGACCTTTCAAGGAGTCATCTTCAGTGTTATCGAAAGTGGAAGTCAATCAAAGCAAGGGAGCATGCTACTACGGACGACCTTATTGCAGAACGTATTGTGATTAGCAATAGCTGGAAGAATCTCAAAAATTATCAGGAGGCGACCAAGTCTCTAGCCGCAGAGAAACTACAATTCTTAAGGGCGATCCGTGATAGTAAAGCAGGAGCAGAGAGCAAAATTGATTGGAGAGCGATTGATGAAAAGCTCGATCGAAATCATGAGGCTATGGAAATGAGAATTTGTCTTCGTGGCTTATTGCAGAATATTACAGGCCACACTAACAAGCCTCTTCAAGAAAAGGTTAAGCTACTCATACAAGCTTTTGAGGAATCAGCACCTCATGAACCTGAAGGTTATGTTGACTTGCCTTTTGAATCAACGGGTCTTAAAAAAAGAACCAAGAGATCGAAAACAAGCTCTCTCTTTGAGAACAATCCTCAGCTTTATGACGTTGGTGGTAGTAATTCCAAGTCTAAAATGAGGCATCGTATGCTTAACAAAGACGAATCGCAGAGGATTCACAACTCCACAACCGACCCTGATGATGGGCAACTTGATACTGTCCAAGTACCTAATTCTGCAAAGAAGGCCAAACGTGCAGCCGCCGTCAAAAAGCCAACTAAAACATTTGCATTGAGCACTGAAAGGGTCATGGATAGCGAAAGTGATGAAGATGATGGAGCACCAACGAGTGCACAGAAGCCTAGACTTGAAGAAGAAGATGATGATGATGATGATGACGATGTTTCAGAACCACGGGCCAAAACGAAGCAAATTTCATTGAAGAAGCATAGTCAGCGGGTGGCCAAAACAGAGATTGTTGAAGACAGTAGTGTCGATGAGCAGAAAAGCCACCTCGATTCCGATTCTAATTTCAACTTCGAACCCGAGGATGTAGAAATGCCCGATGTACAGGACGATTTGGACAGTGAAGATTCCGATATTGAAACTTCTCAATCCACCCAATTCAACCTCGGAGGCAAGGGTTCGAATAGGAAGAAGCGTCATTCCATTAGAAAGGACGCGAAAATGGCTCTCGATAACTCTAGATACGATCACCCTTCCGTTGACTCTGACGATGATTCCGAGATGGAAGATCCAGATCAACCACAAGTCCCTGCTACACCAGAGTACGAATTACAAGAAGGATATAGTGGCATAAGAGAACAAAGTGCGGATCTTGATGAATCTGGCCAAAATTATAGGATAAGTGAAGATGAAGTTGAGGATGATGAAGAAAGTATCATGGACGATATGTCTGATATTCCAGCCAATGTCGTCAAGAAGAAAGCACCTGGTATCAACGGAAAGAGAGATGTATATTTTGGCAAAGATGGGAGCGTGGACCTAGATCAATAAATACAAAGTGATTAAATGGGCGGAGGGAACTACATGGGAGTACGGAGGTCCGAGCCCAACATATAGATTATTTGTTCGTTAGCTTATGAGCGGAGGATACCCGGAGAAAATAAATCTATCATTTTGAGGAGTTAACGGTGTGTTATGATCACCATGATATATTTTTCAATGGTACAGCGTATTATATCGATGAACATTACATTCAGCGGTCAATTAAAGAGGGCATATATTGAGTAGATGAGGAAAGCGAGCATATACATATAAATATAAATAATTTAAAAGATAGACTATTGAGTTATGATTATAAAATAAAGTATTATAAATGATATAAATAATTATTATATAAATAGCCTTATATTTATAAAGTTTAATACTGTCTATTTCATCTATTTTAAATCTTAAATTAAAGTGAATTATTAAAACCCAGTGATATTAATATTTTATATATAAGTAAATATTTTTATAATTTATTTTATTTTAAATCTAGTTCAAATCTATATTTTTATATTTATTTTATTTCTTTTTATTCTATCTCGTTTTATAAGTTTTTGATAAGTGTATAATATTAAAACTATATAATAGAATATAATTTATATCTATTAAAAAAATTTAATCTTTTAATGTTTTAAAGTTTTAATCTTTTAGGTAAAAATACAAAAACCATCATCTTGTCAGAAGATATATCAAAGAAATTCTACCGGGCAAAGATACCTGATATATTCATCCCATCATAACTCAGGAATCAATCCACGCCGAAAATCATAAGACTATATCTACTTGTGACAACAACAGAAGGAGAAAGTGTACTGTTACTACCTATAATAAAGTCTATGACCTAGTAAAATATATACAAACCTTATTTTTTTCTTCTATTCACCTCGTATAATAACAGTAATGCGATAGTAGTACAGAGGAGAACCATACTCCGATATTATACTCTTAAAACTCACCGTATAAAACAATATTAAGATTTATACCTCACAGACAATTAATATCAATCAATAAAAATTTTCATAACAACCAACTCTATAACAACTCTATCCAAACATCCAAACATCTCAAAACCTGAAAAAAAAAACCATACGCAGGCAGATAGACAGACAGGACGTCAGACAAAAGGTTTTAAATAACTCCAAAAATCCACACAAATCTCATATCTCTATCCAGATATCTCAGAATCTCACTCTAGCCCAGTTCAATTAATTCACAAAAATTCGGGATTTCAAAAAAGAGTTTAATATTTTTTTGGGGTTCTGGTAAAGGTTGCGTGGCAAACGCTTGGTAAAGAAAGAGATGAGGCAGACTGGTAGGCTAACAGAGTTGCAGGTGTGATTTGGTAAATGGGGGAACGATCTTAATGGAAGTAGTAAGTGAAGTGCAGATACGTGATAGTCTTATTGTGAGAAAGTTGAAATTATAGACCAGATATAAAGGTTTTTAACTAATCAATCATATGATCTCCTATAATTAGATATAAAAAGAAAGCTTTTGCTTCTTCTTTTTACATTAATCAACCTTCTATATATATATGTATTTGAATCTATATAGCATCAACCCCAAAACTATTATGAAACCCGTTTTCTTCATAAATAACATATTACGATATAATCTAATTCAGCTTTCTCTTTCAATTCTCCCTCACAACGTGTTATTGGGACGCACATATCTCGACCTACCACTTTTACATTATAAGCATACTAGGTGCGGGAGGGAGAGGGGGAAGATTATATGAGAGATTGTACATCGCGTGGTGTCTTACTTGGGTGCATCTGACAGTAGCGAGGGTATAGGAGAATGTCCAAGTTGGAAAGAGACAACCGCCTGTGCACAGAAATATAGGGCGTTAAGATGACCACAAGGAGCCTATGTTCATAATGATGTGATAGCGAATACATTTTGAGGTCTATTAAATCAATATGGTCCTCTCCAAACTTTTATAAAACAATAATAAAGCAAAGAGGCAAAACGCCTTGAAATTCTCCAAATGCACGAACCAACATGACTACGAATCCATCTCCTAATATTAACTTTAGGGTGTTAAATGCCAGCACATAACAGGTACGAAATAATTGACTTTTTCCCCCTTCAGATCGGAAACTCCAACGCTCAGCCTCGTCTAATGCTTGTTGAACAGCAAGAAATCAATTCCTGCCATAACTAAAACGAGTCTTCCATTCCTGCGAAGAAGACTTGTATGAAGACATCACCTTGATGTCGTCGACTTGGTCTTCCCTCCATCAGAATCAGAAGTCATATTCCTACGTAACATTTGTAACTGTGTGTCCAAGAGGCAAGGGGATCCCACGGAACCACACACGAAAGAGCTATTTTGTGATGTCTTTGCATTTTGGGCCCGGGCTTGTCGTAGATTGTTCTCATGCTCCAGAGATTTCAATTGTTCTTGATATTGACGGACAGAATCCATGATCTTATCGAAAACGCCAGCTCAAAATTGAAAAAATTCAAGTCCTTTTGAGAGCCAGCAACTGATCGTTACTGATTGTGGCTGAACGAAAATGATGTTCCGTTTCTTGAAAACCCTAGGGAAACAAAATTCTTGCAGGAAATCGGTAATTGATGGTACTGAACTGAGTACTGGCGTAAGTGAAGAGCTTGTAGAGACGAAAAGATGGATGGAGAAGAATTTGAGAGTCTTGCGATGTGCTTGATGTATTTGTTGGAATGGGATAATCTGGATCTAAAAATAGATATTGGTTGGATTCGGAATGAAATCTCGTGATGGTGATTCAAACAAAAGTGTATTGTTATTTACTCCAGAAAATGTGAGTGAATGCTATAAGAATTTTATGATGATATTATCTGAATATATATCCTCATGATACTCGAAGCTTATGTCTTGCTGACCCTGCTCTAACCTTAGCGCTAAATCTCGTGGGATGCGATGAAGCATTCCTCTGCATTCCTCTGTTTCGTCAATTAGCCGCTTGTCTCAAAATCTTTCCCGCATATTTTTCTACATTTTAGGATAAATGCTTACCTAGAATATTTCGAATAAACATGGTAGACTAATGTATGTCTAATTTAAACTCATAACGGGTTGCAACCTGCCGTAAGCCGCGAAACTCCCATTTTGTTACAGAGCCAACAAAACCGTGTGACTTTATAACAAAGATAGAGCAGCATAGAGCATACCTTGAAGAATTCCAAACAAAGCTTACTGAGCTTGTCTCAAATATTCTTTCTTCGGCGAGGCTTCGCATCTTCATTGTCATCTTTCTCCACAAGCATGACAGGCTCTACTTGTTCAACTTTTGCATCGCCACCAACTACCCAAGTTTTCATTACCTCCTTGACCTCTAGTAGCTTCTTTGCTTGTCCCTTTGCTTCTCCAACCCGTCTGATGTAACCCATATAAACCACCACTTCGGCAATTCCAACAAGTAGACTACCACTCATACTCAAGGCTAATCGAGCTGGTGTGCTCCACCATCTTGCAGCCATCCATAACCCAAACGCACAAGCAACAATAGATACTATTACATTAAATATAACAGCAATTTGTCGATCAATATCCGCATATGTAACGTCATCATCCTCAGAGTTACCAGGTTCTGAAAAGTTGGCACTGAATGCATGAGCGGCAGAGGCAGATGGGAATATTTGTGCAAATGTCTCCATAGGAGGCGGTGGATTTATCATTCGTTCGTACGTTCGAGCTTCTTCTTCACGACGAAGTCGTGCCATAAGAGCTTTGTATTCTGATGTCTACAAACGTTGAATATTAGCTTAGATATCGTCAGATTTCCTGGCAGGGGTATTGTATTTGATCAGGTGAATAAATTTATCAAGACCATTTTAGACAACCTTGGAAAATGAATGGACAATGGCAGATTGTTGGATTGTGACTTACAGGCTCCGCCTTTGGTACTGGGGGTGGAACATAAACACGAGAACCTCGAAGTAATAACTCCAAGGTAAGTGATGAAATATTCTGCTTCTTTATGTCTCGCCATAGATCAATGATTTGACCATGAGATATGGGATTCCCAATTTTGGGATTTGCTAGTAGTGGTTCCTGCGATACCTTTGCATTTCCTACCGACTTTGAATCACCCGAACTCAATGTGGGCACATCCTGCTGAACTGGCAAATCAGTCGGGTCACTATCCTCTGTCGCCTTTACATCTCTCTCTTCACCTCCTGTCTCTTTATCTTTCTTGCTCAGCTGGGCTTCGTTTTCCTGGGAGGTCGTCAGGATGCTCCCTTCGATTTCCTTTCCCATTTGCTGTTGACTAGACAGCTGTGCCAGCTCTTCATGAGAATGAGAAGTTTCGGCTTCATGGAGGGTCTGCAAAGCTTCGACTATAGTCGCCGTCATAGTAAGAAGAACCATTTTCGCATCCCATCAATTAACGTGATTATGATATTACCCACTGAGCTCAGATATTCGTGATGGCTTCAAAATTAAGTTGCAGCCAGCTCTCAAAAGCTTATCGGCAGAAGTTGCTTATCGGCATCGACTTGTCCGACATTGGTCTAGCCCAACCGAAATATTTATCCTCGGAATCTTGCGGGGATAATTTTTATATTCCCCTACATTCCTTCCTATTAATCCAAATTAGCAAGCCACTCTCGGTCTTTTTTTATTTCGACGCAGTTACTGGAGAATTGGATGTTGGGCCTATCTTTGCCGTGAAATAAAATTGTTATCCGGTCAAAGTTGGGGTTTCACAGGTCATGAGGAATTATTCAACGAGGGCTACGAAGCTCTTCCCCAGCTCTCCCATAGCCAGAACCAAACTCAATGGCGCATGTTTTCGGTGCCAATTGACTAATACGATATCGCTACGACCTACACTTCCTCAATCATATCATCATCGACCTACGAGGCGGACGCAATCGACCTGGGCGCAGGCAGTATCTGTGGCTTCTAATGTTTTCTCAAATGCCACAAACCGATCGACAGCAGGAGGCAACTCCATAGACCCTTTACGAATGGTTGCCAAAGAGATGAAGTTTTTGACTGGGAATATACGGCAGCTCCTTGGATCCGGGCATCCTTCTCTCGATACTGTTGCGAAATATTACACACAAGCTGAAGGCAAACATGTACGACCTATGATTGTACTACTAATGTCTAGAGCTTCTGCCTTGGCGCCCAAATCTCCCAAACATAATCCGAATCAAGAAATCACAGATATAGACAACCCCATATCACCAACTACCATTCTCTCAGATGTCAATCCTACCGCGCCTACATTAAATCCTTTAGCACATGTGCCTAGGACGTATTCGGCAGCAGAAAGCGATATACTTCCTTCTCAAAGGCGTTTGGCTGAAATCACGGAACTCATTCACACTGCATCCCTTTTACACGATGATGTCATCGATCATTCCGTCTCGCGGCGAGGTAGTCCATCTGCCAACCTTGAATTTGGGAACAAAATGGCGGTTTTGGCTGGAGATTTTCTGTTGAGCCGTGCTTCTGTTGCTCTTGCACGTCTGCGTGATGCAGAAGTTACTGAGCTACTTGCAACAGTCATTGCGAATCTCGTTGAGGGAGAATTCATGCAATTGAAGAATACTGCGCAGGATGAGAAAAACCCTGTTTGGACCGAAGAAACCATCTCCTACTACCTACAAAAGACATACTTGAAAAGCGCAAGCTTAATATCAAAATCATGTCGAGCAGCGGCTTTGCTTGGAGGATCAGATGCTGTTACAGTTGACGCAGCATATGATTATGGTAAAAACTTGGGATTAGCATTTCAACTGGTTGATGATATGTTGGATTATACGATTAGCGAGAAAGAACTGGGAAAACCAGCTGGCGCCGATTTAGAGCTTGGTCTCGCGACCGCCCCGTTAATATTTGCTTGGAAGAATAATAAGGAATTGGGTTCTCTGGTGGGAAGGAAGTTTTCTCAGAAAGGAGATGTTTTGCGGGTAAGTTGCCCCATAATGAGCATCCTAACGTTCATACTAACATAACCAAAGGCAAGAGAATTAGTCCTACAAAGCGATGGCTTAGAGCAAACCCGTGCACTGGCCGAGGAGTATGCCAACCGAGCCATTTCTGCAATTAGTGCATTTCCCGAAAGCGAAGCTAAAGACGGTCTTGTAGAAATGGCTGATAAAACTTTGAAACGAAGGAAATGAATAAAGTGTATTAAAATGAAGTTTGTAACTTGTATCTATGATATCATAAATCCAGTATTGGATGGGAAGCTATTGTACTCTAAGAAAAGCATTCAACTCGACGGGGAACTCCATAGATGGAATCCGGAGAATCAAAATAGATAATTGATACCTGCAGGAATCCTGAACATTTTCCGGATGAAGACTTAAGGTTGGATGGTATGAGTAGGTAGACTTGTCTGGGATTTGTTGTGCAAAAACCTGTGATCTGCATCTTCCCTTTCCTCCTGCTAGTATGATGTGAAAAGACATTGAATTCCCGATAGCGATGTTCATCATTGTCGGTAAGATATGTGCAGCTTCAACATTCACTGCCAACCGCTCATTTGAAAAACTAGAAACCATCAGAAATGCCCAATACATTTGGTTTGGATGAACGAATCTATCTCCAATTATGACTTTTAAAGAGGGGAGAACTTAGTACAGGTAGTATAAAGACCTCGTTTTTCTAGCAGCTTTGAAGGACTCAAGGTTTTGGCTAAATCAACACCTTTGCACCTTAGGTGTTGGTCTTTCACAATATCAAGTGAAAATCCGTTAAATACCATCGACCTTGTACCCTCCGGATAGAACTAACTCCGCGGCGGGATTCCGACGGGTACGGTTTCCACCCGTCAATATTTTCACGGATACTGTTTTTTCGGTATAATGATGCATGCTTTCAACCTCAGCCTTCATTGACTATGCATTACAGTACCTTGAATGCTGCTTTGCTAGTTCATCTTCTTATCTCTTGGTTTGGGAGGCCGGAACTTGCAGAGAACTTGTGGAGCGATATTATAGAATGTTGTGAGTGTTTATCTTCCGTGTTACCATCTATTCGTGTACTTCTTCTACTAGCTAACTTTCTAGTCGCTCTGACTATATTTTATAATATAAGAAAGAGACCTTGTGAAATGAAAGCACATGGAATTTGCGCTCGTATGAATACCTACTTGTGTACTTGTGGTAAGTCTTACATTGTGCTATCTTCTAGGCACGATTCTTTAAATCCTCACTATATTCATGATCTTTTAATCATAACCTGACAAGAAAAGGCTAAGGACAGGACTTTAAGAAAACAGTCAGAATTGATATGGATGATTCAATTTATTCTTCAGTCCACCTTCCGATGTCCAAAGATGAAGAACTCATACATTTGTTAATCGGGTGTGAAAATGTCAATGAGGTTAATGATCGATGAAGTTGACCAGTACTTTTATTAGTAAGCTTGATGCTCGGACCACCACTTTAAGTCGTGTATTCTTCACCATCATGTCTGTCAAAATTAGTCAGAACGCGTCTTCCCAATTCTCAATATATCATGACCACAAGGTACATTATCACAAAAGTTCACTGCCACCACCCGAACTAACAATGGAGAATCAATCAAAAAGGTATCAGCTCACTTATTCACTTAAGAAGGCACAGCCGCTAATTAATCCATTCAAGAAAAAGTAATGCTACCATGCGAACTTATTCCAAACGCACTAGAGGAAGCAATCAAAATTTCCCTATCAAGAGACAACGTGTTGATTCTTCGGAGTTTGTGTCAGTTCCTTCTCCAGTTCTTTCTGAGTCATCCATACCTCCAGAGAGCAATTCTGAGGATAAATTTGACGGGGAAAATCAATCTTCTCTGCTCAATTGCCATTCGCAACAACTCCTAGGGGACATCAGAGGTTCTTCTTCCATAGAATCACGCGTTTTATCCCATATACCTGACACATCTGTCTCTCCTTTGGCTGAACTGGAGTCAAATAATCAAAATCGACGCGATCACGAGATCAGCCACTCTAATTCACCTGATGATGCTTTGAATCACAAATCTTCAACGACGGTCAAAGGTACCAAACTAACTTCTACTAAAGAAATCTCGAATTTTGTGCCAGAAAGAAGACCTGGTTCAATATTTCAGCATAGTAAGGACAGCATTACGCCAGAACCATCTTCTCCTACTCAAAACCCAAATTTTTCAATAAGGGGAAATCTCGCTTCGAATCACACTAGTATTGATCTAGATTCTTTACAGAAAAATACGCACAAGAATACAACCTTAGCACCAAAAGATATTCTTGTTACATCGTTGTCAAATACCACACCCAAAGAAGATACTATTGTTACTTTAGAACCTCATTCAGTGGAGACAATCAAGAAATCCTCTATTCGAAACTACTTTAAACCAATACCCCAACCACAACGATCTTCGAGTCCTTTGAAACCTCAATCTCCCGTACTTTTAAATTCCCCTCAGAAACCAATATCATCTCCACCTTCGTCGCCTCCTCCAATACCTGGCAATCCACTCGTATCAACGAAATCAAAACTCGTTCGTCGTCGCATTAGTACGAAACCGAACTTACCGAATATCAACACCATGTCTGACATTCATGAAGGTGATTTGCAGGAGCTTGGTGGTGACTTTACAGATGATGCACGAGTTGAACTGATGGAACGTTATCATGATGCTCAGGATATGAGAGATCATGCCATCATCGACCACGGTACTCTTCTTCCTCTCGCTGATCAACCCCTTGACATCCCAGAACGTGCAAAGCTCAAAGCCGATATTGCTCGCCCAATGGGTTTTGCCCTTCATCAACAAATTCTAGATCTGGGCCAATCCTTCCATAATAAATGTCAAAACTGCGGTATGCAGTACGCTATAAACCTCGCCGCCGATCAACGACTCCATGATAACTTCCACAAGATCTTTCGCATGGGTGGACCTACTTTTAAGCCTAAATATGTCAATACCCAAACATGGCAAAAGGTGATTGAAAGCGAACTCCACAGTATTCAATGCATTAGCTACAAAGAATCCAGTCCCATTCGAAATCTCGTGGAGAGTATCTTGGAAGCCACCTTAATGGACATGGACGGCATCTTACCAAAATCCGAGCAACTCTGGTCCATGATAACCAGTCCCAACGATCTCAACGATCCTATCCCCGTTCCCCGCTACAAAGTCTTCCTCTACCTCATCGGCGCCCGACCAATCGGTATTCTCCTCGCTGAGCGAATAGGCAAAGCAAACACTATCATGACCACTACCCAGAATCCCGAGACCATCCCCCCCTCCCCACATATTAACACATCCATTATTCCTCCAACATCCATCACCCCCATCCCACATGATGCATACATGTGTATCGATCGACTATGGGTGCACTCTGATTTCCGACGCAAGGGCATCGCCACCGCGCTTGCTGATCAGGCTAGAGAAAAATTCATCCCCGGTTTGATTGTGGAGAAAAGGGAAATGGCTATTAGTTATCCGACTTCTGTGGGTGAAGTGTTTGCGGAGAGGTATTTTGGGGGGGTTTTTGAGAGTGGGAAGCTTGCGGTTGGGTGATTGTTCTTTGTGGGGGATAGAGGGAATGGGATGGAGTGGAGTGAAGTGGGAATTGAGGATTAGATTGGATTGGGTTAAATTGGAAATAGTATGGGATGGTTAGATATATGATTATGGGTATGAATAATGAATAACGAAAGAACGAATCAATAAATAAATCAACGAATAAAGAAACAAACATTTCCCCCTCTTCTCTTCTCCTCTCAACCCACCAATCACCAATCACATCAACACAACACAACACAACACAATAAACATCAACATCCTACATAAATCAAAGCTGTTAGTTTCTTAGAGAGATTAAATTAGATCCTTCTCATTCATAAATTAAAACTCCCCTAGAAGTAAAGCGTCGGGGTCAGCTCGAGCTCGAGCTTGAGCTTGAGCTTGAGCTTGAGCTTGAGCTTGAGCTTGAGCTTGAGAAGATAGGTAGGTAGGTAATTATTTGTGCATTTGGTTTCTTGGGGAATTTTCTGGGGTATATGCTTAGTAAGTGGGAGAGGGAGAGAGAGGGAGGAAATTAGTGGGTGGGAGGAAAATTGATGATGATGATGATGATGGTTTAGTTTGGTTTGGAGAGAGGTGGTTTTAGAGAGGGAGAGGGGGAGAAGGGGGGAAGAGAATGTATGGATTAGGCTAGGTGCGTAGGTTGTAGGGATCTATTAATATTTTTTGAGGTTAGGGGATGGGCGAGGGTGTTGGGTTTGGAGTATTTGGTTGATGAGCTGGGTTTGGGTTTTGGTTGGGTTTTTTGTGATTCTAAAATACTAATTAATTTTGTTTAGTAAGATTACATCTATGATATCGATCGTGATATGATGTGGAGTAAACTTGATAAATAAATAAGATCTTATCACTTCTTTCATTCTTATTCTCATTCTTATTCTTCAAAACTCGAGCTCCTCAATTACACGGAATAAAACAAGAAAAAAACAAGAAAATAAATTAAAAGGTTATCCTCAAACATAGAAATACGCATAAACGAACCCCTAAAGAATAAAAAACGAAAAACCTCCTCAAAAACAATCCCCCAAAGTCAAAATTCCAAATTCCACAATCCCATCTAGACTAAACTACAAAACTTTCTCTGATAAAAAAAAAACCTAATTAAATCTTACAAAAATACCCCGTAAAAGATAGCAGACCAAGAATCGACAGCAGTGAAGCGAGAAAAACCTAACCGGTTTAGTCACACCTTGGGAGTAAGCTCCGAGGAAGTAGGTTTCTTGGTAATACTAGAAGCAGTGGCCTCTGCAGCAACATTCTCGCGATTGATTTCCCAGATCGATGGATTGGTGCTATTGTAATGGGGTGTGGGAGATTTAGAGATGGTGTGTGAGGAGGGTGGATGGGTTGGTTATTCGGATTGGGAGAGATTGGGTCGGTGACGATGGCTGGGACCAGAGGGTCTGCAAGCTGGAGAGCTCGAGGTGATAGGCTGGCGAGGAGTGAAAGCTTTTGGGGTGAGCGGGGTTATGGAAGTAATCGGTTTTTGTGCCTGCACCCGACTGGTTGGATAGGGGGAATTTGTGGCTGCTGGAATTGTTCTTGGTATTATGGGCCTAAGTATGATGAGTTCAGATGCAGGACCAGGTGCAGGACCAGGTGCAATAAGTCGAAGAGCAGTCCGTTGATTTGCTTCAGGAAAATGATTACACTTAATAGCAGCCTGATCAGCCAGAAGATCAAGAGCTTGTTGTTTCCCTCCGAATAACCGCTTGGCGTTGGGATTGGTTGAAGAACGGTCCAATTCCTCAGATGGTTTATCATAAACAATTTCCTCGTTATACACATTGCGTTTCTTATATTGACGAGGAGGAGGCTCGGGTTTAGATTGAGGAATAGCTACTGGACGAGGTTGTAGTGGTCGAGGCTGAGTAAGAAGATGTTTTGGATGGTTTGGTGTCGTTTCCATTGGTGATTCAACTAACGAGCGATCATTCTCATATGCAGAAGAAACATGCGAGTCGTCTTGGTCCTCAGAAGACTCTCGGACAGTTGATTTACTTCTGCTTTGTCTAGCTGGTTGTTTCTTTCCCCTGATAGATCTTATTGGTGGATGGCCGTTCCGCTGAGGAAGTATGCTAGCTCTTAGCCTTTCCATGACTTCAATAGCATCAGGGGCACGGAAGTAACTAATTTCCTGTCGAATTACCCAATCAGATCGCTGAGGAATCCGCCTATTCTCTCGAAGGGGCATAGAAATAGAGACAGCTTCTCGTGAACTCTTATCATTACCTTGACAACGATAACGACGAGGAGCACCTGGAGTACCTTTTTCCTGCTCAATATTTCTAACCAAAGAGTTGTATTCGCGGGCAATTTGCATCCAATCAATATCCTTTCCACCGTCGAGATAATCGCGAATTAAGGCAGTAAGAATTTGTTGTTCCTGCACCGTCCAGAACTCCTTGTTATCATAGGCCTTCCCAATCGCTCTTCGAGTAAGCTGACTTCGCCAGTTGTTTAGTGCGTGTATGGATTTAGCACTATTCCAATCTACTTGAACACCCTTCGCATCATCAGAGTATTCGAATCTAACATCACTTTCAACCACTTCGTTCGTGTACTCGTCGGTTTCTTCTGTCTTGAAACGAATTACAAGTTTGGAGTTATCTGGTTTACCCAAGACTGCGGGGCTTCGATCGGTCGTGCCGTCGTCGATGTAGCGAGCGCCTCGTTTACCTTTTGGTGCATGTCTCTTGTTGAGCTGGAGTCATTTTAATATAAAGTAAAGATTAAGGGTGAAAGTCAAGAACAGCTTACTCGGTGTTTCTTCTCTTCCTCAGTTTCATTTGTCAAATCAGGAACAGGAGCTTGTTTCCATTGTATGTAGCCTGGAGCGTGACCGGGGCTCAAAACAACATCTGAATCTTCTTCGATGGGCTCAGGAGTGGTGACGAAGGAACTACTAGTGGTGGAATGGGGTTGGAAAGCGAGTTTAAGTCTTTTTGGAGCGCTGATAGGTGGTGGGATGGCCTGCTCTTGGGGTGTCTCTGGGCGGCGCTTGTCAGGTTTATCAGGCTTCACGACTTCTGCACCAGCGGTCATGGTGAGGAGTTCTGTTGCTTCCTACTCGTTAGTATTTCATTTTAGAATGTTTGAGATGATGCTAGGTTCGTAAAAAAAAACGCAAGGAGGTAGACAATTAATATCTCAAACTAGCTGACAGTCTTTGATGAGAGTGTGGGAATGGGATGAAAGAGATGGAGTGAAGGCTCCAGCATCCGATCTTATTCCAATAGTGAATGGAGGCGAAGGCAGAACAGGATGAGTGACTAGCTATTAGATAGGAGTAGAAGTAATGCGACACTTACTCAAGTAATAAATGGCAAGGGTTTCTTTTTTGTAAAAGATGACTTTCCACTGCGGAAAAGTTCTAGTTTAAAAACGGTAAATACCTAAGTAAGAAGACTTGGTTAGAAAATTTGAATTGTCATTATGAGATCAATTAAATCTTTAAAAAAGTCAAATAAGTTGTCATGTGTAAGGTAAGAGATAAAGGGAGGTGGTAACCTGCTGCCACAAGGACTCGCTCATAAAAGAGATACTTAGCATAGTACGAAGAATAGACAAACTTCTAACGGTCAATGCGAAAGAGATACCCCATGCTAAGTGAATGCTTGAAGGAGTTGTAGATAGATTGATTGGGCAGCTCGTATTATGAGAAGTGTACTTATGCGTCGCCTGGTGGAAGGGAAGTTCAATTTTTGGGATTCAACTTCGCAACTCATCTGCAACCATGGCATTATCAGAAGATCAAAAGATCTCTTTTTTGATATTTTAGATATTAAAGAATATGTTCCAGAAAGAAGAATGACACTGGTACGGAGAGAGAGAGAACGAAAGAAAGAATCCCAACTTACTGACACTAGATCGGAAACACACTGGCTTTGGTTATAGCCTTTCTCTTTTGCAAATAATTGCCAAATCACTCATCCAAGACCTCAAAATCAGGATGAGGGAGGAAATAGAATCTTCTTAATTCAAAGAACTTGTTGAGTGAAGATTGTCAAGTCCAAGGAAGATCCGAGCTTCTTATTTTGTAATATTTACATATTTTCCTCGGAAATTAGGCATGTTTTGAAGCGGTAGAACCTTCCAATCACTTGAAACACATATCAAGGAAAACACAAAGCCATATACAAGGGCAATAGTATGGTTAGATACGGCTGAGATGAAGATAGTAAAGTTGAATGGCAGCCTTGTACTGCGGAGAGGGCCTCTATCATCCGACCTCGTGACACCAAATACGAAAGAAAAAGCTTTGAGATAATGGAATTCACTCTGCTTTGAACATATCTGTATTGAAGTTCAAAGGTTGCGTTGTGTGAGACTCAAATCTTACATGGGAATCTTCAAACACATCGATAAATGAGACCTAACTAAAGCTTAATATTGTCTCATTGGAGTTATCATCTCAAGCTGCTATCCAAAAAAGTCAAGACCTGCCCAGTGATCCAGGCGCAGATTCTAATAAATGTTGAGAAGAGCATCTCCTCTGTAAAAAGTGATGGTGAAACCTGCAGCAGGTTGTTTTCGAATCTCCAGAGACTGATGTATCTCACGTTTAATATAGGGCCCGGCGGCAAAACAAGACTAGATACCTGCTAGAAGAGGCATGTTACCATACTCTTCAGTCCGTCGTCAGGAAACAGAGATTGAAGCACACATTGTTGGCACATAATATTTTTGCTGTAAGTAATTCCAGGTAAGTTTTCAGCCCAGCGTGTTGCATTCTACGGTTTGTCCCAATCTACCTGGCATTCTACACCCATAAACCTCTCCGCAGCCCTCGAAACCACCAGCAAGTCAAACACTGTATCCACCATATCCACCGGCACAAATATTCAAGCCTACATTCACGTTTTTGATATTGATATTGATCAAATATATCTGTTACTCATCGACGAAGCAATTTATGCTAAGCACGGATTAAAGTAGAATAATAGGACTAATGTCCTCTAGTAAACATCGCATCTGAAGACTCTATATTGTTCTTACCGAGAGTTGACTTGAGCCCTGTGAATCTAAACCACGAGATTAGAATCACCCGCAATGCTATCCTACAATGGTGGTCTGGTGAAAGTAGACCGCCCTCATGGTGAAGTCTTGTCCCTGAACTTAGGAAACTATCTTTTCTATCTTGCATTTTGAACCTAATGAGATCTCCTTCCCACGCAGCAAACGCAGGGCCACTAAATATCGTGCAGCATAAAGACAACACCCTCCCATTTCTGCCCATTCTGTCAGACTCCAAATCTATGATAAATTATCTTTGGAGATACTATGGCTACATGTGTATTTTGGAAGACGGCAAATACGAGCCAATTGCGTATTGGTGTCGTAAGAAATCCGAAGTAAATGAGGAAAAATGCGGCATCAGAGGTTGCGTGTAGTTTACTTGATGGGAAGGATTTTAATTATTTAACATCGGCTACTCGTAGATCGTCCCAGATTTTGGTTCTCGCTTGAGAACCATTGGGTGAGTGCTGCTCAAAGGTTATGAATGCAACGTGCTTTTGAACAGCGATGTGTCTATCCTGCAAGAATAGCTGGAATGGCTATTTCGCTACTCTTGTTTGACTTCGAGGCCAGTCTCGGAAAAGCAAGTTAGTAATTTATGTGAAAGAGCAGATTGAGAGGAAAGAACTACGGGTAAATTTATACCACAGGTAGAAGAACATATAAGAATGAGAATAGTCAGAGCGCAGAACCTAAAGAAATAAATTTGGTTATATGGTCTTGATATCGTGTGTATAGTAAACAAGTACAAGACAAACAATCTAGTCTACAACATTACTTAATGTATCAAAGTCTTCCCCGACGATGATAATAGGGACTACATGCTTCGAGACACGAAACTTGTATACAAAAGTAATAACAATTCTAAAGCCCAATTATAAGATAAAATGTTACCACTTATTAGAAAACATCCGCTTCACTTGCCTTTGTGATCAAGATATTCAAACTTATCAAATCCCCAACAACAAACTTTCCTTACGGGTACTTCCCCACAAGTACTTTTTACCTTCTTCTCATCCCGTACTAATGCCTTGATGTTAAAATCGGAGTATTTTCGATAGACAAAGTCTAAAATTGCACCACCGATATAGCCTGTAGCTCACATATCACAAGAGACATGTGGGCAATTTAGTCCAACATGGCGAAAGTTCCCCTGGAGTAAACTGGTAAGCAGAAACCGGGAATTAATTGACCTTAAATGAATATTTTCGACGTATCTGCTTTAATCGACAGTGGTATAACCCCGGGTTATTTCTCGATGGGTAGTACAGAAGACAAATAATAATGAGAAATTTCAAAGTGGTTTTCTAATCAAAAGATGTTGTGGAATTAAACGTGCAGATTTCTTATCAAGTCTGGCCCCTCACTCGAGGATATAAATTGGTGATTGTGGTGCAGAAACATGTGAATACATTTGGGGTGCTTAGGAGCTGTGTAATGATGCATGCTTACGAACCTGTGTGACTGGACTTGCTGGAATCATCGATCATCATCTTGACTTTGCAATGAAGGCACAACATTTGAAGGTAACGGAATAGCATCAGCATCAGCATCAGCACCAACGTCAGCAGCAGCATAAACCACTGATTCTTTTGTTTGGATCAATAAAGCTCTGTGGAACAACTCGAACTTCTGAGATCAGATATTGAAAATCTCGTCGTTATTCTTACTGTTTGAACACAGCTGTCAATTGGATTGAAAATGAGATGCTAATTAACCATTTTGTTCTGACAGACATCAGCATCATCTACGATGACAATACTTTAGTTGAAGTTCCGACAAGACTTCTGGACGAAACTTCTAAAGCTTTATGGATCTCGATTTCTGAAGACAAACAGTAACATGTTATTAACATATGAAGTATTCCAGATGGTAATTATTCTTATTGTTTTTCTAGGATGCAATCATTATCACGATCAAAAACCAACCATTTGATCGTTAAAAAGTAGGCCGACGGTCGTTAAATTTTAGTGCCCGCGCACCAGTTGAACCTTACAAAACAGCAGAAAGGAAGAAGATTTGCATCTCAACATAATTTATTCAGCCATTCTCTCTCACCTCAACATACATAGTCACGATACACAGCATACAGCATACAGCATGATTACTAGGTTACAGATATAACAGCAGCTCAAGCTCCAAATCACTGAAGCCCTCCGCTATCGTTATATTGTTACAACTAGTCGGATTGTCATCGTATACTCGCATACATGCACGTATTCGTAAGAAATTCGTACCATGATCCATCATCTTACGAACGAGAGACATTCTCTTCACTAGATACATACCCATGAAAACAGTTCATTTTCAGCTTGATGATCGGCTTGCCGAAATCAACATGGTGCTACCGATACACTGGTCCCAAAGGAATGAAAAGCCTGGTAAATCATCAAAACGGATTTCTTGATCCTTGACCACGGAAAACAAAAAAGCCCGCCTACGATTCATGGGTATGTTATCCGGATTTAGTCAGCCACTCAGTGAGGCTAACGACAAGTCTAAGCGGAATTACACACGTACTGTAACATCGTTCCCTGTGCCTCAGTTGTACTTCGGATAAAGCAAACCGCAGGAGATCAACTGTGAAGTCTGACAGGTACAATTTCACATTGAGGTTGACTTCAAAGGTGGGTATCATCGGAGACGAGTCGAGTATGGATCCGAAGATAGTCCTGATTTGTTTATATAGATGTAAATCTATCTACAGTTACTTTAGGCAATTCCCGAAGTTGATCCCAACGAATCCCAACACTCACTGCTCGATCTAGTACTATTGAAGTCATACCAGACTATTTGAAAGAATACAGTTGTGACCCACAAGGTGGATCTCATAAGGATGAGAGAGCATACTCCGTACTCATGGCTCAAGATTGGGCTCAACCGCAGAGACACAGTTGGTGAGGAGTGGAATGATTTTGATAAAGCCAATAGAAGATTTTAATATTCCTGAAACGATGATTAGAGTTTTGATCTTCGAGCATGACCTCATTTGTCTCTGAATGGCTTCAACATCCAACTTCCTATCAAAAAGCTTGTTCGCCGTTTAAGCCGGTCATCGCCTGATGCGTAACATGGTATATATCATCTTTGTTCTGTCTTGTTGTCTCCGGCCATTATGTTACAATTTTTCGTTGATCTTTTACAATGAATCCAGATTGATGATTTTCCTATGGAGGACTTAAAAGTAGATTCCTAGTGTGTATCCGTGACGGCTCAGAAATCCCATGTACTCACAGATAGGACTTTATGCACGTGGGCTGCACCTACGGAAGTTTTTCACAAAACAAGCAACTTCTCCATACGCAATGTGATTGATTGCGCACCTGTTCATGTAGCACTGCATCATGCAGACTAAGGCAGCCCATGTTCACTCAGAATCTAGAATGCCACAAATTCGAAACCACTTGATAGCCCCGTCTTTGTACGACCTCAGATGACATCCACATCTAAAAAGTAATTAATTATACTTTTCCATTCGAAGCCAAGTTTCGGCAGTTGCTTATATCTCCAGATACAGTGAGACAAACAACTGATCTGCGTACTGGAAGGGAATTCCTGATCACCGAAATGCGAAAACTCAACGGGCCGATCCATGATACAGGCTGAAGATTTTCTTGCTTCATGCATTATATACACGTTAATAGAATCATCTCGTAAGAATAATATAGTTCCCCTTGATTTAGTGAAAGTTTACCAACCGCAGGTAGTATCTGCGGGCGCCGGCTTGCACTTCCATGCGAAATTTAGAGATATTTAGGCATGTACCTGTTGTTTTTACAGTTGTAAGAGCCGGGATGTCAGGAACTGACTGCAGCGTTGTGCAGGAACATCCTTGGCTGACAAGTTAGAATTCAATCATGTATCAATACTCGCTACATCTCAATCCTACCTCGGTCATAGGGGATGCGGATAACCTTACCCTTGAAACTATATCCATGCTATAGCTAACTCCCCGAATCTCGAGGCTTTAGAAAGTACTTCGCTTATGAGGTCAAATCATTTCAAGAACTCCATCCTACGTTTCCCTATCTCTTAGGATCGACTAACCCATGTCCAAGGTCGTTATGGTCAAATACTTCCAAACGGAACTTCTCCATTCGAGACGATCAAACGTGAAACGTTTTATGTATTTCCCCGGCGAAAGAATAGTAAAATATGCACAACACATTCTGTGGAATTACTATGCATCCATCACGGACGCATAAGAACTCAAAAACCTTAAGTTTAGGCTATTCCCGCGGCGGGGCGGTGATATCATTTGATATGGTATTGATGAATGGAAGTCTCTCATGTCACAGTATACAAGGCATACATATGTACTATATACATACAGAGTACATACAAAATACAAGGAAGGAAGTATACAAGCGTCACCAATCCACCTGATAATACACCATTCATGCGTACCCTTCAAGTATGTACGGTGTATTCTGTACATAATATGTGTCAAAATAAGAATTCTATGGGCTGATCTGTCATACATAGGCGCATTTTCTCGTACGACTACATCTTTTATATTCTCATGTTCTCATCCAGACACTCTTCTTATTTTCAATATTTCCTTCATACCCCTAGTATTTGCATATCTCCTCACTCAATCATGTATCCGGGTCCGATCCGCTCCGTGACATTTTTCCTTCTCCGCCAGGGTCATGTTACATCGAAGGGCGGGCGGGGCTGGATATACTCGGATATGAATATGATAGATATTTTCTACCGAAAGGGGATTTTCGAGGTCGTATCACTATGGATGGAGAGTATGTATTTGATTAAGCTAAATCCTTGATCTTTGCAGATTTCCGGTCTTAGGCGCCGTATTCGTAGAGGATTGCGTGGATCATTTTTCTTTACCTTGAGGATTTTTTGTCTCTGTGGGTTGGTTACTTGCATGTCTTATATTGTACATATAGTTTATGCATGTTTCGTTTGTTCGAGAAGGTCGTTGATTATTTTGAGTCATTCATTTCTGTCGTTTTTTGTGTTTCTATAGGAAAATGATAGAATAGAAGTGCTGCAAGTTAATTAATTCGATTCATCTTTATTTGTATACAACTTTTACCCCACGACTTGATAATATACTCTAGTTAATTTATTTAATAGCCCCATGATTAATACCTCATTCTTATCTCATATCCCAAAACAAATATATATATCAAGTAATATATATATCTATATATACATATACATTTTCACCACCGCACCGCACAGCACCACCATCCCTCCACACAAACCACAACAGCATTCACATGTACATGTTCATGTAAGTCTTACCTCCCACACCCTCTCTCCATCCATCCGTCCATCCAGTCGGTCAATCTGGACCCACCCATTTGTCTTACTTATACAAAAATACAAAAATACAAAACACAACCCACAACCCACAAAACCAAAACCAAAAACTTCTACCCCGCAAAATCCACCAATAAAGCTTCTTATCCCCACACTCTTCATCTATCTCTCGACACTGATATCTTTAATCAATCATCAACTACTGATCATTTTAATCCTCAAATCATCTTTATCTCTTCAATGATTCATCAACTGATGATTTGAAATATTACTTTATCTTTATATAAGACTTGTTTTTATTTATTTATATATATATTTAAAATATTAATATTAATATTAAAATTTAATTATTTTTTAATATCAATCTTTTATAAATCTTAAATAAACTTTTAGTTTTTAATCTTAATTTTATATATTATAAAATATATATATAATATAAAAATTTTATTATAAATAATATAATATAATTTTTTTTTTTTAATTTTAATTATTCTTTTATAATATTTTTATATATATTTATATATATTTAAATAAAAGATATAATATCTATTTAATTATAATATTAATAATAATAATAATAATAAAATTTTTATTTTTTATTTTTTTATTTTTTATACATTTATTAATATTTGATTTTACTTTATTTTCTTTTTATTCCTTCTTTTCTCTCATTTTATTAGATTCAAAACTTTTTTTATATACTTACTTTCTCTCATTATAAATATAATATTATAAAATATCAGATACTAGATGTCTATCAAAGATCAAATACTAAATTCAAATATCAAATATCATATCAAATACTAATTCCAAAATCCAAAAACTCGCTAACCAGTACCAAAAATAATTCAGTTAACCCACCCAATCCAATCCAGTCCAGTCCAGTCCATTCCAATCCAGTCCCATCCAACCTATCCAATGCATCCGCATTATCCACCCATGGAAGGAGGTTCCACCTTCCACCCACCTAACCACCGAGATCATTCCCATCCTTTCCTATCCCATCCTAATCCTATCCATTCCACCCGGATCATCCAATCCCCTATCCATCCCACCAAAAGAGACATGAGGTTTTTGTAAAGAAAGAAAGAATTAAAAAACCACCCAAATTTTTTTTATTGTAGGTAAGGTCATCCGGTTCCTGGACCCCAACCTAAAAATGCTCCAAGTCTGCCGCCCAAAGATATGATGTGACGAGGATGATTGAGCAATGCGATAAACAATCCCAATGATATGATTCGACGGATGAAAACATATGATAGGATGATAAATAAAAAAACAAAAGGTATCTTTTCGAATAGTGTCAACATCCCCGATGTGGTATCCCGAACTTTGAGTAATTCATATGAAGCGGAGTGTCGAAGCCAAAAAGTGACATACACATTGCACAAGTTTTTGGTAGCGCGGCCAAATTCCGAATTCATGTTTCGTTATGGATAAATTTGTGAAGAACGATGTAAGCCGTGTCGTAAAATAAATGGATAAATAATAATATTTGGATGATCGACAAAGTAAGCCTGAACGCCAGGGACGAAAATCATGGGAACGCGAGGCGGTAAATGATTATTGATCCGAGATTTTTCGGCCCGTATGTGCATATTTTTTGTCCAACCCGAGTTTCTTTTGTGGAATAATCCTAGATGTGATGCGAGATCCTGGTTCATGGTGCGTTACCGTTTCGCAGCATATAGATTCTAGACTTTGTAGAACCGGGGTCGGATATATTTCCGTTGCGATGTTACGGTGAACCGATTGGGGTCGGATTTGTGTAAATAGATGTTTGATCATCTGCTGTAACGAGAATGAGGAGCACTGATAATATTTCAGGTAGCTAAAAAATCCATGCCCAATCCATGAGCTAAACTTTGCCAATCCCAACTCCTCTCATCTCGAGCATCCATTAATCTCCAAACTTCTTCAAGTACCTTGAGAGCTGCATCTGAATTTCGATATTCCATGTATGCTTTGACCACGCTAATCGCTTTTCTAATAGGTTCCCTTTGTCTTTTTTCAAAGGCAGCGCAACCGATTATGAAAGCTGGAGCCAGAACAAGAGTTTGAGCTGGATCACGTGGTGGTACTTGCTGAAGTAAAATGATTCCATCGTCAACAGCTTGAGTAATTCTAGGATCTGGCTTCCAAGATTTGTTCTTGGGAGGATTGATAGTTCTCCATAGATAAACCCACATCATTTGTTTGTAGAGTAGACCCGCAAGATCTCTAGAGTCTCCAGCTGGCCACGCAGGCGTCCAGTCTCGAATGCCAGCATCGATTTCAGCGGCTCTGTATAGAGCTCTATAGTCTACCACGGGATCAATCTTGTTCTGTATGTTGTGACGAATAGAGTTGCGAATATTTGTAATCTTGGACATGTAAAGGAAAAGACCATCATTGACACCAAGAAGGCGGACGGCGTCGGGTTGAATGATATTGGATGGGATATCCCAATCATCAGACACAGCACCTAGACGACCGCGACCTTCTGGAAGAAAGATGATCTCATCGAGGATAATGTGAAATTGAAAAAATTCCCGTATGAAATTCAGGAAAGGTCCTTCATCAGGTTGAGATTTTTGGATGATGTGCTTATAAGCCTCAAGATGCATGCGGTGTGTTCCATTCGGATTAGGATCCGCGAGGGTCTGAAGAACGAGACACAGCATTTGACCAAGACAGGCAGATATGACTGTACTGTCCGTTTCGCCTCTTTCGTGTCTTTTCAAATCGTTGTGAAGCTCCTCAATAGCTGCTGAATGATGGTACTGAGATCTTTCTTCTAGGGACTCTCTATCAATATCAGGATGTTGTTGTAGTACTTTCTGGCCATATTCCGAGTCATAATTAATATGCTTGCTCGAAAGAGAAAGAATTGAATGCATGAGACCAGCATGTTGTACAGCCATTGGGAGTAACTGATCCTTGAATGCATTATTGTCCGCCCCTTCAACTGTGAAAATGTGACTCAATCTGTAGATATAATGTTCGAAGAAAACTTTATCTCCAGATGTTTCAACTCCACGAATCACAGGCTGAAGTGTAATATTGGGCAAGCTGACCCTACGCAGACGGGCTGCTGTCGATTTAATCAGTATCTCCGGTATTGATAGCTGGCATTTCCAAAAGGGTGTACCTTCTTCAGCCTTCTCCTTCCCACTCTTCCAGACTTGTTTTTCGGGATAACCTTCACAAACGACTGCATTCTTTTCGCAATTCATACCTGTGACAGATGACCATTAGCATAATGACATCATGGGAGGGGCGACGGGGGGTCTGCGGGTAACTCAAAACATACACCTAGGTTTGGCTTCATCACACTTCTTCTTTCTTCTCCTGCATGTTACACAACCAGTCTTTGATCTTCCTTTCGCAATCTTGTGCAATGGCTCGATGGTTTGTACGGGATTTTTACGCGGGCGGCCACGGGGTCGTTTCGGTTGCACAGGCGAGGGTAGTGTCGAAGATGTGCGCGGAGCGACCGAGTCCAAGTTCACCTCATCATCCAAAGGCTCCAATTTTGGTTCCAACAACATATCGAAATCGTGATCTTGATCATGATCATGTTCATGTATGTGTTCTCCATCCCAACTACCTTCTACTGATCCGTTATGTTCATGGTCATCTTGCTCTTCCTCTACAAATCCCCCTGCGCTCCAAGGATCGCCACACGAAGAAGTCGCCGAAGTCATGACTGTAATTGCGGAGGAGTTTGAACCGTCTGAACCATCCATACTGCCAGCTCTCATTTCGATTCTCCCAAATTTATAATGTTGAAAGTTGACACTCGAATAATCACCACAAGATTCGTCAATTCGAACTCGTCGACGAGTTGGTGCTCGGATCACTCTTGGTCGCCTTGGAATGTTTGGGTATACTCCCTGTGTTTGTCGTATGATTTCTTCGACGTCGTCTCGATCTGGGCTAGTAGAATGATCTGACCATTCGAAGATAGCCTCCTCTGATGACACAGGTGTAAGTTGCATATCCATATCCACCTTTCCTACCGAGCGAGATCCGACCAAAGAAAATGATGAATGCGATTTATTAATGACAATCACCATAACATCCAAGCAGCACGGTGTGTTGTACCAGCTTTTAATCAAACAATCATTCGAAGATGTTTGTGCTGGTAAAAGTTAAAAAGGCAAAAAAAGGTTCGGAGAAAGTTGCTGGGAATGATGTGGGTAGAAGTATGAAAGTGTGAGAAAGTACTTTTGGTAAATATAGGTATGTATGTGTGTATGCGTGAATGTGTATGTGTGTATATGTGTGCGTGTATGTGGTGTAGTATGTATGTATGTATGATGTGTTTGTGGATGATATGGAAGCTTTGACTTCTGGATTGGAAATTCGAAGAGGAGGTTCACAATAGTATATGGGTATTATTATCCAACGAGCCCCGTCTCCTCTTGCCGATAAAATGGGAAATGTTAAAGTTTCGGGGTAAGAGTAAAGATTCGATTTTAGCGGGCCTGTTCCGAGGATTAATTAATAATGAGAGACTAGGGTTATTTTGGATTTTCAGACCGAATGAAACAAAAAGAGAATGAAGGGGGTGGAACACTTTTTGAATAAGGTGAAGGGGGGTGGGAGGGAAGGATGGTGGATGTCAGGATGTTAGGATATTAGGATGGAAGGGGGTTTTAAGAAGTAAGTGCTGGGTGTGAGGGTGAGGGTGTGAGGGTGAGGGTGTGAAGAAGGTACGGGAGATGAACGTGCGCAAATTGAAAATCTGACAAGGGACCTTACAAACTTCAGATTTTGAGATTCAATTCCGTTTCGATCCAATCTCCAATCTCCAAAAGGGAGTGGAGTAACTGAGGGTATGGGTGTGGGTAGATGGGTAGGCCAAATGATTTAGATCGCTTGTTTGATCGGCTCTCGAGCTTCAAAGGTGTACGGAGGAGTATTTGTACCGAAAACCAAGTAAATGGTGGGAATCCAAGTGAGGACAGGACTCTGATGGTAGAACGTGTGACGGAGGCAACGACTACGTTTTCGGAGAGAAAAGAAGGCGTGGTTTGTTGTACAATAACGTACATGTACGAGTGTATGTGTAGACTGTGAAGGTAGTCTGTGTCTGTGTAGTAGGTGTACAAGAGAGAACACAAGGACGAGAAGATGTACAGATTATTATGTATTAATAATAACGAAAGCCAAGAGAGAAAGGGCCACCCCCAGAATTGGGATTTGCAAGTAGGTTGAAAAGGGTAACAAAAGTGACAATTAGTTTTGGTAGTTTGGTTAAATCGATGTGCAAGGTTTGAGAGAGGCTTGTAGCTGTGCTTTGCTTTCCTTCGCTTTGCTTTGCTTTGCTCTGCTTTGCTTTGCTTTGCTTCGTACTGCTTGCAGAGGCTAGGCTAGACCTTACCATACAGAGTAATTGTATGTATGGGTACTTGTATGGATTTATGGGTGTTGTGGATATAGTATGGATCCTGTATGGGTACCGTATGCGTAGTGGATGAACAGGCCGAAGCGAAAAACCACTCAATGACAGGGTCGCAATTCGTTCCGTGGTGGGTGCAGAAGAAAGCTCAGGTAGGTACTAGGTAGGTAGGTAGTAAGTAGCTTAGGAGGTACTGTAGCTAGTAGAGTAGGTGCTAGGTAGTAGCTAGCTTAGGGTAAAGAGTAAAGAGAGGTCGCTACGGCACGTAGGTTGGATTTAGGTTGGATTTAGGTTGGACTGGAGAAAGATCCTTATGTACGTAGTAGGTCGTAGGTCGTAGGTCATAGGTCATAGGTCATAGGTAGCTTGCAGTTTGCTACGGTACGATACGGTGATACCCTTTTCGGTTGATGTGATGATGCTCCTGCTAAATGCTTCCTTCGTTTTTCCCTTCCACTTCCACTTCCGCTTCCACTCCGACTTCGACTTCGACTTCGACTTCTCCAGAGTCCAGACGATGATGACTCAAGCCCGATGTGAGACCCGTTTGATTGTTTTCTCGAGATACGATGGTCCGTGATGATGGTCCAGGAGATGGATGGTATTGCAGTATTGCAGGGGACGGGAAGATTAAAGAAATCAAATCGAGGTATCGTGAAGGTGGAAACCTCGGTATGTTATATAATTCTTTTTTATCTTTGAAAGGAGAGAGGAGAGGGGAACCGATTATGATATGTTGTGTTTAGTTATCTTTCCTCATATCTTTGTAATTGATAGATAGTGTGGCTCATGAGGTGATACAATACATGGAACCATTACTCAAAGTAGAAAAGTAGATGTAATCGAGGAGATATAACTTAGTCAACTAAGTGTCAATTGAGTAATAAATGTCATCCATCCATCAATCCATCACATCAGTTCAGTTCAGGTTCCAGAATCATACAGAGCACATCTCAGTTCAGATGATATCTTGGGCGAAAACCACTGATATTCACCGTGTCCCTAAATCGTATATTAGGATCAAAAGACTTCTAGAGTCTAAACCCTTTCGACTTTACGGAAAACAAGTTGGAATATTCTGTTAGAAGCGGATATCTTGATCTCAAGGGATGGATGGGATGGATGGGATGGATGGGATGTGGGATGGGCTCTCTCCGGTCATTAAAAAATGCAGGTGGGCAGGCTCAGCTCCAAAAGTGTAACATCCCGAAAAATGCACCAAGATATAGGCTGAAAAGATTGACCAAGATTTGACCAAATTTCATATACTTACTTGTACGCTTCATTGGATCCGATGTTCTGTTCTATTTTGACATTTTCCATCTTTTCATTCTGTGATGGATTTGGTAGTTGTCTTGAAGATGTCATTGATTGGACGAATGATATGTTTCCAAGGTGTATGTATATGTTTTGAAGCGGTAGGAAAAGGTTTCAGCTCAGGGGTGTTGTGTTTGTTTGACTTGAAATTTGGTCGATCAATGGGGAGAAGAGGGGAAAGGAAGGAAGGGGAGGGAAGAAAAGGAAAGGGAAGAATTCGGTGATTCTACCTTTTGAATGTTTTCCTTTCCTTTCCTTTCCTTTCCCTTTCTAAGAAACACCGAGAAGTTTTGTCTTTGATTCTTTAACAGAGTTGTCATCGGGTTCCACATTCCATGGTTGAGGGATTGAGGAATTGGAGAGAGTGATGAACGTTTCCACTTTCTCACAAGGTTTATCTATCTTCCGTACAGAATGATGATGATAATGGTCATGTTAAAAAAAAAATAAATGAATAAGATAAAAAGAATAGTTCAAGTAGGGATATGATGAATTGAACTGAATTAGATTCATTCATCCATTCATTCATTCATATGTTGTGATCCCATCACTTCCGAATGATATATCATATTCCTTCTCGGATCTTAGCTGAGAAAGACCTACCTAGTACCTATCTCGTTATCCAGTATCACCTTTTTCCTTCCCCCTAACCCCGCCTTATAGAGAAATGCCACCAAAGTCAAGATTTATGCCCGTGCTGGACCAAAAATAATGATCATAGTGATAGTAATCAATCATAATATAATCATAATCATAATCATAATCATAATCCAATATACCGGTAGGCTAGAATGTCCTTCATGCTAAGGTCCAAGGTCCAAGATCCAAGATAAAAAAGACATCAAGGAATATCCTTGCACAATTCCTGCACATCTGCAGCAACCTTTGATTGGAAAATGTTTAATGATTGGTAATGGATTAACAAGAGCAAACTTAGCCTATTCATAAATTCCATCATGTTAACCAGAATCCATGAAGAATTAATCAAAGATTCCATACCCATAACATACTAAACCATGTGTATCTCTTCAACATCACGCGTACATGCGTCGAGCTTGTTGAATTGCCCTGACTTGGCCACTGTGGTCTTTTCCACCCATACGACACTTACAACACATACAACATACCACTCAACAAAACACCATCGGCATCAAAAAGCACCCATCACCGTGGTCCATTTACCCTCGGACTCAAGTACGAGTAGATTCATTCACTCACTCACTCACTCACTCACTTGCTTACACTGTACTTACGTACTTACATACTTACTCCGTACATACCTACTTACATCCATTGCGCATACACTACTAGGAATACTTGCAGGAGTGGAAATACTGATCGTCGTCGGCCCTTTCGACATCCAAAATTGGACCTTTCCTCTTACCCGTACAGCCATCCATCCCCCGTTATTGCGTGCAGTGCATCTCGTCTCTGGAGATTGCTGGATGAGGAAAAGGTATGGGCTAATAGATGACGACTCGATCCAAGATACCTAGATACAAGATGTATGAGTGATACCAGGATCAAAAAGAATGCCCTCCCTCCATTCCCATACCCATATTACCCAGATAGACGAATCATGTCCAGATTCATCGACACTAAAATGAAGCATCATCTTCAATAACCCCTCTTTCTAGAACCGATGCGGAAGCGCAGCAATACCCATGGTGGGCACGGAAGATATTTAAATGACTTTTTAAATGACCCTTATTATATTCCGTATGCAGTAGGTTAAAAAGGCCAGTTTCATCCATTTAGGGTCCTGGTTGCGAATGTCGATGCTTTTCCTTTTTATGGAGAGGAGAGGAAAATCATCAACTACATCAGTAAGTCTACGAATATCTATTTCGGCATCTTCCATTTCCCATCTGAGCCATCCCCAAAATCTTAGACATCTTCATGTACTCGAGTTATACACTATCTACATTTGGATGAGGGTGATGGGAATGAAAATCTTGATACTGACACATACAAAATGATCTCCCCTTCAATTTCTTTCCATGAGATGGAAGTACGAATGATACGAGTTATGGAGAGCAGAAGGTTGGTTGACGGACCGAAGTTCTTCCTTATATCCCCTTCTTCACAGGCAAGTCGTCAAATTGTCTGAGCGAAACGTGAACTTGTAAAAAGCCATCTTTCGATTCCCGGACACCAAGCTGCGGACACCACGGACCGGCCCTCAATCTTTTAATTACTCCGGCGCACCAGCATCAACGCCAACACCATCAAGCCAAAGCTAACAAATCTCAAAACACAGACGACGGAAATCCACCCACCAGGAAGAACCACGGATTAAAATTGGATCCCAAAGCTTAAGTAAGGAAAGGGAGCAGGAGGGACCGTCCCTCCTGCTGACCAATCCTTAAAACACACCAACTGTGCTAATAAGATCTGATCTCACCAACAACCAGATAGGGCAGCGATCAATCATCTAGCCAGCTTCTCGTAGGCTTTTTTTATCTTCATTTCTCGTCTCCGAATCTTCACGCTGATCCGGACTCGGGAATCTACAGATTTGCATTACCAAGTACCTATCTAGTCTTAGATATGTATCTATATTATTGAATCTGGAGAATATCATTATTAGAGTGATATCATTCCTCCCCCGCCCCTTTCGGAATTCCGGAATACTACCTTAGCTTACCTAGTATGTATTAGTAGGTACCTAGATATCTTTATCTATCTTAAACTTACTACCTAGGTAGATGTGTATTACTGTATATAATCTGACATGAGTTTATTTTTACTTTTGCTTTTATTTCTATTTCTCTTATTTGTATGTCTGTTTGTCTATCTATCTATCTTTGCACAGACGAGAAAAATCCCCGGAAATGATTAATTTATTTGATTAATTAATCTATCAATCAAATATACACTATGCAGATAAATAGATAAATAAATATATAATTAATTAATTAATAAACACCCCCTAGGTAAATAAACAATAAGTAATAATATACAGAGTAATACTTTATTATAAGACCTCAAATAAGATCTTCATCTCTCGCTCTCATTCTCGTTCTCGCTTTCTTCTCCTCAGCGGACCATCTCCAATCTCCCTCTATTGATTATACTCTAATAAATCACAGCCTCACTCTGTAAAATCTTTATAAAAACTCAAAAGTACAGTATCCTTCTCTTCCCTCAATCCAATCAATCAATCTCAATCCTCTCCCCAAAAAGAAATCCTCGATATTTATTTATTTATTTGTCGTCCCCTCGCGAATAGGAGGTATATATCTAAAAACTGATACTTGACTTGGCGGAGCGGAGGAAGGAGGGAGAAGGAGAGTGGGTTTTGTTTAATAGTCTTGTGGTATATTGGGTATATAAAGTATATATATATATGTTTTATCTATCTTTGATTTTGATTTGAGAGATATATAATTGATGAAATAAAT